CAGTCCCCGAGATGGTTCCCGAAACAGTCCCCGGGTGAGACACTCGATTTTTTGCCAACCCTTTCAAACAACGCATATGTAGCAGTATAATAAACATCCTTCTCGGGTTTCCGGTTCCAAGGTTGTTTTGCAGGTGACCGAAGAGGCTTTAGGTTTGTTGCATATGCCAACCGTGAAATGCAATTGCTGTAGAAACCAATACAAGTCCATTCAAAAAGATACTAAAGAAGCGGAAGAGAAGCTACATACAGACAGCGCGTCCACAACTCCGTACCCCATGGTCACTCAAGCCCTTGACCCCCGACTCCCTTCCGCAGCCAAACATGCAATTTGTCCAGAACTGCTACATTTGCTAACTTGATCTTTGTTTTGTCGAATGGTGTCTTGTCCAAGATCCAGATGTAGATACCTAACCCCCTGCTTTCTCTCGCTCTCTCTATTTCTTTCTTTCTTCCTTTGTCCACAGGGTCAGTCAATCGATCGTTTCCGTTCTCTCTTCTTCAGCTCTATATGCTCAATTTTTTGTCCTCTGGGTCGATTATTGCATGATATGTTGCGTTTGTCATGCTCGTGCATCTGCAAGTACACCTATATAAGGGCCTTCCAGGATATTCAAGTAGATAGGCCCTATCATTCTTCATCACCGCACCAAATTGAATCAATGTGCATCACAGGACAGCAAAAACGCCCAACAACCTTAAGAGGCCAGCGATGCAGGGCTTATATCAACTATTACCAATGTTCACATTGTGGCATATTGCAAGCATAAGTGATATCCTTTATCAAGTGGCATTTTTGCCTTATGTGCGATCACAGTATCATTGCCAGTGCTCCTGTTTATGAGAAATCATGAAACCTCCCCTTATGTAGCACTATTTTTGTGAAATTCTTCAACAGCCTTTCGCCGGGCTAGCTCAATCGGTAGAGCGTAAGACTCTTAATCTTAAGGCTGCGGGTTCGACCCCCGCGTTCGGCTCTTCCTAAAACACCAACATGGTCTTTGAGATTATCTTTTTTTGTTTTTAAAGAAATCTCTGTCAAGACACTGGGTGCGCCTCGCGCAACCCTAATGGGGCCACCGGGGCAGCCGATTGGTCATAGCTTAATTGGGACCCACTATTTGCATAATGCCAAGCCTGCTCGGTTCATGCTGGACTACAGTACTTTTTTTCTGTACATGTCATAAGGATTATGCGGTTGCCAATATGGGACAAGTTAGCCTATTAAGTACATGGTTATTGCAACGGCAGGGGCTACGCAGCGCCTGCTGTGTGACGTGGCAACCAGTGTCTGGCATCCAGAACCTTAGAAAAGAAACAGCGTGCCGAAACAGATGTTGATCCAAAGGAAAATAATCCTCATGAGAGAAATGGCCTATGTATGTAGTGAGACAGCCAGTACAGAGTAGGGGAGGAGAGGGGCTCTAAATTTGACCGTAAGGATGGTGACTAGATGGGTCGCGACCCATCCCGGGGCCCTTCGTTGAAACGGGGCCCCTCTAAGTAACCTCCTGAAGTCTACTTAAGTATACTTAGGTAGCTTGGGAAATTTAGAAGCAATTCTTACTTCTAAGGCTGGGTAGAATTGGCTTGCTCGCCGCATCTAAATATACCAAATTATCTATTGTAGTCCACATTCTAGTCTTTCAAATTATAAGTAGCCGCAGGCCCACAAGCGCAGGGATTATTGCGGAGCGTAGCGGAGCAATTATATATCCTTGGGTCTTTGGATAACTGAGCAAGAAAAAATGATCACACATAGGTAGTCTCCCGGAGGGATATACTTAAGTATAGCAAGACTTAGACAGTTACCTCGAGCTGTAGACTGCACCATATTCCCTAGACCCAAAAATGGCAACCTTGGAAGTTCTGCAAGAAACTGTGGCAACTAGAAGGAAAGGTCTTGGGGTCTACGGTATGGAGTACTAGAGTAGTGGGCAGGGGACTTTCTAATGTTTGGGGCTGGTACCTACTAGGTACTTAACAGGTGACAAATACCTGACTTGACCCAAATCTGTAGGTCTTTTAATTCATTGCGAACTGGAAGATTTATGAAAACAGAAGGTTGGAGTACTACGGGGTATGTGGGAAGAATATTTGTTTCTGCCATTCGTCAGATAGCTCAGATATCGTAAAGGAGCAGCCTTATCGTATGAACAGTCGCGTGGTCTAATGGTTATGATTTCTCGTTCACATTTGCCTGTGAACAGCTTGGTCTTCCGAGAAGGTTCCCGGTTCGATCCCGGGCGCGACTACTTTTTTGCCTCTTTTGCACTGATCCAAGATTTTTACCTCGCGTAAACAGAGCATGTACAGTTAAGCACGATGAGTTATACCAATTGAGACAGAAAGGTATGACACAACGCTTCTAGTCAATCTAATGTGTCAAATATGAGACGAAGATGAAAGTGATAGGGAGTATCCTGGCGGGTCCCAGCACGGGCAAGACTTTCCAACCTTGGAACTTCACAATAGAACACCATACCCATGTTGGAAGTTTAACAAGACGCTTTAATACCCAAGGAGAACCCGAGTAAATATCTAGGTATATCTAAACGCATTCCAAGGATATCATGTTAAAACCTGAACACATTAGAATAAGTGTACACTCTTATTGTCACCTTTGTCTGCCATCCTCCCACCTAATGATATTGTTGGGAACGTGAACAAAGTACTCAAATCAAGCATTCAGTGAGAACATGCAGATGCCAAGATGTGATGGTTCATCCAAGTATGTGACAGTCCAATCATTATGGGTTCCTGGGATCAGAATCCACGTTGGAGGGTTGCTCATCGATAATTGACTCAGCCCCCACGGCCCCCTGTCGACTCCCAGCCGCGCTTGCATTTTTCCGAGACTATCGCGGTTAAGCCTATGGCAAAGTACGGTGCACTTCAGTGGAGTTGCTCCAGATCGTATTATTTCTGGGCTGTCCGCTCCCGAGCTGAGCTCCTAAACCGAGTCCCAATTCTAGTGCTGGATATCAACAAAGATACAGCACTTTCTGATATGAATTGATAAATCCCGTTTCCCTCGACCCCCGAAGTATTAGAAACAATGGGCGGTAAGCCATACACATCGAGAGGCTGTCAGAATTGCAGACGGCGAAAGGTCAAGGTTGGTACCTGGATTTCAAGACGTTCAGGGCTCGTCCATATGCCTAACATTCAGAATCTAGTGTGACGAGCAAAGGCCACAATGTCAGACCTGTATAAGGAGGGACACCCAATGCCCGGGGTATGAAAGAGATAATGGTGTTTTCATACACCACAAGAACAATGACCACGATCGCGATTCGAGAACCGCAAAAAAGCAGAAGCATAACCCGCCCTCGGCTCTTCAGATTCAGACAAAACCTCTAGGGCAACAGGCAGCACGAGCTCAAATTTTCGCATGCTTCTACAGCATGTATTTCCCAAAGAACGGATACGTTTCCAGAGTGAATACATGGCATTTCTTGATTGGCAGTTTTCAAGATGGTTCCCAAAAGGGACGAATGTTGGACAAGGCTGTCTTCGCGGTTGCTGCTCTATACGTTGGCAAGATGAGGAACGACTTTCAAGTATTTAGCCACGGCCAACGCGTGTACAATGAGGCGATTTTTCTCCTGCGAAACAAAATCCAGGGGGGTTCTTATGACAGCGACATCATATACACGACTCTCATCTTTCAGGAAATTGAGGTATCCAATGAGTATTGCCCTCGCAACCAAGCCCTATGTTAATGATTGACCCAGCAATTCCATCGATCTCGTGACCTTGAAGCATACTTTGCGCATCTTGATGGGATGAAAAGAATCTTGAATTACTATCGCCCTTGGATGGTGAATGATCGTTTTGCCAACCACATTTATTGCACTCAGCCCAGACTTACTATGGTCTGACGCCACCCAAAATTGACCTGGATTTTACTGACATTTGCCCCAGTATTTAGCTTCGGCAGGTGTCATCAAAGAGCCTGTCGGCGAATATGAGGCCGTCTTGCCTATAACGGAATTCAAAGTGTACAGCCAATTTCTCGAGCTTCTCGACGCAGTTATTTCCTTTGCTGGTGTAATTGCGTCAGCCATACGGTCCGAAACATGTGAAACAGACACCTACGATTCCATACTGGACCACAGTGTGAAGTTGGAAGCGCAACTGGAAACGTGGTTCACGCAGAGTGGACTTGGGAAATCCTACACTCATGCGCTGCCCAACGAGATATTCACGGCCAAATTGCCAGCCAGTGACCCACTATTTGGTAGAGCATATCAGTTCGACACCATTGACTCTGCAATTCTCCACACATGGAAATTCGAGTGTATGATTCGGATAATGAAGTTGACTCTCAAGGCCAGAACACGGATCGGACCGGACAGATCTACAGCCAATTCCGCCGAAGATGACGCCGTGCAAGTTGATATGCTCGACAGTGAAGGTCTCCAGAAACTGGAATATTATGCTGACCAAATATTCCTTGCTATTCCATTTTGTGCACATGACGACATGGGCACCTTTGGACTACGTTCTTTGGATGCTCCAATGTGGACGGCCGCCCAGATATACGTGGATCTGGGTAAACGGGAAAAGTTCTTCTGGTGTCAGAAAGCAATGCAGGTTTCAGCTGATCGCCTCATCAGCACTGCGGCTTATTTCGCCGAGATTGGCTGGAAGCGATTCAGGGAGAAGGAGCAAACTTGCAATTCGGGTATACCATCGGAAGATAGCAACCATCGGCAGACAGAGAGGGTGGTTGACGTCTCGGAGAAACTGTAACTCAGCTCAGCTCAAGCAATCATCGAAGAAGTTTTTTCCCCTAACACTTTCATCGACATTCTACTCGGCTTTTGAGAGAAACAACATACCCATGGATGCGATTGACCCAAACTTTAGAATAGTAACAGACCCTTTTGGGAGTCGGAGCTGGTACCTTGGACGCCAGACCTCTGACTACACATGTTGAAGCGTCATCTATGACCCCAAGTGTTTTTCAGTCCATCGCGAACAATACTCTCCAGGATGTGGGATTTGACAAAGAGAACCCCAAAAGCCCTGAGAAAGGAGGCTCCAATATTACTTTTACCAAATATCCTCATATCCAAGATCTTCGCATATCTTCTGTTAATTGACCGAGTCTGTCTATTACTCACCTGCAAAAGGTTTCAATTTTTGATCGACGCGACAAAACCAAAGGAATTCAATTTCCCTCGCCTCCTCAAGATCAAAAATCCTCGTCTATGCGTGAACAAGGCTAACATACTGCGAAACCAACTTCTCCTCCGCATCGAAACACCTAGCTGGCTTTACTGCGGAGCATGTCTGAAACTACACCCACGCAAAGCGTTCAGCCACCCTTCCGTCCCATCCATCCATCGACGATGCAGTGATAACGCCGGAATAGTCGATCTATGTCCCTGTATCTCGCTGACAGCAGCGGATCGAAAAAATATAATCCAATCCTTGTCGGTACCGAGCACTTTCAATAAGCTCAAAGCTCAATTGAGGCATATCATCCGCCTATTCACGAATGGGAACGCACCCAACCCCCAAATCAGTCTGGATGGTCGTTTCAAAATACAGGAAAAGGACGGTCTCAGCTATCTCACACATGCATGCTGCGAGAGAGCAAAATACTGGAAGACGAATCTCCAACTCTTTGTGTTTATCGATGAAGAGAAGCTAGTAGTGCATGCCGAGTACAGATTGGACTCGCAGCGACCCAGGCGCAGGAACTGGTTGGCGGAGCCGGTCTTTGCATGTCCGCACAAGGATATTACGCTTCTTGCTGGATATTTGACGGGTGCGAGGATGTGTACGGAATGCGATACCCTCATTGAGGGAACCTCGAGGCGCAATGAAAACCCGGCTACGATTTCAACGCAGCGTGTGCTTGGGGGTATTGAAGAGTCTGAATGTTCTACATGGCTCCGGCAGTCGAGGTTTACTGATCAGACTTATGATCAGTATTTGATCTACTGGTATGTACATGTCCTGCCCTTCCTGGTCTACCCTACTAACATGAACCATAGGCGAGATGCGGCTGCTATAATCTTCGAGCGAAAGGAGAAACGGGTGAAGATGAAGAAATATCTGGACTCGACGAAGCCTTCAATAGAGCTTGATCGATCGCTTGGTCGATCAATAGTCTTCAAGCCAGTATTGAAGAGGTCCAGGTCTCTTCCTTTGAGGTTCATGCCAGGCAAGGTTGTCACGCTTGCAGATTTGAAGCGAAGCCGGCTTCAATGATGTGATCTGATATTTATTGACATGTTGGTTGATGTTATTAGCTTAGATTTATGTGTGAGATTGCTCTATATGAATGAACTGCACAGTTGCACTGGCTGACAGTCCAACAATTGGAAGTATACCTCACCACCGCGAATAACCTCAAAAACCCGCAAAAGACCGCCAATAGCCGCGAATAGCCGAAAAAGCCGGGCGAAAGGTGGAATAAGAATGAGTAAATTGTTATATAGGGCTATAGAGTGGTTTATACTGAAGTATTATACTGACAAGTAGAAAGCACCATATCAGAATTTCAATCATTCTTCGCTTTTGTGCAAGGGCACATAATACAGTGCAAGTTTGCAAAATCGTGAACATCATGGGGAGAAACAGACATGTTTGTGCATGCAACAGGAAACACAGAATCGTAACGCCAACCCACCAGAATTGTATGATCGCAGAACAACATGGCCTTAACGCGTCTAGACAAAATCAAGAACATTACTGGCCAGAGGCCTTCTTCCAGCGAAGCAGCTCGGCAAGCGAGGCAAGACTGCAACCCATCTGTAAGAACTCGTGGGCAAGAAGTTCATCCGCAGTAGCACGGGAATGAACATCAACGCAGAGGCAAACACTCAGGAATGCCTTGAGTTCCTTGGTCAGTTTCTCAGGTTTCTTGAGGCGGGGAGTTCCGTTTGTGGCGATGAGATAGAGTGCCTTGAGGGGCTCCTCGTTCAGGTAAGGGGGCTCAGATTCAATCATTTCAATAGCCATGATGCCTAGTGACCAGCAGTCAACCTTGGGGCCATATTCTTTCTGCTTGACGACTTCTGGAGCCATCCAGTAAGGGGTGCCGACCATTGTCGCGCGCTTGTTCTTTGACTCAGTGAGCTTGGCACAGAAGCCGAAATCAGTGATTTTGACATGACCGACACGGTCAAGAAGAACGTTGTCGGACTTGATGTCTCGGTGAATGATGTTCTGGCTGTGGAGATGAGCCAAACCCTTGCATGTCTTTGAAGAAGTTAGTATGATATCAGAGTGTAGAAAAAGGGGGACATACCTCGGCACAGATAGTGGCAATTTGGTGCTCGGAGATGACGGGGTTGTTGTCGATCACATCAGTCAGTGCACCACCTTCCATGAACTCCATGACGACCCAGAGCTCATTGCTGGACTCCTGGAGGAAGGAATCGAGGAAGTTAACAATGTTTGCATGCTGGCTATCCTTCATAACAATAATTTCGTTGACGATCAGCTCCTTGCGAGGCTGGCTACGCAGGTCCATCTGCTTGATAGCAACCTGGCAGCGAGGGCCGTAAGTTCGGTAGAGCTCGTGGGCAACGCCGGAGGTGGCACCTTCCTTGACGCGTGCCACATACACGGAGCCGGAGGCACCCTGACCAATCTTGCGCTGCTTGCTGTATGACTCGTTCGGGTTGTCCTTGGACACCACGGAACGCAGCCGATCCATAACCTCGTTCTCTGACATGGCGGACATGCGCACCTCCTTCTGGCGGGGTTCGGCCTTCTTGCTGAGGGCGGCCTCTGCCTGGCGGACACTATCCGGCTTGGCGGCAGCTTGCTTATTGGCGATGTTCAACGGCTTCACAGCTTGAACGGGCGCCGGCAGGCGAGTTGGAGGGGGTCCAGCTTGCTGGCCCTTTGTACCGTTTTGTGGGGCGCGGCTGGCTGGGCTCTGGCTTCGAGGATCATTAGGAGGGTAGCGAGAGTTTGGGGAGCCCTGGCGGTCATCGGTCCGAGATGCACCAGGCGCGCGGGGTGTACCCTGGCTGTAGGGACTTTGAGATGGGGGCGCTGGCGCGGGACGTTGTGCGGTGAGTTGCCGGGGGTCTTGCGCGCGAGAAGCAGCACCTGGAGCCTGGGGGGCCGGGCGACTTGGTTGGTAGCGGCTGTTTTGAGAGGAATCATCCCCTCCATATCCACCGAGCTCTTGTTTGGCCATGGGGGTACGGCTCTGCGGGATAGATGCGTTATAAGCATCCTGATCCTCCTTATTACGACGGGCTTCATCTTCCACACGGCGACGCTCTTGGTCTGCCATCTCCTTCATTCGTTCCAATTGCTGTTGCTGCTCCGTTGCACGGTCTCCCTGTCCTGCGGAGCCAGAGGCGGAGCGCATCGAACCATCGGATGGCTTTGACAAACCGCTATCCAGACGTTGCATGGGGCCCGGGGGAGGTGGTCTTGGTGGTGCGATGGAATTTCCGACACTGTTGCCATATGGCTTGGGTTGCTGACTGCCACCCGCAGGAGAGTTGGCCCCAGCAAAATATTGCGGGTTCTGTTCGCGCATCTTGATATCGGAGTAAAACTCAAGAACCTCAATCACCGCCTGGGGATTCTTCTTGTAGTCTTCCTTCGTGATAGCGGAGGCCGTCAGAAGCTTCTCCCACTCAGGCGGCAAGCCAACGAAGGCACCGGACTGCGGGTCAAAGCCAACGTGCACTCGGTGACTGAAGTTAGTTGGGTTGCTGACACCACCCATCCCGGGGCAGCGCTCATAGATTTTATCAATCCACTCATAAATCTCATCATCGGACCTGACCTCACACGTAATCGTCTTGGTAGGTAAGTCGCGGGTCAACAGCACACTCTTCGAGGTGGCATCCTTCGGGTTCGCCAAGCGAGTGATCTCGAATGCCATCTTGCAATCCTCGGAACGCGACACGGCAGTGACCGTGGACAAAGGAAACGAGATCACCACCTTGCTGGAATCATTCTTCAAGAACTCGAGTTTGTACTCTCGCAGAATTAAGAGCCGTTGGTTCCATGTTGCCAGGAACTTGTCTTCTTTACACCGAACATGACCTTCTTTGACGATCGCGATCCCGCCCTGGCTGGTGTTGCTCCGATTCATAGACAGTCCCGGGCTACTGGTATTCGGGAAGAGCGACAGGTTTGCCGACTGCGGACCCGGGGTGCTTGGAGAGTCCAGACTCATCTGAGCGAAGGAAGCATTGGTGCTGTTGGTCGGCAGGGTCAATTTGGGCCGATCGGTCGGGGGGCGGGGAGCGGGTCCCGGATTCATGAACTGATCAGGGCCGTACATATTGCTAAAATCGGTGTAAGCCTCATCCTGCAGGCCCAGGGGCGGGGGATACCGACTTTCCATACGAGGAAGTCATTATTGCGGCACAGCGGGTTGCGCAAGGCTAATGACTCCAACGAATGCGCCGAGACCTGAGGTCCCCGAGAAGGAGTAACGGAACTATGAGAAGGGTGAGCAATTGCAGGATGCCAATTTTACTGGTTCGGTCTCATGTTTTTTCCCGTCCGAAATTGGGAATCCGAGGGTTTTGAGGCCAGACTTGATCAAGGTGATATGGGCATTGACATTAGGGGGCCAAAGGGGGAGGGGGTCACGGTACCTTTTCAGTCAAGAGCAGTCCCCGCACAGCGAGGATGCTCGAAGATATTTCAACTATCAAAGGAAACAAAGCGCAGAAAGCACAAAGGGGGAAAACACGACGAAAGTTGGAGGTGGGGAGGGAAGGGAAAGGGGGGGATAATCCATATGGGTCCCCTGAAGCGGTCCAGGTACTTCGGTGGAGAGGAGCGTTCATCTACAGAAAACAAGCCTCTGCCAATCAAATGGCTGGGCTCATTTCTTAGTTATAATTCTATATTCGCTACTCCAACCTTGGAAGATTATTATCTATGATATTGGTATCAGAGTTGCCTGTATAGATGGGTAGAGACTTATCAGTCGATGTAGCAGCTCTGGGGTACCCAAGTATACGTACTTGAGCTTTGAGAGCTTTGAGAATTCCTATCTTAGCCGCTTTCACGAAAGCGCTTAGAACCACAGGCTGAATAGATTTCAGTTCGAACTCACGGCACCTCAAGCGCTGGACAAACCCAGCTAGTCACGTGGATAGCCAGGTCCTTCCAAGGTTGGAACGCTCGGCGATCAGTGGCTTTGATTGGCTAATTGGATTCAGAGGTGGAGCCACATCTATATGTTCTCCATCTCTCTTCTCTTCTCTTCTGCTTTTTCTTCTCTATTCGAAGGTTCTCTATCCTTCAATCATAGGTTTAGCATCATTGTGACACTAACTTACAAGCAGCCCATACACATTCCCTTGGTCCAATAGGCTAACACAAACTGCTCCAAAGAGACGCCAACCAGCGCATAGCTTATAACAAAAAGTATAAACCACCACAGACATGAGCTCGCCGAAATGAACAAAGGCCTTTCTAGCAGCAATGTGTGACAGTAACGATCGACATAACACCTCCAGATCTCCAATTTTCCGAAGATCGTGTGATCGTTCGGTCTGATGTCCCAGATCCTCTTTTTAGAGGAAAATCATGCCTTGCATTTCACCAACCGGGAGACATTATCGAGCCTGATGGGTCAATGAGCCTCAGCATGCTCAAAACAAACACCGACGGAGAGTTCAACTGGAAGTCCAAAGCTAATTACTGAGCCTCCGAATAGGAAACCGCTGATACTGGTATTGTCCAAATCCAGGTTCCGGGGTCATTCGTTGGTAGCCCCCACTGAGAGGATCTATGATACTCACCCAACTTGAAAGAATACGTCTAGACATCTAAAAGAGAGCAAATGGCTAGCTCAAATTCGACTATCAGTGGGTCTTCGTTCAAGATGATGCAGTCAGTCAATTAGCAAAACAAATTCGAGGGAAGATGCACTTTATCATTTTTGAAGCCATGTAACCAGATCCTTGCAGCTATCAGAGACGTTTCCTGAAGTGTGCTCACTAGTCTTTATCGATCCAGATAGCCCCAAAGTAGTAATCTAACTATCCTCGTCCTTCTTCCTTCGCTTTCTCCAATACACTTTTGCCTTCAGTTAGCTTTATAGTTCAGAAACATGATTGTCAGGCAACGGCGGCAAGGTATGTCGTAAACCTACGACTATGCCCAAGTGCTAAAGCCGGTTCTATAAGGTTGAACCTGGATAGCTCTAGAGGTCATGGACAGATAGGGCCCAAATTATTATCCTATGTGCTATACTATACATGAGAACCCTGCTCATTTTGTTCTCATTGCTCACCAAAGGGATGATTGAATTTCAACAGCCCATTCAGCCCCCCTACCCACCCCTCGTGTGCCTCACAGCCCACACTGCGCCGCATCACACTGGGAACACCCCCCTGCCACTCATTCTTACCATGCCTCATCTCCTCATTCCACACTCGGACCTCCATGCCAACACCCATCCCTTGGCCTAAATTGACTCCGTCCAAACTAACCTCCAGTTCTCGACCCCGGTTCTTCTCACTCAGCCGCAATGTGATTGGGGTGCTGGAAGGAAGAACCAGGGGGCGGAAGCTAAGGCTACGCGCGCAGATTGGGGTCAGCAGAATGGAGGGCACCAGTGGATGTACAATACTACCCCCGCTGCTGAGACTGTATGCTGTACTCCCCGTCGGGGTTGAAATTATGATACCGTCGGCCACGCCTTCAGTCAGGAACCGCCCACCCACAAACACATCCACCACGGCTAGGTGCGTCTCCTTACCACGGTGGATGAGGAGCTCGTTCATTACATACACCCCCTGACCCTTGTCGCTTTTGGTTCGTATGGGTGTCGTTTCAATTCCATCTGCAGTGAACAGACCGACTTTTAGTCGATTGCGCATAAGAATACGAGCCCCGCGAGTAGAGCCCATGGACTTGCCCCGGACCGACGACCACCCGGTCGGGCCCTCTGGCTCTGGGCCCTCTGCTGCTGAAGGCTTTTCCAACACCGGCGTGCGATCTCCAGCGCCGGCACCAGACATGTAGACTTCTCGGAAGGCTCGCTTGTACTCCGAGAATTTCCATTCACTCAAGAAGCCCAACGTGCCCATGCTAAAGGATAACACGGGAGGAACATTTGAGCAGGTCGCAAAAAGCGAGGCTGCATGCAGAATAGTACCATCCCCACCCAGTGTGACTGTGAGGTCAACCTTGTCGTGGAGGACAGTCGACTTCTCGTCGAGCGAAACTGCGTAGACGGGGAACGGAAGGGAGGAATGTACCTCGGCGGCAGTTTTAGACTCAAGGATCACGGATATTGAGGGGTAGGTCGAGGATATGTGGCTAGAGTGCGGTCAACATCTCGTCGATTTAGCTAATTCCCACTCATTTCATACCTGACAAACTCAACCAGAGAGTCGGTGACTGCTGGGGCGCAGTCTTTGCGCACTAGGAAAATGTTGCGCGGCGGTGCGTGCCACTGAAGAGAAAGAAGTTCCCCATCGCAAGATTCTGGGATCTTTAATCAGCCTTGGACCGACAGATGAGCAGCCAGCGGCGACCCACACCTTGATACGTTGGTAGCAAACGCCCCGGTAAAGATCCGATGTCTTTGATCTCGTGACGAGTTGCAGATGTCGAAAAGCAGCGCAAGGGGAAGCGGGAAGTGCGGAGTAAGGCACACAGCATGTTGTTTAGAGGATCGCAGGCCTATGACATGTCAGGTCTATTCCGTTCCAAGGTTGGGTTGGGTTGGAGTTGGGAGCTCACATCAACGCGCCATCTTCCAGCCCGACTTTCGGGGGCGAGTGATTTCCAACAGTTGAAAGAACTGACAAATAGAACTTCAAAGGAAAGAATTATAGTCTTCGAGAAGCAACGAATAGAGAGGTAGACCAAAATACGGATCACCAAACACACACAGTGCTAGAGAACCAAGAGAGCTATGGGCTGACCGCCCCCGGGAGTGACGTTGTGCTCTTCGACTCACGAGACCTTAACTCCGGAACCTCGGATGGTCCTTTTTACTCTAGTTAGCCTCTAGTCCTCTTCTCTATTTACAAAGTACCGTGTCTATCACTTGATCTCTATTTCTATCTTGAGGGCCCCGTGCGTACTATGCTAGTTACTTCTGACGTCTATCAACTCCAACTTACCCCTCTATTCTCAGTCTAGATATATCCTGCTTGGAAATTCCCCCCCATCTGAGAGATCTCAAGATCTCTCTGCTACCTCAACCATGGAATCGACCGTCCACGAGCGCCGGCCGACTACCAAAGATATCACCGAGCTCCAAAAGCTCTCGACCAAACCGCCCACGGATCCCCATCTCAAACATGGAGTTCCTATGCAGCTCTTGCGCTCGGTTTTATTGTCAACATGGTTCAACTGCTGTGTACTTGTGATTTGTGCCACACAGATAGTTGGATTGCCGCTCTATGTCATCAATAGACGGTACTATTATGCCTACATGGCTTATACCAAGCAGTGTTTCGCACTAGCCCTGACCGCTGTCACCGAATGGAGCTCTCCGACCCTCATTCGAGTGAGTGGAGATGCCAGTGTGCGTGGTCAAATCCATCTATCTAAAGATGGACTGTTGCAAACTCGGTTCCCCGAGCGACTTGTCTTGATCTCGAATCACCAAGTGTACACCGACTGGGTATATCTCTGGTGGGTGGCATACACGAATGCAATGCACGGACGGATATTCATCATCCTGAAGGAGTCATTGAAGTACATTCCCGTAGTTGGCACGGGTATGATGCTTTATGGCTTCATCTTCATGGCCCGCAAGTGGTTGGCGGACAAGCCGAGACTCCAACATCGTTTGGAGAAATTAAAAACCAACTTCACGGGCTCGAATTCGGCTCGCCCGACATATGATCCCATGTGGTTGTTGATATTCCCCGAAGGAACAAACCTGTCTATCAATACCAAGGGCCGCAGTGATGCGTGGGGTAAAAAGCAGGGGCTGCCTTCGTTCAAACATGAGATCCTTCCTCGCTCCACGGGGCTGTTTTTCTGCCTCCAGCAATTGCGTGGAACTGTTGACTGGGTGTATGATTGCACAATCGCATACGAAGGGCCACCGTAAGTTCGAGCATATACCCTCACTGGGAACATACTAACAAATCTTTTACAGGAAGGGAAGTTACCCGGACAAATACTTCACACTCCGTTCCACATACCTCCAAGGGCGTCCACCAACCTCTGTCAACATGCATTGGCGCCGTTTCAAGGTCTCCGAGATTCCCCTAGAAGATCAAAAAGACTTCGAAGCGTGGTTAATTGAGCGTTGGTCAGAAAAGGACCAGCTTATGGATGAGTACTTTGAGACAGGCCGCTTCCCCTCTGAGTTGGCGGGATCGGTCAAGGCTGATGGCGTAGACAAGGGCCAAAAAATTGCAGCAGAGGCTGGGTTTGTCGAGTCTTACGCTCGTCTACATCACTGGCGTGAGCTCGGCTTGATTTTCTTGGTGCTTCTTGGTGTTGCTTCTGTTTGTAAAGTGGTGACTAGCTGTTTACAGTAGGCCATATTGGCGTGGACATACTTCGTGGACATACTTCTAGATATCCCATTACCCATGTTTTGAAAAAAGATACAAAGAAGGTCAATCAATCATTGCTTGTGTTTCATTTATAATAAGTGTAATAGAAATGGAACACAATACATACTCCGTACTCTGTCACTCTGAGCATGCCAAATAGGGAGTGTATTGGTGTGGCGTTTGTGGCGGTGCAACCAGCCGCTCTCAATTCTCAACCTCTCCGTCGCCGCGCGCCGTTGGTCTCCGAGATTCACCTTCGCGCTCACTTCAAACTTGGGGTTGCCAACCTCATCGACCCGAATCCAGAGCTCTTTGATGGACTTCTGCGCTCGATCATGAGTTGAGGCTTCTATAATCCTAAATTCACCACAGCGGCTTCATCCCTACACCATGGCGTCTCTTGAAAACGGCCACACCAATGGCCAGAATGGCGACGCCGTACCATCCGCCACCCCTCCGCGCAACCTCCGTTTCTCTGATATCCCCGACGCTATTGATATTCCAGCCTCTAGTTTCGACAGCGAAGTCGAAGTCAGCTTGCTCGAGCTCCCCGAAGACCCGACTGAGCTGTGCACACTTCTCGAGAACGAAAAAGCCGCAAAGAATTTCTGGGTGATCATCGCGCTCGCTTACGCGAAGCGCAACCAAATTGACCATGCCATCGATATCTTGAACAAGGGTCTGGCCTCCGTGGCCCATGGAGCGACGAAGGAGAAACTCGGCCTGTTAGGCTGGATCTGCTGGCTGCTGTTGTTGAAAAGCCGACATGCTCCTCGAGTTGCACCCGATGGAGAGCTTTACTCTGAAGCTAAAACCAAGGACCATTACCTGCAACTTGCGACATCGACCTTGAACGAGGCCTCTCGTCTCAACCCGGCTTACCCTCCTCTTTTCTTGGCGCGTGGTGTCCTATGTCTCCTCCGTGCATCGCTTTATGCTCCTCGTGCTGTTCGCCCGGGTGCTGTGGATACCTCAGAGCGAAATGAGTCGCTGCGGCAAGCTTTGAAATGCTTCGACGAGTCGTCAAAAGCTTTCGGCGGCCGAAACATCATGGCAATTCTGGGGCGTGCTCGCGCACATTACATGCTGGGGAGATATGCCGAGGCCCTCGAGGGTTACCAGAAGGCTTTGATCAAAATGCCCAATCTCACAGACCCGGATCCCCGTATTGGAATTGGCTGCTGTCTGTGGCAGCTGGGTTTCAAAGACCAGGCAAAGGTCGCCTGGGAGAGATCTTTATCTCTGGTATGTTCTTCAGCATAACTTATGGTTTCGCGATGATTACTGACTGTGGTGGACTTCAGAACCCCGAATCCAAGGTTGCCAACATCCTTCTCGCAGTGTACTATCTCTACGACAGCTCCCGCCGAGCCACGACCGATCCTATGTTCGGATCTTTGTACAAAGTGGCCATGACCCAATACACACAAAAGGCGTTCAAGCTCGATAAGGAATGCCCGATGACTTGCTCCTTATTCGCAGGTTACTTCCTTCTCCGCAAAACATATGCGACCGTGGAGACGTTGGCACGAAAAGCCATTGAGCATACAGACGTCATGTCGATTGCCAGTGACGGTTGGTACATGCTTGGCCGAAAGGCACACTACGAAGGTGATGCTATCCACGCTGCGGAATTCTACAATCGCTCAGATCAGGCCCGCGGCGGCGGCGAGAAGGGATATCTGCCCGCAAAATTCGGTGCTGTTCAAATGCAGATCAACAACAAAGACTTCGATGGGGCCAAGTTCCGATTGGAGAAAATTGTCCAGCAATCGAAAAACCCGGAGGCGATGACTCTCCTTGCCGCAATTCACGCAGAAGAAGTCTTCGCTGCTCAGAAGTCAGGTGGCAAGGAGGACAAGTCGAACGAGACCAAGCGAGCCATCACTCTTCTGGAGGCAGTGCGCTCCATGTGGAAGGATGAGAAACAGAAACTCTCCCCCGATGAGTCGGTTCTGGTATATCTCGCCCGGCTCTACGAGAGTACGGCTCCAGAGAAGAGCATGCAGTGCCTCACACAACTTGAACAGATTCAGCTCGCTGGAATTCCGGAGGAGGCTCGTCCAGACATTGATGACCCGGCTGAGCTGAACAGTGCTCTCAGGGAGAGTCTTCCTCCTCAGCTTCTCAACAATATGGGCTGTTTCCTTTACCAAAACGAGAAGATTGCATTGGCTCGTGGCCTGTTCCAGTCAGCGCTCAATTCATGCGTGCAGGCCAAGGAGAAGACAGAAGATACCGATCCTGACGCCCTTGTAACCACAATCAGCTACAATCTTGGACGAACATATGAGGCAGCAGACATGTGGGACGAAGCCAAGAAAGTCTACGAAGGTCTTCTTGAACGTCACAGTGACTACACAGAAGCCAGTGCCCGTCTGACTTACATTGCTCTGCGCCAGAGCCCTACCGACGAAGGCCCGAAGAAGATTGCCAAGCTTTACGAAGCGGAAAACACCAATTTGGAAGTCAGATCACTTTATGGCTGGTACATCAGCAAGTCTAAGAAACGTGTTGCCAACCTCGCCGAGGACAATGAACAACGCCACTTCAAGCACACCCTCCAATACCACGACAAGCACGACCGATATGCCTTGACTGGAATGGGTAACGTGCATCTTCTCTTTGCTCGTGACATGCGTCGCGACTCAGAGCAAGACAAAGAAAAGCGTCGGAAAATGTACCAGCGGGCGGTTGAATTCTTTGACAAGGCTCTTCAACTGGATCCAAAGAACGCATACGCCGCTCAAGGTATTGCAATCGCTTTGATCGATGATAAGAAAGAACACAGCTCTGCCGTGCAAATTCTGTCCAAGATTCGCGACACAATCAAGGATCCCAGTGTCTATCTAAACTTAGGCCATGTCTTCGCCGAGCTTCGCCAATTCTCACGGTCCATTGAACATTATGAAACGGCATTGTCCAAGGATCGCGCTCGTGATGTGCAAATCCTGGCTTGTCTTGGACGTGTCTGGTGGCTGAAAGGAAAGCAAGAAGCCAACCTGGCAGCTATGAAGACCGCTCTTGAATACGCCGAACGCGCCCGCACAGTCTCCCCCGATCAACTTCACCTTCAATTCAACGTTGCCTTTGTACAGAACCAAATCGCATCACTCGCCTACGGTCTACAGCCTACACAGAAGACTCTACAGGATGTCCAGGACGCAGCCGAGGGCCTCAAAGAAGCTATCGAAACGTTCGAGCGGCTCTCCAAGGAAAAGAGCCCGCCCTACCCGAGCGCCGCGCTCGAGCAGCGTGCGAACATGGGCCGCACTATTAGCAAGCAGCTGGACCGTGCTATGCAAAGCCAGAAAGAATACGAAGAGAAGAACGCCGCCAAGCTCCAACAAGCGCGCGAAGTCCGCGAAGAAGCGACTCGCGCCCGGGAGGAGGAGCTCCGCAAAGCTCAAGAGGTGGAGACTGAGCGCAAGAAGCGCATTGCCGAAGAGCGTGCTCAGATGGTTGATGAAGTTCAACGCCATGCTGCGAAGCGCGCTGAGGAGGATCGCGCGCGTGAGGAAGCGGAGTTGACTAATGATTCGGAGACTGGCGACCGCGTTAAGCGTAAGAAGAAGCCTGCCAGCAAGCGCAAGAAGAAGGGTGATGACTTTATTGCTGAGGAAGAAGAGGGTGAAGAGCACAGTGGGGAAAGTGACTCCGGGGCGGCGCCCAAGAAGAAGCGCCGTCTTGGGCGGCGCTCGGACAAGCCCAAGGCCGAGAAAGAAAAAGCTGAAAAGCCGGGCAAATACAAGAGCAGCGAGATGGTAGTTGACTCTGATGAGGAGCCGGCCTCGGAAAAGGATGAGGCTGCACCGCGCCGGCGGGGCAATGCTTCTCGTCGCATTGCCGATGACGACGAGGAAGAAGACGAGGAAGAGGAGAAAGAAGAAGAGCCACAGGAAGAGGAGCAGCCAGAGCCAGAGACCAATGTTCCCGTTCCTGCCGACGGTGTTGGCGACGGACCTGGCGACGAGGACGAACTGTTCGGCGAGCCATCCAAGACCCAGGACACCGAGATGGAGGATTGATCTGCGTCTTGATTTTTTCCCCTTCTTTTCCTTTTTTTTTTGCAATTGATATCTTCCCGTCTGTAATTATTAGCCCTTAGTAAAGCAAAAACATTTTCGAGTCTACAGAGTACAGAATACAACGCCACTGTCTCATACAATTACACCAATATCCCTCATCCTCAGCCCCCAGCAAAGGCCGAATAAATTAACGGCCCAAGCGCAGGAGACATGTGCACTTGGATCTCTTTCGGCGGGAGTCCGATGAATCTCCGATCCAACGCTGACATTGTTGGTTTTTCCTCGCATCCTGAGTGGACGCTCTGAGGCCTCTCTCGGCCCCCGGCCCCTCCAGGGTATATTAGCTCCAGTGCACTGCATACCGTCGCAGTCGGAGCATGCAGGTCCCAGTGTGTGTCAGCGAATTTTGCGTTTGTTACGAGATTGTGCGACATTTTTGGACAATCCACTGTGTGGTCTGTAAAAAGGCGTATTCGCATACGAATATAAACGCACATCGTTAGGAGTGGCGTTCAAGTTGGAAAGATTCTAAAGTTCTTGCCTTGGACTTGAAATTACTACTGAAACCGTAGTCAGTAGACGCCGTTAACATTAAGCTCAATATAGAGGTTTCGTAACCATGGTCAACTAGGCTAATGCTTGTAGTCTAATATGGCTACGAGTAAAATTTATGGTCCGGATATAGTATTTGGTTTAGTAGATCATCCGGCATTTGGAGATTAACGTTCGCCTATTTTTTATGGCAGCTTGGAGTATCTACCCTGTGATCTCCAGCTGTATGGTGTGTATACTTCTGCAGTAAGTCTGGAAATGCCCCCAATTCCCCCCAACCTCCCAATTCCATAGATTTCCCAAGTTAAGAAACAATTAACGTTTCAAAGACCAATCTTTGAAATCTCGTCATAACTTTAGCCATGACGTCCTTAGCGTAGGGTAGGATCGAGACCCGCGGTGATATCAACGGGAGACGTCCAATGTTTGGTTCACCGCCCGATCAGTCAAGGATCGACCATATAGCTCCTACTCAACGGATCATCCGTCTGCATACTATCGCTTTGAAAATTTCAATGTGCCTTTAAGCTCTTCAGTCGGCCGCAATGGGGGCCGCACGTCGTCCAGTCGTGCTTTTCAATGTGGACTCACCCAGTCTTCCAGTGAGGGCACGTCAGGAAACATGCCGCAAACATCTTGGGCACTTGAGCACGAGGTGATATAAACTTGGGACAATTCTCCGGCAAACATACGCCTTCCACCACCCTACATTTTACCCAGACCCAGTATGCGTTACGCACTTGTCGTCCCAGCCATCCTGGCAGCGTGTGCCACTGCGGCCCCTCTCCCCAGCCCGGAAGATGTGATCGAGAGTACCCTTGATACCATCACCAACGCCGTCGACACCGACACCGTCACTGATTTTCAGAAGGACGTCACAAATGCTGTTGATGAGGTCGCATCTGCCGCATCTCTCGATGCTCTCAACCTCAAGCGCGACACCGAGGATGCCATCGGCCTAGACGTGGCTCTCAATGGCAACAAGATTCTCACTCGTGACACCGAGAATGCCATGGATGGTATCGACACAGCTGTAGATGCTAATGTTGATGTTCTCAAGCGCGCGGAGGACATCACTATCAACGACCTTACTCTTCACAACGTGGATGTTCTTCCCAATGTCAACCTTCAGAACATTGCTCGCTCTGAGGATGCCAGCATTGACTCAATTGACATACCTGTTGGCGTGCCCACTCTTACCATTCTTCGTCGTGGCGACGGAAACGGCGAAGTGGTCAGTGATAACGGCAATGGGCTACTGGGCCTCGATCTCTTGAACCTCAAGAAGCGCGATAACGAAATCCTCACCGATGGCGATAGCGTATTGGGTCTCGGCATCAGCCTCAAGCGTGACGACGCCCTTCTGACTGATGGCGACGAGACCACCAATGGTGGCGGGCTACTGGGTCTCAATATTCTCAAGACCAAACGCGATGACGCTCTTCTCGACGGTGACGGTGATACAAGCAGCCTACTGGGAATCACTATCCCCGTCAAGCGCGACAACGCCCTCACCAACGCCAAGAGTGACAACAAGCCGGTGGACATTGCTCTCAAGCGCGATACCTCTGATATCATCGATACCAACCAGATCGGCGACGACAGCCTGCTGGGCCTCCTCAAGCGGAAAGAGGACACCTCCGTTGGCGGGATTGGTGGATTTGACGTCGGTACCCCAGTCCTTGACATTGTCAACCTGTAAATTGCACTCCACAAATGTAGTATGTATGTATACAGATCAAATGATTGACGGTACCTATCTCGTGCCTACCCGACGAAGCATAGCTGACATTGGACCTAGATTCTGGGTGGCTTTTGACAAATAACCGGGACAAAGAGGTGAAGGGTTGGACTAGGTAGTTGGGGTAGTACACCGTGTATACGGGATAATTTTTAATGAGAGATCAAAAATACCGAATCCAATATTTTTTCGACTGTTGCCCAATATGACGTGGATCAAAGAAATCCTAGTGATCTGCCACTAGTCGCAATTGTTTGCTCAACTCAAACTGGATCTAGTAGAAGATAGTAGATGGGTCACAAATCTGGCGCTGGACCGTGAAAGGATTCCCCTGTTCCACGGGCGCACACGTTTTGCGGTGTATGGGTGTAAAATGTACAAGGTACCTTTTTTTTCGAATGCCAGGTTGCATCCACGGGGAATCTGGATCGCACATCGTCGCATTGAGTATCAGCCTCAGTGAATTGAGTGTACTTGTAGTTACTTTGTACTCCGTATGAGTGCGATTGATCGATTCTCCATAGTTTTAGCGGGATACTTGACCCAGCCGGGCGACCGTTGGAGTGTGCTAGTGCAATACTAGTGTAGTTAGGGCACAATTAGCAGTGAAGAATTACCTACGAAGAAACGGATACTCCGTACGGGGTATACGAATCCTCGTATCAAGAAATCCCATGGATCTTGATCCTCTGGAACTTGTCTATCGAAATTCCATCTCCCGCTCCCAAACAGCCAAGCAAATTAGATCGACGATCCCTCGGAGAACGTGTTCGTTTGACGCGAACCGAAAGAAGTTAATTCTAGAACGTGCGTCAAACCTAGTTGGAGCTACTCGTGAGACGAGTTTCAAGACATCTACTATCTATAACCACACCTACGGAGTAAGCACAAATCGATTCAGAGACAAAATAAGATCGGACGGGCCTTCAATTTCGGGGCATATTCCTGACGCAGATCTGGCCTCCAAGTGGAAGAACTCCGGGTCTCGACGCTTGGACATTTAAGATGACGATTGATCATCGCATTGGGGCGTGCTTTGTCTTTGCTAAAAGGGGGAAACGGTGGCTATGACGGGGTTTACTGCTCTCTCGGGGACCTCCAGGGGTACGGAGTATTTTCCTTCGGTGTGCCCTAGGCCCTAGGCAGGTCCCAGACAGGGATTCTCTGGCAGTTCAGAGTGCCGCACTCTAAATCAACTCCCGGCCAAGGTTCTAGACGAGATCGTCCAGATACACACGACAAACATTAAAACTAGCGGTCTTTCTCGGGTGGGTATCTGTTTTCACTTTTTCTGTTTGTTTCGAATGTGAGACCCACTTTCCAGATAGGAAGCTGGTTGATGCAAGATCGTGTGCAGTTCGAGTATTACAATGTGTACGAGCACTACCCACGTACACAGCATATACGAGAGCAACATACAGAGTACGAGTATTCCCTTGTAGATATAACAAAAAAGGAAAGAGTTCTAAAGTCCCAGAACAGACCGGAGTTCATACATAATGTAGGTACGAGTACTCGTACATTATGCAATCCATCTGCACATACCAGCTACCCATTCGTAGGTATACCCCGCCGCAACGCAACTCCCCGACAGGATCTGTAAACCGCTGTAAGGGACTCACCGGTGACTTCCGGACACTCACATTCTTCAGCTGCACCTCTTACATCCCCGAGGTTTGAGATTTTCGAGAAGCTTGTGTTTGACTTTTTTTTTTTGTTTTTTATGTTTTGTTTTCTCGGCGATCCTTTACGCACGAGATAGGGGAACGGCACCCTCCGACCTTACAGCTGAATCCTTACTGTTCGCAAGGCACATATGTCTGGGCCACACTTATCGGAGCATAGAATCTCGGGGTAAATGTAAGTGACAAGCGAAGTAATACGTCTCCACAGTTAGGTGAAAGTAGAGCCCTAGAGGAATTACTAAAGGTAGGGCCGGGATCCTTCAGGTGAAAACCGTTGAACCGAGGCTCCGCTAGTATGCGGGGAAGAGGCGTGGCTGTCTCAAGTGTCACGCAAGGCGTTTGGGAAAAATATTGGAGCCTCTGTTAAAATATGAGGCTGGATGGAAAATGGGAGGTTCGGAAACATTAGCTGTATGAGAGAGCATGAGACTTTGAGCATGGGTGCAAAGTACGGATTTTCATGTACTCCCCGTACCAAGGTAGGGGAAAACATTTCCAGATGTGCGAGCGAGAGCGAATGTGCGTGAGGGCTCTCCACTTCAGTCTGGACTTTTTAATGTTTCTACCTGAGGTAAGGACTGAGCAAAGACAACTCCGATATTAGATCGTATTATAGCTCAATCGCTTACCAGGTACGGAGTACAGTTAACTACGCACCTCGTCATCGTATGAGCACGTTTGAATAGAGTGAACTACTTTTTTACTTTGAGCATTTATCTGATAAACATCGCCTCTGCCGCGTCAAACCTTGAATTGTTCTAGATGTCAGATACTAGTGTGTACTCGTCCGCAGCGATGATCACGATACCCCAATTACCGATACAGCGGATGCAAAGAAAGGAGAATCGCAATAAAACGGAATGGGGCGTGTCGGACCGCCGATACCTGCTAGAAATGGCCTGGCGTCTATCGTTGACCCTGGTTAGTCCCCCCCACAATCGGGGCTCCAGCACGTTCAGGACCAACCCCCTGGAAACAGATGCCGCTAAATGGGGTTTCGGCTCCGTTATTTTGGGTCGTACCGTGGATTTTATCCCGTGTATCGAAACTGTATTGCTACAGGTCGATGTTTGCTTACTTCGTATGTTTGATGTAGAGAGAGCTCCCAATGTACTACTATTCGGATAGATGCAGAGTGTGACAGATAAAAATCGATCATACGTTGTGTACATCGAAAAAACAAAAACAATAAAAACAAAACAAAGAAGTCACGGAGCACGAGATCTCAAGCCATGGGAAGAAAGACCCCAATGCCAATAATACCAAAAACATCCCAAAATTATACTATTTACACTATATTTTACTATTTTACAAAAATACAAAAATACAAAAATAACCCCTGAGAGCTCCACATGCTGTGTTTTGTATTTCCTCGTCATTGAGTAATCTATTAATTTATTATCAGCCTTCTGCTCCAACCGTTCTCACGGAGATCTCCAGATTTCATTTATGATGGTGTAACTGTCCTGCCTTGAAGCCATGTCATACACACCACTACCAATGGCGAAACAATGGGACGACGACGGCAGTGACCGTCCATCAACAACCTCGTCGAACGAGCAACCAGAGCATGCGGCTCATGTCCGCTCCAGGTCGACAGCCCACACTAATAGCCCGAAGCGGCTATCGGTCTTCAGTGGCCGCTCGCGGAGCAATACGACTACCTCGACCTCCTCTCGTCGCTCACCAGGTTCTTCAATGACCTCGGAAGGTTCGATTCCTGACGAACGCACCGTATCCTCGCTAGGTCAACGTTCCGATAAGGACAGGTCATCTCGGTCCTTTTTGGCGCGGGGGAGCCGCATTCTACGTCGCCAGGGCAGCAAGATCAACATCGTTGCCACCCTGGATGAGGAAGATGAGGTTGATCGTGAAAAGCCCCGAGACAGAGAGCTGTTTGGGCGTCGATCTCGTCACCCAGATAACAGTATGTTGCTCGTTGCCATAGAATCCCAATATCACTCAATTGACCTCGACCCTACCTTGCAGGTGAACGCTTGAAAAGCATTATATCTGATCCGTTCGATTTCCACCACCTGACACACACCAATCCGTCCCAATTCCAAGCTCTAGACCAGACACGTGAGAATGACTTGGTCACCGAATTTTCCGCCATTCGCGCATCGCAACGGCCCCAGACCGGTCTGAAAGGTATCCGCGCCGAGGACATTCATTTCCGAAATTTCTCTGCCGACGACCTGGGCATGTTTGGAACTGCCACCACCGCTGACGGGCCGAGTATGAGCCCGCCGGCTTCCCCAACCGGTCCTCAGGGCCATGCACGCAAGGGATCCCGCGCGAACGAGAACTTCTCTCGTCCTGTCCCGAGGTATCCTCGCTCTTGTCCCACTACTCCCCCTCCACCTTCGGTACCGGAGACTCCTCCACCGGAGAGCATGGAGCTAGAGCCCCGTGCCATTGACGAGATCTTGGGTCTGTCATCGGCCGTGACGTACCCGGAGTCCCTCCAGTCCACACCACCATCTCAATTCTTTAACCCCGAACCTGCAGATCATAGTGTCAGGACATCGTCCATGAGTAGCCAGTATGACCTGGCAGATGTACCAGAAGAGGAGGAGACAACGCGCTACTGGGATAGCCCGCAATCCAGCCTAGGGTGTCCTGACTCGCGCTCGATTTCTCAGGCCAGCCCCAAGGCTGAATTCCCGAGTGCAGGTGAAACCCACGCTCCCATGTCCATCTTTGTCGCCGAGGAGCTGTCGCGGAAGTTTTCTGAGGCTCTTGCTTCGCCCACTCTCCCCCAGCACCTTCAGAACCACAATACTCAGGTGGAGGTCACACCCTCTCAGCCCATTGCCACTCTGCACCGATTCTCATACGAGGACGAGATGTACGACTCCTGGGATGCAGACATCGACTACTGCTACGAACACGCAGCCGAGTCCTCCTCCAACTTTGACTGGACCCGCACATCTCTCGATGAGTCTCGTCCTCAGGTCGGAATAGCCTGTAGCGATGGACCTTGGCTCTCACCTAAAACCCGTCACCTCCAACCCAGCCCACTCAGCACTTCCGAGCTTCCCACCCCAGATCTGAACCCAAGCCCAGCATCCATGCCCACCCACTCCGCTGCCACCCCTTTAGGCGATTGTGATCCCGTCTTTCGCAACCCCGAATATTTCCCCGTCAGCACTCTGGGCAAAATCACCGAACCTCCTTATGAGGAGTACCTGACGACCGACGGCGAATCAGACCGTCACTTTACTTTCTCTGGAGTGCCCATCTCCCCACGCAGCAGCTTCTCTCCAATCAGCAAATGCAACAGCCAAGAGAGCCTGATGCTCTCCCGTGCAGCCTCTGTCGCCCGCAAGCACCGCTCCTCCGTTTCAACCATGAGCGTTCCGGAGCTCATTCACTCGCTCTCCAACAGCCGCGAACTGATGCCCACCGACCGTCTAACAGCCGGCGAGGCCCTCACTCGTCCTGCTTCAGCGTCACACCGCCAGACTAAGAGTCTCGCCGAAGCACACCAGCTTCTGCACAATGGCAGCAGCACCAGTTTGGATGAACTGCCGGTCCACGACCGTACCAAGTCTGTTTCAGACGTTGAGATCAAGGTCGAGGCTCCCTTGCCTCCCCTCCCACCGAAAAACCCGAACCGGAAGGCGAAGACTCGCTCACCTTCTTACTCTCTCTTCCCCACCGCTCACTAAATCTCATTATCCTGAAGACAGGTGTCTTCTCTCTAACCTCCTTGCATATCTCTCGCTTGCTCATCGCATCACCCTCTCAAGGTCCCGTGTCTTCCTCTCTCTCTCTCTCTCTCTCTCCACGAGTCATGATCTGTGTTTCCTTGTGTCTGTTTAACTCTTGTCCGCCTATCAGCCGTCTTTTTTTTTGTTTTTGTTTTTAGATCTTGCTTTTGTACTCATGTCTCAACAGTCAACCTTTGCATTTCTCAGCGATCAGCGATTTCTTTGGTGTTTGGATGGAATTTCGGGAAAAAAAGAAAAACGGAAATGGAAAGGGAAAGGAAAGGGTGGTTGTTTTCAGGGTCATTCGCTAGCCCTTGTTATATAGATCATAGATGGGCTACGTCCCAATACAGCCCATTGGCATGATTGATTTCCATTGTCTCGGTGTTAAAGATAAGTTAACAAACGCCATATAGTACGGAGTAAAGAGAGAGCGAGCGAGAGAGAGAGAGAGAGAGAGTAGATATACATGGTAGAGAGAGTATGGAGTTTGGGGCTGATCATGAAGTATATATTGCCTAAAGCGGTTAGACCGTGACCTGATATCTTATCGCCACCGCCCACTCATTCATCTCTTCATCAACCATGCCATCTCCTCCGTCGCAAGAGCTGGCCAAGCGACCTGCTGGCCAGCTCATGCTCCCTCCTCCCCCACCGAAGCGAATCAAACGACCTGCAACCGTCCTGGAGGAAGATGTCTACGCTAGCACCTTGTCGCACGTCATCGCCCGCGACTTTTTTCCTGGATTACTCGAAACACAATCTAAGCAGGAGTATTTGGATGCAATCGAGTCTAAAGACAAAGCTTGGATTGCAAGCTCAAAGAAGAAGCTGGCAGATGTCATGCGCACACCTACGCCAGGATCAAACGCTCGACGAAAAGTGAACGCAACACAGACACCTCATTTTGGACGACCTGAAGACACCCCCCATGCTACCCCTCACGGCTGGGGAGGCGATACGCCGATGTCAGTGATATCAAATAACACTACAGCAACAACGGAAACCCCAAGCGCACCTGATGTATCGAACATGGGTCTTCTCGGCTTTCAATCAAAGTACACAAGCGACGACAACGAATCCTTCTACAAAGTCGTTGACAAGCAAAACGAGAAAAAGCGAGAAAAATACCCCTGGCTCTGGAATGAGAACAAATTACCTTCTGCTCGCCAAATCGCCCATAGCAAACAAGAAACAAAACGCATCACTGCCGCAGGCGGCAACCCGGAGACCAGCTTGATCCCGATCAAAACAGATCTTGATGCTCGCCCAGCAAGACCTGACGCATGGAAATCCAGACCCGATAATACCCTAATGTTCCTCCCATCATCAGTGGAAGACACCCACGAGACCCACAGCCAGAGAGCAGAACGCACCTCCCGCGCCGCTCCCAAGCGAGTCCTCTACCAAAACACAAGACTACCAGATCCTGAAGCTGTAGCTGCAGCAAACGCCATTCCCCCATCTCCCTCTATCTCAGCAATTCAAGACGCAATTGCCGGCCGGCCGCGCCTCGACGAATCAGAGGTATACACGGGAAGCGAAACACCCCGTGTCAACGGCTACGCATTCGTCGACGAGGATGAGCCCGAGCGCGAGGATCCCAAAGACGACGAAATCGACTGGCGTCTCCTTGGCTCGGTGTCATCAGAGCGTAATCCCTTCCAGCTGGCTGAGGCGGGAAAGCGCGAAGCCCTTCATCATCGAATGGTTGATCGCGTTGCCAGAAATAAGCGAGTTGAAAAAGCTGCCCAGGCCAAGACGCCTGTTTCTTCGCCATTTGGAAAGGGAAGCGCTACTCCTAAGATGCTTACGCCTGCGGCACAAAAGCTTTTGAACAGGGTTGGGACACCGAGGGCGAAGTCGAGCGTCATCAGGACGCCTAGGAAATGAATACGACACCACAAATATCTTTAATCGAGTTGACTTCTTGAGCCATTCACGAAATTCACGAATTGCATACGCAAGCTGCGATCATAGATGTGCAATAAGAGAAACATCCATAGACATTCCATAGACATGGATGTATAGATTCAAAGTTGTTATCGGAACGGGCAGGAAACAGTTCCCGAAGATGCCCGACTTGAAGACTCACACTTTCCGAAATATCTATCTTTACCACTTCACATAAACTACTGAACTATATTGAAAGTATCATATAAGACCCGAGTCGACATAGTAAGTTCTCTGACTCTATCTCGTGTCAAAATCGCCACTCTAACAGTACCGAACAGCGACATCACACATCAAAATGAGCATCGGGACATCACAAGAGCATGAGAGCAAAGCAAATCCACTCTCAAATCCATTAAAGGCAAAGACACAAATATCAATTGGAACAGAAAATGGCCCAGAAGAATATCACAGGCCACATGAGACACCGTTGTTCAAGAAATTACAAAAGACCCGTCTGACGAAGACGCGCACAAAGCAGCTTCTCCGCGCTGCAGAGAGAGAATATAATGATCCGCCTCCTCCGCCTGGATTGGGGGATTGTTGTGGTAGTTCGTGTGATCCTTGTGTGAGGGATCTATGGAAGGAAGAGATTGGGGTTTGGAGGGAGAGGTGGGGGGACTGGGCGGAGGAAAAGACTGAAAAGACTGAGGAAAAGACAACTGAGAAAAACACAATACAGGATGTGAGTCAGGAGAAGGAAGTGAGTAAAGTGAAATTGGCAAGTAGGGGGGTAAAGAAGAGTTTACAGAAGGATTTAGAGTGGTGATATTGCATGATGATCGAGTTGAGACCTCATCGAATTTGAGAATCCACAATATGGACAGAGATAGCCAGCCCCGAGCACAGTAATGGCTGAAGGGAAAAGTAGCCTGGAAGCCTGGAAGTCTAGCCCATCTGTATATGAGACCAAATGGAATGCAAGTTTCCGAAGTTGACTATAATCATTATGCATCGTTGACATGCTATTTTGTACACTGCAACGCTATCAAACAAACAAGAACGCAACCAAAACAACCCACCAAGCTCCAATACCGACCTGGACCCCGAGGCTCAAATCATATGCAGCACCCATGAATGAGCAGGTGATGTCTCCGCCAGAATTCCGATATCCATACGAAGCATTCAGCCACCTGCCCTCGGGACAGGAGAAGCCTAGCTTCGTAGGACAATTCTTCACCAGCGTGTGGCAAATATCTTGACAGGGCAGAATTTCCTTATACGGACCCGGTTTGATGAGTTCATCGATGATGGCATTGCGCGAGTTATTAGTCGCGGTGGACTTTCTGTACGGACTATCACTTGGTAGCGATGAGCCGTTAATGAAATCTTGTCCTGCATTGCGCACAGCGAGGAAGGAGTCTGTGGCAGAGTAATCTGCGCATCGGGGGATGGTCACGCCGCATAGCCATTGTTTGTATGCATTTTCGCAATCTTCACAGGTGACTGCCAAAGAGAACATTGATTCCTCGTCGGTCTTGCATTGTACTTGCTGCAACGAATAGTTGAAGTTCTTGTAGTATTTCGAGGCGTGACTGTCGTAGATTGTACGCAGCTTGTCCACACTTAAATTTGGGTTTGATGGCACGGCGTAGGCGACCTCGGAGCAGAATGTTAGATTGAAGAGGACGGCGCAGTTGTCATCTAGGCTTGTTAACTGGATTCCAATGATGAACATCAAAATTGGCGAGCTTACCTGCTTTCGTTTCGAATGTCATTGGGTTCCAGACAGATCCACCGCCGCCGACAATACTGTTGCCCGATGTAGTGGAATTTCCTATCATTGCGAGGATGCCCTCGTAGGAGGAGCTTCGGTTCAAGCCCGTTATGTAAAATTGCTCTTTCGGTTTGTTGCCTAAGCCTCGCTTGGTCATACCAACTTCAGTGATGTTGCTGATCCGGCCGACCTGCGACAGGCTGTCGAGGGCACAGAAGGACCGTTCCAAGCCTTTAAGCGCGGTATTGTTCACATTGTGCGCGAACATCGTAAACGGCGGCACCATGTTCATCCATTGCTCGTAATTTGTAGAGTTACTCTCCGACTCCGTCAGATTGTTCGTGACGAGCAGCGCAGCCGAATTGTCCGCGTCAATGAAGTATAAATTGGTATCGTTCACCCACTTGTGAAAGTGTTCGTCGATCGAGGCCGCGATTTGGAACGTGTAGCTACCAGCGTAGTCTGTGGTATTCGGCGCCGCGACCCCGATGAACACGTCGCTGTCTGTTTCCTTCGTGATTCCGAGGTACCCTCCCACTGCTGTGTGTCTGACCTGCAGGTCATCATCTTTGCCCGGTCCGGGCTCTTCCAAATTATTCGAGTCCGAAACGTAAACTTCCAATTGGGGGAATGCGCCATGCGCACCTGTTTTATTGGTGTGTGGCTTGCTACAAGTCGTCAACGACAGGTAGACCGTTGTTGTCGCTCGTTCGGCGATATGTCGTTTCAGTGATTCATGGCTTGAGCTTGTTTCGTCGTTGTTGTCGGACACGTACGCAGGGAGTCCCACCCCCGCGGCGGCGTGGGGACCGTTCACCACGTCCTTGGGTAGGTAGTACCACAATACATCGCCGATATTCAGTGTGGAGGACTCGAATCGGTTATTCCCGAGGGATTTGGCATTGTTGGGGTATCGGCGGACGAGATCGAGGCCGTTGGATTCGCCGTTCTCGTCGAAGCTGTCGCGAAGTTCCAGACCGTTGAAGGAGTCGAGTGCGACTGGGAGACCGGCTCCGTCGCTGGCGATAAACTTTAAGTCATGGTTGGCATGGGCGCATCCGAATATGACTATGCTAACTGCTGCGAGATAGCACTGCAGGATGTGTCGACGCATGGAAGGGGATGTGTGAGTTCATGAGGAAATGCGGAAGAAAATCAAGCATAGTTCGGCCGGGTTATTTATAGCCTCTTCGCCCTACGAGTATTCGCAAACGTGTAACGTGTAACTTATCATTTACAGACTCCATATTTATTTCAAATGTGAGTGGAAATTCAAAGCAGGTACATATAAAAAATACGGAAAATACGGAAAATAAGGAAAATAAGGAAAATAAGCAATACAAAAATCAGACCAGCTTCTGCCAGCGAGCAAGGCCCATGCTAACAGCCACAATCAAGCCCATCACCCCAAGAATACCAAAGAACCAGCCAAGTCCTGGAGTATCCTTTCCAGGGACATTAACGTTCATACCAAACAAACCACAGATCAAATTCATGGGGACCAGGATGGTGGCGATCAAAGTGACTTTGCTCAGCACCTTGTTGACATGGTTACCAAGCACCAGGTTGGTAACGTTTAACTGGGCCAAATAATTGGTATGCGAACGGCTCAGCATCTTCTCAAAGTGAGCCAGGTTCGACATCATGGTCACAACGTGATCCTGGATATCACCCAAGTAGAGACCAATGTCACCACGCGGTGTCATAGAGTACTGCTCATTGCACCGCTTCGAGAAACCCCGAATAACATCCGCTTTTCCGCCAAGCAAACGCATAAGACTCATGACTTTCTTACGTAGACCTCCGATTCGGGGAAGGAAGGATTCAAAATCGTCGACTCGAGCAATGAAGACGTGGTCTTCAATTGCTTCAGACTCCAGCTCCACGTCGCGGATCACAGGCCCAAAGCTATCGACGATGTCGTCGATCATGGCATAACAGATCCAGTCACTGGATAGAGAGACGTAGTCGCGGAGTTTGCCGATTCGCTTGCGAACGTTCGAGGCGTGAGGGTTGTCGACGAAGGAGAAGGTCAGAACCCCGTCGCGGAAAACAACCATGTAAAAGTTGACGGGCTCGAGGAACTCCTCGCTAGTTTTATCTTGTTGGAAGAAAGTCCGGAAACAGACAAAATAGTACTGCTTGAAGAGTTCGACTTTCTCGCGCGCTTCTTGCGTTTGAATATCCTCCGTTGTCAGCGGGTGAATGTTGAAGGCGCGCGAGATCGCACCAAGTTCGTCGTCCGTGGGGTTCACAACATCGAGCCACCAGACACCCCCCTCGGGGCCAAGCTCGAAGAGATCGCGGAAAGTTTCGCCGGGCAAGATGAGATCGCCCAGATCGGCGGCGTGCACGGTAGTTTGAGATTCAGAGGAAAAGAAGCCAAAACGAGTGGGTTCGTTGGCATTCTGAAGGATCTGAACTAGCTCCTTCCCATTCGTGACCTTGGGACGCTTCTCGTCTTCCGAGTCGGACGAATTGGTCTTCTTGATTTCACCCACCTCGGGGCTTTCCGCACCGGGGCGGAGATCGCAGAAAATCCGTGGCTTCTTGCTCTGCGAGCTCATGCTATGCTTGCGGTAGCCGGCTGGCTTGGTGTTTTGAGTGATAGCCACAAACTCCTCCAACTCCTCATAGTCAATCACGGGAAGCCGACCGATTATAGGTGGACGGCCTGGCTCGTCAAAGCATGCTTCCTCCGTGTCGAATGGCACATCGCCCAGCTGAGGTCGAACGGCACTAGCGTTGCTAAATGTTGGGCGACGGTTGTTCGTGCCACCGGAGACGGTGCGCTGCAGGATCGCTTCGAGATCGGGAGGCGCAATGCTGTCCAGGGTATTGGCGCGCTCACGGCGACGAGGGTCGGCGAAAGCCTCGACGGAATTGGGGGGAGAAGAAGAGCGAGCGGAGACGGACGAGGTGCAAGAAGCATTGGCGAGATCCTGGTTCACAATGCTGATGCGACGAGGTGTTTGGTAATTGGCAGCGGGGTCGACCGAAAAGCGTCGAGGAATTCCATTTATGTCATTGGATCGGTCATCGTCAATGACAGTGTTTTCAAAGTCTCGGAAGACGGGACCGTCTCTCAAAGCATCTTGCGCGTTGAGCAAGTCAGGACGCTCGACATATTCAACCGGGCCCTGCATATTGTGAGGGCTGTAAGACCGCTCAATGGGGGTCGCAATGCGCGGCGGCGTCTGCATTTGGTGACGGTGATCGTCCAGTTCGGGGACCGGTGTACTGTACCGGGTCAGGTACGTGTACCGCTCGGATCTGGGAGACTCGGACATCTCGATGTGAAAATTTTAGTTAAGCCAGATTGGGTGTAGTTAGTGAGAGAGTTATTTTCTCTTTGATAGCACGACGGCCGAGGCAGACGTCAGCCGGCGAGAGGTTCGTTCAAGGGTGACGGCCCTCCATCCATGAGCCAGACCCTATTTGATCCTGGGGGTCTGGCGATACCGACAAACGTCTGACGGCCACAATAAGGAGTTGATGTAAACCCAGTTAGGGGGGTCGAGTGTCGCCTCCGCAGAAGACCCGGAACTTGGGGCCCGCGAGAGGGTGGAGGAGAGAGGCCTTGGTGTAGCGAAGTCCCGCCAACTTGAAGTGGTGTGAAGAGGAGCTTGGGTGCTCCAGGGTTGCAGATGTGAGAGAACTTGGATTCGATCCTAAGTCTTCGGTATCAAGCTGTCAGATTTGCGAAGCGGAGCGATAATGGAGGTCGAAGACGGCCGAGGCCACGGGAGATTCGAAGTCCACAGTTTCAAGAGAGAAACAGAGAGCTGAGTACGGAGTATCGAGAAAGAAACAGTATGTGGAAAGGCACCTCAAGGGCGATTGCAATGGAGAAGAGAAAGAGAAATAGTGGGGAGGGCAAAGGCTAGCAATAGAAAATTTTTGCGAGCGGGTCGGGTCCAAAGGCCTATACTTAGACCAGTTTAGACCTACTCTGTATGTACTAAGCACTTTATGTTTAAGTCCGACAGGCAATCCGTTAATCCCTCTCTTTCTCTTTCTTTCTCTCTCTCTCTCTCTTTTGCGGCATTTGAATCAATGGCTACGTTGTGCTCGTATTTGTGCGCACCGCTTTGTCTTCAGGGACCACCCACGTACGCACAAAGGATCTTCACGAGATCCTGTCACATTGGATCTAGATCGAACACTAGCATATGTACGTGATTTGTCAAACCGAGATTTCATACTCTGGACGGAGTACTCCGTAACTAATAGGACTCACTTCAAAACCTTGGAAATATTCTGTACAAGAACCTTGAAATGACTCTGACCCATTATGTCATGTACGGAGTAAACAGGGAAATCTCTAGATGATGTTGATTCTCTTCTATAAATGCCTAGGTATACCTGGGTTTAAATATCACTCGCCAGGGTAGCATGTTCCTCCCTGGGCGCGGATCTCATCCATAATGTCCATTATGTACAAAGTCTCCTCCCAAGGCATCACCCGACTTTCCTTCCGTCCCTCCAGGATATCCAGGGCCGTATTCTCAGCTTCCCAGACAAACCCGCGTCCAATCTGAGGGAAATCATACTTCTTTCCTTCACATGCCTCACGCGGGAAGAAAGCCCGATCCGCTGCCCCTTCCTGTTTCTTCCAAACTGTGAAGGACTCGGGTATAGAAGCCGCCCTCCCTTCAACCTCAATATACCCATTGGTACCATGCACAACAACAAATACCTCACCAGGAGCACCCAGGGCCTTACTAGTACACGTGCAAATCCCCTGTCGACCGGATGAATACTGTAGAATTGCACTGGTGGTAATTTCCACCCCTTCTTCGTGGGTTTGTTTCGCCACGATCTGAGGAAGCTCCTTTTGGTATCCAAGTGCCATGCGGCCCCAGGTGAGAGCATAGACGCCTACATCAAGCAGTGAGCCCGCACCAAGGGTCAAGTCACGGTGTCGTGAGGAGGCAGGAAGGGATGCGGGGTCGACACCGTTAGCGAAATCGGAGAATACACGGAACACATCTCCAATGATCTTCTCTTCATGAAGGAGTCGGTAGAGCTCCTGATAGAGAGGGCGGTGCCGAACCCACATGGCTTCGGCGACGTAAACGTTGTTTCTTCGTGCGGCATCAAATATCTCTCGGGCTTGTTTGGCGTTGATCGTGAATGATTTCTCGCATAGGACATTCTTGCCGGCGTTGATGGCTTCCATGCAGTCCCGATAGTGGAATGCATGCGGGGTGCCGATGTAGACGATATCGACATCGGGGTCCTGGTAAAGCTCTTGGTACGAGCCGTATACCTTAGGAGTCTGAGCTGGGCAATTGTTCTTAACAAAATCCTGGGCCTTTTGGGTGCTTGAGCTGCCGATTGCTTGCACAACGTGATTGACTCTTTTCCCCTCCCATTCGAGGAGAATGTCCTCCACGAACCAGGTAGAGATCATGCCGGTGGCTATGGATGTTAGCACTGTTCTCGGTAGTCAGACTCAGAACATACCAACAATGCCCCAGCGAATAGAAGGTAGATCAGACATGACAGTTTATTGTTATCGAGGATCTTATGTGAGATTTTCAATGTCCGGGGAACAATATTGGAAGACCTGTGTCAAAGGTAGGCACGTCTACGTATTTAAAGCTGTGTCGGCAACTCCTCAACCTGATTCTCGGAAATTTAAACCCGATATTAGAGTGATAACTTCGATATTCGCAAAAGATGGCTTGAACTACAATATCCCAATTGGAGTATAGGCCAATGAGGTCATGAGGGCAGGATTTCCAAAAGCGTTACTTTAGGCAATTTCCCCCGGATCCGAGTCAGCCTGGGCATTTCAAGACTGAGTCATTCCAGAGTGAAGATAAAGAGTATACCGAATATTGGTTTGTTAACGAGAGTGCAATGTTCGTACAGAGTCAAAATAGCACTCGTATAGATCGCAGTGACAAAGGATTATGTTAATAAGAACCTTGGAAGCTCCACTCTCCGACGTCGGCCAAATTATTTTTTTGGTGCGCCAAGACATTGGAGTCATATCACCAACGATCGCTGAACTCTTGGATTCTAGGACATCTGCAAATATGACTTCGGTGATTAAAATTCCTTGCTCCTCCGCCAACATTGGCCCCGGATTCGATGTGATCGGCCTGGCACTATCCCTCCACCTGGAGGTCCACGTCACCGTCGAGAACAAGCCCTCATCCCAACTCCCCTTCAACTGTGCCATCACCTATGAGGACCAAAGCAAGAGTGTCGAGAAGATCAGTCTCGACCCAGAAGTCAATCTGATTACCCGTGTAGCCTTGTATCTTCTCAGATGCCACGACCAGCGCGCATTCCCCGTCGAGACCAATGTGCACATTATCAACCCCATCCCATTAGGGCGGGGTCTAGGCTCTTCCGGTACCGCTGTCGTCGCGGGTGTGATGCTTGGTAACGAGGTTGGCAAGTTGGGATTGAGCAAGGAGCGCTTGCTTGATTACTGCTTGATGATTGGTACGTTGAATGTGGTAACAATGTGTGCGTCTTTGGACTAACGGCGACAGAGCGCCACCCCGATAACGTGGCTGCTTCCCTCTTCGGTGGATTTGTCGGTACCTATCTCAATGAGCTTAAGCCCGAAGATGTGGCTCGCAAGGAGATCCCACTCAGTGAGGTCTTGCCTGCCCCCGCCGGTGGTGTTGATACCGGCATCAGGCCCCCCGAGCCCCCCATGGCCATTGGCCATTACCGAAAGTTCAACTGGGCCCCGGAGATCAAGGCCATTGCTATCATTCCTGACTTCGTGGTCCCTACTGCCAATGCCCGCAACGTCCTCCCAGAGTCCTACTCAAGGGCGGATGTGGTATGTTTCCCAACGCCAGAATGTAAATATGATTCAAACAGAAATCTAATTATATCCAGGTCTTCAACCTCCAGCGCGCGGCTCTCCTTCCCGCAGCTCTGGGAAGCTCCCCTCCAGATCCCGAGATGATCTTCCTTGCCATGCAAGACAAGGTGCACCAACCGTACCGCAAGACCCTGATCCCTGGTCTGACTGAAATTCTCCAATTCATGACCCCCGCCACGCAACCGGGTCTTCTGGGAATTTGCCTTTCCGGCGCTGGACCTACTATCCTGGCTTTGGCAACGGAGCGCTTCGATGAAATTGCTGACCGCATCATCTCTCAGTTCGCTTCAAACAACATTTCCTGCCAATGGAAACTGCTTGAGCCCGCTCAGGACGGCGCTACTGTGACTTACAACTAAGGTTTCGCAAGATGTCGTCATGAATTGGCCGAGTTGGGGGTTGGGCAGGATAAGTGCGGTAGAGCATTGACCCCCGAACAGGTCAGCCGTGCTGCTGACTCCTTGCATCGCGCAAAAAAAGGTGCTCGGAGACCACGGTCAAGTGGATTTGAGTTATATCTCTTCGACTTGTGTCAGCATAGTTGTGCATATGCAGGCTGATGCCGAGCCTGTCCATCCGGCTCCAATCGTTCATGGCATAGATGATAGAGAATGAGATCATGACCAACGTATTCTGAGTATATCCAACTTAACTTCCATTTTAATATACTATCCAAAAGGTTGACTTTACCATCTATGTTGGGAATATGGTGACTATCTTAGCCGAAATATCCTCTCCAAGTCATGTCGAACGCCCGGAAAAAAGAAAGCACCATGTTGGGGTCTACAACCTTGATGTAAATCACTCCAATCTTTACTCGATCCTGACTTGCATAGCCCATAGCCTCATCAAAATATTTCAAATTGTTTTGAATAACCTATGTAATGAACACTTGAGGCGAATATGTGTGCACCTGGGCATCTATCTACCTGAATTATGTGCCACATTCACCCAATCAACCCGAATTAGTACAATTTCTATCACATACACACACACCGGATTCCATCAAGAAACAATGATACCGCAGTTTCCATTTGACAATGAAGCCGAACCACTACCACTTTGCACAGTTCCAAAACCGGCAATACCGTAGGTAGAAGTTGAGCACACGCTGGTGGAAATCACGTAACAGTAGGAGATCGAGCCTGACTGCCAGAAGTATGTCATGGCACACGCAGCACTCTCCTGGCAACTAACACAACAGTCATACGCAGAAGCAGCATTACCAACCTTCATCGTTTGGCCAGGAATATGATTCAATGTCAACTGATTAATGTATTTGCCCTGGAGACTGCCATAGTCCGCAGACAGAGTGCCACCGGCAATGTTGTTGGCGGCGCAAGCATCGTGAAATATAGCTGTGGCCATGGCACCGACAGCAGTAGATGTACTTGTCACGGTACTAGTACTAGCTAGTAAGTGCAATGTCTCAGTGATGGTTGAGGTAGTGCTGTAGCTCAGGGTGGTGGAGACATCTGAGGGAAGAACGACCGAGTTACTCGTCACAGTGTTGGTCACGGTCACCGTTGTAGTAGGTGTATCAGCAGTGCTAGTCACTGGGGATCCAGTGACAGTCGAAACAGTGGTCATCTTGATAACATTCTTCTCGTGGCACACCACCTCTTGGGGGAATTGGTAGTCATCAACCCAGGGAGCACACTCTTCTTGCTCCTCCAGCAGAGATCGCCTGATGACTGTAGCAGAAGGAGGAAGAGTGTCCATAATCGGTGTAAAACCAGTAGAGACAGGAATAGTAGAGGTACTGGTATAGGTGGTGGAAACCACAGCAGAGACAGTCGTGGTCACAGGCAAGAGTTGCAGGGTAAAAATGCTGGTATAGTACTCAGTTGAGGTCGTTGAGAATGTCTCAGTCACCGTGGAAGCGGTCGAGGTGACTGTAGTGGTCTCATAGTCTGTCGAGGTCTCTGTTGACTCCGCGGGGGTGGAAGTGACAGTGTCCAGGGTGGTTGTGAAGACCACAACTGGATGACGGTCATGGATTGTGTGAGTGTGGGTCACAGTAGGAACTGACTTCACTGACATGGTTCCCAGTCGTGTCTCACAGCTTGCAGTCATGGTGTGTGCTTGACTGCTTGCTGGTATGGAGCTGGCTGCGGAAATGCTGGCCGATGCATGGCCCAGTAGGAGACCAGCCACGAGGGCGAAACGGGACATTGAGAGATTCATTGTGTGAGTTTGAATGAACTTCAACATGAATTGATGACGGACAAGACGTACTAAATAGTTCTCTTGTTGTGATGTGGAAATTGTCGGCCGGCTATTTTCACCGCGATATAGTTCGCACGGCGAATTTGAGACAAAGCCACGATCCGAAGACCCAGCGGGCGTCAATGGCGTCAATAGTCTATTTACAAGCCAGGAACAGAGCCAGAAACCAGTGCCCAATGCTCCACTTCAGCTTATCTTTGGCGTTTTTATCTGTCGGCGTCGCCGTCTTGCGATAATCAGGTAACCCTAAGCGAAAATGAAGTATATACAAGACGACATCTCATCACTTTATCTTAGAAAACAAACCCTTCTCTATCGTTGATTTTAATTCCGAACTATCAGTCATTCTTTCCTGATTTCGGGTTGCCATTCTTTTTTTTGTTCTTTATAGTCAATCGTTCAATCCTTCCGGTTACTATCACGATGGGTCACTTTCTAGTCCAAGGATGGTTACTCGCTGCAGTCTGTCTGCAAACAGGTCTGGCAGCAAGTGTTGCAGCTCCCGCTGGGCCATCTTCTGAGCCAAGTGTGGCTCCCACCCTTACTCCTGTGCCAGAGCATCACCATAACCATCACCACTGGACTTATATCCCCCGACCTTTGCCTAGCCGTGCACCATGCCGTGCTCGATCTTCGTCGGCGATTCCTTCTTCCTCTGCAACTCCCTCTTCCAGGGCATTTGCTTCTTCATCTGTTGTCGTGGTACCTTCTTCTAGTGCAATTGTGTCATCATCGCCTACTCTCATTCCCCATTCGAGGCCGATTCATAGCGTTTCACCCCTCCCACAAAGCAGTACCCGCAGACCTTTGACTCACCTTAGCTCGAGCTTTGCCTCTTCTGAAGCCGTCTCAACTCCTGAAGCCGCTGCGTCTACATATGTTCCTATTTCTGTACAAAGCTCTGTTCCCCATGTGTCTTCTCAATCAAGTGCCCCTTCCCTCCAAGAAACCACCTCTGGATCACACGACAGCGCCTCAACTTCTGTCATGAACACTTCAGCTCCTGTATCTACATCGAGCTCTACCCCCGGAGTCCACTCTCAATCAGGTGACTCTTATCCCAATGGAACCACCACTGGAGTTGTTTCCACCGGGCCCCAGAGCAGTTCCACTGTAGGTGCTGCTGCCCCTACAACTATACCCTCTGGAACAGCGCAGTCGACTATTTCTTCTGCATCACCAACACTGGGATTGACCACCTCAACCGTCCTTTCTACTCGCATCGCCACCATCACTGCCTGTCCTACTACAGTTCCCGATTGTCCCGCAACAGCCAGGGAAACCTTTGTGACCACAGAGACAATTGTTGTGTCTACCACAATTTGCCCAGTCACCGAGGCTGCCACTGCTACTGCCACCCGTACCCTCCCTGCGTCTGCTCTCACTACTGGAGTCAGCGAGAAGAGCAATGAAAGGGATGGCACTGAATTGACTACCTCCACGGTCTACAGCACCCGCACTGCCACCATCACCGCATGCCCGTCCTCTGTGACAAACTGCCCTTTGCGCTCAAAGACTACCTACCTGACCACCGAGACACTGGTTGTTTCCACAACCATCTGTCCTGTGTCAGAGGTCACAGCCACTAGTGTTTCAGCAACAACAGCTAAACAAACATCTCCTGCTATCACTGATGTACCTGGTAATGGCGCCTCTTTGGAACTTACTACCTCTACTGTCTACGCTACCCACACTGCTACTGTTCTTGCTTGTCCTGAGTCTGTGACTGACTGCCCTCTGCGGTCGAAGACTTTGTCGGCATCCACCCAGACAGTCGCTATTGCTACTACCGTCTACCCAGTGCCAGTTATCCACACTACCGTCTCCGCTAGCTCTGTTTCAGGCTCTCAACCTGGCTCGCAATCCAGCCATGAATCAGCGGAAAACGCGAATGCAGGCTCAAACAGTGGTTCTGGTGCCGGGGCAGCTCACACCACCACCATTGCTGTCGAGTCGTGCTCCGATGACAACACCTGCACTGGGTACATTAACACTATCGTGATGACACAGACCAACACTGTGCAGTCCACCGCGAATCCATCTCCTTTCAAGCCTCACTGGACTACTGGTGCCACATCTAACCACACTGCCACTGCCACTGCTTATCTTCTCGGCAGTCAGTCTAGCGGAATGACCACCGCTACCATCTCTGCCACCACTGGTGCTGTCAGTCCTGTATACACTGGAGCTGCACCCGCTGGTACACAGAGCTCTTTCATGATGATCCTAGGTACTGTCATGGTGCTTCTTGGGGCAACACTTGTTTAGGTGTTGTGTTCATAATGTCGCTGGTATCATACGAAACTCATACTGTCTTTAATAATCTATAATCTTCAAGTTATCTAAAGCTTAGATTGTGAGCAAATTTGAATATATTCGAATTGAGGGAGCATAATGCTACAGACTGCTTCTCATTGCTACCTCTGGGGCTCAAGTCCAGTAGCTCATTCTATATAGAATAACATGAATAACTAGAAATGTTGACTTGAATAAAAGAGAGATCAAGAAAATCAAGAAAATTAAGAAAAAGAAATCCAGGCCACATAAGCGGTATTCTTTCCATCATTCTTTTCTGAAGGATACTAAGTGCTAGCACTGCTAGGTACTCCTCCATACTCTGTGCCGCTAGTGAGGTTGCTGATAACGCCGAACAAGTCAGAGTGATGTAGGTTTGGGTGCTCAGTGTTGTGTTAACACCAGCGAAAAATCATTCGCACTGAGGCACCTAGCCAGAGAAAAATGGTGTTTCCACTGAAAATCCCCTTATATACAAGGTACCCAGTAATTGCAAGTCAAACGCTGAAGCTGTTGATGTGCGGAGAAGGCGGTGATGGCAGAATGACACAGGACACCATTGCGATAAGATCAAGGGAGCCGACAACTTGACCTTAACCACAACACAATGGATGAATTACTTGCTCCTATTCAAGATGCCTTTGAAGGCCAAATTGTATGCTTTTTGTCTTTTTCAATTTCAGCTCACATGTCAACCGAACAAGCTAACTCGACACTAGGACTTCCACGGCCAGCGCCTGGCAGAACTCCTCTCGACGATCTTACTGATTATATCCGGGGTATGTCATAAGAACCGATCTTTCAGCAGAGCCGAGACTAACAAAAGCTTTTCCAGGTCGTCAGCTTTGTTGTTGGATACACCTACAAAGACATCTACCTTACACTATGGACCGGATTGGCGGGCACACTATTCACAGCTTTCGTGGTCGTTCCTCCATGGCCAGTATACAACCGCAATCCAGAGAAGTGGCTAGGATCAAAAGCAAATCCTGGGATAACTGTGGACGGAGTGAAGGTGCAATAAGCTGCGACTGAAAACAATGGACCTAACCTACGAGCTGGAGCCGGACCGAATGAATTGAAATCAATACGCTACCAGTGCCTGCACCTTGAAAAGCTTATTGTAAAGAGGGAAAACATTCATAGCCATTGGATCTGTGGTATCGGCCAGATATCGTGACTTGCATCGCGTGTAAAAGAAAATCATTCCGATCATTCCGGTGTTCACGTTTACCGGCCGTACTTCTGGAACTCCCAGTCTCGGTTGTCCAATGGGCAGACCTGTCGGGTCTTCAGCCATCTCGATATGCAGTGGAAGTGGAAGGCGTGCTGGGATAGTGTTAATAGAGCGCGGGTGCGGAGAGTCGAAGAGACGGAAGGTCCTCACGTTGCAGATACCCCATGCGACGGTGCATTCTTCGGTCGTGGATGAGCCCTGGTTTGCCTGGCATTCAATGCCTGGGTTGGTTAGTTTCAGATATCTTTGAGAGAGGTGTCTTGGGAAAGACGGTCTGAGGGGATGCACGTACAAAGGTCCATGATGTGGTTTCGGCAAATAGCACAGTTATCGACGACAATGTCCCAGGCCCAGAGGGCAACGGCGTTCCACTAAGACTTGTCAATATAAAGATCTTTCAGCTGTGTCTCAGTGGTTGGAGTTGGAGTACCTTCTTGACCTCAAACTTCTTCTTGTCGCCTGTATCCTTGGAAACAGCTTTGCCCTTGGAGGAGCTGGCGGCTTCTTTCATCTCCACGTCCGCCATTGTTGCTAGTTGAGGCTGAGGTTATTGAGGGTTTGGGTTGCTTGGCAGATCAAAAGCACTCTCGTAGCTGGGGTGGGGTGTTATCGAAACTGTGACTGACGTAAGTGAGGCTCCGTGGATTCGGGCAATGCGGTGTGATGCTGTGGTGGTGCAGTGTCTTTTAACCCAGGTGCTCAACATACCTAAAACGCCTCAAGGTACTCAAAACCTCACGTTGATCTGTTTGAACTTGTTTGAACTTGTTTGCTATGTGCAGGGCTGGAGTGGCGTGCATCCCCTTAGTCATCTTTATCTGGAGATCCCCTCCCATCTGCGTTCAATCAACTTTCCCTTCAACAACCATGATTCACCATTCCTTTCTCCATTCTGCCGCTTTAGAGATGATTTTAAATGTTTCTTGATCTTTGTTTCACTCCGCTAATACTAGACACGACGTTTCAGCGAAGCGTCTTATCTTCTTTTTCTTCTGCGTGAGGAACTCAATCTTGCGACTTCACTTCTTACACGTCACTTCCGCTACTCTGCTTCTCCGGCGTTGCCATATTCTAATATTGTCGACACCTGCTGAGCAGTGATCTGACTCCTTCTATCAGTGGTCTTTGGATCATCTCTTACATCTCTGCCGTTTATTGCTTCGTCATAGCGTTGCTTTCTCAGTTCCTCTACACAACCGGCTGCCTATTTTTCAAGCCATTCAGTCGACATGTCGACCCAGTCTCCTCATCCCCCAACTCCCAAGGGATCGCGCAACCCTCGCAGACCCAACAAGAAGAGCATGACCCCTCAAGCTCAGAAACCGGGACTCTCCACCCCTCCGTCATCTCCGCCCGGCAACATCTCAGCTGGACTCCAGACCGACTCGTCTAATAACTTCAACTCTACCAAGAAGAAGCAGGCTCCGCGATCTGTGAAGAAGCCTAGAGATTCCAACTCCCCTGCAACTCACAACGGGTACTACAATGGACATCAACATAATGGATACTCTAATGGATATCGAAGCACACCTCATCATACCGGTGTGACCTCTCCACAATTGAAGGAAAGTGCTGCCTACGCAGGGCCAACCTTCCATGCATCCCCCGCACCCTCTTCTCTCCCGATGCCCAAGTTTCTTCCCAAAGCCGCCCCAGATGCAGATCTTGTTCCACCCCTCGAGACCGATAGCGACAGCGCGGATCTTTCCCCAGAACCGGAGACGACACCTTCCAAGCACCGCAGTCGTCCATCCGTGCACGCAGAGCCGAAGCCCACCGCGCTCGATTTCATGTTCCAAGCTGCGAAACAGGCCAAAGAAAACAAAGCCACTAGCAGTCCTGACGTGAGTCGCCCTCTTCGATCACCGCAGACCGAGCCCGCTGCACGATACCATCAAGATGGCATGTTTGCTTCCAGTTCGGGTAATGATTATGCGCGTAATTCCCCCATCGGGCCCTCGTTTGCTCCATCTTATCAGGAACGCATGGCGGCACTGCGCCCTTCGAGCATGCCCCAATCGCCTGAACTGAGCGATGCAGAGCGCAAGGCGAAGACCGAACAGCTGAAGGACCTGCTCCTCAATCCGCGCCCCCAGAAGCCACCCTCCCAAGCCCCTTTTTCTCCAGTCTATGGAAACGTTGATGTCCGTCAATCTCCAAGCTTTGACCGTGCTTCTCCAAATTATGATTACCGACAGCCGCCTGGAGTTTTTGAAACACAACCTGGCAGTTTCGACGCACGTCCCTCAAATGTGCATCCATACGCGACCCCCAGCCGCGCTGCATCTGGTCCTCCATTGGCGCATGGAAATCCTTTTGGCAACCCACCACCACAGCCGAACCCTTATCTTCGGAACCCGTATCCGAATCACAACTCACCACTACGTGGAGTCGTTCCAGCGCCTCAGTACCAGACTCACGGCGCTGTCTCGAACGGAAGCTCTCCTGGTCCGTATTCCAATCAGTACAGACAGAGCTCCAATCCGCCGGCGCCATGGCAGGGTTATGTTTCCCCTCAGCCGGTACATTCGACGACTGCTTTCCAGCTACCAACACATTCACCCTCGCCTTTGCCATCGCAGGCAATGGACACTCAGCAGATTGAGAATGACATTCGGCGCGTCTTGAAGCTTGATGCTTCGTCGACAGTCGCTTAGTTGCTTACCCTCTAAGCAAACTAGCACTCTGTGCCCTTTTGATTTCATGTCAATTTTCGTTCTTTCTCTATCTTTCTGGTTTCTTTTCTTTTATTTTCTTTTTTTTGTGCAAACTGTGATACTTCTTATCACCTCCGTGACTTACTCGCGACTTTTCCTTCTTATTTCCTATTTTGTTCATTTGCATTGTTACGGGCATCCTTGACTGGTCCAGGGTCCCTCGGGTTTTCAGTTCATGCAGGTGCTTGGTGTTTCTTTCCGTGGGTCTCTCGCGGTAATGCTTACCATGATGATGATACACGGCACTGGCTGCTACATTGATGAGGCGGTGATTTTGATCTAATTCTCCATCTTTCGGCGTTTTCCAGTGTGTTGCACCTGGTTGGACAATCCAGCCGAGGATGGCTACGATATGCATACATTGCGCACTATGCATTCACTTTTTGTTGCTTTTCACACTCCGTTCTTTCTTTTTCCTTTCTGTTCGAGCGGTCTGTGTCTCGAGCCTTTGCGTTCATGGGTTTTTCATCCGGCTTCCTGTCATTCGTTTAGCAAATTACAAGTCGGGTTTTCCCATGGTTTTGAAATCGTGTACGGAGCACAATGTTGTTGGATCACACATTCTCACATTCTCTCTTCGCTAGGTGTATGGATCCACATGTCCTCGTTGTGGACTCCCCAGGTTTTCTCGGAAGTTGTCTCGTATGTATACCACTACCCCGTAGTACTATACTTCCGTCCTCCGTCCTCCGTAGATTGTGTCCAATGCCAAGACCGACGGCGAATCACGAAAAAGTGGCCGAGTCCACTCTTGATGGCCGATCCCAATACTAATCAGGGTCTTAACCTCTGAGTTTAAGAGTTTTATAAACCAAAACCGTTCTATACACCCATGTTCTATTTTTGGCCCACCGTTTCCCCTTATGCTTTTGCCGAGTGTTGTATACACTACGGAGAGTGTTATGATTCCTGAAGTCCCTCTGCTAATTAGCAGAACGCCTCCATCTCCACTCTCTAACTTTGGCGCCATTTTAGTTATACTACCTCGGTAATAGTCTCATGAATTGGTAGAAAATAGGGGCTCCCATCTATAGCAAAGGGACTATGGAGTGCCCAGGTAGCAGGACTCCCCTACTTAAGTACGCACGTGAAGTATAGCTAGGATTGTTCGGCACTTGAACTCCATCTTGTAGATCTGTCTCGGGCGTGATGAAGCTTAAATGTGACCCGGTAGGTGACATCTCAATTACCACAATTGCTTTACGGAGAACTCCGCAGATAGAAATCATAAAGATGATGACGGAGTGAGGAGTACGAAGTACATTGAATGCAGTAATGCAGTATAGGTATTGGGGGCGTCGACATCATAGGGATCTGCATACTTCACTGAATCCGGCCAGGGGGTACGAAATAGAAAGAACATAACAGAGTCATAACACAGTCATAACACTGTGATTTTGCTTTCATCAATTAATTTGAAATTTGAACAGAAAAAGAGAGAGAGAGAAGAAAGACAATCGGAATATCTCCACCGTCTCCTTACCTAATTTTGAATTCTGGAACGCCCCTACCCATTTCTCTCTGATAGTCTCTCTGTTCATGGTTGGGTTTTCTCCTTGCAACCAACACCATGGCCAATATGTTAGTCTCCCCCTGATTACTTTGGACATCTGGCGCTGACTCTCAATCAGGTTTACTTCAACATGGCGCTCCTTCTGGCATACCATGACCTCCAATGACCGTCATGCCTCCCATGACTCTCCCTATCGGACAGGGCAACATGTCCCTCTCAGTCAAAGTCGCCATGAACCCCTCACATCCATCGCTACCAGCGCAATCGAATCTCGCCCTGATCTTTCCAACCCCTATGATGACGAGCCGACAAAAGGATCCGCCACGGCACAGGCCACTGAATGGACCGGCTCACCAGACGAGGGATCCCCATCCCGTCCCTACTCGCCGGGGATGAGGTCAGTCGCATCACAGAAGAGGAGGTCCAATGACCAGGGAGAGGGCGCCCCCGAGATCCAAATGCAGAGTTTCCACGACGGAGCACCCCCACCGCCACCGGTCGCCCACTCCTGGAGTAAAATCGAACGGTGGTTAGAACACAATTACGAGGAACTGCTGGACCAACTGGGTGAAGGGTGTACCCAGAACGACATTAATGAGTTGGAACACGAGTTGGACTGCAGTCTCCCACTGGAACTCCGGGAGTCCCTGATGCACCACGACGGCCAGGAGCGCGGTGGCCTCCCTACCGGAGTCCTCTTCAGTGCTATGCTCCTGGACTGTGAGGAGATTGTGCAGGAATGGCGCAACTGGAAGACCGTCAACGAAGAATATTTCGGAAGCTCAAACTACATGCAACCCCCCGTGTCCAGCTCTGCTGCAAGCTCCTCAACCGCTCCCCCAGCGGCCACCATGTGGCGCTCGGATCTTCTTGAGCGTCAGGATTCCCAACCACCCGGCGCCGTCCAGAAAGCCTATGCGCACCCCGCGTGGATTCCTCTCGCTCGTGACTGGGGTGGTAACCACCTCGCTATCGACCTGGCACCCGGTCCCGCTGGAAAATGGGGCCAGGTAATTATCTTTGGCCGAGACTACGACTGCAAATACGTCGTGGCGCGGTCCTGGGCGACGTTCCTCGCTACATTCGCCGACGACCTCTGCAGCGGCAAGGTCATTGTCGACGAGGAAACGAACGAGCTGAAGCTGAAGGAATTCAAATCTCAGAATGTCGAACCCCCATACCTGGAGATTCTGCGTTGGAGAACGGATCAGAAGTTTGGTCGCCGTGCGCCTCGCCGGAAGGGCCCTGCCAATGGCCTGGGTGTGAATGCCTCTGGTAACCGGTCTAGCAGTCGGGAGTCGCCCTACGGCAGCCCTACACGAGCCGAGGAGCGCGGTCGCTCCCCGCACCGCTTTTCCAAGGGTGGAAACGCCCAAAGCCCTAAGACACCGTTCGGCGTGTCTAGCCCTCTCGCCCGTGTGACGGAAGAGACCACTAGTCCCATTGTCACGGCCGGTCCCGCGATCTCTGAAGACCCCAAAGAAAACGGAAAGGAGGCTCAGAGTGAGGATCTCATGGAGGTCACCACGCCGCAGATCTCCAACAAGGAGAACGAAGGCTTCTCCAAGAATGAAAAGAATGATAAGGAGGACAAGGCAGAGAAGGCAGAGAAGGAGAAGTCCGACGCGGACTCTGTTATGGATTCGGAGGTCCTCGGTGAAATGAAGAACGTGGCTATTTAATCCATCGTTCTACGAAATGACCTCCGTGTATAGATTCCCTCACGGCATTTGTTGTAACTCTAGGTCTGCGTTCGTTCGTTGGTATTTGTGTAATTCTATGATGACCGTGTCTTTTTTTTTTTGTCGTTTTGTCCTTTTTTTTAATATTTACATTGGTATTCTTTCTAGAGACAAGGCAAAAGATATCTCCAGATGCAGGTTCATAAATACATTAATCCCAATCACCGTCGTCATCGTCACCACGGTTTCTCACTCGAGGGTTCGCACTGCGAATCCCTCTCTTCTTGCCCCGGCCGAACTCAGCCTCCTCATCACTTTCCTCTCTCAGATCATCATCATCGTCCCCACTCCCAATCTTCACACTAGTCAAGATCCCCTTTACCATCAACCTCTTCTCAAGCACTCGGACATCAAAACCCTCCACCCCATCAAAGCCCCTAGCCTCTAGCCCTTCAAATCCAACCACGCGATCCGCCCCAACACCATCCTTAAACCCAATAACGCACGGCAGGACCCGAATCCCCAACTTCTCCGCAATAAATGGCGTATTACGCACATCGACGCGCGCAAACGAGACCTCAAAGTGGACACTTGCTAGCTCGCCCAGCCGCATGTCCATGACCGCGCACCGGGCGAAATCAGGGTGCGCAAAGTGCACGAGACATTTGCTGCTGCGGGTTGTGAAGTCTAGAACGGATTGGTCGTTGTTGAGGGTTGGGTAGATCTCGTTCGTCAGGATGCTGGCTTCTTTTTGGGAGTGGTTGTTTTTGGTGGAGGCGAGCTCTGCATTCAATTGGTTTATGCGCGTGTCGCGGTAGATTGTGTCGGATTCGGCTTCTAGGGCTGCGAAGATCTCGTCGTCGGAATCGGCCATTGTTGCGTGGTTGGTGGTGGAGGGGGGTTGTGTGTGGTTAGGTGTGCTCCACTGGTTTGCGGATGGTTTGCACTCGGGTAGGAGTCCGGAGTATTGGAAGTATTGGGAGTATTAGATCTGGGTATTGGATACTTACTTGTAGGGCGTTTTGGTTATATCACTGGATCAGTTGAGTTGTATAGATGCGACTAGCCGACTAACGGAGCAGTGGACAGTCGTCTTGAGCCTTGGTTATGGAGTATGGATAGATGCACAGGTTACTATAATGGACCCAGGCTTGTTTCAGCAACTTTGACAGTGTTTAAGCTCGTTGGATTATCTGAGTGTAAAATTTGAAATCATTGTTCCTTTTTTCAATCAAAGGCCAAATTGAACTTGACAGTTTTGAATTTTAGCTTGTCTTATTCAATTTGGTTTGATATTACTCCGTACTCCGTACACTGCCGATACTTTTTTTTGAAGTATATCTTTGATGATTCCTCGTATACGAAAAACCTGGTTCATTTTCAGATGCTCCAGAGATACTCAGCTCTTGAACCCTTCTACTCCAACTATAATCTCCAAATTGCCCCTAAATTGATGATGTTTCAGAAGAAAAGTCCGCGGCCTCAGAAGCAGTGCTAATCTTAGACTTCCCAAAGCGGACTAGTGTACCCTCCAGCCAATCAGCGCTCTCCCCCTGACTGATTAGGTAACTCTGCTTGCGGCGAAATCTGTTGTCTCCCCTGTGGTTGTTTTCCTTGAGACTTGTCTCGTCCTCCCACTTTTGTACTCTTGTCTCCTGACTCTGGTCCCTGGTCATTTCTATACTGGACTTTATTTGCATTCATCATGGTCGAAGACAAGAAATCCGACTACGCCATTGAGATGGGCAGCATGGGCAAGGACTTGGGAAATAAAGAGTTCGAAGCCGCGCCGCCTCCAACTCCCTCTCCTCGCGCCAGTCCCAGCGCCATGTCCAATAACCCCGCTCTCCCCGTCCTGGCCTACTGCGGTTCCTCGATCATGATGACTGTCATGAACAAATATGTTTTGTCGGGCCTGGACTTCAACCTGAACTTCCTCTTGCTTTGCGTCCAGGTATGTAGTAGTCAACTACATGTATGCGAATTTGGAGGCCAGATAGCTGATCTCTCCAGTCTTTGGTGTGCATTGCAGCCATTCAAACATGCAAGTCCATGGGGTTGATCACGTACCGTGATTTCAGTTCCGACGAAGCCAAAAAATGTATGGACTCAATTATGCCCAATTGGAAGATATGCGAAAATTAACGAGGCTCTTTTTTTTAGGGTTCCCCATTACGCTACTCCTGATCGGCATGATCTACACCGGATCCAAGGCTCTCCAATTCCTATCTATTCCCGTCTACACCATCTTCAAGAACTTGACCATCATCCTGATTGCTTATGGAGAGGTCCTCTGGTTCGGTGGCTCCGTCACCAACCTGACCCTCTTCTCCTTCGGTCTGATGGTTTTCAGCTCCCTCATCGCCGCCTGGGCAGATATCAAACACGCCGTTGAGAGCAGCGGTGACACCTCTAGCAAGGTCTCCACTCTGAACGCCGGCTACGTCTGGATGTTGATTAACTGCCTGTGCACCTCGTCTTACGTTCTGGGTATGCGCAAGCGCATCAAGTTGACCAACTTCAAGGACTTTGACAGTACGTGATTCACCATTTCTGTTCCCAACCCTATACTCACAGATTTATAGCCATGTTCTACAACAACTTGCTCTCCATCCCCGTCCTGATTGTTCTGACCCTCCTTGTTGAGGACTGGTCCTCCGCCAACCTCGCACGCAACTTCCCCGAAGCCAACCGCGATGGTATCTTCTTCGCCATGGTTCTCTCTGGTGCCTCTTCCGTCTTCATCTCCTACACCTCTGCCTGGTGTGTCCGCACCACTTCCTCCACCACCTACTCGATGGTTGGTGCCCTGAACAAGCTCCCCATTGCTATCTCCGGCCTTGTCTTCTTCGATGCCCCCGTCACTTTCCCCAGTGTCTCGGCCATTGCTGTTGGATTCGTCAGCGGTATTGTCTATGCCGTCGCCAAGATCAAGCAGAACTCCAAGCCGAAGACCGGTGTTCTCCCCACCCCGGTCAGCGCTAGCAGCCAGAGCATGAGAGACTCGCTGCGCTCTTGATTCCCACTCGCATCAAAAAATCGCTTGCATGTGATATTATGATTCACGTTTCATTGCAGCCGACTGGTTTTGGTCTGGGGTGTGTTGTTCTTTTCTTTTCCCCCCTGTGCCTAGGATCTCCTACGCGGTTTTCGCCTTTTGGTTGGTAGTATGATTTAGTAATTTCTCTTTTCCCCGGGTCATAGCGTTTTCAATGTATATAGCTATGTCTTTCTAAAGTTGCCAATAGAACATCTCTTTAATATAAAGTCCCGAGTCGGTGTTGAAGCAATGTCCACAAAGTTCTTATTCCGTACAACCCAATGTTAAGCTCGAAACACAAGACAATGTCAATCCTTGTGATCCAATGTTTCCCCATTCACGACCTTTTCAACGGAGAGTTCACAAAAAGTCCTACGGAGGAGTACTTCGGATCTTTGATTGGCCGAGCTGGACCCGCAGTTTTCACTTCTTATATTCTCCAAGACTCCAAATCTCCAAACTTCACAGAGTTACGGAGATATTCAGATATGCCACGCAACACCAAAAGAATCAGGGAAGCACCCCGATCCCGGGGTAAATCATCTGGACCTCCACGCAAGGGTCCTGCCCCCAAACCCCAGGGCACCAATACACAGAAGAAGGGCCCTGTACAAGCGAACCAAAGACCAATTGTTCCATTCCTGAGAAAAGATCGAATCCTCTTGATTGGTGAAGGTGAGAACACTCTTCTGGAGATTATCCTCCCCAGATATCCCTACAAAATCCATTTTTCATCCAATCCCAACCCATGAATATCAAAAGCTAACCACCAAACCCAGGCGATTTCTCATTCGCCCGCGCACTTGCAACACAGTACAAATGCCCCAATATCTGTGCAACAAGCTATGACTCCAAGGAGACGCTTTTGAGCAAATACCCACAAGTTGAAGAAAACTTGGAAGCCATCTTATCAAAGCCAGAGCAGAGTGAGAGCGACAGCGACGAGAAAGATCAAGAGCAAGAAAAAGAGGAGAAAGAACCCCAAAACAAGGTTCTTTTCTCTGTTGATGCCCGCAAACTAGGCTCCCAGACTGGCGGTGGCAAAGAGCTACTACGTGGATTTGAGCGTCGTGAGCGTCGACGCCCAGCCTGGTTCAACCCCGCGACCCCTGATCCACCGCATCAGAGTGCCGGAGCTTGGGATGTGATCTGTTTCAATTTCCCGCATGTTGGTGGTCTGTCGACGGATGTGAATCGGCAGGTCCGAGCGAATCAGGAGTTGCTGGTTGCGTTTTTCAAGGCTGCTGTTCCTCTTGTTTCTAAGCCGCCGCCTTTGATGGATGCCGATGAAGGGGAGTATGAGTATGAGGATGGGGAAGGGAGTGATGTGGAGGAAGATGATGAGGAATCCACGACTGGGAATGGGGTGAGGACTGGACATGGGCAGATTCTTGTTACGTTGTTTGAAGGCGAACCATATACACTTTGGAACATCAAAGATCTGGCTAGACATGCGGGATTGGTGGTTGTGACTAGTTTCAAGTTCCCGTGGAGCTCTTACGAGGGATACTCACATGCGCGAACGGTGGGGCATATTGAAGGGAAGGATGGAGAGAGGGGTGGGTGGAAGGGAGAGGATCGGGAAGCGAGAATGTATGTCTTTGAGGTGAAGCAGAAGGAGAAGAAGGGGAAGAAGAGAACCAGGGATGATTCGAGTGATAGCGAATAGGGGTATCAAATTTCAATTCTGGCTTGAGGCTATGCAGTTTACATGATGTAGACCTTCTTCATATCCGATTCACTGAAGATCTCGCCCGTCGTTGGGTCTTTGACCTTGCCTGCTTCGACTGAGCCAATCTTTGTGCTGTTTTCAATCAGTCGATGCTTTCCGTAGACTCGTCCGTTTGGAAGAACTATTGGGTCGCTTTCCACATAGCTCTTTGAGTGGTGAGCATATGGCATTTTGCGGGCTAGATCGTTGAGTTCGGTGGAACAAATAGGGCACACAGATGTTGACGTTGACTGTGAGTTGGAGCTGGATGATTGGTATGCAGAGTGACATAAGGGTGTTTTGAGTGCCGACAGTCCAGCTGAAAGGGCAATGTGTAGTAATGGCTGCGAGGGCAAGGAGAGCAGCTCGTGATGGGTTTTAACAAAGAGATTTGAAAGATAACTCCAGCGATCCAAAGAAAAAAGAGACTGCGGTTTTATGAGTTTCCATCCACGAGATGTTATTAAGGGCGAATCTCACCTTGTAAGGTTCAGCTCTCGTGTCTTGTGTGAACACAAGCAGTCCAGCAGCACGCATAATCTCCGTGTTCTGGGACTGTTGATTCGACACCAGATACTTCTTGGCGTGAATTATGGCTTCGACCTTTTTGGACTTGTCCTGTGTCCGGACCATTTCGATGTACTGTTGCAGCCGGAGCTCGAACTCCAGATTGTGCTTGTTTTAATTAGCATAGACCGACATTCTCTCCAGCTAGCAGATACACACCTGAGTCTTCTTTAATGCAGCCTTATTCTCACCACACCATTGAAGGGCCTCTTTGGTTTCTCGTTTGCGCAGGCTCTCGACCACTCGCTGGCACTGGGTGAACACACCGAGGTCCACCAGATCCTCGATGCTTCTCTCTTTGGCAAGCTTCTGGGCACTGTCTGAGTATCCTGAGCGTAGCATGTGGTCTACCAGTAAACGGTCCAACCGAACTCGCGACCATTGGTCATATTTGACGTCGGCCAGACTCGGAATCTTGTGCAACGCCTCGAGGTGCTGGATACGTTTGCGAGATTGATTGTGGATCTTCTTCTCTTCCTCTTGCAGTCCTTCCATCTTGCGCTTCAGACCCTGCATTCTGGAAATCATCGCATCGAGAGCGGCGAGTGTCTGGTCAGGAGTTTGTGTGTTGGAGAGCGATGCATTGGCGGTGTCCTTGAGTGCTGGAATGACATATTCTTTCTCTCGTTCTACAGCTCTTTGTACGGATTTGAAGTTTCTGCGAGCGAGCTCATGGGGAAGGCGGAGGAGTGGTTGGTCCTGTAGGTGGTGTGAGGTCAATTTCGTCATCTGTGCGGCCATGCGGAGTGACATACTAGGATGATATGGCTCTCTGGGTTGAGCTTGGTGGAGGTCAGCTCCGCCATTTTGAGGACTTGGGAGTTAGTGTCAAGTGTGAGAGGGATTTGAAAGGGTCTTTAAATAATCCAGTTCAGCATTGTTGGACAGCGGGGAATGCGGAGGCCAAAGTCACGAGAGAAGCATGGACCACCGGACCGTTTTTGGGTGTGCGTGGCAGTACCCGTGGAAAGCCCTTACATGAGAATGACAGGGACGTGGCTGTAGCTGCGGACAGATGTTGGGCACCTGTGTATGCAGACTCCCGAGGTCGTCAATTTACATCATAGTACATCTACAATAAGATATCTTCTAAAATCATACTGGTCTCTGATCTATCCAGATGGTAAAGAATGAAATAGATTCACAAGTCTTCAATATGAAACTCTGGAACAGACTAACAAATTTCCCTTTTGACCCAGGACTCCGGAAATACAAGCAAAATATGGTACAGGAAAGCGGTCTTCCTGGAGTGCGTTTAGTCGCTGTCATCGCTATCCTCCTGCTTGGACTTCCGACGCTCCTTCTTCTCCTTCTTCTCCTTCTTCTTCTTCTTGCGCTCGGCCTTCTCCTCAGCAGTTTCGCCGTCGTGCTTGCGCTTCTTGCTGTCGGTCTCTTCCTTCACAGGCTCGGGGGAAGACTCTTCCTTGGTCTCCTCGACCTTAGCAGGGGTGGCAACGGCAGCAGCGTGCTCCTCGCTACCGAGAGGGGCGTTGAAGTCGGTGTACTCGCTCTTCCACTTGGCGGGGGTGTTCTCGTTGGCGCGGCCGAACTTGTCGAGAGTACCGGCGGTCTTCATCTTCTTCTTCTCGAGAGCGGTGGGGCCAAGTCCCCAGCGGCGGGGGTAGAGGTCACGCTCCATGATGCAACGCTTGACCTTGGCAACGACACCGTGGTCGCAGGTGGTGAGTTCGACGGTAGACATCTGAGCGATACCAATGGCAATAGCCTCACCCTTGGTGGTCATGAGAACGACCTCCTCGTGGCACTCAATGCCGGCCTCTGTAAGGATAGTAAGTTAGCCACGTTCGGGTAAAAGGGACTCTAGGGGGCTTGTCATACCGTAGCGGAGAAGACCGGGGATCATCAGCTTAGCACCGTAGCAGACGGCGTTAACAGCGCTGTCCTTGACGACGATACGCTTGTAGCTGGTGAGCAGGGTCTCCAGGGGGCTGATGACCTTGCGCAGGTAGGACTCGTCGCGGTTGTTGTCGTAGACCCACTGGGCGTCCATGACATCGTGAAGAGTGACCATGTCCTTGGACTCGTCCATGGCACCGGAACGCACACGACGAAGTTCCTGCATGTGGGCGCCGACACCGAGCAACAATCCGAGGTGAACACAGAGAGTACGGATGTAGGTACCAGCCTCACAGCTGACCCAGAAGACACCAAGGTGGCGCTCATTGTCGAACTCGTAGTTCTTGCTCTCGTGGATGGTACGGATACGGAGTTGACGCTTGACGGCAGAGATCAAAGGAGGGCGCTGGAAGAGCGCACCAGTGAGGGTCTCCAGAGCGCGAACGAACTGGGCCTCACCACCTGGAATCTTGTCGTGAAGGCGGATAACACAGACATACTCCTTACCGGCACCCTGCTGGGACTTGACCAGACGGGTAGCACGGTCAATGCAGACGATCAAACATCCGGTGACCTTGGGATCGAGGGTACCACTGTGACCAGTCTTCTCAGATCTAGAGACAAACATTAGCCGGATGCTTTGCGGGATTGGGATGAATGGGAGGCAATTTACCGGAGGATACGCTTCATCCAAGCCACGACTTCGTGACTGGAAGGGTTGGAGGGCTTGTCAAGGTTGATAACACCGGAGCTGATGTAGGACTTGAGGTCACGGCTCAAGGGGGAAGAACCAGCAGGGATAGGAGTGAAGTGACCGGTACGGACGAGCACTATGGGAAATTGTCAATGTCGGCTAGTCAAGAATGGAGATTGGGGAGCATACGCTTCTCATAGTTCTTCAGCAGAAGCGGCCAATCCGCAGTGTTAACGGATGGAACGGACGCTTCAGGCTTGATGGCGTAATCCATCTCCGAGGTCTTGACGACTGCCATTTTGGTGGTTGACTGGTTCAAGAATTGCGCGGTGAAGACCCCGAAGAAAATGTCGATGGAAATTTTGCGAGTGCGGAAGCTCTAGCGCCTAATTAGGTTTAGCTCGTTTTGAGAATTTTTACATAATCATTCCGCTGAGGTAATGTGTTTTTGGCCTGAGGCCACCTATGTGATTTTTACTTTTTAAGGTTCCATCATCATCGACTTCCAAGGTTAGCGATATTGCCGCAATTGTCATTTTCTTGGAATTTGCAATTGTTATTAATTCAAGGTTTGAACTATGGGGAAAGAATAAGTCTTTAGACCCTGTTTCCCGGGCCTTGGATTTCTGTCTTTCGCACAATTGGAGTCTGTTGTAAGTGGATGTAGAACCCCGAATTGTGCTTAACCGCCGAGTCTTCGGCCAGCGCCTCGACCCTTCCAAGAGTTAGAAGAGGTCCAACCCCAGGATGATCCAGAGGTCGAGCCAGAAGATCCACCCTGAGATGCTGTAGAAGCTTGTGTGGAAGATTGAGAAGCCCATCCATACGATCTGTTTTTGTCATCCGCACGTTTGAAATACCTCTCCACGAACGCTGGGACAGTGAGGAAGTTTCTACCCCCGCCGTAGACCGGGTAGATATGCGTGAGGAAGTTGTATAGATGAGCAGCGGGGATTCCCATGGCTTCGATCATAGCGGCTTGCCAACCACGGACGACCATGGTGATAAGGAGCATTGCGTAAGGCAGGACAACGACAGGAATGTCGATGAACATAAAGTGGGTTCTTTGTCCACGGTTGAGTTGCGAGTAGCTGTAGATGAAAGCCATGATCATGGCTAGTCTTGTTAGTGGATTCAGGTGCGAAGGATGGGCACCTTACGTTGGGTGAAGACGACTGCCCCCAAATACCAGCCTGCGGTGATCTTGGGAAAGTTAGCTTGATATGGACTACCGGGATAATAGTGGTGATGGGAAGTAATGTAGAATGGATGTATTGGAATAGATGTATATAGAAATGTAGGGCACCCCCGATACCGACGGATATATAATCACGCCAGTGTCTCGAAGGAAATCCCACCGTGTCCCACACCTACGCAGCACCTAATTTTGCGAATGTGGTGGTGCCGCGCAGATGCAGGGGTGTTCTCCCTCGCCGTCAGGAACCGCATTCAGCTAGATTTCGAAGCTGGGCGGGCAGTTATGGTGAGGGGATATGAGAACGCGAACAAAAGAAAGAAAAGAGAAGAAAAGAAAAGCAGTCTCTACCACTTACCATCAAGTTGAAAGCTACAAACAACAGATAGATGAAGAATTCGCCTGGAGCCATGCTGTTCTCCATGGCACTGCCATATTTGTAGACTACCGCGAAATTAGCGCGTGTCAACCCAGGCCGATGAGAGTCATACTGAAGTAGACATCAAAGGCGAATTCCAGCTTCGGTCCGGTTAGTAGAAATGGCGTGAACAGCCGATAGATTTGTGGAGGCAACGCAAAGATCAAGCTTGGAGCAAAGACCGCATAACTCTTTGACAGTAATTTGCCATGCATTAAGGCAGACTGTACGAGTGTCAGGGCTGTGAGCGTCCTGGATGACACGTTAGTGAAAACTCGAAACCCGCGACATGGAACATGCATACCTGGTGACAGGGGGAGCTGCCCAAAACAGATCCATTATGGATGAATAAATTTCGGTCAATTGATCACAGGGATCAAAACAGCTCGAGAAAGTAGTTGGGAAAAGGAAGGAAAAGAAAGCGGAAGTGGCAGTGAAGAAAAGGTGTGCACTAGCTTCCGTGGAGTTTCTCCGAGGTCCGTGATTGCATCACATTCCATGCAGTGCTCCGTACTTCGATTTCCCTATACTTCACATAACCACGTTCATTCCCACCGAATTTTTCATGTTGGTGTTGTGTTGATATTGCAATATATCTAATTATGTATATAGTATGAAACTGTATGTCTTTAGGCAAATGGGTATCTTACAACTTGGTTTGAACAGTACCTCGAACAGCCAATCCACCATTCGCACCTTCAATCCATACGTCCCAGGCCCCAGTACCGTTCTTGGGCTTTCCGCAAATAACGAGCTTTTCCTCGACAAACAGAGGTGCTATGTTTTTGTACTCAATGGCATTGATATGCAGGTTCAATTGACCAAGGTGGTGTTGCACCACACTCAACAGAAGTGTCAGTGTCAATGGGCCATGCACTAAAAGATTGCGGTATCCTTCTTCGTTCTGAGTATAGCCTTTGTCAAGATGAATGGAATGGGCGTTGAAGGTCAGTGCCGAAAATCGAAACAGTAGCGCTTTGATTGGCATGATGGCATGGCGGAATGTCGCATCGGAGGGTGCTGTATTCTTCCACTTTAGCTCTTTCTCTCTACTTGTTATATTGTAGGCGCACATACGCTTGACAATTCTCGCAGGTTCCCCAAATTGAGCCTTATCGGCCTCAATCTGCGTGCTAGTTTTCAAGCGCATGAAGATAAGATCCCGGTTTTCTATAACCGAGGATTCCCCTGCATCGGCTTCATTTTCTGTCCAGATCCGTTTCCGTGTCTGCTCTGCTGATTCCTGCTCAGGCACGTTGCCAACGCGCCGCTCGATCGTGACGATCACTTTCTCGTCGCCCTCGCGGCCCTTGACTACCACATTGCGGATAGACTCCAGACACACCGCGCGACTCCCATCCAAAAAGGGACTGGGAGCGGGAAACCTCAAGTTACCGCCCGCCCAAAGACGTCGATTGAACGGCTCGCCGGGTGTATGCAGTGTATCTGTGCAGTCTGGAAGCAACTGCGACAGTGTCACCTGTGGCGGGAAGTAGATCAGGTGATGGCCGACCGGTAACGGAGAGGGGTTTCGGATCGAGGGGAGAGTCGTATCAACCGGCGGAGGAGATGGCAATAGGTCCCGGAGGGTCAGGTTGAGGAGATGTGAGGGTTGGGGGTGTAAATAGTCATAGGTCAACGGGAGGCTCCTAGTGGTCAATTCATGGTACAAACGATCGGAGAGCGAGGCGTATCCCCGCGATGCACTCCGAAATGCAGTCTGAAATGCACTACAAGGTGCACCTCCTCTCGAGAGCAGGCGTACGGACTTCATGAAGCAGAGTGTGCGTCCAGCGAACGGAAGTTCGGCCTTGAATCTATAACCCGCGTTTGACGTGTTTGTCTGCCGCTCTTTACCCATATCGGACTCAATGCAGCCCACACCGCTCGAATAGAGGGCTGAGGTGGACTCAAGAATAGACTAGTTAACTAGCTGGGATTGAGATCGATGGGTTCCGATCTCATCTCCACTCCCACAAAAGCTTTTCCTCAATCATGGCTTTGAGAGTGGCCTTCCTAGGGCCATTGGCGTCCTTCTCGCATCAGGTACATTTCCGAACCCCGCGCCGAGTGCAACATCATCTAACCCCTAGCAGGCAGCTGCAGAGTCATTTGGCCGATTGGCTGCCGATCTGCAACCGAAGAGCTCGTTTAACGATGCCTTTGCTGCCCTCCAAAGCAACGAGGCTGACTACGCTGTCATCCCGTGCGAGAACTCAACCAATGGCTCTGTCGTCCAGACTCTAGATCTACTCGCAGATCGCGACAACTCATATCAAGATGTCAAAGTTTGCGGCGAATACTATCTTACCGTGCACCACTGTCTTCTTGCACGTAAAGGCTTATATCCCAGCTGGGCCGAATACGATGGTTCGATAACCAAGCTGTACACGCATCCGCAGGCGTGGGGCCAATGTGAGACATTCCTCGGGAAATACTTCAAAGGTGTCGAGAGACAGGACGTCTCGTCCACCTCTAAAGGAGGCGAAATCGTCTCCAAGGACACTGAAGAGCGTGGCGGGGCAATTGCTAGTCGCTTTGCGGCGGAACACCACGGCACCGATGTGTTGGTAGAAAATATCGAGGACCGCGCAGATAACACAACCCGGTTCTTGATCTTGAGGAATGTGCTCGCTGAGCGCACCGCTCAATTGGAGTTTGAGCAGCCAAACCCGCCTACAGAGGGTTGCGCACTTGAGACTACCCACAAGACTCTGATCTCTTTCCTGGTCGATCATTCTTCCCCTGGTGCTTTGGCAGATGCTCTACTTATCTTCAAGAACCATGGCTTGAACTTGACGAGTATCAACACAAGGCCTAGCTTGAAGAAGCCCTGGCAGTATGTCTTCTTCGTTGAATGTGGAAGGACACCTTCGGAGGAGAACAAGGATGCCGTCCACAAGGCTATCAGCGACTTGAGACAGGTGACTGAATTATGTAGAGATCTGGGAACCTGGAAAGACCAGCTCAGTGCAAATGCCTAGAGTGTTTAGCGCCTTGCCCTGGAACAAGCCTGGTGGCGATATTTTCGGACCATATAATAAGGATACATTTACGAACATATTGAATCTTGAAATGTATCTACTTGTGCATATGTATCGGCTGATGCCTAGCACTTTGGGTGTTTCTTATTCCATTCAAGTGCTCGCCTCTTGTCGCTTTCCAACGTTTTGATCTTGAAGTAATATTGAGCACGCCCCTGAACGAATATCAAAAGGACATCGGGAGAACAGGAGGATAATATATCATCTCCCACCGCGGCCTAACCCGCTACAGCGAAATATGACGGCGCAGTTCTCACTTGGGTTTTACAGGCCTCAAGAAGTTTTAAGCTCATAATTTACTTGAACTACTAATTGGTAGCAGTTGGAGGCTTTCTCGCAACGAGCCGCCAGACTCGAGCTTGCCTGGCCTACCTGGCTGTGGTCGGAAAACGAAAGAGAACAAGACCATACCTAGGTAACACTCGCGAGAAAGGCTCTGTCCCCAGTATAACGGCGCGGAACTGGCGAGATTACCCCGACCCTGACGCACCGTCGTAGAAAGTCTATCAAATATAAACTGATACTTAAGTAGTTGATAGTGGTGTAAGTACATAAATGCTCTGGTATAAAAGCATAGTGTGGTTGCGCTCTTTTCGTATCAGGATCAATCGTAAAAGGTGATCACAGCCATAATCCCAAACCTTTGGGCTAGTACTCGAGTTGATCTTCAGACTTAGCGGAAATCAGATTCTTGATACCCTCCTCGACGCCTTTAGGATTGGCCCCGACAACAGACGCCATTTCGTCGCCCGCCCTGAAAAAGTAGATGGTAGGAAGAGACCGAATCCCGAGCTCTTTGGCAATATCGGGGATTTGGTCGAAATTGAACTTGTAGTACTTGACTTGGGGATAGGCGGTGCTGAAATTATCGAGATAGTGCGCAAAGGCCCTGGAAGGACCGCACCAGGGGACCTAGCAGTCCAGGACAACGAGATCCTGTGAGTGCAAGGAATGTCCTGATCTTCAGTCCAAACTAGGATGTAATTCTCACCTGGTAATTTGGGGTCACTGGCATTTTGGAGGAGTAGTCGTGAGACGATTTGGCAGCATCAAGTTGGTAGCAGTGATTTGGTGAAAGTGAGAGAATGCTTAGTGTTAAGTATGACTATGTCCACGGTTTGAGAGAGAAGGTTGCTGTGAGCGGAGACTCGGTCCCCTGCAAACGGTTCGCGTCGCATGATCATGTCGAATCGTAGATGGAGTGCATTGACAGAATGCTTGCTACCTGTGTAGTTAGCCCGAGCCCCGAGAATTACTGACCCTGTACTCTCATAGCCTGGAGCGCCTTATTAAAGCCAGGGAGCATCCAGTACGCAAAGTTAAATATGTAGCAGTCTTGTACTGAAAACGAAAATTCAAACTTCTTTCTATCTCAACCCTTTCGGGGGCTTTTCAAAATATGAGAAAATAACAAATTAACTGACAATGCCATTGAGATATCATGACAGAGATTGGCTAAGCAATAATCCAACGCCGTTCGGCTTACATGTAAGCTGGGCAGGCAGTGGTGGAAATCTTGCGAAGAACCGCATTCAACCATTCAAATTGCAATTTAAATCTCATCCTCATCTCAGACGCCGAGGGAACCTCAGCTAGCATATCATGGAGCTTGGATGACCCTGCAGACCGTTAGAGTGTGCCACAAAGAGAAATCGTTGGGGTGCCTACCTCTGAGCAGCTTCACGGAGCTTGGACCAGGCCTGTTTTTATTATCCTTCACGGATGCCTTGGTTCCATCACGGGAGCCGCCTTTGTTGTCCACGGGGCGAGCCGTCAAAAGACTCGACGCGGGAGCTTCTGGCCGTTCATCCTCGCTCTCTGCGAGGGGGCAATACCGTCAATCTGTGAAAGTTAGAATAAAACCACAAAATAAGATTGAATCCGCGACATACCGTCGTAGAACTCATCGTCATCGCTGTAATCGGCAAGCTGTTCAAAGTTGACCTTGTATCGGAGAATGGCACCGATACCACCGAAACCCTTGACGAACTGGTTTCCTTCACCAGATCGGTCAGACACGAACTCCAGGTTGGCACCGAAGTCCTTGTAGGCCTCAGCAAGCCACTCGAGGAAGGAGCCGGAATCGACAACCTCCATATCCAATCCGGTCTCCTTGTCCTGGAAGAGCTCACGGTTGTTGGCTTCCTGGGCCTTGGTAGTGTGGGCAATAACCTCAACACCCGCTGAGTTCTTCATCACCCAGCGGGTGACTTCCAAGTTCTCGTGCACAATCAGGATTTCAGCAGCACCAAGCTCGAGCGCCTTGAGGGTATCCTCGATACCATAGCAGACCCTGCCGGAGTCTTGGCTGATCTCCTGGAAGTACTGGCCAATGAGCTTCTTCTCCTGGACGAACTTGACGTTGCTCAGGGTCTCACCGGCCAACTCGATGGCCTGGTTGAAACCGTTCTCACCGCCATAGGAAACATCAACAACCTTGATGACCTTGGCCTGCAGACGACCGTCGAACAGGTCGGACTGGTTGAGGTCGTTCTTGAAATCGGCAGAACCAGCCAAAACCAGACCGGCGACGTTGACCTTATCGTTGGTGATGTAGTTCTGAACAGCCAATTCGGCAATCTTACGCACGTAGTTGTGGCGCTTTTCCTCACGCAGACGGGAGAAACGCAGAGCGGATTGACCACCACGTCCCTGTGGATGTGAGCACAAAAGTTCACATGTGCGGGAGCTGGAGAACTTACGTGCTTCTTGGGCAGATCAACGGAGAGACGTTGGATAATCTCACGAGTGTTACCACTGAGAGTACCAAACAGAGTACCGTTACCGTCCATGACGATGAAACCGAACTTCTGGTCGGCCTCGAGCAGTTCACTCAATGCCTCGGTGTGGAACTTGTTGTCACAAAGGTAAAGAGAGGTGTTGATGGGCTTGAAAGGCTCGAAATCGATGTTAATCTTGCGCTCCTTTCCTTCGGAGGTGATAATTTCACCACAGTACACGACAAGTCCATTGGGAGGAACCTTGTTGTAGAGCTTAAGACGCTGCTGGGTAGAGGTAATGGCCGACAGCACGGAGAGACGGTTCACACGCGATTTAATGTTGGAGGCGGTACCGTACTCTTCAGCCAACATCTTTGCGGCTCTGCTGATCTGATCCTTGGGGGCTGTGTATGTCGGTCAGCGTCTACTCAAGGGTAGCGGGGCCAACAACGTACGGATAATGAGCGAGATCATGGAAGTTCCATTTCCACGGGCAGCTTCAAGACGCTTGATCAGCTTCTTGACCTTCCAGATCTCGATGTTCTTCTCAGCTTCGTTCGGCGGAGGGGCGCTCATCTTGGGCGAGGCGACAGTAGATCAGGGGAGAATATTATCGGAAGCCCTGCGCCTGAAGACTCAGTCAGTGATGGGGCGGGATCGGGAAACCAAGATTCTTGCCTGTTCTGCAGAAAATTTGTTAGTCAAAATGTAAAGTAAAAAAAATGTAAAAATCGAGACGCAGGCAAGTTTTTCAAAAATAGACCCTTGAGCCTCAGGGAGCATTTCACATACCTTGACAATATGACGTTCAACAGTAAATTTCCTCGTGGGGTGGGAGGTACACAGTTTCTTCGAGGGGTCGGCTGGCGATGACTCAGCAGGGCTACCCGTGACGTACCTGATACTTGTTCCGGTGATGGCCCAATGCCGGGTGTTTAGGTACCGAGTACATGGGCTTCTTTCGGCGTTCTGGAAAACGGCATTGCACGTACGGAGTACAAGTTTGCATGTTCACAATGCGACCACCGTAGTCCTTCTGGCCACTTCTCAGGTTTGTCAGACGGACTCTAGGACACTGTAGATGATGGAATATAAAAAGCAGACTACTACAAGGTTGAAAATACCGACCGAGACCTATCTAGTCCGTATTCCGTACTCCGTAGTGTCTATCAATATGGATCCCGAGGTCTACCTAGACACTTACGTACTCCGTACATATATTTGATCTATAAATCCACTCGTATCAATTGTAACAGATTGACCGTGGACACATTCAAATTGACTGTCTTAGTCAGGATGACTCTCCGCTTATCATTGGATCCATACCCCACAGCGGAAACGCTCGACGCTAGCCTCTTTTGAACATCGCGGACTCTTTTTCTCTTATCTTGGACAGGCTATCTCCATGTGATATCTCGCGCTTTCCTATCGTTTTCCCTGATAAAACCTTGCATGGTTGCCCTTTCCTGACCTGTGCACACGACTCGACTTTGTCAACATGTCTGAAGATGAACCGGTCTACGGTTCACTTGACATCCCAGCTAGGTCCAACAACCACGATCATCTAGATGGTAGCTTTGCGGAGTCGGAGATGGGGGGTCGACACAGGTGAGTCGCTCAGCTGCATTGAACCCACCCACTCTAATAGGACCAGATCATCCTCGTTCTCAAACCGATTCCGCCAAGCCGGAGGTCCAAACAGCTTGGATAACTTTGCCCGCTCCTGGCAGCGGGCTGCCGCCTTCCCAGAGGTCATTCCACGACGGTCATCGTTTGTCTCCACTAACGAAGATGACGATATTGCCATAGCAACTGGTCAAGACCACAGCTCGCACTCCACATCTTGGGGTCGGTCCTGGGGTCGGAACTCTAACGCAGACCGACCTCTTTTGCGGGATTCGGACTCCGAACATGACGACGATGATTCCCGCGAGCCCACGAAACATGCGCTTCCCAGTACTGGGCTACTTGCTAATTCGTTTGATCGCAGTTTCGCGGCTTCGTATGGATCAATTTCCTCGCGAGTCAGTGACGCCGCTAGGAGAAATGCCATCCAATTCCATAGGGACCAACTCCCTAAGGCTCATGTTGATGGCTCCGATAACCCAGATAGGAGCCCGTTGTTGGTGAAGCATATTCAGCATGAAGATGGGACACAGGAGGATGTTATTGTGGGTCAATCCACTGTCCCGCAGACGATCTTCAATTCGGTGAATGTCTTGATTGGGATTGGGTTGCTGAGTTTGCCTTTGGCTCTTAAACATGCTGGTTGGGTCTTTGGCTTGTTTTTCCTTGTCTTCTCGGCCGTAACTACCTCCTACACGGCCAAGATTTTGGCCAAATGTTTGGATGTGGACCGGAGTCTCGTCACTTATGCAGATTTGGCATACATCAGCTTCGGGCAACAGGCTCGTTTGGTCATCAGCTTCTTGTTCTGTCTGGAACTCCTAGGTGCTTGTGTGGCTCTAGTAGTGCTGTTTGCTGACAGTCTTTATGCCCTGGTCCCCGGCCTGTCCATTCTACAATGGAAGATTGTCTGTGGACTCGTGCTACTTCCGCTAAACTTCTTGCCGCTTCGATTCCTGAGTATCACTAGTATCTTGGGCATTATATCGTGCACTTCAATCGTGATCCTCATTTGTATCGATGGTTTGATTAAACCAAATGCACCAGGATCGCTACGCCAGCCGGCGAACACTTTCATGTTCCCGGAGAACTGGGCGACTTTCCCTTTGAGCTTTGGTCTTATTATGTGTAAGCTGACATCCCGGCCTTGGAACTCCTTCAAAGAAACTAATCGAATATCCCAAAGCTCCATGGGGTGGACATGGTGTGTTCCCAAACATCTACAGAGACATGAGACACCCTCAGAAATACAGCAAGAGTCTCTGGGTGACCTATCTATTTACCGTAAGAACTCATCAGGGATCATGAAACAGATTCAATTCTAACGTGCTAGTTTACTCTGGACTGCTCAATGGCAATCATTGGCTGGCTGATGTTCGGTGATGTTGTGCGTGATGAAATCACCGCAAACATTCTCACAATCACCGACTATCCACAGTCTATATCCGTTGGAATTATAGTCTTTATCGCAATCATTCCTCTCGCAAAAGTGCCATTGAAGTGAGTCCAAGCCCTGGGTTTTCTGACACTGCTAACAAAGCTATAGCGCCCGTCCTCTTGTCGCTACATTCGAAGTGCTTTGTGGACTTGGAGGTGTCCATTTGCCAGCTGAAAACGGCTCTGAGAAGATGCAGAAAATAGGCCGCGTGTTGGTTCGTGTCTTCGTCGTAGTTGGGATTGTCGTTTTGGCGGTCATCTTCCCATCATTCGACCGTATCATGGCTTTCCTAGGATCTTTCTTGTGCTTCACGATCTGTATCATCTTCCCTCTTGCGTTTTATCTCAAGATCTTTGGGAAAGAGATCAGTCGCAGTGAGCGTATTCTGGATTGGACCCTGCTCATTCTCTCCAGTATATTGGCAGCGGTGGGGACTGTCTGGGCCTTCTTGCCCCAAGAAATGCTCACTGCAAACTAGTTGCCTGGCGAAACACGGGGAACAGTATAGGATTCCATAGACAAGATCACTTTTTGTTGATAATGACCGCAAAGTTGTTTCTCGTCTTGCCAGATCTCAACTCTTCCTTTTTGAAAGCCCTTGGTGAGTATTCACCGGTATGTTCCCAAAGATGGAACACCAACTTCGAGGTCCGTTTGCTTTGTGTAAGATGGAAACCTAGGGAGTTCATGATTTCTCCTAGTCTTGTTTCGTTTAGGTAACGCGAATTATCCACGCATGCGATGGGCAGTACCAGGAAGAGACGAGGCACAAATTCAAATGCGGATTTCGTAGTTAAGAACCGAACGCAGCGCTTGAGCATTTCTCCTCGCCCTGCGGCATCGGGAACGTAATTCAGCACCAATGACAAGCTGATCATGTTGAATTTTTCATCGTCGCTAGAAGGCAAAGGCCGCTCCATGAAATCCTGCTTGAGGATCCCGGGCTCCTGCGAGTTCAGATCGATGCGCGTAACATCCAGAGCGGCGTTCATAGAGCAAGCATTCTTTGTGCTCAAAGCTCCTACTTCAAGAACTCGGAGCTTCGGCATCCCCTTGTTGAATTGCTTCAACTCTGGCTGGATCCAATCGATGAGCACTTTGCTGGAATCGCCGCCTCGGTCCATGGACTGGCCCAGTTTACTGGCGATCTGGTAGCTTTCCAGACCGCCGTTGGCTTGGATTTGAGCTTCAATGCTGCTCACTCGGGCTTCATCGCCGGCTTTGAGAGCCTGAGCCTTGGTTTTAAGGAGCCTGTGATGAGAGCGAATCAAAGTACGGGTTGCTTTAGCTGAAAGCGCGGCATCTTTGGATTTGGCGATTGGAGGCCGACCAGTGGACAACAATCCAGGCCTCTTGGTTCGTTTTGAGGGAGCCATGTATGTGTGATGAAGACCAGATTGGAAAGCGTCGATATTTTTTCAATTTCAACTTAAGTCGAGCGGAAGAAGGGCAAAAATCAGAGTCGTTGATCAAAAAGCAAAAGATTGATAAATACGATGTTGATGCTGATTGGTCAAGAAAGTGACAGTATTGTATCAGCTTGTAACAAAACTTTCACACTTACTAAGCCCAGGAGGTCACCTGACCCACACAACGCTAGGGTTTTTGCTAAGCGAAAACCACTCCAAAGTTCGACTTGTTCGACACTGCGATACTCCATCATCGACAGCAACCGACGACAGCCATGGCCCCCTCCGACAACAAGACCGGTACGTGCGAATCACATTCAGCACCTCCGCTGCGATTGCAACACCGACTGTGACTTATTGTGTGGACATGGAGGACGATATTTGCGGAATCGAAAAATTCGAGATTTGGAGATCAGATCGCAATGAGCCAGGAACATCACACGACATGCAAGAAGTGGCCAGCGTCACTTTCTAACTTGTCTTCCGAGTTCATCCTTGCACATCGATCACTTCAAACCCGCAATATCACTTCCGTCCCTCGATTTTGTCACAACGGCGCAATCTGCAACTTTTTTCTCTCTCTCTTATATCACAACCCAAGACCAAGGCTAATTCAATCAACAGGCAAGAACAAGGCCAACGCCGCCGCCAAGGCGGTCGCCAAGGGCGCTTCGGTACGTAACACAAGATGAAGCAGACCAGAATTTTTGATTTCAAAAATTTTCGGAGCCTATCGCTAACGCGGTTGTGGCAACAGCTTCACAAGTCCCGCAAGGTCCGCACCTCCGCCACCTTCCACCGCCCCAAGACCCTCCAGCTGTCGCGGTCCCCCAAGTACCCCCGCGTCTCCGTTCCCCACGGACCCGCTCTGGACTTCAACAAGGTCGTTCTGTACCCCCTGAACACCGAGTCCGCCATGAAGAAGATCGAGGAGAACAACACCCTCGTCTTCATTGTCAACGTCAAGTCCAACAAGCGCCAGATCAAGATGGCTCTTAAGAAGCTCTACGACGTTGACACTGTCAAGGTCAACACCCTGGTCCGGTATGTATTTCACTTCAAATGCTGCGAGATGTCTTTTACTAACGGTTTTGTAGCCCCGACGGTACCAAGAAGGCCTTCGCCCGTCTCACTCCTGATGTCGATGCTCTTGACATTGCCGCTACCAAGCTGGCTATTGTCTAAATGGGGAATTTCTTTGGGTTTTGGCGAATTTGTTTATCACTACGGTGATGCTAAAATACCAGCCGGGCTGAATGATCAAAAATTTACTTGTGGATGTCACGATTCATGAATATAGTGGACTTGTCGGTCCTGTAATGACTAAGACTCGTCCGTTGTAGAATGTAGCATAGCTCTTGCTGTACTTCGTATTCCGTATTTGTCTTGTGAAGAGATCTTGAGATACAGCAGTGCTGCAACCAGACCCCATATTGATCTTAGCCTAAGGTCTGAGGCTTTTCCGGCACTGCCGTACGCTGCCAGGCGTCCTGAAGTCTCAGGGGATGTAAGTTAATTGACCCTGAAGAAAGAGCATTATCTTGTAGCAGTGTACAATGGTTCATCAATTGACTCTAGTATACATGATTTTTGTAAATCGTCCGAACCCGTAGGACATAACCCCCAACCAAATCTTAACAACCCATGCGCGAATTATGATATGTGGCGATGGATGTCCGACAAGCATTCAAGAGCTTAGTGGCGCATGTTGTCCAGCTTGGACAGGATGGCCAGGCTTGAGTCCATCCACCGCTCAACGCAGTTCTGTGCACATACCTCCTCGGACTTATCAAGGGCGCCGGAGGAGATCTTGCTGGTGATGCACTTTTGCCAGCACACTTCGTTCAGGTGGTGAACGGCTAGAGTCAGATTAGCAATTGATCATGATGCATAACCCGGAATTGAGAGTCAAAGCCATGAAGCTTAATGACTATGCGGTCCTCGGTAGAAACTCACTCTGCTGGATGTTGCTCTTCTGGGCCTCGTTGGTAAGGACCTGGTTGAGCTCCTTCTTGTCGGAGTCAGACAGCTTGGTGAGGTCGATGTTTTGTTCCATTATGATGATTGTGATGGGTGATGATAACAAGGACACTGCTGAGGTGTACTCCGTACGGAGCAAGGTCAAAATCAAAGGCGGTGACAATTGGCACAAAAATGACGCGCAGTTTTCCTATCGATAGGCTTCCCTCTTTCTTCATTCAACTTAACAGAACACCATACCGCTCACACTTACATTATGCCTCCAATCCGATCTGCGCGCAATCGCAAGCCGCCTCCAGCGGGCTTTGACGATCTTGAAGATACCCTGCTTGAATTCAGCAATAAGATGAAAGATGCCGAGAACGCCTCCCACGAAGGAAAGAAGAAATACGAAGTCCTCTGGCCTATATTTCAAATCAGCCACCAGCGTTCGTTCCCTGTGTATCGAACCGCAGTGCAAAACTGACTTATTCCAGGTTCCCGATACATTTACGACCTCTACTACGAAAAAGAAGCTATCTCGAAGCAGTTGTACGACTGGCTGCTGAAGAACGGCTACGCCGATGCCAATCTAATTGCGAAGTGGAAGAAGCAAGGCTATGAGAAGGTGCGATCCTCCACATATTATACAGAGATCAGAAGCTAACTGGTTCCAGCTTTGTTGTCTGCGCTGTGTTCAAACGAAAGAGACGAACTTCAACTCCACCTGTATTTGCCGAGTGCCCAAGGCGCAGCTGAAGGAGGATCAGACAATTCAGTGTGTCAGCTGCGGCTGTCGGGGATGTGGAAGTAGTGATTAATGACTTGCAATAAAACCCGACTGTTACGATGCGGGCTTATCGGGCAGATTCAGGCATGGCGTTACGGTACTTTCAACTCATTCAATCCATCAGATACCCTACTTGAGAATATGTCCATAACAGCTGGTATAAACAAAGTATTCAAGTATTCAATTGCTAAACTACATTAATGCGCCGCCAATGAGCCTAATTTCCTGATCCCAAATCCCAAATCATAAAACCATCGCTTGCATGTACACATCGTCATTAAGGTCGTAGGGCCATCCTGGGCTCAGAAATGACAGAACCGGCTCCCAGCCCAAAAGAACTCCACACAAAACCGCCCAGACCGATTGAACTCCATGAACGCAAGACATAAAAGCAGAATAATAGTGTGTAAAGTGCGCGTAAATCCATGGGTTGGGCCTCCCAGAGTGCCCACCCGAAACAAAATCGTGACAAATTTTAAAACAGGGTTGTGCTGCTGCGGCCCATTTGGGGTCGCGGGTGAAGCGTCTTGGGCTTCAGCGAGTCATCTTTACTCGCGCCTCCAATCTTCTGGAAGCCTTGTAAGAGGTCGATGCCATCAACCTCATTCGAGCTATCGTTGCTCTCATCGAAGAGGTGGAAGGAGAAGAAATCTTCCTGGCTGGCGTCGCCGAAACGGTGAGAGTCCGGGACTTTGGACGGGGACTCGGGGAACAAGGACTTTGATCTAGACATTGGAGGTAAGCCCAGTCGGCTGTTGATGTTCACAGAAGTGATGTCGGTAAGCGCGGTGTTGCTGCTATCCGTGCGTGGGCGTTTTGCTGAACGCTTCTCTGGTGACCCATAGGAGACATGTGATGATCCTGGGTCCGCAAAGACATCGAAGGTGGTGTTGAAGTGATCATGAGGGGTGTATGATTCATCTTGTAAGTTGAAGGCAGGACTCCAGGGCAGAGCGTCTTCCGCAAGACCCAAGTGCTTGATGGGTGAGTTGACCATTTGCTGAATCTTTCGTCGGTGGTTGCGAAGGTTCGTGTTTGGGGAGACTGATGGAGGTGGCTTTGCGGGCTTCTTAAATTTGATGATTGGCGTCAACGGGGGAGGCTGCATGCTGATATACTGGCTGCGGAAGGGAGACGAGCCAACAGCCGGGTTGGGATTCTTGCGCGCTGCAGGCTGGCCAGGGCTGGTGTCGTGTGATGAGCTGCGCATACGCGCAATCTCTTCCTCTGCTCGACCACGCTTGATGCGGGGCGGCTCAATGTCAAGATCAGATGTCAGTATATGACCCGCCTTGTTTGGCCGTAAAGCAGATGACTCTAGCGATGAGAAGTAGCCACTGTCATTGAGGGTGATTGACTTGCGCTTGCGCGGTCGAGGTGCCGGCGTTGGACCAGTCTGAGTAGGTGTTGGTGGAGTACCCTGTCGGGCAAAGCGAGGAGGAGCGATTGGCGGTGATGATCGAATGTTTGGAGGTGGCGAGGAGCGAGGCACTGCGCGTGCAGCGGGTACCGTATTCACATCTTCGGCGTCATCTTGAAGCGCAGGGTCGGAGGCAGGCAAGGTGGCATCGGAAGACATATCGTTCGGGGGTGGCCTTGGAGCGGTCACGTGATGGACATGCGCGCGAGGAGCGGGCGCAGGCGGCACCATCCAGGTGGTCGTGTTGGCGCTTTGCGATGGAGCCAGGTCCCTCTGCGGAGCAGCTGGAAGTGGGAGGCTTGACATGGTCGCGCGGCGCACTTGCTTATCCTTGAGGAACTGACCCTCCATTCCGGGTTCGATGGCCCAGTAGTTCCCCTTGCCAGGATCATCCTTGGGGCGCTCCTGCTTGATGAACGCTTTGTTGAGACTGAGGTTGTGGCGAATACTATTCTGCCATCCTGCATCGCTGTTCTTGTAGTAGGAGAAGGTGTCAGATATCCACTTGTAGATTTGCGCAAGAGTCAATCGCCGATTATTGGCGCGCAGAATCGACATGCCGATCAAAGTGGCGTAGCTGTAGGGAGGCTTGGAGCCATCATCTTCGACCTGGGGCATCTCATGCGGTTCTGGGAGGTACGCGGCCGGCGCATCGTCGCGTCTTTGTTTTTTGTTTGGGCGCTCCCTGAGTGGCGCCGCTTCCATGAGTGTGCGCTTCATCGGAAGTTTGGTATCATATGACGGCTCTGGGAAGTCGGCGAAACTGTCATTGGAGGGTTCTTCGGTGTAATTTTCTTTTTCGTTGACGCTGGGGAAGGTGGTGAAAAGAGCAGAGTGTGGCATGGGTTGAGAGTAGATGGGGAAGGGCGCTTTCTTGGCCGGGGAGTCGGTGGTGAACATGGGAGGCACTGGGGCAGAGATTGGAACGAAACCGAGTTTTCCACCCGGATGTGAGCCCTTGTGCAGGCCTTTTGTCGGCGATGGCCTGTGCGGGCCGGGAGGGAAAGACAAGTTCTCAATGGGTTGGAGTGGTAGCGGTGAGGGTTGCAGACGGGGCTGCGATCTGATGATCTCCTGCGATGGGGCTAACACTGAAGAAAAGTGTGCGCCCGTTGAACGCGTCGATCCCATAATCTGATCCAGGCGCAATGTTGAATCACCAAATTGACATACGCGTCGACGGAAGGCGCGACTGACAACAAGGCCTCACAGCCCAGGTTGACACGAGCCGTGTCTAGATGTGACGAGACTGCAGAGACTTCGCGATGGACCAATGGTAGATCAGAAGCAAAGACCAAGTCACTCAGGCCGTCATGCACCAGGTTGGGCCACAAGGCGCTAAGGCGTCACGGTTGAACGCGAATCAGGCTGCACAGATAACGGATTGGCAAGATGTGGTGGATCAGCACCAATTTTGGATAGAACTGGCGATGATCGAGGCGAATTCAAGTAGACAGAGTCGTGACACGGTACTTCAGTCGAGAAGGACAGAATTGAACGGTCAAGCAAGTGGGAATAGAGGAGTGGAAGAGAGGAAGAGAATACAAGAGAGTACAAAGGCTGAAGATCCGCAAGATCTTGTAGATCCTCGGTTCCAAGTTTTTCTCGGGATAGAGACTCTTCACAGGGTTGCGGCACGTAGGACTTAGATGAAAAGGAGGGACCCTTGGAGCACTAAATGGTATTATATGAGAATCTAGAATAGAGACTTCTTCCAACTGAGAGGGAGAGAAAAGACGAAAGGCGGGGGGAGGAGAGGATGATTGTCTGATAGTACATCTTGATACCGGTCAGGTATGGTCATATTGTTCACGCGTCACGCGTCTTAGTATGTGGATGCGGACTCCGCCCGGTGGTAATTTTGGTAAAATACGGTCACCCCAGATCATATCGAGTGAAGGGGGTCCCCCTCCCTTGCTCATTTTTCTTAGTGTCGATCTGATCCACTGCGAAGTATGAGCTTCTTTTCTTTATTGCTTCTATTATTAACGGACTACGGCTTCTATTGAATATGATGTGGAAGAGTCAACCTAGCATGAAATATCGTATGATCTTCTATGCAGGAAATTCTAGGAATAGGACGCAGCAAGAAATCTTACGAGAGTCTCCTGTGCTCCTCAGTACAGATCTTCTCACAACCAACCATCTCGGTATGTTGATGTAACTCTGAAACGTCGCCCCTTGAGTATGTCCTCCACTGGTCAATCCCTCCTCCCCCGAAGGCTAACGCATGTGCTGTGCAGCTCTGCAGCTCTGCAGCAACCTAATCCTTATTTGAAACTGTCCTTACCCCCCTCATTAATGATCCAGGGAGATCCCTAGTCTCCCTCCAAACTGCCCTTGCTTGTTCATCAAAGACATAGTGTAACAGATTTGACATTCAGGACTCAAACAGACGCTTCATGACATCTATACTAGAAAGGAGAAAACGCCAAGTTCCATGCATCACATAAAAAGAGGTCGAAAGAAAAAAGCCGAACCCATGCTTCAAGCCCCCTTTTCTAAGAGCTCCGACATAACTTTTTTGTTCTATCACAAAAAAAACCCAAGGGATATCTTAAAACAATTGCTGAAACGTGGGACCTTTAGTCCAAGAAGGTGAACATGCTCGTATGGATCATGTTCAAGGCTCGGTCGGCGTCGCGTTCTTCGATGACGCAGGAGATATTGATCTCACTGGCTCCTGTGAGGGGTGAATCGAGTGTTAGTTCCAATCAAGGGTAAGGGAAGGGGGAGGGGACCAATTATTCACTAACCTTGCGAGATCATCTCGATATTGACACTGTTCTCTCCAAGTGTAGTGAACATACGACCGGCGACCCCGGTCATGTTCTTCATCTGCTTGCCGACCAGACTGAGAATGGCCATCTCTGGAATGATATCTACCGTGCCGTACCGCCCCAGGTCGTTCAAAGCCCCCTTCAGATCGTCATCGATGACCTGGTACTCATCCCTTCCGTTGCCGTTCAGGAGGGGCGCCTCGGAGTGAAGGGCCAAGGACACGTGGACCTCACTGGTCGAAATCAGATCAATTGACAAGCGCCACTTATCCAGAACGGAGAAGATGCCCGCAAAGAAACCGTGAGAGAGCGATCGCTTGTTAGAATGCACGTTAATCACCAGAATATTATGCTTGATGGTTACTGCGGTCGGCCGCTTCGGTGTATTCATCAAACTGGGGCTCCGAGTGCGGAACAAACGGGGGTCATGGCCAGGGGTGGTTCTCTCCAGTTCGGCCACGGAGTCTGGGAAGATAATTGTACCCCGGTTCCGAGGGTTCATGACATTCTTGATGCGGATGGGGATCTTCGCGCGGATGACTTGCTCCATAGTGAAGGGATGGATAACCTCCGATCCATAGAAGGTCAATTCGGCGGCTTCGGCGGGGGTGATGGTAGGGAGAAGGCGAGCGGTAGGTACTTTTCGAGGGTCTGCAGTGAAGATACCATCTACCTCCTTCCACACCTGCAACTCCTTCGCGTGGATTCCAACGGCAACCAGGGCGGCGCAGAGATCGGTGTATCCACGGCCAATCTGGTCCAGCAGACCACCGGGGATAGTACCAAAGTATCCGGTCATGACGGGCACTCGGTGTCCGCAGGCCTCGACCTTTGCACCAAAGGCCGCTGCCAGGCTGTTATAGAAGTCTTGATCCAGACCCTTGCTTCCAATGGGGAAATCAATGATCTCGGACAGATCCACATATTGTGAATCCACTCCACGATCTTGCAGGAGAGCGGCCATGACTCGACAGCTGAGTTTCTCGCCGGCACTCATCACCTTGTCCACGCAGCGGGCACTGATCTCGCCCAGGGTCTGGGCGGCCTCGAGCACCTTCAATACCCGCTCACACTCTTCAGTGACGTCGGCTATCACTTGGTCTCTTAATTCGACCGACTTCACTTGGTCCTGGAGGACTTGGACATGCTCCAAGCGAACTGCCTCTACCAATGACTCATATTGCCGTGACTGGGAGTTTTCAGCGTCGCGCGCTGCCCGTAGCAGACTATAAAAGGAAGGCAAACATTAGTATCAAGGATCTCAAGGGGGTTTTCCCACTATATCATCCAAGTGACTCACCGGTTGGTGGTGCCTTCAGCTTTGGTAGAACTGCTTCTTGCTGAGCATACCACAGCGACTCTACTGTCCTCCAGACTGGGCCTGTAAAAGAAAGGTTAGTTATGCCAATTCCAACTTTGGTGAAAACACGATGCGTCATACTGAATGACCTGCTCGATAATGTTCAGCGCAAACTTGCCGACACTGGTGCCGCCAAATTTTTGTACAACCCAATTGCTGCGGGCCTCCGAGGCCACAGGTAGATCTGAATTAAGGAGTGTGGTGGCCATGGTGCTCCCAAGCAAATGTATAATGCAGTCAGGAAAGAAGAGTCATCAGTGAAATGGACTTGGAGGGGGAGACCGGCGAAAGCGGAGCCCTTGGGGCCACTTCCGGCCGCATAGTGTATATTTTTTTTTGTGGCCCACTTCCACCGCCTCCCGATTCGTCCAGGTACCTTACGATATCGGCCCCAATCACGCAATCTGCTTACGCTGAGAGCCAAACAGTGCAAACTCTTTCTTCATCAAGTATATGGGGGACAATACTCGTATGGAGGACTAACTTGCTTTCGCATCTTGGGAGGCTTTTTCAGAGTCTTCGCTCTATTGGTGTTTTGGGGCTATCTCATCAGCCCTTCAATGTGTAACTTACAAGGTTGCAAGATTAAAATCCCACGTGCCTTCTACCAGCTCCCTTGCTTTTGGGGTCAATAGCGTAACGGCTTCACACTACATAGTTGACTACTTCGAACAGAGTATGTAGATTCGGCTTAGCTTATGTGGAGTATGGGGAAACCCTTAAAACACCGTTATTCAGCAACTGACAAATGTGCACGAAGTATGTATAGTATGTATACCAGGTACGGAGTGCGCAGTAACTACTATATACGGAGAACCACACCAAGGAAGAGTCGAATCATCCCATACATACTGCGAGGAAGGCTAGTATTTTAATTTTATTTTACTTCAGAGACTCCCCAGCTTCAGATATTTCGAAAAACATCACTCTGTCTTTGGTTATGCGATTTGACCGTAACATCCGAGTTGTTGAACTGCGAGACGTTTGGCGATCGGTGGATCGGGAGCCGGGAGGCCTCGTTTAGGCATCAGATTAAGCATCTCTAACCCCACTGATATTTGCTCTCTGTGCTCTCCAGGGCTCTGGCTTCTTTCGTCGTGTCTTGATACTTGTGCATTGTATTGGGCTTCTCCATTCGGCCTCGTTCACTTATTTCACGCCTTGTAAATGTTCAGTCTTTTTTTTATTGTCCGCCAATCTCGTCGATCTTTCAATACAGACCGGAGCCCAGAATGACCGACCTCAACATATCATGCCCCTTTTGTCCATTTGTTGACTCTGATGCCGACTTTGTGTCACAGCATATCGAGTTCTGCCACCCGGAAGGTGGAGGCCCGCCCCTGCCAGAGCTGGAGACTGCACCTCAAACTTGGCCAACTGGCGACACAGACAAATATGTCGAGTGCCCACATGGATGCGGTGAGCTGGTGACAGTCACCGAATTAGCCAATCATCTCGACTTGCATGTCGCGGAAGATGTAGCGCTAGACGATGTCAGCGGGACTCCAGCACACTCCCCTGCGTTCTCTGAGGAAGAATTTGACGACCTCGATATGTTGGACTCTCACAAAGGTGGTAAGCGTGGGATGCAGAGAGACTCTGCCCGCGCCAATACCTCCAGGCCACCACGGCCACGCAGTCCACCGAGTACAACGAACGCCGATGGTGTAAAGAGATTAGGGGTATGTATGCCCTATGATACGTGTAAAGGGTTTCTTATCACTAATGATATTCAGCGCTCTGAACTGGGACCTCATGCCCACGAGAAGAAAATGCCATCCTGGCTCAAAAAGATGCTGGAGAAAGGCGGCAGCACCTCGAAGCAAACTCAAATCACGTCTGATGGCAAATTAGCCCGAAAAGAGATCGTCGAGAACGAAACAGATCATCTGATTCCTGTTTTAGCTCGACTCTGTGAGCAGGACAAGTCTGTCAAACGGGCCTTCCTGTGTAGCCCCAAAGTTCGCCATATTTGCAAGATGCGCAGGGAAGGCGGCTTTTGCGGATATCGCAATATACAGATGTTGGTTTCGTGGTTGAAAAAGACCCATAGCTTTGGTCATGAACACTTCCCTGATAAAGGGCCAACTATCCTTCAGCTACAGGATATGATTGAGTCTGCTTGGGATATGGGGTTCAATAGTTCCGGTAGGGCTGAGACGGGTGGGATCAAAGACACGCGCAAATTCATCGGGACGCCCGAGGTAAGTCTGTCGGTGATGAAATTGAGATGGCTAGCTAATATCATCCAGGCACAAGCTCTCTTCATGAGTCTAGGGATTCCGTGAGTCATAGATCCTGTTTCGATTTGAATGTTGCTGATTCGTGTCCCAGATGTGGAGGTAGAAGTCTCGTTGAAAAGAATGATCGACGAGCTTGTGATGCTCTTTGTATGCATGTTGCCAACTACTTCCGATCAGCCTCGCCGGAAGATGAGACCAGGATCGTTCAAACTGACTTTCCTCCGATTTACTTCCAACATGATGGTATTTCTCTGGTTCATTTTCTGTTCAATTCTACTCGCTCACACAGATACAGGTCACTCAATGACAATCATCGGATTTGAAATCCGAGATAATGGCAGTGCAAACTTGCTAGTGTTCGATCCCATGTTCAAAACCTCTCCTGCAATGGAACGTCTTGTCGGGTCTCATACTAAACCGTCTGATCCCACTCGCCTCTTAAAAGCATATCGCAGAGGAACACCCTATCTGCAAAAGTACAAAATCTTTGAGCTACTCGAGTAAGTCCAGCTCTCTCTCCCACACTTTCAATGCTAACGGATATAGACTATCTGTCACGCAGAAGAACACCGCATAGCATCAAGCCTGATACCTGAGCGTATCACCGTTCAACCTGAGATCACAAAAATTAAAAAATGTACCTAGATAGATATATCCACTGCATGGATGTGGTTTTATACATCCCAAAGCGGTAATTTACCCCTCCGCGATAAGATAAGCGGGGCAAAAATTAGTCCGAAATTATTTCATCTGGGGGAATCTCCAACTTGCTCTGTACACCATACAATTCGACTACATTTTGAAAATGCGCACCTCTCCAAACGTGATCATCACCGGTACTCCCGGTGTTGGCAAGACTGTTCACTGCGAACAGCTCGCCCAGGAAATCGGCCTGAAGCATCTATCCATCAATCAAGTCGCAAAAGACCGCGGTTGTTTTGACGAGTATGACGAGGAATTGAAGACTTGGGTCGTTGATGAAGATAAGGTACATCATTTCCTCAAGCACGCTTTGTGCAATTGGAAGTTCCCACTATCACAGAAACCCATTAACTTTCGCCTAGCTTCTCGACGCCCTCGAAGATGAAATCCCCAACGGCGGCTACCTAATCGACTGGCACGCCTGCGATCTCTTCCCCAAATCCTGGATTGATCTTGTTGTCGTCCTCCGATGCCCCACTACAGACGTTCTATACGACCGACTTTCCTCGCGGTATGTGGCACGGCCCCTCCTCCACGGTTTCAAGAAACTAATATCTACACAGAGGCTACCACGAGAAGAAATTAGAAGAAAATGTCGATGCCGAGATCTTCGGCGTGCTACTCGACGAGGCGCGGGAAGCCTTCGACGAAGAAATTGTGGTGGAATTGAACAGCGAGCAAGACTCGGATGTCGACTCCAACTGTCAGCGGATCTCACAGTGGGTCGATTCATGGAAAGAGAGACAGTCAGAGAATGCGGATTGAGCTTGATTACTTTGTTCGTTCTTCTCTGGCGGCTTTTTATACCCCTCTACTGGCCTTCCGCGAGCCACTGCTGCAGCTTCACCAGCGCCTTGTACCGGTGCGAGATCTTGTTCTGCACGCCTTTAGTATATGGCTTGTTTCGTACAAACGGGTTTCCTCTTACCTTGGCTTCTTTATCCATCTCTGCATAGGTCTGCTTGCCATCATACTCAAAGATAGGGTCCCAGCCTGTGATGTTAGATATAGATACCCAATGTCGGGTTGAAGCATTTAACTTACCGAAGTTAGTTGGGCCTCGGGGCCGCACGATACTTCCCTATATATTGGTTAGATTTGTGTATACTGGACAAAATTGCAACTTACCTCGGTCCTTCCTTGGAAAATGATGGGCTCTTCGCCAGGGCCACGGCAGAAGGCGAATGTGCACACTGCTTCGGCGGTTCTATCTTCGAATCCGTCGAGCATCTTGTTCAACCCTTCGTGGCCGAGAGCTTCCATGAATGATTTACTAGGATAGTTTAGTTTCTTAGCATCGTTTGATTGAGCATGAACCTTGAACTCACATGTATGGCCCAGGAAGTCCTTTAAGCGCATGGAATTCAAGGGCGGTATCTTCAGTCAAGGCCGGGCCATTGATCTGTAGCTCGTTAGATCTAGTTCAAGCCGTTTGGATGAGCACACTGACTGCTTCGGCGGCGCGTCTCGCCTTCTCTTTGGCAATTTCTTCGATTGTTCCCTGGATTTCGGGAACCTCGACTGCCTGGTTGTCTACCTCGATGACATTGCCGAGAATAGCCCGGACCTCAAGAAGCTTGTTCTTGTTTCCGGTGATAAAGTTGAGCTTTGTAAGTGCCATTTTGTGTGCAGTGTGTGTGAGAAGTTCTAAAGTTCGATTTTCCATTCGGGCACCTGGGCAGATGCGGGACGCATACCCCACCGCCGACAATGGGGCCCACGCGTTCTATAGATCTTTCTAAAGTTCCTGTAACAATTCCCTGTTGGCTTCAGATTTACCACCTGGGCGTAATAGCTGGAAGTAGCAGAACTCAGACATACTTTTAAGTAGGTCGTATCCAGACTATGTGCTGGCCCTGAAGCCTCATTTGGGCGGGCTCTCGAGGTTGGTTTGTTCAACTTTAGAAATGCTTGAGTAGGCCATATTGGCGATATATATTGTCGTCCACCGGTACCTACCTATCTACCTAACAAATACTTTTAAAATTACCTCCAAGGCTAATTAAGTAGATAGTACTGGTGGCATCTACTCATGGATCATCATTCCTGAAGTCAAGATTAAACTACTGGAATCATAAATTCATAGCAAACGCGATCTGTTCTGGTCTATAAGCCCAAGACATATGCAATTGAAACAAATGAAAGTCATGCGCATCACTGTATCTCAAAAGGCCAATGGCAGGTCGTAATCCGTAACAGGAAATCCTGAAGTCCCCCTCTAATATACAACACATCTATTCCTCAATCTCCCCATTGTCCAATTCGAGCTTCTCTTGCTGTGCCACCGCTTGCGCGGAGACAATTTCGGCCAGACGTTTCAACCGTGGGGTTTGGAGCCAGGACGGGGTGTAAGTCTCCAAAGCTGTGATAACACGGGGCTCTGCGATCTCATATGGTCCGCTGTCTTCCATGTCTACCGGGGCCAACAAGAGGACGTCGCTCTTCTCCGTGACGCGAGAGGCGACGGCCTTCATGATCTCGCCGTTGATAGGTTGCTCGTAGTCTGCGACCAGGTACTGGTTCAGGAGCTTCTGAATCTGGTTGGGGGATAGCCTGGGAACAGTCAGCGAGATGAAGAGGGATATATTTGCGAGTGTTACTTACATCCAACAAATATCTTGGATGATCTCAATGTCATTCAAGGTTGCCTTCTTCAACTGCAGAAGCTTGGTGGCTTGCTGTATGGAAATTAGCATGTGTCAAAAAGACAAGGATAGCCGAGCAATTCACTTACCATCAGATGTTCCAGTTTCAAAGTGCCCTCTGGCATATCGTGACTCTTGCACCATTCCTCAATACGGGTGATGTTGTAGTTGATTTGCAGACCGCGTTTCCAGGAAAGGAAGTTGCGGCGCATGAGGAGATCGTTGAAAGCCGTGACACCGACAAGGCGCAGAAGCTCCGTGATGGTCTGGTGAACAATTGCATGCTCAAGGTAGAAAGCCTTCATGGCCTTGTAAACACCATTCAGAAGACTGAGGAGATTGTCCATGCTGTAAGCGGGGTTGTTGTTGGAGGGCAGAAGTTTGCCGAGGAAACGGTTCGTCTCACTGGTGACGAAGCCCGGTAGAGATTGAGATTCGATGATAGCTGGCACAATCATCTTGTAGAGCTTCTTCTTCAAAACCTTCATCCAGGTATGGTAGATATTGAACTCCAAACTCTCAAGGTCGTGCTTAACAATCTCCAACAAACGGTCATATTCGTAGTTTTCGGTCTTTTGTGCCTCGTACCAATCCTCGGCCAGGAAGACAAAGGAAAGCATCTCATGCACGTTGGACAACCAGAAAGCACCGGGGTTGATTGCGTCATCCCCTTCATGTTGCATGACTTCTTGCTGGATGGATTGCATGACATTGGCCAAGAATCGCTCAGACTCCTTGACAAATCCATTGTTCCACATTTCCGACGTAACAAGGTTGATCAGGTATGCTGGGAACAAAACCTCCTTCTCTGTTGGTGGAGGGGTAGAACTGGGAAGAGGAATCTTCAGGTTTCTGATAAGACCCATAGCAACCTCCTCGTTCAAGTCTTCTTCTTCGGAAAGCAAGTTCTCAAGTTCAACCTCTACTGACTCAAGGCCAGGAGAGATTGCCGAATGCTGACGGGCGGCCATGGTGGCAGTGGTGACTGCCATAGACACAGGACGAGGGTTGAAAGCACCGCTGAAGCGATCGGTCTCAATCTTCTCAGCGCCAGCGCTGCGTCTCTTTGGCTTAGGCTTCTTCGAAGAAACCAGATTGATCAAACCAGGCGCAGGTGCCTGGACAGCACCGCCGTTAGGCATGTCGCCGTTAGCGCCGTTGACTGGCACAGATCTCTTGGCGACCTCCAGCTGTTCCTCGAGCTCGGAGATACGCTGTCGAAGACCAGTCTTGTCCTTCTCGTGATCAGCATCCAAAAGCTTAAGGCGCTCCAACTCTTCGTTAGCAGCGTGAAGAGCGTCACGGGAGATCCGCTCCTCTTCTTGGAGGCGCTTGATGGTAGCTTGGGCCTCGGCATGGTTTTGCTGAAGCTTGGCCATCTCTTCTTCAATCACTTCCAACCGAGCTGCAGTAATACCAGCCTGGTTTGCCTCAGCCTGGAGTTCCTTAGTGCGGGCATCCAAAGCATTGTGTCGGCTTCGCCAGGACTTCAACTGGGCGTCGTAGTTATCCAACTGTGAAACCAATGTCTTGTTCTCAAGCTTGAGAGATTGCAAGTACTGAGTCAACTCAACGACCTTGTTCTCCAGCTTGTAAGAGATTTGCTTAAGATCGCGCGCATCCTCACGAAGTCTCTTGTAAGCGTTTCTTGCCTCTCTACCTCTCCACAGGTTTTGAATAGTGATAACCTTGCGGCGGTACTCTCTCCAAGACCGGATTTGACGCCATGAGCGGAAGGCACGCTGGATGACCTTGGCTGCGTTTCCGTTGATCGAATCCATGATGTTGCGACGGCACAAGAAGCCCTTCGCAATAGACTCAAACATGATGAAGTTCTTACGAACCTGAGTGTACCGCTTCTTCTCCTTCTGACCACGCCAGACCCGCTGGATGGTAGTAGCAGCCTTGGCCCGGCGGATCTCCTGAGCCTGCTGGCGTGCCAGGAATCCTCGGATGAAGGCCTGTGTAGTGAGAATGGATTCACGAGCATCGAGATAGCGGCGTCGGTAATACTTGGCACGCAAGTTCTTTTGGATCATGATGGCACACTCGTTCAACCTGGATGTTCGGAGGTTCTCAAGGAAGGCAAGCATACCAGCCCGGAAGAAGATTTTTGTTAGACCGAGCTGGTACTTGTCCTGCTTCTCGTCTCCCAGGGCCTTGCGCAAGATAGCGTGACACATTTGCCGAATCTCGGAGGTCCACTGCGAGGAGTGGCACAGCATGTAGTAGCGGAAAGCAAATTCCTCGTACGTCCATCGAGTTGGATAACCAGCAGTACTGATGCGAACGGTTTCCAAAACACCACAAGCTCTCAACTGACTGAGGACCATGGGCCCCTCGAACTTCCAGGCTTCCTTTGCCTCATTAGGCTTGATACAACGGATGTAATGAACTTCCGTGTTGTTGATTGTGTTCATCAGCTCAATCAGCGAGGATTTGAAGATGCCTCCGAGAGTGGGTTTGCGGTTCACTGCGACACCAATGCGGCGTCCAGGAGCCGCTGCAACTGGTTTGGATGACATAGAAGCAGAGTCCTTTTCTCTAACAGCAGCGGCTGTGTCCAGAATCTCCTTGATGAAGGGGTTTGAAGAGTTGCGCAACACTTCCAAATGCTCGTCAGGCACAGTGTCACGGTTCTTCTCAATGAACCCATCAGATTCATAGGTGACATCGACGGCATAATGACAGACGGTGAACGCTGACTTCCCGAAGCGAGGCATCTTGTAGAACTTCTGCTTGCCGGCAGCGAAGTGCTGGTGCAGCTTAGTGACAAACTGCTCATCGGAACCCATGGGAAGCCGAGACTCTTCATCCAAAAGAGCCAGAACACCGAGCTTCGACTCAATCAGATCAATACAAGGCTGATTGTCCGAGAAATCAATGAAAGTCCAGTCGATTTCTTCCCGTACATATTCTTCCTGTTCAAGCTTGAACACGTGCTGGTTGAATTCTTGCTGGAGCTTCTCGTTGGCATAGTTGATACAGAACTGCTCGAAGGAGTTCTTAGCAAAGTGCTCGAAACCGTAAATATCCAAAACACCAATGAAGCATTTGAACTGTTCAAGAACCTCATCTGTGGCCAAGCGGCGGTTGATTTTATCGACCAACCAATCAAACAGACTGGAGTAGATGAACTTGGCGACGGAGTCTCGTACGACCAGAGCTTGTTGTTGTGTCAGATTGGAGGTAATCTTCTCACCACGGGTGATCAGTTGCTTTTTCACAATCCACTTGGCAAACTCAGTAGTATCGATTCCAAGCATCTCGCAGGCGCGGACAAGAGCTGGCTCGGTTGCCGAGACTGAAGATTCCGTGCGAGTTGCCGTGATTTTGACGTTACCCAAGTGCAGCAAGGCTGCCAAAACACGGAAGATGTCAGTTTGATCTTCCTTGGGCACGCCAATGACAGTCAGTGACTTTCTAGTCGCCTCGAGTTCAGCCTTGTCATCAACACCGTCAATCACAGGCGTGCCGCCTTGGTTGAGATATTCGAAGTCTTCGACGGGCAAGAGACCCAGCTCCTGTTTCTCCGCGTCCGAGGCACCGGCCACGAGTTGGTAGAAGATGTGATAATTCCGCTCCTTCAAAGGCTGGAACACCAGTCTCGACCGCTCAAGGAGATATGTTCGAATCTTCGCACCAATGATGTTCGTACGGTCATCAAACATGATCTCAATGTATTTTCCGAAACGAGAAGAGTTGTCGTTGCGTGTCGTTTTTGCGTTACCGAACGCTTCCATGACCGGGTTGGTCGCCAGGATCGCCTCCTCGGTTTCACTGATTGCTTCTGCTCGGCTTGTGGTGTACTTTCCAGGCTGGTCGGATGACTCGCGAGTCGCAAAATAACGCATGATATATTTGGCGCTCACGGTCTTACCGGCACCGGATTCTCCAGAGACCACGATCGTTTGGTTCTTTCCATCGCGTAGCATATCACTGTCGCAAATATGGTTAGAGATGAACATCAGAGAGAGCGAGGACGGCCATATTCTTACGCGAAAGCTTCCTCCGCAATTGCGAACAGGTGAGGGGCTTGTGAAGCACGGTGTTTCCCAGCATATACCTGCACCATCTGAGGCACGTAGAGCGAATCGACTCGAGCGAAGGGGTTGGTTGCGATCAGGACGATACCACTGTAGGTATATATCTCCTTCTGGGCATATCGGAGCTTAATAGCCTGGAGGACTTGAGGGGACGTTAGCTGAGGAAGCAGTAGGCTGAAAAACCAAGAGACTCACCAGCAGGTTCGTTCAAATGCGACAGGTTTGTTAAGTCTTCACTTGCTTCCAGCATCGCCGGGTTCATAAGCGGTGGTAATTTGGGATTGTTGTCGACCTGCAGCTCGGACTGCGTGGTCTCAACGGTTTTCGTCTGCCCGATCAAAAACAGCGTGAGCGATTCATCTCCTCCAGGCGATATACCAGGGAACTGCCATATGGCTCGTTCAAGGTACCTACCTCGCCATTTTCCAGCTCAAACACTAATTGAACCTTCTCCCCATCCACCAGCTTCTCCTTCACTTCAGACGCCAGCCACCCTTCTGTCGGGTCGGGCTGCCAGGCCCGTGTGCCGACCTCATAGATGTGCGCCATCAGAGTTGTTCGTTAATCGTGTTGTATGCAAAGAAAGCAAAAAAGTGAGCTAAAGATTCGGGAAGGTCGCGAGAGTTGTTTCGTGAGGTCCAAAGACAAGGGGGACTGTCAACCCCTCATCTCACAATACGAAAGGGAAAGAGGAAAAAAATAGATAGATCGAGATAAGGAAGGATATGGAAAAAGAAAGTCAACCCTTGACGACGTACTAGCCCATTAGCGAGAAAGCCCCTGAAGGAGCTTTAGGACGGAATAATATGGGGGGCGCCACACCCCACAGCCTGTCACCGCCATCCTTGTTGGTCTCTGCATTACAATGCAAGGCATTGCTTGTTGGCTTTGATTTAGTCTTAAAACTATGTATTATATTGTAAGATGTATGGAAGACTACTACATCTGTGTCTGAGTTGATGTGTAAAAGAGTATTCCACTTGGTGTTGCATTTAGAGACATGTCTATCTGTTAGAACCAGGTGTTGATAACCCAAAATAGTAACCTGCACCTTAATACTCTATGGGGGTACAAAGTACTTCATACATACTTCATACATACCCCTGTACATACATCAAGCTTCCAAATGGCTATAGACATCATCAAATAATGCTTATACTTACTACGTACTTTACCAATACCATATTGCACACCGATTATGTCATTGATTGAGTATTAGAAGGTAGGGATCACGCAGGGCAAAGGAAGACATAGCAAAATATCAGAGAGTACTAATAATCTCATGTGGTTTACCACCGGCAACTTTTTCATTTAGTTTTGCTTGCACTCGGCGGCCTCCTTCTTGGGCTTGGAGGTTCCATCCTGGGAATCGGGTTAGCATGGTGTGCGGTTTGTGAGGTCTGGGGGTAATGCCTTACCTCTTCATCTGAGTCCTCCTCGACATCACGGTCCGACCCGTGGTCATCCTCATCCTCATCTTCGTCTTCCTCATCCTCATCGTCCTCGTCCTCGAAGTCACCCTCCATGTCATCGCCAAGCTCCTCGAACTGAAGAGCCTCGCCGGTGAACCAGTCGATGGCACGGGGAATGAGCTTCTCCTTGATATCTTCACCGAGCTGGTAGTCAAGCTCGAGGCGCTCCTCGATGTCACTGGCTACGGATTCATCATCCTCGGTGGGGGGCTGTGGGGGGGAGAAGAAGTTGAAGAAGGATTCGGTGGGCACGCTGATCTTAACAACGCGGGTCTGCTTGGTGCCTAAGTGGAGATAGTCAGTTAAAAGATTCCGATGGTCCGATGTCCACGTAAGCTTACTCTTGTTGCGCTGCTTCTTGCTCTCCAGACGGAGGGTCAGGTCCTGGTCCTCCTTCCAGTCGATCTGGGAGCCCTCGGCGTGGTCGTAAATAAAGTCACCGCCGTATCCATTCTCATCCTTGTAGAAGTATGACTTGGAGATAGTTTTGTTGGTGAAGAACTCGTTCTCAGAGAACTCGAAAATGAGGCGGAATCCGGGGCGGTCAAGGTACTCCATGCGAATGTCGGTGAGGTGCTTCAGGGCGTCCTCATCACGCTCGGTAATCATCTCGGCAAGAGAGATCTGGTTCTTCATGGCGGAGAGCCAGAACTCGGGGATACCGGCCGTGGGCTCAGTCTCACCAGCCTCCTTCTTGGTCTCCTTGGTCTCCTCTTCCTCTTCTTCCTCATCCTCCTTTCCGGCCTCCACCTCGGCCTCGGTCGGCTCCACACCGCCGTTGATTATCGTAGAACGACGCTCATAGAGTGGGGTGAACTTGGCGAAGAACTTCTTCTCAAGTTCCAGAACTTCCTCCTGGAACTGAGCCTCGAGCTTGGCGTGCTCCTTTTGGACACCCTTCAGGCCAGCAACACGGCGGCGGACAGAAGGAGGGAGGGATTCGATGTAGCCGGAAGAGCGACCGACGAGTTGACCCAGCTTGCCTTGGATCATGGAGACCAGGGCAGGGTTACGGGCGAAGAGCGAGGCAGCGGTGGCATTGTCAAGGGACTCTGAACGAAAATAGCCAAATCAGCGTCGATCCAGAAGGAAAACTGGTAGGGAGGGGAAAAAAGCACTTACCCTCCTTGATGCTGGAGACACCAGGCTGTTGAGCGTGAGAGGAAATAGGAGCATTGTTGGCCGGTGTGTTTTGCGGGGTCCTTTTGCATGTTAGGAGATTTTTTTTTTTTTTTGCTTTTTGGCAGGGGAAAAAATGGGACGGGGGATCTTACGGTGCGACCGGGAAATCGGCCTTCTTGTTTCTGATGGGCTCAGACATGGTGTGTGGGAGGGATAAGGATGGAGAATGAGGAGGAGAGAAGAATTTGATACTAAAGAGAGTCTGGAAGATGGTGGGATCCTTAGCGCCTGGTGGCCGAGGGGCTTGGCGGGACGCGGTTCTGGTTGAGAACGAATGCAAAGGCTGCAAATTCTCCCAACAATTACCCCCTCTTTATTTCTACGTAGATCGTCTGTTCTATCAGAATTAGTTTTGGATATATATGCTGTTTTACAGAGTACTCCATATTTCTACTGCTCTTTTCTTTCTTCACACCCGGCGTACTAGGTTAAGTATGCCCGTTGTGGCGGTAAACTCTCGCTCTTTTACCCCTCTCCAAGGTTACCTACATAATTAACCCCTAAGACGTGTCATACGTTTGAATGGCTTTCGCAGAAAACACACGGGTTCGTGGTTTGGAGTGTACTTGGTAGTTTCCAAGGTTGGCATAGGTTGTTATGCCATAGATTCGAGAAAAGGGGATTCGCTTCGACGCGAGTATATATTTAGAAACATGACGCTTGCACATCCTTTGCTTGTTTCCTACGGAGTAGCATGGTTTGAAATGACGTTTCAATTGGTACCTTGATTGTGTACAGGGGCAACAGGGAGAGGTCAGTTTGTAGATCTCCCCGTAGCATCTCAGATCAAACCCCGTCGATAACTTAGTGGCCAATGAAAAGCCCGCTGATGAAGCCCAAATATTGGCTGCCAAGACTTATTCTAGTCTTCCAGAAGCAATTTATGGGGCTTGAAGAAAACTGCTGACAGCGGATCTGAAATCTCTGGGGGAATCAATTCGTTGACAGTTGCATCAATTACGGTGGAAGAGAAGTTGTTCTCAAAATGAGGACCTCCCGGCTCCGATGTCGAGATATATAGATATTACATAATCACGCAAGCTGTTCCGGTCACATGGTGATAGGTAACTCTCCGCGGTGGGACACCCGATAAGCTCCCCAGATCACACACCCTCGATTCGATTCGATCTTGTGGTCCACGGCTACTTGGTGAAATACGACCCTACCAAGATCCCCACCAACCAGACTTTCACAAGTTTGTGCAGGGCAATTGGCGAAGAGAGTTCATATCTCTCAAAATGGGGAGCCGTCCGCAGTCGCCCACGGGGACTGGTCCCGTGGACCTGTCTATGCCTCGACATGGGATGCGACGTGATTCTATGCGAAGCAGGTAGTTTTGCCGCTCCGGATAGCTGTTCTGAAGCTCGGTTTCTAACTGGTCTTTAGTATGAGTGTTGTTTCCGACGTCGAAATGGCCCGGAACGAGGTATGTCAAATCCCTGCCCCCATGTCCAACTCTTGAGCTGATCTGGACCAGGTTTTCGATGGTCCAATCTCGGAAAGCATCCCATCTAGTGTGGTCTCATTTGCACACCGTCGTAGCAGAGCAGACTCTACCGTGAGCTTCACATACTTTCAGGACGGAGAAGACTTTGCCGAATTGTCCAACGAAGATGCCGTGGATGATGAAAGCGAGATCGACGAGCAGTCTCTGCATGGGTTAGGAGATGCAGACCTTGAGTCTAGCAGAGGATCCTTTATCTCCAAGCGAATGTCTACCTCTCGCGACTCGGTTGAACACCCTCTTCTTTCTCGATACATGTCCGCCAGCTCGTATGGCCGTGATCGAAGGACTGGTAGTCGTCTGAACCAGAAAATTTACATCGCATCGGAGGACTTGACCGCAGTTTTCGCCGGCTTTTCCACCAGCACCGGCGGCATGGCTATCTACATTGCTTTGTGCATACTCTCTGGTGGACTTGCCTACCTTCTTTTTCGATGGATGCCCCGATGGCGAGTCAAGCTAATTGGCAAGGCAACCCCAATAGGAAGGTGCCAGTGGGTTGCTATCGAGGTGGGAATTCCACTTGTTTATCGCAATAAGTGCTCTTCTAACACGTGATAGGACCAATGGAATCAATTCACAGTCCATGAAGTTGGCAGCCAGCCATACGGGCGTCCGCTCTCGACGGTCTTTGCTGACTCTTTGCTCCACACTCTTGATGAAGACGGTGATCCAACTATCGAATCTCTACAATTCATTGAGTACAGGTATTTGCGATTTTTTTACCATCCGATTGAGGACAAGTTCGCCTTGATCACTGGTTGGAAAGACCCTTCATGGACCAATGCCAAGATTATGCGAGGGGGACTTGATGCCGATGAGCGAGACAGCAGAGAGCAACTCTTTGAACGCAACGCCATTGAAATCAACCAGAAGACAATTCCACAGCTACTGGTCGATGAGGTGGGTTCAACCTCTGTTGTATCCGTTATCGTTTCTAACACACACAGGCCTTCCACCCCTTCTATATCTTCCAGATTGCCAGCTTGGTTCTATGGTCTATGGATGAATACTATTACTACGCTGTCTGTATCTTCCTGATCTCATTCTTCAGTATTGGAACGACTGTGCTTGAGACAAAATCGGTACGTGCTGATCAAAAATTGGGTCAATGTCCTTGAGTTAATTCCATGATCCAGACGATGAGCCGCTTGAGAGAGATATCTCTATTTGATTGTGATGTTCGTGTCCTGAGAAACGGATTCTGTGAGTTTCCTCAAGGCATCACCATTCTGGTCGCATGATCCAGACTGACTGTGGGTTCATAGGGAGGTCCGTTTCGTCACAAGAGCTGGTACCCGGCGATGTATATGAATTCTCCGACCCATCAATCAACCAGGTCCCATGCGACTGTATCTTACTGTCGGGAGACTGCATTGTGAATGAAAGCATGTTGACAGGTTCGTCCCACCTTCAATATCCTAAAAACCATCGACAGAAGCTGACCTGAACAGGTGAATCTGTCCCTGTATCTAAAATACCTCTGACGGACGACGCTCTCGGATACCTCGACCTCAGCACCCCTTCGATTCACCCTAACATTGCCAAGCATTTCCTGTTCAGTGGTACAAAGGTCATCCGCGCTAGACGTCCACAGAACGCTGATGACGATGAGGCTGTGGCATTGGCAATTGTTGTGAGAACCGGATTTTTAACCACCAAAGGCGCCCTAGTTCGTTCAATGCTTTTCCCCAAACCATCTGGATTCAAGTTTTATCGGGATTCGTTCCGTTACATCGCAGTGATGGGAATTGTTGCTCTTTTTGGATTCGTTGCCTCTTTTGTTAACTTTGTGCGATTGGGTGTAAGTCAAATGTCCCAAAGGGAGCCATCCCTTTCCCAGAAAAGCTTCTCCGACTCTGGTTGCTCACAAAATCACACAGCTTGCCTGGCATCTGATCATTATACGAGCTCTTGACTTGATCACAATTGTTGTGCCACCAGCTCTTCCCGCTACACTCACCATCGGAACCAATTTTGCTCTTTCCCGGCTTAAGAAAAAGAGCATATATTGCATAAGTCCACAAAAGTGAGTCGTCCAAGCCCAAAATCGTGTATTCGAAACTAATAAAGTTAGGGTTAACGTGGGAGGAAAACTGGACATTGTGTGCTTCGATAAAACCGGAACTCTTACGGAGGATGGACTGGATGTGCTTGGAGCACGCATTGTCACCAATAGCAGAGGGTTCTCGGAACTGCTCTCTGAGACATCGGAAGGATTCCTTCTTTCGTCTCCAACCGCCAACTCCGCGTACGACATTGAGAAGCAAAAAAAGATCATTTACACAATGGCAACATGTCACTCTCTCAGGGTAGTGGACGATGAGCTTCTGGGCGATCCGCTTGATGTGAAGATGTTCCAATTTACGAATTGGACATTTGACGAGGGAGGCAACCACGTTCCTGATCAGACAAGCCCCAAATTTGATACAATCGCGCCATCGGTTGCAAAGCCGCCTATTAGCGACCAACAGGATGCCAATGTGAGTTAATCCCACAGAAAACAAAAGCTCGCAAGTCTTAACATGCACAGAATCCCTTGGAACTGGGAGTTCTGCGGAGCTTCGAATTTGTTTCCCAACTTCGTCGTGCCAGTGTCGTCGTCAGGCAGTATGGTGACAACGGAGCAAGCTTCTTCGTGAAGGGTGCTCCTGAAAGCATCAAGGACATCTGTCTCCCTGGATCCCGTTAGTATTTCCGCTATGTATAATACCCCGCCGCTAATCATTCGCTTCCAGTTCCATCGGACTATGAAGATCTTCTCAGCTACTACACCCACAAAGGATATCGAGTAATTGCCTGTGCGACAAAGTACGAACGGAAATTGAGCTGGACGAAAGTCCAGAAAATGAGTCGAGAAGACGCTGAATCAGACCTGGAATTTTTGGGCTTCATCATCTTTGAAAACAAATTGAAGCCGAGTACTGCTGGCGTTATTACCGAGCTGAACGAAGCAGGAATTCGCAACGTGATGTGCACTGGCGATAATATCTTGACTGCAATCAGTGTTGCCCGTGAATGCAACATGCTCGGACGTAACGAGATGTGCTTTGTTCCACATTTCGTTGAAGGTTTGTTCCCTACACCTAGGATATTGTGTATTGCTAACAATCGACAGCACCTGGCCTTTCTTCTAAAATATCTCTTATATGGGAGTGCGTGGACAATCCTGACCTCCGATTGGATCCGAGAACACTTTTGGTGAATGAAACCCCTCGGATATTTTCATGATGGCGACTAATATGATGATAGCCTATTCACACCCCAGAAACCGACCTTTCTGTGCCAGGAAGCGCTCTCGTTGAACGCGAGTACTCTGTCGCTGTGACAGGTGATGCGTTCAGGTGGTTGATTGACTATGGCAATGAAGATGTTCTCAACAAGGTATGTGGTTGTCGCATCCAGAGAAACCCAAAACTGTGCATACTAAACGTGATCTAGGTTCTTGTATTCGGAAAAGTATTTGCTAGAATGTCACCAGACGAAAAGCATGAGCTAGTCGAGAAACTTCAGTCGCTTGATTACTGTTGTGGATTTTGCGGTGATGGTGCCAACGACTGCGGTGCATTGAAGGCCGCAGACGTTGGTATTTCGTTGTCAGATGCTGAAGCATCTGTTGCCGCACCTTTTACCAGCCGTGTCTTTGAGATATCTTGTGTTCCAACCTTGATCAAGTAAGTAACCGCCTAGGTGGTTGTGCTGCGGTTTTGCCAATTCTAACAATTACCACAGAGAGGGCCGAGCTGCTCTTGTGACAAGTTTTTCTTGTTTCAAGTTTATGAGTCTGTACTCTGCCATCCAATTCTCAACAGTCAGCTTCTTGTACACTTCGGGCTCCAACCTTGGGGATTTCCAAGTGAGTACTGCCCATTGCCAACTCTACATCGGCGGCTAACAATTTCAAGTTCCTTTTCATCGACCTTGCCCTTATCATGCCAATTGCAATCTTCAGTGGGTGATACATGTCAGTGACCTAGGTCTTTGTGCTAACTATGCCACAGTGGGTTGGGCTGATCCGGCTCCCACGCTTTCTCGAAAACGTCCCACCGCTGACCTTGTCTCGCGCAAGGTCCTAACACCTTTGCTTGGACACATATCGATAGTTGTCCTAGCACAACTGGCAGTCTTCGAAACTGTTCAGATGCAGCCCTGGTTGGTAGTCCACAGTCCCCATAGAACAATACATTCTAACAACAATCCAGGTTCATGCCACCGCAGCTAGACCTCGAGAAAAGCAACATTGTCAATTCAGAGAACACTGCTCTGTTCCTGTTCTCTTGTTTCCAGTACATTCTGACGAGCATCATCCTCAGCGCTGGTCCACCGTTCCGAAAGGCCATGATCCATAATGGTATGTATTATGTCGCTCAAGACTTGGTTGGCCCCAAACTCACTAGGACTTCTTTCAACAGTGCCATATCTTTGTACGATTATTGTCGACGTTCTTATTGCAGCTTACATGCTGTTCAGACCCTCGGGATGGGTGTCCGAAGTCATGCAACTGACTTTCATGTCTGATGCGTTCAGAAGCTGGGTCGTGGCATTGGCATTTGGGGTTTTCCTTTTCGCCTGGATTGCCGAAAAGAATGTATTCCCGCGTGTGGCACAAATGCTCGGACTTGCTCGTGCTCGCTTGCAGCCGGGCTACCGCAAGAAGCGCCGCATGTACAAGGTCTTGTTGGAGGAAATGCGCATGTGATGTGATTGGCACAACGCATATGTTCTCTATTTTGTACTTGTACTGGTTTTATATGCATTGTAGATACGATGCACTGGTGGTGCGACTAGTACCAAAACTTGGAGTCTTTGGGAACTGTATTTGGTAGGCCTTTTGGTGTACTTGTATCAGATCTACATAGAGCTACAATTCACCGTTTCTGCAAGTTCCATTTTCCACAATGACACCTGGGCCTGATTTGGTCACAATGAGTGGTTGAAGGATAGTAGAAAATTGAGTAAGGGTATGCAATTCGACTTGTAAATGGGCTTAACGTGAACGTATGTGCTGGGGCGCTTTTGACCGTCGGAATCGAAACCCGCTTGTGTTTCCTCTTATACCGAGTGCCTCCCCAGGAATCACGAATTCACCGCTGTTCCAACAACGCGAGGAAAAAGGAAATAGACGATTGTATCCGATTCAGTGGTCCCAAGGGTGCTTCCAGCCGAGCAGCACGGCACCGTCTTTCTTGGCCCGGTACATGAGCTAAAGCAAAATTGGGTCAGTAAAGTCCTGAACAACAGATACAAGGCCACTCACGAAGAACCACATGCTAGCGCCCAGTGCAGTCGCAGTGAAGCGGTAGAGCGGTCGGACCGGGTGGATGTGGATGGGGTGGGAGGTTTTGCCCGCCATTGCTAGGAGAATCAGTTAGCGGGATGACAGCACACCCAGCACAAAATAGATGCGTTATACATACTGTCTGTTGGAATTGGTTGAGGGTGCTTCGAGGAAGAAGACGGGGAGGGTTCTGCGACGACGGAGATGGGGTTGCACGTGACTCGGTGACGGTAGGGAAATCGATGACTTCCATTCAGTGTCGCTTCGCCTAGTGTTTCCCAATTATTTCCCTTGATTGGGCTGGTTCCTATTCAGGTTTTTATTGTTTGAATAACTTCGAGCTTTCAGGTCTCGCCATTGAACAATGCGACACGAGCCTTTTACCTGACTCGCCAACCTCTCTTTTTGAAATGGACTTGGTCCCTACATCTCTACACCTGACTTTGTTTAATACCACTCTCAACCTGACTTGACGGCTCTCGATACCCGGCGCAACTTTCTGATACCCTTTCTGCGACACTGGGCGGCACGTCAATTCAAAAAGCATCCGTACAGTGAGCTTGAACCGACAGGATTCTGCACTGCTTCAAAGACCTTGCAAGCTTTGCGCGTCAAGTGAATTGAAGTGACGCGACAACGAAACGATTTCATCCGGATCTTCTGCGGCATACATCCAATCCACGACCTCTTTCACACCCGGCCGAGCCAGCATGGCTGTGTCTTTGGAGAAGCACGGCAATGGCCAACCACGGTTTCCAGGGTGTTCAAACATCAGCGAATATACATTTGTTGGCAAGCTCGGAGAAGGCACCTTCGGGTAAGCGGTTGTTGTCTTCCTGCGATAAAGCAACATATTGATCAGTTGGCAGTGAGGTCTACAAGGCAAAGTCCAAGAAAGACTCCACCACTGTGGCGCTGAAGAAGATTCTTATGCATCATGAGAAGGAAGGCGTGAGTCCAATCAGCACATATATCAACCATAGATATATCTAGCTGACATATTGCCTCTAGTTCCCAATCACAGCTATCCGAGAGATCAAGCTCATGAAGGCACTATCACATCAAAACATACTACAGCTCAGAGAAATGGCCATCGAGCGAGGCAAAGGTAAGCCTGGCTAATCAATTCTATATACAAGCAGATATTGACGTCAAAAAGGCGAAGGGCGCAAAAAGCCAAGCATGTACATGGTTTTCCCATACATGGAACATGACCTGGCAGGACTTTTGGAAAATCCTTCAGTCCATTTCAGTGAACCACAGATAAAATGTTACTTGATGCAGCTTCTTGAAGGGCTCAAGTATTTGCATGGAGTACGAATGCCTTAGCACACCTTTATCTGGAAACATCTAACATCCTCATAGCAACGCATCCTGCATCGTGATATGAAAGGTATCATTCCCATTCTCATTACTCTGAGAAATTTGCTGACATGTTTTGAATAGCTGCAAACTTATTGATCAGCAACGGCGGAATTCTTCAAATTGCTGATTTCGGTCTTGCTCGGCCCTATGAGGATGCACCTCCACTTCCTGGGAAAGGCGGAGGGGATTCCACGAGGGAGTACACCGCGCTTGTTGTCACAAGATGGTACCGTCCACCTGAGCTGCTGCTGCAACTTCGAAAGTACACTACAGCCATCGACCTGTGGGGAGTTGGGTGAGTTCATTTCTCTGGAATTCCTGCGAACAACGCCCTCTTCTAACTTCTTCTAGCTGTGTGTTTGGTGAAATGTTCAAGGGGAAGCCTATTCTCACCGGAAACAGTGACCTGAACCAAGCACAATTAATCTTCAACCTCGTGGGTACTCCTACTGAGGAAAATATGCCCGGATGGAGCCAACTCCCCGGATGTGAGGGAGTTAAGAATTTTGGATACAAGCGTGGCAACCTTTCTGGTTTCTTCCAAGAGTATGTCTCCGATCGCCCTGGAAGCAGGGACTTTCATCCTTTGCTAAAATGCCTTTTCTTTACTCGAAGCTAACTGTCACAGATTGAGCCCGACCGCTGTATCACTACTGGGCGAGCTCCTCCGCCTTGACTGGAGGAAACGAATCAATGCAATGGATGCGCTCAAGCACCCCTATTTCACTACACCCCCACTCCCCGCCAGACCCGGGGACATCCCGCAATTCTCAGATTCCCACGAGCTTGACCGCAAGAAGTTCCGCAGCCAGCGGCCGCCTGTGCCACCCGTTCCCCCAGGCGTCTCAGATGCCCCACCCAATGGGGCCTGGCCAACCTCCGGCTCTCGGGGCCCGGATTCGCGACACGGCCGTCCCCCAGGGCCTGGCCGCGGAGGTAGACCACCTCCGCCAGGAAATCACACAAATCCTCAACGTCGTGCCCCCTTCCCGCCTTCAAGAGAGACCGGTCTTCCTCCACGCCCTCCTGTGCCTTCCAATCAGCCATGGGAGGGGTCTCAATCCAACCGACCTGACGGAAGAGACGACCGACGAGGACAATTTCCTCCAAGGAGCTCAGGAGCAGGCAGGCCAACTAATAATTTGGACTCATATGTCCCTAAATACAACGACCGCAATGATCGCCCAAGAGACTCGGGGGAGCATGGCTCTTCAAATCCCGACTGGCGTGCATCGGGCCGTCGCGATTACAGACGTGAGCCATCAAGGAGAAGAAGCCGGAGCCCCAGTTTTAGAGATGGGAGTCGAGGTTGAAGTCAACGCGTGTCGAAGCGAAGCTTTCTTTTTAGCTAAATAGTGAAAGCTCTACCGTGGAGATATTCATATGGAAAAGGTATAAAAAAATAAAAAATAAACATTCATATCATGGCTTTACTTTTGTCTAGCAAATGGCGCGTTATTCACAAAATGTACACTCAACGGCTCTTCGTGACTTGATCCGAGTGCACGACATGTTCCCCGGGGTCTCGTTGAGAATACCCCGTCTTTTGAGAGGCCCTGTCGGGATGGGCCTGTATAGTTAAGTTGATTAAAGCCAACACTGGGATTGGCTTGTTTGGATGCCCGCTTAGTACAGAATGCGGGTCATGATACGAGCTAGATAGCGTTAGTTTCGACTCAAGGAGAAGTGGCAGTGGCAATCTTACAGGGAAGACTCTCGAGTCGGGTGTAAAGGTCTCGGATGGTGGCAGTGTCGACATTGCTGATATCGGCCATCAGGTAGGCAACCTAAATAACGTTAGGAATTGAGGTTTTGTGAATGAAGAAGATCAACTTACATCGCCTCTGCTATCGGTCATCTGCTTGTCAACGTTGTGGTCTCCAATGATCTCGTTGACTATTAGAAGGTTAGCTGCGAGGTCTCTCGTGAGGTATATATAGATACTGACCCTTGCGCAACACTCCGGGAATGTTCTTGTGAATGTAGATGACACGGGCGTGGTTAGGCTCGTCCATAGTCAATGAACGAAGGGTAACCTCGGGCAAGTTGACAGCACCCTGGGTGGAACCCTCGTTGGCATAGCGGACCAGAGCTTGGGCGACCTCAACACCAATAGCCTTCTGGGCCTCCTCGGTACTTCCACCGATGTGAGGGGTCAGGATAAGGTTCTTGAGGGATCTCAGGTCGGGGCCCCAGCTGTTAAGAGAGCTGTCGAAGTAGTCACCGTTTCCGGCGGGCTCGTTGGGGTACACATCGAGGGCAGCACCTGCGACCTTGCCGCTGCGCATAGCATCAATCAGGGCGGGAATGTCGACGACGGTTCCACGGCTAGCGTTAATCAAATAGCTTCCCTTCTTCATCTGCTCGAATTGCTTCTGGCCGATCATGCCCTTGGTCTCGGCAATCTCGGGGACGTGGCAGGTAACAAAGTCAGCCTGGCCCAACAGCTGTTCCAGAGATTCAACCTGGCGAGCAGTTCCCAGAGACATGATGTTGAGGACGTCGAAGTAGATCACCGACATACCCATTGCCTCGGCCAGCACTGAAAGCTGGGCACCAATGTGGCCATAGCCAATGATACCTAGTCACGGGAGTCAGAGAGGAGCGCAAAATAGCAATAATCCACAGCCCATTCACATACCCAGAGTCTTTCCACGGATTTCCCAGCATCCGTTGCTGACCTTGTTCCAGGTACCATTGTGCATCTCGTTGGAGCGGTCACCCAATTGGCGGGCAAGAACGACCATTTCGCCGATAACCAGCTCGGCGACACTGCGGGAGTTGCTGAAGGGGGAGTTGAAGACAGCAATACCCTGATCGGCGGCATATTGGAGATCAACCTGGTTGGTACCGATACAGAAGCAACCGATGACGATGAGGTTCTTGGCCTCCTTCAGGACACGAGCGGTAAGCTTGGTCTTTGAGCGAATACCGATAACGTGCACGTCACTGTCACTCGGGTTAGCAATGTGAAATTGGTGCCATTGCACAAACATCCGACGCACCGAATCTTCTCAATGAGCTGATCCTCTGGCAAAGAGGACTTCAGGAATTCAACCTGGTAGCCCTGCTGGGAGAGGATCTGACGACCAGTCTCGTTGACATTTTCGAGCAAGAGGACCTTGATGTCCTCTGTGGCGAATGGCTTCAGGTGCTTCGCGTTGACGGGGACGGTGCGGTTCAGAGCAGAGCTATGGCTGGAGGGGGAGTGGAAAGAGGCGGAGGGTGAAGTAGCGAGGGTGGACAAATCGTCCTGACGAGGGCGGATATCTCTTGCGGTAGACATGATGGATGATTGAGGGAGAAGATGGAAATCCAGTCTAAGGTCTAAGATATGATATGAATCACCGTATGACTCTTAGGACTTAAGTAAGCTCCGGAATCGGCATTCATTCGGCTTCTGCTTTCGGGCTCCCGGGGTTTTCTTTTCTATTCTTTTTTCTTATTTGATTTCCAATTATATATAGTTAGTCTAATTTTTTGGTTTATAGAATTCAATTGACTCTTTTTCGACTTATGCAGTGTACCGTTAACATTGCAATATGGAGGGGCATTATCGCGGGGCACAACTTTTTTTTTTTTTTTTTTTTTTCTTTTTCCCGTTACTGTTTTCCCCCAAAAATACCCAAAAATACCCCAAACAGCCAATTAAATGCCGATCCCCAGGACTAGACATGAGCTTATCTGTTTTAGGCAATATCAACTTCGATTGCGTGCTTGCAACCTTGGGAGTACTTGGCTCTTATACTTCATTAATACTCTTGTAGAGGTATTGGGAATATAGTATTGAATATTTGCATATTTAAACGCCCATCTAAACCTTGAGGTTCTCCATCTTCTGGGTAGGGGCCTCGGTACCCTTGGCCTTCTTGGTCTTGCTGGAAGTGGTATCCTTGGGAAGCTCCTTGGTGTAAGGGAGGAATTCAGGTTGTCCGGGAATGTACTTGCGCAGAACCTCGGGGACTTCGATACCCTGCATCACGGTTAGTAAATCGTCATGGATCTAGGGTCTCGGTAACTGACATCTTCTCTCTGGTAGTTCTCAAGCACACAGCAGAGGGTACGCTCGGTGGCACACAGAGTGGCGTTCAGAGCGTGAACGTAGGTCTTCTTCAGGTCGGTGGCCTTCTTGATACCGTACCGAATCTCCAGAGCGCGGGACTGGTAGTCGGTACAGTTGGAGCAAGAGACAAGCTCCTTGTACTCCTTCTGGAAGGGGAACCAGGCCTCCAGATCGTACTTCTTGGCAGCCGCGTTGTTCAAGGCACCGGAAACAATGGCGACAATCTGGTAGGGAAGGCCCAGGGACTTGTAGAATTCCTCGGAGTTGCTCATCATATCCTCAAACGCTTGCCACGAATCCTCGGGCTTGGTAAGAACAAATTGTTCGATCTGGAGGGAATCAGCAGATGGTTCGCAGTAGATCATTTCGACTCAAACCTTTTCGAATTGGTGGACACGGAAGATACCCCAAGCATCCTTGCCGTGGGAACCGGCTTCCTTGCGGTAGCATGTGCTGTATCCGGCATACCTGGTCTCGAAGTCAGCAAAACTGGTTGAATTTCCTTTGGAACGGAAAGGGAGGCGTTACTTGATGGGAAGCTCCTTATCCTGGAGCCACTCGCTGTCGTGCAGGGCAGACAAGGGCTGTTCGGAGGTAGCAATGAGGTACTTGTCGGTAGCCTTGTCTTCGCTCTCGGTAACCTTGTAGAGCTCCTCGTCGAATTGCTCCAGCTGAGCAGTCTTGGCCATGAGATCCCGGAGCATGAACTGAGGGGGCTGGTTGGGGGTGTAGCCCTTGTTGAACAGGAACTCCAGACCGTAGTTGACCAGGGCGAGGTTCAAGAAAAGTCCGTAGCCAGTCAGGCAGTAACCACGGTGGCCGACAATCTTGACACCACGCTCGGGGTCGTATCCATCGAGACGAGTCAACACCTCGTGGTGGGAGAGGCAGCTGGGGCGATCCATCTGGACGTTCTCAGGGGCCCATGTCTTAACCAGCTGGTTGTCTGCCTGAATATGTATGAGCAGTGCGATCTTTCACTACGCGCAGCGACACATACCTCGTCGTTGCTCACGGGCACGGATTCGTGGACATAGTTTCCGATGGTGCGGATCTTACGATCGCGCTGCACTTCCTTTTCGACGGCGGCATCCTCGAGTTCCTTCTTCTGCTTCTCTAGGTCTGCTTTTTTTTGGAGAAGTTCGGTGGCATCTTCCTTGTTCTGTTGATCGTCGGATAAGTACCCCTCCACATCTGACGGCTGCAGTCAAACCCACCTTCTTCTTCATTCCGATCTCTTTTTGGACTCCGTTCATCACGGATCTGAGCTGGGTAACCTCATAGCGGGCTTAGCGGTCAGTATCAGTCATATAACTTCTTCAATTGCAAAGACCGATACATACCACGGCGGGCTTCTTCGTAGAGCGCAATCACTTCATCAACAGTTTCTTCGGGAGCAAAACGCTTCTGCTGGCTCTCCTTGATCTTCTTAATATCACCACCGCGCTCGGTGACAAAATCGAATAGGTCCAACATCTTGAGTGTGTAAGTCGCAAATGGCAGAGTGACTCAAAAAGTGTGGAGGGGTAAAAGAGAGGAAAATCAGAGTGCGTATCTCCACGCACCGGTTATCTAATCGACGCTCCTTCCTGAGGTTACAATGCATTACTATATCCCTAACAGACTACTATAAACAGATATATGGCCTGAAACCTTTCAGGGTCAGTTTGCCATACGAGTAATGAAAACAAAATAAAACAATTCATTAGTACTCTATGCATGGTATCCATGTTCCTTAAAATCGACCCTGAAACTCATTATTCATGCAATAAACATCCCCTAGGAATCCACCAACGGTTAAAAAGTGACACCTGGCCAAGGACATGACGGCAGCAAGTCGGAACAAGCTATCTCTTCGGAGTCAATTCCCTATTGCAATCGATATTAGCAAGGCATCAAAAAACAGTATATGGTCACGAGAGTAGCAAACGACACCCTGGTTAATACAACAACGTGAAGAGTGAAAAGCTCGAAAAATTCGAAGTGGAAAGGAGGGTGTCATAATAGTTTCAACATGTTTCAATAACGGATGGAGAGGATTGAAACACCGAGTGTGCACTTACATCCTTGGCAAAAGAAAAGCACATGTTCAAAACGATGCCTCAAATCACATCAACAAGCACTTGTTACCTCCAGTAGGCTGTGAAGGATTTTGAGACTTCTCGACTTCTCCGATCATGAGATCAAAGGCCTTAGCGACATTGAAGTCAAGGAAAGCACTGGCTTCAGTGAAAGCGCAGTTGACCTCCTCTGCTAATTGTCGGCCCTCATCAAGAGAGACTTGACGATGATCTGGCTTGAGGTCACTCTTGTTTCCTACTACAACGAGAGGTACTTCATCCGCTCCCTAGATGACGACAAATTAGTCCTGTGGGAAAATGGACTCGTGGATGGTCAGGACTTACAAGGTGGTTTAAAATCTTGTCCCGAATTGTCCGCACCATCTCAAATGACTGACGCGATGTCACTGAATAGACGATGATGTACCCGTGGATTCCAATGAAATGCTTGGAGTTCAAGATACTATATTCGTCCTGCGGGGGTTCAGTTCAACTGTTTGGCGAGGTGGATCGCAAGATCGCTAGTCCCTTACCTGTCCTGCAGTGTCGACGATCTCGGTCGCATAGTCCTGTCCATTGTGCTTGATAATCCGGCTGAAGGTATTCTCGATAGTAGGGTAATAGCTCTCGACGAAGTGGTGCTCGACAAATCGAACGGTGAGAGAGGATTTCCCTAGCACACAACAAGCGTCAGATCCTGCTTCAACACGTCAAAAAGTGAAGGAAGTTTTCCTACCCACGGAACGACTGCCAACAATGGCGATCTTTCTTTGCTTAGGTGCAGCAGGCATCTTGCTGATGTAGAGTGCTGAGGCTTAGAGTTGCCAGTTGAAATTAGTAGTTGTTGAAGACGGTATCTTTAGATACTGCGATTCTCCTTGTGATAAACCTGAGTTAGTGAAGTTTCTCAGACAATGGCAGCTGCTAGAAAGTGAGGACGTTGGGAGGTGGCAAATCCCCCTCGAAGCATGCGGAGCTCCATCTCCCCGTGCCCTGCAAACAATGCAAACGGACGCTTCCATCCCGAAGGTTGCAATACGGCTATATGGAGTACAGTTGGTGGTGTTCTTTTAGATTATGGGTGCATTTCGATTTAAAGCATTAGATCAATAATTTCTAATTTCAGTGCGATAAGTGGTGAATATGACTGTTGAGGATCTCAGGGCCTTGCGCGGATTGATCATTGGCGTTCATACAAACACATCAGATGACCGAAATACCGTAAAATGGTTAAAAGGGTATCAAGAAATATCAGGAAACAAAAAGAAGGAAAGAAAAAATCAAGATCAACGCCGTTGGCCTTTTGACGAGGCACGATTTGAAGGGGTTTGATAGATTGTACACTGGGCGACCCAGAGCATCAAGATTCTGCAAGTCGTACCTGGGCGATGAGCTCTTGTAATCTCGCCATGAAACCACTGGCTGGTTGCCCCTGGGCTGGCAATGCAGAGACTTCCTGCTCAATCTTTCGGTGGTATTGCAGGAACTCCTCAACGGTCGATACAACAAGTGTCAACCCATTGGGAGCTAATAATTTCTTTATTCGCGATCGAGTCTCGTTGTCCAGGGAGAGTGTTAGTAGAAGAACAGCCAAATAGCCCACGGCAACATTGTGGTGTACGTCTACGACAGAATGTGCCTGTAAATATGAGGTTAGCTCTGTTTGTTGACAGAAAGACGAGCTGGAAGCTCACCGTTGAGATAGAGTCGGCAAATGTTGTGAACAAGTGCGTTAGGCGTTCAAGGAAAGGCTGACCGGAGCCAATGGAGTGAAGAAAGGTTGATCTCGACATTGCGCTCTTTTCGGTCATGTTGATCAGAGCGCCAAGTGCCAAAATCACACCATCTAGTGTATTGTTCTCTTGGCCGAGCATGTCCTCCGTCAGATCACCAAAGTTTGCAGTGACCATATGAACCAGGCCCCCGATTATCTCTTGTTTTGCAAACTCATCACAAATTGCCGGGTTGCTGTTGGTAACATTCAGTATCACCCGGATGAACAGAGGTTGGATTTGTTGGCTGATAGCGTCCAGGTAATCACTCTTTAGATAGAACAGACCGTGAAGTGTCGAAAGTGGTTCCATTATGCCACGATAGTCATCATTGGCAGACTCAGGCGAGGAAGTAAATGCCTCTAGGACCGAAAATACCATGCACAGGATCTGAGAGCTTTCGGCTGGCATTGATTTTTGTGAGACGCATTGATGGCTTTCAGATACAAGTAATTGCATCAAAATCTCAAACAGAGAACTTGAGATCTTGCTGGGACTCTCGCCTTTGGTTCGCATTGTGGAGAGAGTTATTCTCAGGCAATACAATGCCAGAGTGCAAGGTGAAATCCTCACCGCAGAATTAGCTGGAAATAACATGTCAGAAATTCGTGGCACTAGGTTCTGTAGTGTCTTTTGCGAATGGCGTGCAAGGCCGTTGGTCTTGCTCTTAGCAACCTCTGTAAGGTCATCTTGGGTTGTCAGCAACTTAGGCGACAATTCCAAAAGCTTGGGCCATGCTGTAGCTGCATGAACAAAAGACGTATGTCCGTCAGACGATGCCAGTGCGTAGGCACAAAATGTCAAAGCCGCAGGAACCACTTCAAGATCCATGGAGAGACAATCAACCAGTCTTTTGTCGAAGTTACATTCAACAAATCGGCGTCTGAGTCCAGTATCCATCAATTTCCCGCACAATTGAAGCAAAGCATTGCAGTGACCCGCAGTTGAGTTTTGCGCGTCCTCAATATCTTCGAAAATAGACTCAACAGCGCCGCGATAACGAGCATTCCCGCCAGCCTGTCGAAGTTCATGGATACTTCGCACCGATCCGTCATCATTTGTTTCTTCCATTTCTCCAATCAACTGGGCACTGGAGGTAGCCTCTTTGGCCAACTGACGTTGAATGGACTGAGAACGATGATTGAGGCCCGGCATATTCGATGCTGTAAGCTCGTCTTCCAGGAGCATGTCATCCAGGAAAGAGCGCTGACGCGCGTAAGTGACCCCAGAGCTCCGGAGATGAGATGGTCCCGCGGTGGGAGAAGCTTGAACATGGTGTTCGAGATGACCTTCGTCTAGAGGTACATTAGGCGAAACTGGACTGCGTGGGGTCGAAGCTGGCGGCTCCTGACTCGCAGCCGGGGTTTTGGGAGAAAGGTCGGGAGCTGGTGTTACAGCCCCTAGTGAGTCAATCAGTCTCTTTCTGCCAGGTGTGGTATTCTCCGTGACTGCATGATGCCACTTGGTACTCGGTGAACCTTGCGGCTCGGAATCAAAGGCTTCGGGCCTCTCCTCGGCCGACGCTCTTGGCACCTGCTCAGGTGCAGGCCTCTCTGTCTTGCTTCGCGCTGGCCTCCCAGCTCTAAAGATCGACGATTCCCCGGTGTTGACTTTTTGCTGATCCTTCTCTAAAACCACCGATGGGACTTCGCGGATAGGCACAGGTTTCTCTAATTTTATTGGCGCGACGGTATCCTTGTCATCTACCGTGCGCGATTTCGAGCTAGGTGGCGGCCTAGGCCTCACGGCTCGCTTGGTCGCAGGGCTGTGCTTGCTGTTGTCGTGACTAGGGCGTCTTCGCTTTCGCCTGATTATGGTCTGCTCATCACCTGAAGATGGAAGATCATATACATTGGATTCTGTGGTGGATTGCGATTGCGCAAGAGCGGGTGCTGGGGTCGCGCCGGAAGATCCGGATGGCTGGTCCTCCTTCTTATTGCTCTGCGAAATTTTGTTCGGTGATCGCGCGAGACGTGATGAGACCGGTACGGACTTCGTTTTGGAGGTAACCCTGGTTGGGGATAGGTGTGTAGTCGCGTTGGTATTCGAACGGGGTTGGCCTTTGGCGGTGCCACAGGTCACCGGCCTGCGATTGCGGGTACGTGGTTTATCCATTTTCTTTCAAGGGGCAAAGGCGCCAGAGTCGGTGGAATCAATTAAGTGAGCAAGTTTGAAAGAGTACGAGGAGACATTTCGTGGGATTTGGCTTAATAAAGGAGGGCGCAAGAGCTAGTGTCATGCGAATCCATTTCATGCGCCAATGAAGCTCGGACTCAAGTCAAAGAAAGCTCGGAAGTCTTAAAAATGTACAGCACCGGGGAGAGAGAACGAGTGAACGTGCTCAGATGCCAGAAGGAACCGGTTGCAGATAGGCGGGTGACATGGGGCAGAAACCCACTGCGGTATAGCTTCTGAGATAGAAGAAATCGATAAGAGAAAACCCGACATGCTTCCCCGCTCTTGGCCTTCACTCCTGCATCGTCTCGTGCTCTCGATCTCTTGATTCTGTTGAGCTTATAGATTGTATTGCTCACTGTTTTTTCCCACTTCTCTACATCCTCTTTGGCAACTGCCCTCGCTACTCTACACTTTTTGAGCCACTAACCATGGCCAGCAAACCAGAGTCTGCTCCTTCGCCTGCGCAGGGTGTTGGTCCTTTGTACCGTCCTGATGGCGAGAAGCCTACTGCGACTGTGTCAAAGGAAGTCTCTTTTGACAATGTCCATGTGCTGCCTCAGACACCCCAGTTGATTGCTCTGTTGACGTGAGACCCTAATATCTGCATCTGTCTCTGAAATCACGCCAAACTCATGTACTGGTGAACAGGATGATCAGAGACAAACGAACAAGCCGCGCCGATTTCATTTTCTATTCGAACCGCATCATCCGCTTGCTGGTTGAGGAAGGTCTCAACCACCTCCCAGTTGTCGAGCAATCCGTTACCACCCCCGTTGGAACCGCCTATTTGGGAGTCAAGTTCGAAGGAAAGATTTGTGGTGTGTCGATTATGCGAGCTGGTGAGGCCATGGAACAAGGGCTGCGTGACTGCTGCCGATCAGTTCGCATTGGAAAGATTCTCATTCAACGTGATGAGGAGACATGCATGCCCAAGCTGTTCTACGATAAGCTGCCTACCGATATTGCTGAGAGATGGGTCCTTCTCTTGGATCCCATGTTTGCAACCGGTGAGTTAAATTTCTCCCAGATGTCTGACCACTGCGCTGACCTTGTATAGGTGGCTCGGCAACCCTCGCCGTAGAGGTGCTGAAGGAACGAGGAGTTCCTGAGCACCGCATCCTGTTCCTCAATCTTATTGCCAGTCCATCTGGTGTTGCTGAATTTGCAGAAAGGTTCCCCAAGCTCCGAGTGGTGACATCGTTCATCGACCAGGGGCTTGATGAGAAGAAGTAAGAACATCGACATTGGGTATGTGAGTGTGATGCTGATTGATTGGTAGATATATTGTCCCAGGGCTGGGTGATTTCGGTGACCGATACTACACGCTGTAGGTGTACAATTCTCCCTTATCCCCGTGCTTGTGCCTTGGGGGTCCAGATAATCTTAGGAGATTCCAATCCGACTGCCAATGCTCACTTTGTGCAACCGTCTGATCATGTCGACTGGTATTTTATCTATAGGAGCGTGCTCCAATATATGAGAAAGAAGAAAACAAATCAAAATAAAACGCGCACATACAGTACAAATCCATAATAGGTGATATCATATCCTATGCGCCATTCGCCCTCATCGCACGATTAAGTCATCATCTGCGTATGCGTCACCGTGTCCAGTCTCTTCGGGTATGTCATGCTTGCCAACACCTCGGGGCTGACTCGTGCTTGGCGCATCGTATTGGTCGGCAGTGTCCTTCGCAACTGCATCGCAGGCATCTACCCAATCCGAGTATACATCAACGGGAGCAGACAGATCTTGAAAATCATCCTTGTCAGTCACAGCACAGTGCTTTAGCGTAAGCTTCCACTCACAGTTGATGCCAGTCTGGAACTTTTGACCACAGACTTTACATGACAGATCCCCCAAGCCCAATTTTTTATCCAGCTTGACGATAACCGAGTTTTCGTGGTTGCAGAATAGACAGGAGAAAGTGGTGGCAAGAGGCTCCCTCTGTATGCCATAATTAGCGACAGTCGCAACACTAGACGACTGTGATCAATTTACCTTTTTGGGCCCTTGCGGCTTCGAGCTTGACTTGCGCTTGCCCTGTGGAAATTAGCCATGTCCGATAGCGGGGTGGCTGGGGTGGCAATGATGTATCCCATACCATAGTTGAAACACCCGCGACTGAATGTAAGAAACGAAGTGGCAGTCAAAACGTCAAAGTGTTGAAGCTTGGGGCGTGCGGAGAGCGAAGCCCGCGCCAAGACCAGCTGCCCGAATGGGGGGCACGGAAGAACGAAGCTCCGAGTTTCGCGGATGTCATCATCTTTTCTTGGGATTTCGATCCTGGTGGATCTTTTTGGGATGAACTAGCGCAACAGCATATTGTAGTGTGGACATGGCGAAAACCAAACTAGGAGTATTCTGTACATTACACAGATTGTGATGTCAGATGTAGACTACATACGAGAAAACTTCAAACATCTTGGAAGTAACTCTCAACTAGCTCAAAGATCAACTTATGATCTCAAGGGATAGCTTGTATGTATGAAATCTGAATATGCAATCCAAAAGGACTTTGTCGATTTCAATGCACGTTGAAATCAGTATCTTAGCGCCAATAGCGTACAACGATTGACAAGATCTCCACCGGGGCACCGACGTTGCTGACATAATAATGGAAGGTTGTTCGGTCACGTGGTGTCTTCATGACATAATCATAGGGCCCGCGACTCGCTTAGCCGAATTTTCTGTGGGTTTTCAACCCTCCCAGTCGAGCGTCGAAACCCTCTGAGCGCGCGGTGCGATACCTTTGTCTGTCTTTCAACTACACACAGATCACGACTCGCAATCATGGCTGTTGGAAAGTAAGCCTTCTATCCTTCCTTCCTTGCATTGCTTCCATCGTCTCGAATATTTGCGCATCTCAATCCCACCGAACGCACGACTAATTCTCATCGCGCAGGAACAAGCGTTTATCCAAGGGTAAGAAGGGTATCAAGAAGCGTACCGTCGACCCCTTCACCCGTAAGGACGAGTACTCTATCAAGGTATGTGGTTTATTCTGTTCTCACAGTCTAACACAGTACTAATAATTCCCAGGCTCCCTCCACCTTCCAGACCCGCGAGTATGCACACCCCGAATTGTGCCCAGGAGAGAATTTTTGGCTTCGGATTCGGTTAACTAACAAATTACTCCAGTGTCGGCAAGACCCTTGTCAACCGCACCAGCGGTCTGAAGAACGCCAACGACTCCCTCAAGGGCCGTGTCGTCGAGGTCTCCCTCGCCGACCTCCAGAACGATGAGGACCACGCCTTCCGCAAGGTCAAGCTCCGCGTCGACGAGATCCAGGGCAAGAACTGTCTGACCAACTTCCACGGTCTTGACTTCACCACCGACAAGCTCCGTTCCCTTGTCCGCAAGTGGCAGTCCCTGATCGAGGCCAACGTCACCGTGAAGACCACCGATGACTACCTCCTCCGTCTCTTCGCCATCGCCTTCACCAAGCGTCGCCCCAACCAGATCAAGAAGACCACCTACGCCCGCTCGTCCCAGATCCGTGCCATCCGCAAGAAGATGACCGAGATCATCCAGCGCGAGGCCGCCAGCTGCACCCTCTCTCAGCTCACCCACAAGCTGATCCCCGAGGTTATCGGCCGTGAGATCGAGAAGTCCACCCAGGGCATCTACCCTCTGCAGAACGTACGTCTTTCCCACCGGCCCGAATGGAGGTATCTAGGTTGCTAACATGGTATTGCGTCTTTTAGGTCCACATCCGCAAGGTCAAGCTCCTCAAGTCCCCCAAGTTCGACCTTGGTGCTCTCCTGTCTCTCCACGGAGAGTCCTCCACTGACGACAAGGGTCAGAAGGTTGAGCGGGAGTTCAAGGACCAGGTCCTCGAGAGCGTTTAAAGGTTATGTCAATTGAATTCATGTCACGTATTGGTCAGCTTGGACACACCCTTGTCTTCTGGTCATAGGAAAAGAAAAAAGTTCAATAACGTGCAGATATGTTCCAGGGACTCAGCTGTGCGTTGCCAGTCTTGACATGATCCTAAAATCCAAGGGTAGTAGTTTTATGTTCAATCCTTGGGTGTCGATCTTATCTCTAGCATTGTAGATGTAGTCTCGATTTCTGATTCGATTACTACTATTTGGCAGAACCTGGTCGCATATCACTTCAATATTGAGATCACACCAGCGCCCACGAGTTCCATCTCACTAGCCTTTTCTGTCTTCAGCAATTAATGTTTAAGCAATCTCCTACTGGTCCTGGATTTCTCAATCCAATGTCCTCGTCCTATGACCCACTCTACGAGTAAACAGTTTGAGCCAATTGGGCCCGATAACGTGAACTCGTACCAGTAGTAGTATCCGCCGCCCTCTACAGACTCTACAGAGTGGTTTCCCATCGTCCGGGCACTAGTACTCTGTACAGCATGTAGTACTCGTCCTTCACCCCATATGAAGATCGCCAACAAAAATCTCATTGACACTCCACTTTTGAAAGCACACACTTAAGCACGAATATGGTCTAACTAAAGCTTAAAAATCTTAACAAATATTCTCTCCCATATTGAAGCGCCTACCTAGGTAGGTACTTCGGCAGTCTATTCCATGATGATACTAACTAACAAGTACATATGAAGCACGTGACCGTAAACGACACCGCTATCCTTCTCTGTACTCCAAACTGAGCAGTCTAATTGTCAAGTAACACAAGGGCTGAGCGCCTTACCCGCGCAATATCCCTGTGTCTCTCAGCCTCGGAACCGCCGAGCACTTGCAAGTCACATGACAGTCGAAAGCGGAAAGCGGGTAGTCGGGTACGCGGAACAGTGGCAACTCGATATCCAATCACAGGTGTTGATATTCGCCTTATCCCCCTCAAATCTCTGTTGAATCTTCTTGCAACTTTTAGATTCTACATACACCATGTCGTTCTCAAACTTGGTCTCCGATATTGCCTTTCGTGATGCCCGCGCCGACGATGGCAGCTCACAAATCTCTCATGCTCGATCGCACGCTGCTCGCTCGTACGCAAGCACCGCGGCCACTAGTGTCAGCATCTCTGGCGAGGTATCCAGCCAGCTGCACTCGGGCTATAGTCACCCTCTGAGCAGAGCTTGGCAGGCCGAGAGACAATTGACCAAGGTTCGTTTGAGTCCCATTGCATTGGTAATTGGACGCTAACACAGCCAGGACATGCTTATTTATCCCTTGTTCATCACCGATAACCCCGACGAGGAAACGCCCATCCCCTCCTTGCCTAATCAGTGCCGCCGTGGAGTCAACCGACTGATTCCTTTCCTGGCCCCGCTAGTCCGCAAGGGTTTGCGCTCGGTCATGCTGTTCGGTGTCCCGCTGCACCCCTCAGCCAAAGATGCCCTGGGCACCGCCGCCGATGACCCAGATGGTCCCGTGATCCAGTCTATCCGCCTCCTCCGCTCTCGCTTCCCTCAACTTTACATTACGACCGATGTGTGTCTCTGCGAGTACACCTCTCATGGCCACTGTGGAATTCTCCGTGAAGACGGCTCTCTCGATAATGCGCAATCCGTTGATCGGATTTCCGATGTTGCAATTGCCTACGCCGCAGCGGGAGCCCACTGCGTGGCTCCCTCAGATATGAACGATGGACGAATCCGCGCCATCAAGCTGAAATTGATTGAAGCTGGTGTGGCCCACCGCGTGCTCTTAATGTCTTACAGCGCCAAATTCAGTGGCTGTTTATACGGTCCGTTCCGGGATGCGGCTGGTTCCTGTCCCTCTTTCGGCGATCGCCGGTGCTACCAACTCCCTCCCGGTGGCCGTGGTCTCGCCCGCCGTGCTATCCAGAGAGACATGGCTGAAGGTGCTGATATTATTATGGTTAAGCCCGCGAGCAGCTACCTCGACATCATCCGAGACGCTAAGGATTTGGCGCCGGATCTCCCAGTCGCAGCGTACCAGGTCAGTGGTGAATTTGCCATGATTCATGCCGCTGCCAAAGCAGGTGTCTTTAACATCAAGGACATGGCCTTTGAGAGCACTGAGGGTATCTTAAGAGCAGGCGCTGGTATTGTGATCAGTTATTTTGTTCCAGAGTTCCTCGACTGGCTTTGAACGCCTCGCTCCATTTAACATAAACTCTCCACTCTAAAAGTGTGATTTTTGGACCCGGATATGATGCATCTCTCTACATTTTACTTGATGCATGATCTATCACTGGATAGATCTCCCCCTCATGTGACACGATGTTTTCGCTATTTTCGGTTCTTTCTTCGTTTTTGTTTTCCTCATACTGAATACTACCTAGATATTTACATCTAGATACATACATTGTTCCAGCTTACCCATGAGCACAATGTGATTAATAGCAACCTTCGACTGCATTGCCAATTTCAATTGAAATATGTATCAATAACTATGTTATCAGCTTTAGAAGTATGTATAGGTATTATGTTTATTTCAAGGTCGTAGACAGAAATATGACACCTGGTTCGCCAGACAATAAATAGAAACGCTAGTAACGTACAAAGTTGATCGGAGTCATTCGTCAATAATGGATATCAATAAAAAAAAAGGAGACAGAAACACAGCAGACCGGAAACCACTGTCATTTCCCTTCATTTCAACCAAGGCATGAACAGGAAAAGACGAGCCGCACCCTTCATCATACAATCGTACACGTCGCTTCATCACATAAAAGTGGGTTTCGTCCCTAGAAACCCATATGCTGGAATGTCCTGTTTGACAATTTCTCCTGGGCCTATATAAACGCCCCGGTGAAGACGAACACCAGGGTATATAACACTCCCCGCACCTACATAACAGTCTTCTTCAATCGTAACCTGGCGGCCTTGGTAACGACTCTGCGATCCCTTGCGCTCCTGCATATTGGGATTAGCAAGAGCGCTGAGCACTTTGACATTCGGACCGATCCACGTGTGTGCGCCGACACGGATAACACAGTCGTCCACAAACAAACAATTTTCGGAGACCATCACATCCTCTCCGAGATGAATGTTGTATCCATAGTGACACATGAATGGCGCTTCGACAATCACACCCTGGCCGATGGAACCGAGAGAGCGGGGCGCGCCCATGACTGGCGAGTTAACAACTGAGTTCGCTGGCGGTACAATGATCTCCTTCAGTAGTCGGGTTTGCTCTTTCGAACTCACCCCGGCGAGCGGGTTGCTGGCATTATTGAATCTCCACAGTGCGCCTCGGCAACGATCCCGATCTTCAACAAGGTGAACGTCGAATGGGCGGTATAATTCGCCTTTCATCATTTTCTCCTTCTCGGTGTCTTCGCTTGAAACAGCTCGGCCGGACATGTGGTGCTCCATGTTCAATGCCATTCGAGCTTGGATCTGTGGACTATGTGTGTCCACGGCTGCCGGGGGCAATGTCCGTTGCTCAACACCGCCCTGAAATAGAGGCATTGTGGTCTTTGGGTGGGATGCGTGACCGAGATCCCGAATTGATGAGATGACTGGGTAGTCCGGTTTGGACCGGTTATCTTGAGATAGTTCATGGATGGAGGGGACTTCGCGATAAGGGACTTTTGAAACTGGTTCGGCATAAGAAGGATGGCCAGCGCTTGCGGATGGCCATGGTTGTTTTGACCACCCGGGAGTGGATGATGTGGTTGTTGGGCTGGTGTTGTATGGTTGTACAGGGCGTTCGCCATCCTCAACTCCCAGAGGTCTTATCTTGACAGGATCCACATGTTCTGGCATACTGGGTTGTCGGTCTTGGTGACGTGGTGTTTCTTGCATGTACGGGCTGTTGATATCGGAGTAGCCTTCTTTAGATTGCAGAGGAACTGGTGCTTTTGCGCTCGTTGGCTTCTGCCAGGTGCTTCGCGAAGAATAACCTTCGCACAGAAAGCCGCCTCTGAGACAGTTGTTGCCTACAATTCATGATCAATGTGTGCTCTTTTGATTTGAAGGAAAAAGAAGTGATTTCTAAAACACTGATGAGAAGAGCTAGATCCATCAGGTATGGACTTACATGCTGGATGTTGCTCGTCGCATTTCTTCTTTCTGCGACGGCAGGTCATACAACCTGTTTTTGTTCGATTACTAAACACTCGCTTTCTCTTTGGGGCGACCTGTAGCGCTCCATGTCGATCTGGCCCGTAGCCAGGAGAAGAAGCTTGCTGATAGCCCGGAGTCGATCGATTGGTACCCCGTTCATGGCCTGCTTCGCGTTGCAGAGCATCTGCCAGGTGGGCATCTGAGGGGTCCATTTGCTGGGCTCGCTGGGCCTGCGTGATCAACTGGGAATCATGTTCCGACCACGGACTATTGGCAGACGTCTGGCCCATCTCATTGCCTTCAGACCGGTGAGATGGTGTCGCGGAGTGATTGCCACGGTCCATGTCTACCACAGACCCCGCCGTACTGCCACTATGGTTGGCATGGTGAATGTCGGCAGATCGGTTCACCGGACTGGTGTTCATAGCATCAGGATTAGAGGAATCCTGATCCCGCGACTCAGACCTCTTTCTCTTTGTCTTGTGCGAGTTAGGGGATGATGATCTTGGGGACTGTCGCCCTTGCTCCTGGTCATTGGCGAGACTTCCCCGCGGTTCATACCGCTGACTGGCATCTAAGCTGGGTCTTTCTGCCAATCCACGCTCGCCAGGATGAGGACCGCTCCCAGGAGCTGGATCTCTGCCATTGACTGCCGTGAAGCGGTTCGGGCTATGTTCTGTCCCGTTTTCCGCCCCGGATTCATGACCGTTCATCATGGGTGCAGCAAGCGCAGTCATCGTGTGAGGTAGAAGGAAGAGAAAATAGAAAGGAAGAAAAAAATATAACAAAAATCGCTGTCAAATAAAAAAAAAAAACGATGGAGCTCAGGTAATACCTGATGATGACACTATGCAAGAGTATAGTGTGTATTGCTCATGAAAATGGGTCGTCAGCGCCCTTGGGATCCGAGTAAATTCATGCGCTAAATTCCCTTGAAACGCAATCAGGTCGCAGTCACAGTCGACAAGATGAAACGTTTCACGGACAGCACGATCAGAAGTTCCCCTCAGAGGCTTCTGCGGCAAACTCACCCGCGGTGGGGCGGTGGAAGATCTGGAGGCGGGAGATTGGCACAAATAGTATACAGAAATGACCCTTTTAGGCGAGATCAGAATGATGCAAAGCCAGAATATCAGCTCTAGTGATAGCAAGGGAATAGAAAATAGAGGGAAACCCAAAATTAAAAAAAATAGGGGGGGGAACAGAAGGGAATGAAATATTGGGAGAGGGAGGGGGGGAGGGGGCGGCAAAGTGGAAGAGGGGGGGAAAGAAACACTAATAAGAAAGGGAAAAAAAGAGAGAAAAGAAAGAGACGAGCTAGGACCCTCTTACATCTATAGCAAAGTACAAAAAAAAAAAACAAAAGGGAAAGGGGAAGTTGGCGATCGGCAATGACGGCGTCACACGCAGCACCAATCGGAAAGTGATCAACCGCTTCCTAGTGAAAGCGCGGGTCTGAGACACCCATGTCCATTCGCTCGCTTTTCGTTTTTTTTTTCTTTTGCGCGCGCGTTCCGGCTCCGTCCCGCGCTGACAAATTTGGGCCCGACATTCGCCATTGGCGCCGGGTGTGTCCGCGCATGTGGGCGGTTATGCGCTTAATGGGATTGGGCCTTTTTTTGGGGGGAGTGTTTAGGGGGTATTTATTTTTTTCCCTTCTGATCAAGTCATGTTCATTATCTTATTTAATTATTTTATTAACCCTCTTTAAACGCCCTCACTGTCTTCCTTTGGGACTTGGGAAGTTGAGAGTCGGAAGAGTTATTTGATGACTGCATCGTGCCGCCGCGCTAGGACCGGAAGACCAAAGTCAGGTCGGCTGGGCACGGATGCCTATGGCTTGCGCTTTTTACGCACTTTAGGCGACCTGAGTGCTTTTGCTTTGTTTCCCCTTCCCTGGGTTGCGATTGGGTCCTGGGATGTTTTTTTAAATCATATTATCACATTATATATATTATATGTATCACCCTCAATTTCCTGGCTGATTTCGAATCCTGATCCTGGTTTGAAAAAAGGCATATGTGAGTGTGGTATTGCTGTGTTGTACGAGTAGCAGTCTTCATTATCGCTACACAACTAGCGTATTAGATCAGTGAGATTATTTCTGGATATATCATATCAGATGCCCTAGATGTTTAATCTGTACTCCATAGTTACACTCCATACTCCATACTTCGTACTTACATCATGCGTACTCCGAACTTAGAGCTGCGGAACAGCGAACAGCTCTGGAGGTAGGAGTAGCTCGGCTGTGTGATGTTGTCACAGTAAACAGCGCGGGCGGAGAGCTCGGATGACTAAGGGGACCAACTTGGAAGGTCAAACATCAACGCGCCTCTCACCGCCAGAGTCTGAGATAGCTTCTTTTTTTACCCCCGATTTCCTGTCTTATTGACTGCCTGAGTATTCTGGTACGCTGAGATCGCTTCCCTCACCCAATCAATTTTCTTCCCCCTGAGGCCGTGCTGACCCCAAACCCCTCCAGAGGATCTCTCTACCCCACCGATCCTATTACTTCCTATCCCACCCCTCCAATACTGCCCTGCAGCCGCCTTGGCCCCTCACACCTAATCCAGGCGGTTTCTAATTAACCCTCCCTTTTGGACTCTCGTGTCACCAACCTCATTCCGAGATCTGAGGCGACGCCGCCCGTCCGCGCCGGGATGTCGATTTCCGTACAAGAGCTGGACAACACCGTCCGGGCTCTGTTTGAAGGCAAAGGAGAGATTGTAGGTCAAGTTGCTGTCTGCTCAGGGGATGATTCTGAGATTCTTGGAGTTGCCTGAGTTCTTTTCTGGGTGAAACGCTGACACTCTGGAACCCATCTAGCAAAACCAAGCCCAACAGACTTTGACGGAGGTAAGCGCGCATTCCAACCAGAATTTGATATGGACACCGAGCTGACTGAGTCTTTGCGCTGTTTAGTTCAAGCAGAACCCAGATGCCTGGGTCACCGTCGGCAACATCCTCCAAGAGGCCTCATATCTTCAAACCAAATGTTTGTCCCAATGCCTCTGGCCTGCCAGTCCATCCCCGAAACCCATCCACTAACCTGTTCTAGACATTGCCCTTCAGGTCCTCGACAATGTGATCATGACCCGGTGGAAAGTTCTACCACGAGAGCAATGCCAGGGTAAGAAACAATAGTTCACAGTCTCTGTTTGCCCACGCTTACATTGCCCGGTCCAGGTATCCGAAACTTCATCGTTAGGTTCATCCTCGAGAACTCCGAATCCGAGGAGAAGATCCAATCCGAGCGTCCTCTTTTGAACAAGCTTAACCTGGTGCTCGTCTCCATTCTGAAGCAGGAATGGCCTCACAACTGGCCCACCTTCATCAACGAGATCATCTCCTCGTGCCACGCCAGCCTCTCGATCTGCGAAAACAACATGAACATTCTTCGCCTGCTGTCCGAGGAGGTCTTTGACTTCTCACAAGACCAAATGACCTCTATCAAGGCACGAAACCTGAAGACGACCATGACTTCTGAATTCGCGTCGATCTTCCAGCTCTGTTCCGAGGTTTTGAACACTGCCAATCAGCCCAGTCTAGTGAAGGCCACTCTCGAAACACTGCTGCGATTTTTGAACTGGATTCCCTTGGGTTACATCTTCGAAACCCCCATCATCAACACTCTTCTTACTCGGTTCCTCGGCGAGCCCGAGTTCCGAAATGTGACCCTGAAGTGTCTGACCGAGATTGGCGGTTTGCAAATCGGTACTCCCTACAACTATGATGAAAGACTGGTGCACATGTTCACGGAAACACTTACTGCCGTGTCCAACGTTATCCCCTTGTCTCTGGATCTGAAGCAGACCTATGCCATGAGCAACGGAAGAGACCAAGAGTTCTTATCAAATTTGGCCTTGTTCCTTTCAAGCTTCTTCGGTGCTCATCTGGACGTAAGTTTTTACCACTCCGCTTTAAATACACTTTTTGTGACTGTATACTAACGTGCTCCTCCACTTCCAGCTCATTGAGAAGTTGCCAAACCAAGATTATCTCACCCACTCACATTTCTACATGATTCGAATCAGTCAGATCGATGATCGGGAGGTTTTCAAGATTTGCTTGGACTACTGGACCAAATTGGTGCAGGAACTCTACGAAGAAATGCAGCAGCTTCCCATCACCGATATCAACCCGCTGGTTTCCATGAGCGTCAGTGGTCTTGCCAATGGGGGTGCTCCTAATCCTAGCACGTTGGCCGGCTACCCTCTTCGCAAGCACAAGTACGAGACCGTGCTCACAAACCTCCGCACTGTGATGATTGAGAAGATGGTCCGTCCGGAGGAGGTCCTCGTTGTGGAAAATGACGAAGGTGAAATTGTCCGTGAATTTGTCAAGGAAAGTGATACCATCCAGCTTTACAAGACAATCCGCGAGTGCTTGGTCTACCTTACCCATTTGGATGTCGTTGATACCGAGACCATCATGATCGACAAATTGGCAAAGCAAGTCGATAATACCGAATGGTCCTGGGTGAACTGCAACACGCTTTGCTGGGCCATCGGCTCGATTTCTGGCGCCATGAACGAGGAGACTGAGAAGCGGTTCTTGGTCACTGTCATCAAGGATCTGCTTGGGCTCACAGAGCAAAAGCGTGGCAAGGATAACAAGGCTGTGGTGGCGAGTAACATTATGTACATTGTGGGACAATACCCTCGATTCTTGAAGGCTCACTGGAAATTCCTGAAGACTGTTGTCAACAAGCTATTCGAGTTCATGCACGAAACACACGAAGGTGTTCAGGATATGGCTTGCGATACCTTCATCAAGATTGCAAACAAGTGCAGACGGCACTTTGTCGCACTGCAGCCCGGTGAAAATGAGCCTTTCATCGAAGAAATCGTTCGGAACATGAGAAAGATCACACAGGATCTTTCTCCTCAGCAGATCCATACTTTCTACGAGGCATGTGGCTACATGATTTCTGCTCAGGGACAAAAGACACTCCAAGATCGCTTGACCGAAAACCTGATGGCACTTCCAAACTCCGCCTGGGACTCTATCATCGCCCAGGCCAACCAGAACCCTGCTATTCTCCAGGATAACGACACCATCAAGATCGTTGGAAACATCATGAAGACCAACGTGGCGGCTTGTTCCTCCATCGGCACTTACTTCTCTTCCCAGATCGGTCGTATTTACCACGACATGCTGAACATGTACCGGGCTGCCAGTGAGCTCATTAACACTTCAGTTGCCAATGACGGTAATCATTCCTCCCGTAAAATCTTGAATTATGACTGACACATGATAGGAGCCATTGCACCCAAGACCCCCAAGGTCCGGGGACTTCGAACCATTAAAAAAGAAATCTTGAAGCTCATCGACACCTATGTGGACAAGTCGGATGATCTTGAGATGATCAACGCCAACATGGTACCCCCACTTATGGAGGCTGTTCTGATTGATTATGCCCGGAACGTTCCCGATGCACGAGAGGCCGAGGTCTTGAACGCCATGACTACAATCATTCATAAGCTTCACGTATGTTCTCCTATCCCAAAGGCCTCATTGGACATGTGCCATGTCCAGCATAAAATACCTTTTGTGAACCTTGCTAATACACAAAAACAGAACTTGATGGAGGACAAGATTCCCGCCATCATGGACAGCGTCTTCAACTGCACCCTTGAAATGATCAACAAGGACTTCCACGAATACCCTGAGCACCGTGTCGAATTCTTCAAATTGCTGCAGGCGGTTAACTTGTACTGCTTCCAGGCGCTTCTGAAGCTTGATGGCGCTCAGTTCAAGTTTGTGATCGACTCATGCATGTGGGCTTCGAAGCACGATAACCGTGAAGTTGAGAACACGGGTCTCACGATGTGCTTGGAGTTGATGAACAACATGGCTGAGACTGACCCACAGACCTCGAGCATCTTCTTCCGTCAATTCTATATTTCGATTCTCCAGGACGTCTTCTTTGTCTTGACTGACAGTGACCACAAGGCCGGTAAGTGAATCTCCTTCCCTTTGACCTATACCCAAAGCTCCAAAGCTCACGATATTTCCCAGGTTTCAAATCCCAAGCCATGCTTCTGTCCCGCATGTTCTACTTCATTGAGTCCGGCAAGATTCAAGAGCCTATCTATACTCCCGATCAAGCTCCCATGGGAACTTCAAACAAAGAATTCTTGCAGGAATACATTGCTAACCTGCTGAAGAATGCGTTCAACAACCTTCAAGAGTAAGCTATCCTTCCCTTCATAGGGCCCTGTCACATTGATGCTAATGCGCCTGCACAGAGCCCAAATCAAGCAATTTGTCCTTGGACTCTTTGCCTTCACCGATGATCTTAACAAGTTCAAGACCCACCTCCGTGACTTCTTGATCTCCCTCAAGGAGTTCTCTGATGATAACGCAGAGCTCTATGCGGAAGAGAGAGAACAGGCTGTCCGCGATGCCCAAACGGCCGAGCGAGACCGCGCTATGAAGGTCGGCGGCTTGTTGAAGCCCTCGGAGATGGACCAGGAGGATGAGCTATGACTGGATCAGGAACTTCGTACGGAGTTTGTTGTTCCTAGTGCTTCTGGAAACGAGCCAGAAAGATCGACCCTGAATGATGGCCTCGACGGCTGGGGTCTCTACGAGCTCTAGGCCAAAGGTTACAACACGTGGTTCTGCAATGTGTGATTTTCATACTTTTTCTTAAATTTTTTTTTCCCCTCACCGTCTTGGACATGGATAGACCGGCTCTCTGGATGAGCAGGTTCCTTCCTGGGTGTCGATATATGAAGGCGTATGGAACATATCTAGGTAGTTTCATCCTATTCCAAGGCGTTGTTTGATAGCTTTTAACGTCAAATGAAAAAGAAAAAAACGATTACCAGTTCCACAGGCTCCGCTAGTAAAAAATAAAAAATAAACGTCCCAAGCTTGCTGCGATAATTTACAATATCAGCCCTATCACTCAGTGAAAGCTCGGGTGCCAAGACCGTGGGTAAGTTCCGATCCAATTGAAAGGCGGTGAACCCCTTATCAGTTGCATCATTAGAAAAAGTTCCGCCTCTCCTCATAAACCATAACCCACGACACATACACTGTCCAACATGTCTCGAACACGTCAACTGCACAACCCCCAAACAACCACCGAAGCGCGGGAAGAATCAGTCCCCATTTCGACAACATTACGATTACGAGCCGAAGAAGCACCCGAAGCAACCTCCTCATCCAGGCGCATAAGATGGAGCGAAGATGTCGTTGATAATGAAGGCATGGGCAAAAAGAGCTCTAAAGGTGAGATTTCCCACCTACCTATCAAATATCCCAATCTTACGTTCTCAGTATGCTGCATCTACCACAAAGCCCGGCCAGTGGGAGAAAGCAGCTCGGAGGAATCATCCAGCTCATCAGACAGCGATACCGACAGCGAAGATGACCGGCGTACAGCCAGGATGAAATCCCGTCGTACACGCCCTCATAATCATGACCATGATCACGATAAAGATTGCTCAAATGATCACGACCACCCGAAACCCAAGAAAGCGAAAAGGAAACCAAGTCCGAATGCATATGAGAAAATGCCGAAGCCTTCGAAAAACCATGATCCCAGGCGAGGAAATTGATTTGGTTGCATTACTGGGCTGATATCGGGAGTACAGACTTCTTTGGGTATGAATAGATGGGTTGGTTGTCAGGGTCATGCCGATGGCAAATTGGGTCTCTGCGGGGTCAATGGAGAGCAGATCATAGGCACATGCAAACTTTGGAAGATTATACCCTGCCTTGGACGTGCATGCTTAGTGACAATGGCATGATGAGGGAGCGTTGGAGAGTGGGGATCTCCTTTTTGGGCTCGTTGCATTTCCGCTTGGATTACAATCAATGAACAATATATCTGTAAACTGGAATGGACTAGCGGCTAGCAATATGTTGATGCTTGGGCTTCAGGACAAGGGGAGACGTCACTGAGTCGGAGAATCATGTTCACTTCCACAACAGGAAAGGTATGGTCCGAAGACAGTTGAGTACTACTTAGACCAAAAACTCGAGCACATAGAGAAATGAAATGGTATTGTGAACTGCAGCGAGGGGGTATCTGAAACATAACTGCAGCCTGGTCTATAATGCTTGTACATATGGAAATCCTGATTTTGTATTACACCATCATGCTTTTTCTCCTTGCTGCAACACGCCCGCGTCTGGCATCGATCATTGGCGCGAACAAGTCTTCCTCCTCGGGAGAGTCGACTGGGGATTGCGGTTCATCCTGATCCACATTGTACTGTGCCATGTTCGCAGTACTCTTGGGGTTGGACGAATGACGTCGAGGCTGCCGCCTCGAGTTCAATGTCTCGTTGGAGACTTGAGCGGAGATATCCGCTATGCTGTCCTCAATCTCTTTTTTCATGTCGGTGTTCGTTGTGCCATTGATCTCTTCCTTTGGTGCGGAGGAAACCTTGCGCTTCCGTCGAGATACCATTGCCAGCAATTCTTGTTGGGAAATGTTCTTGGAGGCACCTGAGCTTTGATCTGCGAGGGCAAAATCAGCAGGGAGACTCCCAGGCTGGGCGTCATTTCCTCCATCCAGGCTGTCCCGACCTGACTGGAAGCTGGAAGACCTTCGTGAGCCAAATGCAACTGCATCGGCCATTTCTTTTGTGGGACGCCGCATCTTATCACGTAGATTGGGTTCAGCGTAACTGACAACGGCACCACGACGTCGGGAGGGTCGACTTCCAGATTCCTCCTCTGCATTCGATGCATTGGGGTGTGGTGATAACACTGGAAGTTTTTGTACCGGTTCTTCCGCTTGGACAGGGCGACTGGTGCGCTTTTCTTTTTGTGAAGGGGCAAGTTTCGTTGTGCGAGGCTTTTGGCTCACAGTCTGGCCGCCGAGTTTCTCTATCGACTTGCTCTTCTGAGGTGAGATTGTGTTCTCGTCGGCTTTGGTAGGTCTTTGCACAAGCTTAGAGTCCTGGTGTGAAGACATGCGGGCTTTCTTGGGAGAGCCCAAATTGGAGTTTGCACTCTCTGTTGTGGTTGTCAGCTCGAGCTCAACTAAATAGAACCACAAAAAATTATGGGGATAAAAGTGGTACATACTTGGCTCAAGCACCTTGCGCTTGGCTAGGACGGGGGTCTTGGATCCTCTTGTCATCTCAACATTTTTGATGGGCGACGGATCTTTCCGCGTAACCTCGAAGAGGTTCGTTTGCTTTTTGGGGCTGTGATTGGGTCGGCTGAATTGGAATTCGTCTTCGTCGGCGTCAACATTGGGGGCGAAGTGATCGTCGTCCTCTGGAACGAACTTGCGCTTGGCCGAGACCGGGTGCGAGGCGTTTGCTGTAGTGATAGGTGGGCTTGGTTGTCGCTCAATCGGGGCAGGACCAATTTCCGGTGCGAGGATTGAACTAGACTTCTTTTTCTTTTTGCGAGTTTCGAGCGTTGGGGGAAGAATAGCTTCCGGCTCTGGTTCTTCGAGTTCTTCGACGGTACTGTCAAGGGGGGCTCTGTGTGTGACTTCTGGCGGCGATGGACTGGAGTGTTCGATGTTGGCCTCTACTGGCTCCGGTGTGAAACTGAACTGAGGGGGGGATTCCAATATGCTTTGGTCATCACTTCCATGGAGGAGACTATCAAGTTCTTGGGCCCTGCAAAAGGGGTTAGTCACAGATAACGAATAGATCAATCGCGGTGAGCCTTACTCCAAAGTTCGTCGCGGGTAATATTTATCCTCGACAATGGCGGGGAGTCTGCCATCGTCGTGTCCAAACAAGTCGTCGGTTCTGGGTCGCGACTCTGGCGCCTGTTTTGGTCGCTGGGACTGTTCGTCGCAAAGTTTGCCCACGCGGCGGGGCAATGATCCCAAGTCCGTCGCCAGGCTGCTCAACTCAGCTAGCTTGGCATCCAACTTGGATTTTATATCATAGATCCCGTTGTGTAGCATCTTCCCTGCCTCCAGCCTTTCGGTCTCTTGGGTAAGGTTAATAACCTGTTTTCGAAGCGAGACATTCTCCGAAAGCAAATGGGACACTTCTGACTCCAGGCTGCGGATACGCAGAGATTGCATAGAGTTTACTCGTGCGATCTCTCGGTTTTGTCGCACGAATCGACGTTTGACTGTAAGTTGATCGCGCCGGTCAGCTATGTCCTCGATTTTGACATATTGCAGCAACTCACGAGCGTCAATAGACTCGGCAGGAGCCGCGTAGTCGTTCAACCTAGCCATGGCGGTGCGACCACGGCCTGAAAAAATCAAAAACAATAACGGGGGGTAGGAAAATGACGATCAATGCTGAAGGTACACACCATCTACCTGTTGGCAAGGTGGAGTGAAACGGTCGGGATACAAAGAGAGCAGAACGTAAACAGTCCACCCTTGTTGATTTTTGTCCGTTTTGGGCTTAGTGTGGTATTTGATGAGTCATCACATAAACGGAAGGCGCCTGGGCACCAAAGGCACTTTACGTATGGCGGGGAAACGCGTCCTCACTTCACTGTCGCTAGTTTTCTCCCAATGGCATATTCCTCACGGCCGACATCAATGCTCCCAGGCGCCCCTGGTGGGTCGTCCATGCGCCCGCCTAGTTCGCAGTCCCAGCAATCTTCGGCCCTTTCCGCCCGCATTGCGGCCAAGAAGGCAGAGCTGGAGAATTTACGCCAGCTGCGCGATTTGAGTGGAACTTTGGCACTTCAAATGCAAGCTCTGGAGAATAAGGTCTCCACGTTGAAAGATGGCACCGAAGGTTGCCCTTCCTATCCCTTGTTTAGGGAATGGTCACTAACTCACCATTGTGTTAGCTGTGGCATACGTGCTATCGAATTGGGATAACGTCCTCCGAGCCATCACACTCGCTTCCAGTAAGCCACATCGAAACCTTATCGCGGACTCGTATTGACGGATTGTTCCATAGAAAAAGCCAGCGGGCTCCACGAACCGACCGAGACGGAGAGCAAAGACGCGAATACAAAAGAGCACTTGCCGGCGACGCTGGTTCGCATTCCAGCTGAGCCACGTGAGAAAACGGGCGAATGATCTCCGCTGTCTCACTTCCGGTTAGTCGGCTGAACACCCTTCTAGGGGAACGCCCCCATTGTGGCTGGGGATAGTTCACCTCATACATATGCCGGCTCGGTAATTCCCTCGGTGGGGATCTTGGCTATTGCCTATCTCGAAATACTTACGGTTGGACGCGGCGACCGAATTTTTTCGTCGTGATTGTCACGAAAGCCATGAATGGTTCCTCTCACACCCAGAAGAAGATTCCAGCACCACAAACCACACCCGGTGGAGATAGGATCCGGCACTCGGCAGACCCAATTAGGACCACGGGTCCCTTCATGTGTGCAAATCATGGGAATCTTCGCGTGACGCTATGAAAATTTGAGCAGTGCTAAAGTTTCGCATATGCAATAGAGTTGGGTTATCTCGAAATGGGCGACAAATCAGCAAAGACATGGTCTAATCTTCCCTCCCTCCACCCTTTTCAAATTAGCTGCACAGGCAATCATAGGTATAGGCAATCCGATGAGGAGCTGACGTGATTGGATCATTCATGAGACTTCTATCCAGGTGCATTCGGAAATATGTACAGCTTCAGGGAAGTTGAAAGGACTAGGACGTAATTAGACGTACTAGAATACATTGGGACTTAAATCCAGGGCCAAAATAGGTTTCAGCTCATCATGAGACTAATGACCGAAGGTTATGAGCGACGATAGTTACCGGTTCGAGGTTCCTGCATGGGGGCACTTGGCACATTTAGGGGGGCAAAAGGCGAAACCCAAGTACGAGGTGGGTACATGAGCTCGGGCCCTAGGGTACTCTGATGCTACCCACGGGTCCCCATGGTGTACCTTGGTGGAGCCAAGTACCTGGGTACCTGGGCAAGGTACCCATGCGGTACCTCATTATTTTCAACTAAGCGCCCGAAGCACCCCAATATTCTCTCTGCTATGATTTGGCTTAGAGTCATACGTGGATCCAGTTCGATTTGCATTCTCTATCAATAAACAGATTAAATGATAATATGATTCAACCCGAATGGACACAATGTGCAGTCTGAGCTCAACGTGCGCGATTATTTCCCCGCAGCCGTACCTACATGTTTTAGTTCCTTTTTTTTGAGTTCGGCTTTTCTTAAACATTCCTTATATATCTCCATTCCAGTCTGGGATGGCATGATCGCTCTGTGACACTTATAAAGTGGAGTATGAGGTGATCTGCTGGACTTTAATACTCCTCCCTCTCCCTCTCTTTTTCAATCTCAATCTTCAATCTTCAATCCTCAATCCTCAATCCTCAATCCACATATACCAGCTATTATAGGTACACACACCTATTAAGACATATACACTATACAACTATACCCACCATACCACTCCACCACTCCACCACACATCATGTCCACTGAATGGTCATTGGATTTCTGTTTGGTCTGTGACCGACAGACCTTGGGCGCACCCTATTGCTCGCAAACATGTCGTCTGGCCGAGTTGGATGTCGAAAACTCCTCCCGCAGATCGAGTGAGGCCTCAACACATTGGTCCGAGACTGCCCAAGCACAAACCCTCTCCGCCTCCTCCTCGCAAACATCTCTCGCCTCCCTCAAAGGCAACGAATCTCATGTCACCGACCGCCTTCAAGACGAATTGCGCGATTATGCAAGTTGTTTCGATCAAGTCCGCGACCTCAAACGGCGCATGACAACCACATAATGGTCGAGGCCTACCCTCGATTCGACACTCGACATGACTCAATGCATGCAGCTCTGCTGTCCACTGAACGTTTTAATTTGCATCGGAAAGGCGTCAACGCTGGAAAAATATACACTGTTTTTTGGGGGGATTTTCCTTATTTTCTGGATCACACCCCGCTCTGTCTACTCAATACCCACACTTGTTATATATATCACATCAGAGTCGGGTTGTCAAGATGTTTCATCTCTTTGGCACAACTCTTGGAGTTTTTGTTTTTGTTTTTGTTTTTTTTTTTTCTTTCAAACTTTTAATAACCAGATTGACCATAATGAAAAAATTGGATTCATCGATATTCATTACTGGACCGAATTCTCTATATTGTGTACGAGTACTTCGTTCCTAAGGTAGACCTGGGGAACTCAAATCTCAATTGGGTATGTGTCAATCAACATTTCCAAGTGGGTTGAGGAATGTGTCTGCTAATGGAATGTATACAATGCAGCACGCGGCATAGAACCGGATAGACGTGGATAGAACCGAGAGCTGCACCTCCGTATGGAACCAACACCTGCGCAATCACTGCAGCTCCACGTCAAAGCTACCCCCAATCTGGCAACCCGCAGGCACTAGTGGAGGGATTCTCACCCAACTCTAAAGTTGAAAAAAAGAGTTGAAAGTCACACCATTCGTGCAACAGCCTTGGACAGTGCTTTCTCGTTCTTCGGCACGAATCGGACCTTGTATCGCTCAGGAATGGCCACCAAGCTACTCGGATCCGAGTTACCCCGGACCGGATGACAATCGGTTTTGTCATAGGGCTCGAGTCGGAAGCTGTTGAGGGTCCTCATGAAAACGAGATAGAGCTCTCGGTTGGCTAACAGGGATCCAGCACACATACGGTAGCCCATGCCGTAGGTAAAGAGTGGCGCGTCCGGTTGTTCGAGCCAGCGCTCCGGACGGAACTCATCCGGGTCAGTCCACACGTCAGGATCTATGAAGATCAGCTCATGAACTCTACAGTTGGTCTTGTTGCATTTCATCCTGAGAAAGGGGTTGACTTACCCATGTTACATGCCCACGCGTTTAAAAAGAACACCGTGCCCTTGGGGATGATGATCCCATTGTATGTGATATCCTTGATGGAGGTACGAGGCAGTGCCAATCGCAGCACGGTAAAGAACCTGGAATCAAAGTCAAATTGGTATTCGTCCAATGTCGTTTCGCATGGGACCATACCGAAGACACTCCCTGACGAGTGCAGCGACGTACGCACACCTCTGATCATCATCCACTGAACACATGGGTTCATCCTGGCCATACATGTCTTGAATAGCCTTTGCTGCCCGATCCTGAATATCAGGACGCTGGGCCAACAACCCAAGACTCCACGCAACCAATGTGGTAACCGTGTCCAGGCCACCAGAAAGCATGGTCAAGCTAATGGAAGTCAACTCCTCTTTGTTCAGCTTGGCCTCCTTGTCCAGAATAACATTGGCCTGGATGCAAGGTTTGTGGGTTCCCTTCGCCATGCGCTCGTCCAAATCCCGATTCAGGGCTCCAAGGTACCGATCACGACGAATGCGCATTTCAGCAGCCTTTTTCGAATTCGAACTGAATGGATTCAATCTCAGAAGGGGGATATAATCCTGCAGATTTCCTGTCGTGCTTCGGAACCGACTAATCTCCTCTTCGACATGGGTGATCTCGTCGAACAGATCCTCTTCCTGGGATGCGACCCGCACACCCCAGTTCAGAGTCAGTGCCAAACTCAGACTCAATCGCTGGATCATCGGCATAGGATCCACGGGCGTCTTCCCACGGTTTCCATATCTGTGCAGCTCTTCTACAAATGCCTTTGACTCCACGTCCAAGTGTGAGACATATGTGTCCACCGAGGGACGATTCAGCGCCGATGCTGCGCCCTTCCTGCGTCTCTTCAAGGAATCGCTATAGGGGGAGGTTCCGATCGTTGTGCCGGCGGTATTGGAAACAATCTATGCATATTAGCCAAGGTACTCAGGGCATAGATTCCAAGATCCAACCTTATGGAAAGTATAAAACTCGGGTCGAGAGCTAAGCGCCTGGGCATTCTGCCCGAACAACACCTTCGCAGACGCAGCAGAGTTCACAACGACAACGGGCACATTGCCTAGTTGAATCTGATAAACGGCTCCATGTGTCTTGGACCACAGACGATACTGCTCCGCGGCGTTGGTACGAATATGCCACAAGTTGCCGATCAAGGGCCAACCTGTCGGACCTTTCATGTCCTTGACGCGGGCAGAAGAACGCACAAATTCATTGAGGATGACGTAGAGGACTGGGACAAGGATTGCAGCAGCAGCGAGTGAGTGATAGGGATACTCGATTGCACTACTTTGTAGGCTGGATAGCACGGCGGCGATGGCCATCGTGAGATTTGATGATGTTGGGAATATATTCACCGAGTCTACATATCAGCTATAAGTAGATAGGTCTGACAACTGAATGGAACGTTTCCGTACATAGTTTCCCGCAGTACGAGTAGTAATTGTTTCTTCTACCCCACACATTTACCCCGGGCTACATGGTGCTGCTCGAGGGCAGCCGAAGCCCGTTCCGCACTCGGAATGCTTCCGCTGCCAATGGCCTTGGTATTATGTATTCGGTTTTGACATGGGGGGTCCGGGCTTGGATTTGATGTGCAGTGCCCAGGCAGAGATGGGGTGTTCATTGCTCATTGGTGCGCCGGGAGTCAGAGCTCAAGCCCAGTATATAAATCTCCGCTCATAGCCACAGAGGGGACATTCTAATTTTTTTGAAAGCTGTTGATTCATACCATATCTTCCAAGGTTGAATCAATTCTCATTGCTGAAACACATGACATATATCGCTATCTTATACTCCAGAAGCTTATCTCTACTGTATTCGCTCTCAACTGCGGGAAGAATGGGGCTTGACATTGCATAGCGCTAACGTCCGAAAGTGTACATCGGTGATAGCGCACGATCCGCAGAAATGTACGAGTACCTATGTAGGTACTCCGTACGCAGTGTCCTTCTGCATGTCAGTATGCAGAAACTGATCTGATGTTTTCTTTTTGTAGCTAGTTTTTTTAATAGTCGCGATAGTGATTGATAGTCCCAAATGGCAGGCACATTGTACAGGGGCTAATGAAGATCATAATCCACTTACGCAAGGACTCCCATTTTCATGGAAATTCGAATCCTTCTAGAAGATCTGGAAAATTGAGTCCGGTTTTGTATGCCGAATCCCAGGTATCATCGTGAACCGGTTGCGCGCAGAGAGAACAGGTTGAGTCTCCAGACAACCTGGCAGTATGAATCACATTCCTTGCAAACCGGAATCTCTTAGTGGGTCAGGACAATTCCCCGGTGGATCAGATCCAAACAAGGTGTTCATAAAACGGGGCCCCTGGGCCGGCTGGGGCAGGATTGGCCCCCTCTGACTGGCCCATATTCATAGCTGGAGCTTTCAGTCAGGTGGCCGCGAAGACTTTGATCGGGGTCCAGACCATTGAGTTTGGACAATTGTATGTCTTTTTTTCTTTTTTGTTGTGTCTTAGTCGGAGGAATCGAAGGGATAGAAGTGGATGTATCGGCTTCCCGAAGAATTGAGCCATGCGACTGGTCAAGGACCCTTTCGCGGAAAAATTAGACACAAAAAGAGAGAGACTGGAATTCCAGGGAATATTTTTTTTTTTCGCGTCATGTGTCGGGGCAGAGACCCGGAGCGATCAAAGCCTCCACTCTAAAGGTGCCGAGGTGGCAATTGGTGGGAGAAATGGTGCAGGACCAAGTTGCTCCAATGGACAGCTCCTTTGCGCCCATGACGCAGAGCTCTGCTTGTACTCGTGACACCCCTGGGTCGTCGGTGGAAGGTGTAGCGATCAGGTATCTGGTACTCTTGGCTTCGCAAATCTTGCCTTGTGTTGATATATGCTATTTTAGTTTTATTTGTATTTTATCTCCCTTTCTCCCTTTTGCTTTCCTCCACTCTCCTCTCTTCACTTCTCATCCTCCCTGGCCTCTCTCTTTTGGGCACATATTCCCGAGGATTTGTACATCTGTTCTTACACACATTCATAATGGCCGCTCGACACTCACGCAAGCTCCTCAGACCTCTCCTTTACACATCCGCCGCTGCAGCGGCCGGAGCTGGAGTTCTGTACATTTCTTACCGTCCACGAAACATTCCCGGTCTCGAGGCCCCGGCAGTGCCACCACCTGGCTACCGCGAAGGAAAGCTGGTGCCCCCCAGCTTTCCTCTAATTAAGTCTCGATTGGAACAGATCCAGGACCTGAAACGCAGTAACGAGGAAGAAGAATATGATCTTTTGGTCATCGGTGGCGGAGCCACCGGCTCCGGAATTGCGCTAGACGCCGCCACCCGTGGCCTCAAGGTCGCAGTGGTCGAAAGAGATGATTTCAGTGCCGGTACCAGTAGTAAGAGTACCAAACTGGTGCACGGAGGTGTCCGTTATCTCGAAAAGGCTGTTTGGGAGCTTGATTACAACCAGTCAGTATCTCCACCTTGCGGGGCCCTCTTTCCCTGGTTTTTCCTCCGACGCGATTTTGAGCTGACAGGTACATTGCAGATATGCGCTCGTGAAGGAGGCTCTCCGAGAGCGCAAATACTTCCTTAACACAGCTCCCCATTTGTCTCAATGGCTGCCAATTATGGTGCCTGTGCAGAAGTGGTGGCAGGCACCCTACTTCTGGGCTGGTACCAAGGCTTATGATTTCTTGGCTGGTTCCGAGGGCATTGAAACCTCGTACTTCCTGACCAAGAGTAAGGCGATTGATGCGTTCCCCATGTTGAAGCGCGATAACATTATCGGTGCCATGGTGTATTACGGTAAGTCTATCACTGTTGGTCTAATTTTGCTGTTCGGAGCTAATTGGGAGTTTAGATGGTGCCCACAACGACTCCCGCATGAACGTTTCCCTCGCGATGACCGCTGCCCTCTACGGAACCACTGTCGTGAACCACCTGGAGGTGACCGGATTGGACAAGGATGCCAATGGCAAGCTGTGTGGTGCGCGCGCCAAGGATGTGGTCACCGAGTTGAACGGTGGCAAGGCTGAGGAGTTCAAGATCCGTGCCAAGGGTATCATTAACGCTACCGGTCCCTTCTCGGACTCCATTCGCAAGATGGACGAGCCCGATGTCAAGGAGATTGTTGCCCCCAGTGCCGGTGTCCACGTCATTCTGCCCGGTTACTTCAGCCCCTCTAACATGGGTCTCATCGATCCTTCGACTTCGGATGGACGTGTGATCTTCTTCCTGCCATGGCAGGGCAACACCATCGCTGGTACCACCGACCAGCCTTGTGAGATTGAGGCTCAGCCCCAGCCCACCGAGAAGGATATCAACTGGATTCTGTCCGAGATCCGTGGCTACGTTGCCCCCGATATCACCATCGAGCGCAGCGATGTGCTCGCCGCTTGGTCTGGTATCCGTCCCTTGGTCCGTGACCCCAAGGCCAAGAACTCCGAGTCCCTGGTCCGCAACCACTTGGTGACTGTCTCCCCAGCCGGTCTGTTGACCTGCGCCGGTGGAAAGTGGACTACATACCGCCAGATGGCCGAGGAGGCCGTCGATGAGGCTATTGATGTCTTCAAGCTCAAGCCCCGCCAGATGAACTCTCTTCCCGATATCTCTGGTGTCGGTGGCAGCGGCCTGGTCGCTGACGGCGCCACCCTCGACGGCACCTGCCAGACCCACCAGGTTCGCCTGATCGGTGCCCACGGTTTCTCCAAGACCCTCTTCATCAACCTTATCCAGCACTTCGGTCTTGAGACCGATGTCGCCAAGCACCTGACCGAGTCCTACGGTGACCGCTCATGGCAGGTCGCTGCCCTGTCTTCTCCCACCGCCGAGCGTTTCCCCGTCCGTGGCTGCCGTCTTTCCGCCATGTACCCCTTCATCGATGGTGAGGTCCGTTACGCGGTTCGCCACGAGTACGCCCAGACCGCTGTCGACGTCATTGCTCGTCGCACCCGTCTGGCCTTCCTGAACGCCGAGGCTGCCCTCGAGGCTCTCCCCCATGTTATTGACCTGATGGGCGAGGAGCTGCAGTGGACCATTGCCCGCAAGGACGTCGAGTGGAAGCACTCCCTGTCTTACCTTAAGTCCATGGGTCTCTCTAACAGCTTCATGGGTCTCTCCCGTCAGGACGTCCAGACTGGTCGCGTCCGACAGGTTGACGACAAGGAGCGCGCCACCTTCTCTCGCAACGGTAAGCTCTTCGAATCGAACTACATACAACGTGATGCTAACGAATTACTTTAGAACCCCCTGCGGATATGATTGAGAGTGACGTTCGCGCCGTTTCTGACGCTGCTTTGGCTGCTGCGGCCAAATAAATGGTAATAATAGATTGATTGTACAAATAGAAGCGTTCCTTTACTTTTTCCTTTCTACATTTCCGTCTGATTAGCATGTTGCGCCTCCCAAAATATGATCATGTTGATACAAACCAAATCTCTATGAAAGCGTCTCATTGGACGCATGTATACGCGGACAGACCATAATTTCAACTCAAGTCTGCATTCAATAACTTGCAGATATCTTTCAGGTATATGCGGTAGTAATCAAATCTTATAACCTTAGCATATTGCGTAGAGCAAGGTGATATAGTGATTTGGTTCACATCTCCCTCGTAGCTGCCTCAAATGGCTGTCCCCATCGCAGGTTGAACTTCCAAGGCTTTTCCCCTTTCAATGACTTCAGCAATGAATCCCAATCCTCTTGCTTTGAATCCTTCTGGATCTATGGAGAAACTAGAGATAATTAAAGACGATGACCCGAAGGTTGAAGATCCTTTTGGGGACGAGAGCCAGACTGGCGTGAAGTACAAGACTATGGCCTGGTGGTGAGTTTCCTTTCGCGAAAGACAGAACAGACCGCTAATAACAATAGGCAAGCTGGAATGAGTACGTTGATCCTCTGCAGACGGCTCATTCACATACTGACCCATTCAGTTATGATCGCCGAGACCATTTCTCTTGGAATCCTCTCGCTGCCCAAAGCACTTGCAACCTTAGGCCTGGTTCCGTACGAAATCTCCTCCGAGTGAAAGCAAGAGCTAACATCAGTGCAGTGGAATCTTTGCCATCATCGTCATTGGGATCATCTCAACCTATACCGGCTACACTATCGGACAGTTCAAATGCCGACATGTGCAAGTCCACAGTATGGCTGACGCCGGTGATATCCTAATGGGAAGATTTGGGCGAGCGACACTGGACGCTGCGCAGATAGTCTTCTTCATGTTGGTAATGGGCAGTCACATCCTCACATTCTCCATCATGATGAACGTCCTGACCGAGCACTCCTCCTGTACCATCGTTTTCTCGACTCTCGGTCTGCTCGTATCATTGATTCTAACTCTCCCCCGACGACTCGAGCGGCTCTCTCACCTCTCTACCGTGAGCTTCGTCAGTATCATTGGGGCAGTGATGACCGGTATGATCGGTATTGCTCTTGCGAACAAGGAACCATCAAATGTTCCGGCGTTTTCACCAAGGGTAGAAGTGCACGAAGCATGTCTTGCTATTGCGAACATTGTCTTTGCGTATGCGGGCCATGTGGCATTCTTCACCCTCTTCTCTGAACTGAAAAAGCTCGATGATTTTCCGAAAGCACTCGCACTTCTGCAACTGAGTGAGATGATCCTATATATCGTTGCGGCGATTGTGATATATGCCTATGTGGGGCCAACTGTGAACTCACCTGCTCTCAACTCTGCGGGGACGTTGGTTCGGCAGGTGTCTTATGCGATTGCTATACCTACGGTGCGTTCAAATATCAGATGGGTAGTCTTGATATAAGGCTGACCGTTTTGACAGATTGTGATCGGAGGCGTTGTCAACGCCCATGTCGCGGTTAAATTCATATATGTTCGGATATTCCGAGGAACCACCTCTATTCATAGCAACTCCATCCTTGCGCGAGCAATATGGGTTGCTATCTGTACAGTCCTCTGGATCTTATCGTGGATTATCGCTGAGGGGATACCGGTTTTCAACGACGTTTTGGGGCTTGCGGTGAGTACTACACAATTAGCATCGGAGAGCAGTGGTTGACCTCGCACCAGAGCTCGCTATTCGCCAGTTGGTTTTCGTTTGGTCTCCCGGGCCTCTTTTGGCTATACCTCAATCGGACTTGCTGGTTCTTGACCGGGCGGCAACGGTTTCTATTTTGCGTCAACATCCTTTTGGTGTTTCTTGGATTCCTCATTGTGAGTTGTGCAGCCTTGGTGGCGAGACGGAGCTAATCTGTGCCACTAGTGCATTGTCGGGTTGTATTCGTCTATTCGGTCAATCTTCCACAACCTTCGTGATGGCGTTGGGGGAGGCAGTTTCTCGTGTGCGGACAATTCTCTTTATTGAGGTATCGAAGTGGTGAGGTACTCCGGAAAAATTCTGATTCGAGGGGAAAATTACACCACCTAGTATTAGCGCGGATTGGTAGAGTTATTGGTACTCGGAAGTATATAAATAAAGTGCAATCCGGCTACACGGATGTCACCAATGCGCAAGTGATTTCCTTTCGGGGCGAGTAGTGGATCTGCGCACAGGTATTTTCAATCACAAGGGATCCTTGTGTAAAATGTATGGGCAGATGTGACACTGAAAAGAGTATGGCTTGGAAGGGACGAGGATCAGGTACAACAAAAGTACCGCACAATAGAGTGATTAATATAAGTGGTCACGCAGATTGAACACTAACGGGACTAGGCTAAGGACGCTAGGGACACTAACGAATGACTCGCAGCCGATTCACCCGGGGAATTGCTCACATAACAAAATCTTATTATATTTATGGTTACAGTTATAGTCTGGGTATCGGGGGTCATCTTTGTATAGTATATATCCTAGGTCTATAAGTAGATGTATGTATATATATACACAGGCCCCCGGGGTAAATTGTATATTGACTTTGTGACTTAGCAATAAAATACATTAAACATGTGAATCAGTCGATACATTATATTCTATATTATATATTTTAGCTCGAACATAATGTGTTTTCACCCCCTCTTATGCATCATAGCCCAACGCATGTACTGTGTCCCAATCCAACAGGCATCAACTTGTACATTTTGTAGAACAAGAGGGCAACGTAGTCAGGAGACCGCTCTTTCAATTTGCTGGCCTCCGAGAATCGCGACCCTATCAAAACACACTCTTTTCCCGGGGGGTGTGGCATTTGGTTTTTTTTTTGGGAAAATTGGCACCAGGCTCGAGGAGTACCCCAAATCCGCCACTGGAGCCAGTCCAGCCATGGCACGAAAGGGAAAACAAAAATTTTGAAATTTTTTGGTGTTCGTAAACATGAAAGCGCAAACTAGTTGGCGACGTCACAGTTGCTGGTTTGCTGATAATTGTCCCAGAACCGAGCCACAGCTCGTTGAGCGACGGGAGAGCCGCGGTAGCGCGTTGTGAGGAAGTAGTTAAAGAGGGAGAATTCGTCTGGACTGAGGACGTAGGTATCGGGTTGGGATTGGATGCGATTCCAGAGTTCGGTAATGGTAGTGTCTAGGATGGCGGCGGTGGAGGCGTCCAAGGGGCCATCTTCGCAATTTCGGGCCCGCTCTAGAGCCTGTCGAATCTCCGGCCAGGATTTCGATAGAGGCGGGTTTGTCATGGTGGAATGTGGAGGAGAGGGTATCTGGTGAGAACGCGCGCGGCGCTCAAGAGCGATTGCAGAGCCAAATAGAGGGAGAAGGAAGGAATTCTCGAAACGGGGAATGCGATCACTTTTTAAATTAAAATGGGATGGGTGGAGACCAGCGAGAGAAGAGAGAAGAAAGAGAGAGGAAAAGGAAGAGGGGAAAGAATTTGGGCCAGTAGTTCCGAAAAGCTATGATTATAAGTGTGACATCCGAACAAAAAAGGATAGAATAGAAAAGCAGTCCCAGCTGTGGGACGTTCAAGCCGGACTTCCCCCGGGAGCGGAGATTGCGGTATGGAGAGATGAACCTGCAAGGCCGTCCAAACATAAATATCGCGAGAGTGGGGTGGTTTGTGCTGTATAAGCGGGCTCGCCCGGGAATGGCGTAACGGTTTTCATGGTTTTCACGGCATTTTCCAGGCTAGGATCGAGGGACACGGACCCAGATGCAGCAGTGATTCGTTGACGAGCTATAGAGCTCAAGGTTTAGACAGGGTCGCTTCAAGCCGATAGGGCCAATTGACGGGCCTTCGATGGGTCCAGCAATGGTCCGGTGCGTCAGTTGAGTGGAACTTTGGTGGAACTTGAGGCTCGACTGGTAACTTGTGCCGAATTCGAAAAATATAAACCCTGCGTTAGCGGTCTTTGCTGGTTTAGGTCGCGGTTTCTCCTATTGGCGAGCTCGTTTCGGCCGGAAATCTCCTTATTTTTTTTATAAAAAAAAACGGTAATGCCTCGTGCCGATGTACATCGTGTCTCCGAGACACTTTCCGGTCCTTCCACGGTTGTTGAACACAAGCGGTTGTTTGCCCGGGAAAAAAAATAAAAAATGCTGTGTTCATCACGATGATCGAAATTTGGAAAATCCTGCATAGGTTTCAGGTTTTATCGCTAGGCGAAGAAAGGACACGTAATGATGCATGTTCAGATCAGCCGAGGGCTCGACTAGCATTGGGCCTTTGAATGAAGAAGAATCAAAGAAAGAGGGAGAGAGAGCGAAATGAGGAGGAAGTGTGAAGTGGCCCGCAACTCTAATTGAGGTTCCTTAGTTTCAACCTCTTAGTGTTATGTACATTTTAGTGCTATGTACATTATAATATCCTTAATCTCAATAGAGTAACGTACTCGTATTGCTAAAAGATGAAACAGCCAGATTTTAAGTCCAGGTTTCGTGATATCGCAAACTTATTCTCCTTTAATTCGTACCTTGGAAGGATTGGAGTGGACTAGTGTTTCAGACATCTCGGGACCTCGGGAACTAACTGTATGAGGATCACAGATTGGTAAGTAGACAAAACGGCTCATAGTACCATTAAGCACCAAAATTTCTATCAACCAGCCAAGTGGCCGAGCAGTAACTCAGCCATCACATCTTCCTTGGTCTAGTGGTGATGATTTCCGCTTGTCATTAACACCGATAAGCGCGGGAGACCGGGGTTCGATTCCCCGAGGGAGAGATTTCTTTTTTGCTTTTGTATTTTTTTTTGCTGGCATATATAGGTATAGTTAGATTGATGCCAACATCCTTTCTAATCTATATATTTTCTAAAGATAAAGGAACCAACCAACCTCTTGGGACACCTGGGCTCTCTTGTCGACCAGCACAGAGGTCCCATGTGGAGTCCTCTTGGAGAACCCGTGGACGAACTATACAATGACTAAGCCGATAAAGAAATTCCCCCTCAACTCGAGACCCCACGAAGTCGACACAATTCAGCAAGAGGCAGTGCATAATGGTTTACTACTTCACATCCAACGTTGTATCACCTTCTGCCTTCATTTACGTTGGCAAAGACAAGTTTGAGAGTACGCCAATCGATCAACACCGCTGTCAATCCGACGATTCTAACCAGACTAGATGAGGATCTCATTAAGTTCGGATTAGACAACGATGTTTGGTATGCGACCTGAAATCTCTCTGTCGAGGAAGCGACTAACGTTACTGCGCAACAGGGTTTGTCATCCCTCCGACTTGCGACGCCAATTGCCCTAATAGTCTGTACCCCCACAGTTCCACGTCGACAATCTATCGAGTGCGCACGTCTACGTACGTCTCCGTGAAGGTGAAACGTGGGACAACATCGCCCAGCCACTGTTGGAGGACTGCGCCCAACTGACGAAAGCCAACTCCATTGAAGGTCGGGTCCCCGCCCCAATGAGTCGGCACTGACGACTGACCTCTTTCCAGGCAACAAAAAAGACAATATCACTATTATCTACACACCATGGTCGAACCTCAAGAAGGATGGGTCAATGGCTGCTGGCCAAGTCACATTCCACAATCACAAGCTGGTCCGCAAAGTCTATGTCAAGCAGCGCGAGAACCCCATTGTCAACCGACTCAACAAGACCAAGGAAGAGAGATTCCCTGATCTCCGTGCGGAGAAGGAGGAGGACACCCGGAGGAAGGCGCGCGGGGACCGCAAGGCTCGAGATGAGCAGCGTGCAAAGGACAAGAAGCAGCAGCAAGAATGGGAGAAGTTGAAGTGGCAGAAAGACCATGCCTATGATGACATGTTCACCGACGAGCAGCTGGAGGCCAGCAACAACCAAGACCGTGACGAGGATTTCTTGGACGACTTCATGTGACGGGTCATGAATTGACTTGAACTTTCTGTGTGACCCGCCGCGAAGTGAAACAAAATATACCCTTTACCAATTGCACGCAAGCGATTGAATGCTAGCCCGAATTTTGTGATCTGTTTTGTCTTGACTAGAGTCGATATGGAAATGAAAGGGTACTGACGAAGATATAACACCCAGCTTCTATGAGCAGACAATCTCTGTGTATCCCTTGAGAGCGCATAATAGCACACGTTTCGGCATGGATCCAACAAAGTCTGTACAACCACCGAAGTAGAGCATTTCCCCCAAACAATCGATATCCAAGTAGATCTCAAACCCTTGGAAGTCCACGGGTGAAATGGATGATCGATAAGGAGATTAATCATCGCATATCCGGGAAGGGCGCTAGCCGTGTTGACAGCTTACCCTGGAACCTTAAGAAACCAACTTCTTCTCCTCCCCCCCAATTCTAGGCTCACTTCAACATCATACAGCATGACTGAGGATAACCCACCGTCTGTTGCTCCTTCAAGTAAGATGACAACGCTTTCGTGAATTGGACCCCGCTGACTCCCTTCCAGGCGCAAAGTCCAAGAAGAACAAGAAGAAGGCTGCAGCTGCCAAAGCCAAAGCCGACACCGTGACCGATGAGCTAGATACGTCAATCGATCAGAACAATGTATGCAAGATCTGCGATCCACTCAATGTTTCATTGCCCCTGCTGAGACCCCCGCTAGAATAAAACCGATGATGCCAATGAGGACCCCACCGAAGAACCCGATTCCAACGGCGCCGAGCCGGAAACAACAGATCTCCCAGACCGGTCAGTCAACAATCAGAAAACTGCTACCACTGGCAATGCTCCCGCCAGTGCCGATGACCAGTCCGACCCCACTTCCAATCACACCGAGCCGAATGACCGATTCGATGCCCTCGTTCGCGATCGCGATTCTTTGCGCGCAGAAGTAGCCGATATGCGAAAGTCGTTAGAGGAGATCCAATCCAAACACACCGCAGACATCGAGCCTTTGCAACAACGCTTGGACGACGCAGAGAGCAAAAAGGAGCAGGCAGAAGCGCAGTACCAGAAGCTACTGGAGCGAGTGAATACAATCAAGTCGCAACTCGGAGAGCGGCTCAAGGAGGATGCCGTGCGTTGTCGTCATATCGCTTTCCCAGTCCATGCACTAATTTTACTCTTTAGGAGGAACTGGCTCTTGCGCGAGCGCAAATCGAAGAGCTTGAGGATGAGAACAGCGCTCTCAAAGAGGAGCTGGATTCCAAGTCCAATCAGATGCTTGAACTATCGGGCGATTCGGCAGAGAAGGAGAAAGAACTGGCTACCCTACGGGACCGATCGAGTCTATCCCAACAAAACTGGCTGAAGGAGAAAGAAGAGATGCTTGGGCAAGAATCGTATCTACAAGCAGAATTTGAGCAAGCGAAAGAGGCAATGCATAACTGGGAGATTCTTGCCATGGAGGAAAGATCTATCCGAGAGAATTTGAATGAAAAGGTCGGCGATTTGGAAGAACAGCTTACCAGCCTAAAAGAGGCATATGAGCGAGCAACCGATGATCGTGACACTCAACAGTCAACCGTCGATGGTCTACAGCGAGCCTTGCAAGAGATCCAGACTGCACGGAAGCAAGAACTGCGAGAGCTTGTGGAGAGCTCCGATTCACAACTCGAGGAGCTTCGGCGCTCTCTGCGCGAAGCGCAAAAGCAAGCCTCTGATGCAGACAAGGGCATTCAAACTGCACAAGAAGAGATTGAACGAATCCGGCCTTTCGAGAAGGAAGTTAAAGAGAAGAATCTCCTTATTGGCAAGCTACGCCATGAGGCGGTCACATTGAATGACCATTTGACAAAAGCCCTTCGCTTCCTCAAGAAAGGAAAGCCTGAAGATAACGTCGACAGGTAAGTCTGACTAGACGCAAGTGTAGGCGGAATACATACTGACTTTATACAGACATATCGTCACTAATCATTTCCTACATTTCCTCGGCTTAGACCGATCCGACCCGAAGAAGTTCCAAATCTTGCAACTGATTGCAGCTCTCTTAGGCTGGAATGATGGTAAGTTGCCCCTTTCTGATCAAAGTCTGAACCCAGATCTAACGCCGAACCAGAGCAACGTGAACAGGCAGGGCTTGCCCGCCCAGGGACGTCAAACATGCCCGGAAAACTACGAGTCCCGGGAACTCCACTGCGCACACCTAGCACGCCCAATTTGGCGACAGAGTTTATGGAAAATGGTGCCTCCAGCAAAGAGACGCTGGCTGAATTATGGTCTAATTTCCTGGAACAAGAGGCAGAAGCTGGGAGCATGAACCCTTCAAGGCGTGGAAGCCACCAGGGGCCTCTCAAACCATAGAGACCTGAAATGTATAAATCACGGGGCTATAGAAATGAATATGATTACTTAAGTACTTAATACTTCCAATGTTCAATCGGATGAATAGCACTGCGTAGGTGTTTGGATATTTACTCGGTTCAAGGTTATATACCGCCTTGATCTGCCCGTTTTCAAACGCGGTGTAGTCGCACCGCATCCAGATTGCAAGACCGATTGACTTCTTCTCTTATGTATCATTTACCTTTTCGTGCTTTCTCGGCGTCTCTCAATCCGTTCATTCGTGCCCGACGCTTTGCATCTACAATGTCTGCCGGTAATAATTCCTAGGGAACGTTTCTTGAATCGCATCCCACATCACGGCCGATCCCCGCAATCTCAAGAATTATTACTAACTTGTGAATTCAACAGTCTCCCAGTTCAGACCAGTGGTCATCAGTGGCCCCAGTGGCACCGGAAAGTCTACTCTCTTAGGCCGCCTCTTCAAGGAGTTCCCCGACAAGTTCGGTTTCTCCATCTCTCGTGAGCAAAACATATCCATCACCACAAGAACCCGTACTTAAGAAGACAGACACAACCCGTCAACCGCGCGCCGGCGAACAAGACTGCCGTGAATATTACTTCGTCACCAAGGAGGCTTTCCTCGACCTTGTTGCCGCCGATGGCTTTATCGAGCATGCTCAGTTCGGTGGAAACCACTACGGAACTTCCGTGCAAGCCGTCAAGAACATTGCCGAGAAGGAGCGCATCTGTATCCTTGATATCGAAATGGAGGGTGTGAAGCAAGTCAAGAAGACCGATCTGAATGCGCGCTTCTTGTTCCTTGCCCCGCCTTCGTTGGAAGAATTGGAGAAGCGTCTTCGTGGCCGAGGTACCGAGACCGAGGACTCGCTGGCCAAGCGATTGGCGCAAGCAAAGAATGAATTGGAGTTCGCCAAGCTTCCTGGCTCCCACGAGAAGATTGTTGTCAACGATGACGTCGAGAAGGCGTACACCGAGCTGAGGGACTGGGTTGTTGATGGTGGCCGTTTTGGCGCATAGTGCTATTGCCATTGCGCTCGGGTTTCCCCAAAAGCTCACACTCTCGGCTGTATACCAATGTGCATTGTTTAAATAGCGTTTTATAGTGCCGAGATACATAGAACTCGGACAATACCAGGAAGAATTGTGTGCACTGTGGTGTATAACAGAGCTGTGGACATATCTTTGGGAGAGTATTCAGAAAGTGGCAGTATATTGTATCATTGGTGTTTGATCTACGTAGTAGAACAAGTTGCTAAATAGTCATCGAAAAAAATTGCCCCGCAAAACCCAGACGCCAGGTGCCATGCAGCATATGTATCCACAGCTCATTTTAGAAATACACTCACTAGGCCAAGGATGAGGAGTTGGAAGTCACTCAACCCAAGCCTAGTCCCTCATCACGACAACGTATTCATGCGGTGTCCAGGGTTCTCCACGAGTCCTTGATATCTGTTGAATATCCGAATTAGCCTCCCCGAATATCTTCAAGTGCAACGACCTCCAGATCTTACCCTTAACACAGTGTGGGCACAGCAAGTGAGCGCGCTTGATTTGACCGCAGCCTGGGCACTTGTTGAGGTTCTTCACGTCCTTCAATGCCTTGCCGGCCATGAACCTGTGGCGCTTCTTCATGTGTGAAGTCTTCTTCTTGGGAACGGCGCGCAGAACAGATTCCCAGATGTCGGACAGCAGACCGGGAATATTGAGAGAGATTGAGACGGGTTGTAGGAATGCGGTCGCGATGGGTGGCATGAACCGAACGGGCCGGAATTGGAGGGCCTCGGAAAAGAGAGTGCGCGACATGTTTGCCGGGGCGAACGGAAGCAGACGCAATGCCATTATGAGAATCGTTAGAGCGGAAAGGAAAAGGGGGATGAACGGTGTAGTCGATGGGAGCTATCACAAGAACGAAGAAGCAAAAGCGATCAGTTTTCTCGCGGAGAGGCGCTAGTCCCCATTGGGTATAGTCCACCCCTGAGTAGGAACGCAGATAATAAGGGGTGGTTCTTGCCTCTCTTCTCTGCTGGTCAACTTTTGGGTGTGCGGGCTTTTTGTATTCTCTCGTTCAATTCTCTCTTCTACTAGCTATCGACAATGGCCACCGCTACCTCCCCAGCTGCGGCTCAGCCCACTGTTTTCCCTCACAGCCATGTCGGTTTCGACAGCATCACTTCTCAGATTGAGCGGAAGCTGTTGAAGCGTGGCTTCCAGTTCAATGTCATGTGTGTTGGTACGGAGTCGTCTGAATCTTCCACTTTCGAGGCGTCCTCAGCTAACGAATTGCGCGTTAGGTCAAACCGGTCTGGGAAAATCCACCCTAGTCAACACTATCTTCGCATCCCACTTGATCGATTCCAAGGGTCGTTTGACCCCCTCTGAGCCCGTTCGCTCCACTACCGAGATCCAGACCGTGTCGCACAGTACGTGATTGTGATCCCACTCCGAACCATCGAAATGGAATAACTGACGGGGACTAGTCATTGAGGAGAACGGTGTTCGTCTCCGCTTGAACATTGTTGACACACCTGGCTACGGCGACCAGGTTAACAACGACCGATGGTAATTTGATTTCTTTCGCTCCGGCGGTACGGAGTACAGTCAGGATCGTTTTTGGCTAATTGTGTATCAGCTGGGACCCCATTGTCAAGTACATCAAGGATCAGCACTCGGCATACCTCCGCAAGGAACTGACTGCTCAGCGTGAGCGTTACATCCAAGATACCCGCATTCACTGCTGCTTGTTCTTCATCCAGCCCTCTGGCCATGCGTTAGTCTACCCCGCTTATACCCCAGGTTTTGTGTATCCTATCTCGGGCTCCATCGAGCTAACTTGTACATCAGCCTCAAGCCCATCGACATTGTTGTCCTGAAGAAGCTATCCGATGTCGTCAACGTTGTTCCTGTCATTGCCAAGTCTGACTCCCTCACCCTCGAAGAGCGCCTGGCCTTCAAGGAGCGCATCAAGGAGGAGTTTGCTTTCCACAACCTGAAGATGTACCCCTATGATAATGACGAGCTCGACGACGAGGAGCGCGCCATCAACGCTCAGATCAAGGTAGGCTCGAACAGCCGTTGGGTAATTTGATAGGATATTGACATTTTGACAGGATATCATTCCTTTCTCCGTTGTTGGTAGCGAGAAGACCATTGTGGTCAACGGCAAGCAGGTTCGCGGTCGCCAGAACCGCTGGGGTGTCATCAACGTCGAGGATGAGAACCACTGTGAATTTGTCTATCTCCGCAACTTCCTGACTCGCACCCACCTCCAGGACCTGGTTGAGACCACCAGCCAGATTCATTACGAAACCTTCCGTGCCAAGCAGTTGCTTGCTCTCAAGGAGAGCAGCGCTGGTGGCGGCCACACCGGTGGTAGCCGTCCCATCAGCCCCTCAGCGGATCGTGAGCTGAGCCGCAACTCTCAGCGTGCTGGCATGAACGGATACTAAGTTCCGTCGATTGTGTGACGCGAGCGCTGTGACCATGCGCGCGGTCACTGCCGCGCCGAAAACTTGTCCCCTTTGACGCCAGCAGGCCATTGCAGATATCCCTTTTATTTTCCCTTTCCGTTTTGCGTTTCGTCTCTTTCGGCTTTTTGTATCCTACACCCCCATCTTGTCTCTTCTCAAGGATTTGTATTGCCGGGAAAAAAGAGAATTGGCACTTCAGCGCTTGTCAACTCTGGTTCCATGTACTTAACTTTCTTAATTAACTGACGAGAGAAACTTCTATTCTAAGGCTTCACTGTCTACTTCGTACTCCGTACATCTTTTGACCTAATTTGATTGTAAGTAAGATTCCAATGTTGACGTTTGGCATATAGAGCACTCTGTGGTGGACCTGCGTAAGGTTGAAAGTACTCCATCTGTAGTGCGAGTATTCTAAAAGAGAAAATACTTGACATATTCTGAACATCATTTGTGAAACCCCAAACCGCTCGTCAACCGACCATACAAGTTCAAAAAACATACTTCCAAGTTGGGTACATGTGCCACGTGCCCGGGATATTAGATCCCCCGAGTCACCGATCCCCGAGCCCGATAACGATAACAATCGTACTCCGTACGGCGCCCGCAATCCAAGGCGGTAAAGATTATTTGTATAGCCCATCCGAAAACGTCATTGCTTCTCCCCAACCAGAGGTTGCGGCACTTTCAAGATGGCATGGAGCACCCCCCAAAGGCATTGGATTGGAAGTTAACTTACTCGCGCAGTCGAAACAATACCTTAACTGGGGCTCCGCAGAAAATGGTACGATAGCTCCCCGCGCACTGCTGATCTGGCTAACATGAGACCGTAGCGCACCCAATGGACATTTTCTCGTTGGCTGTGACCGACAAGCAAACTCTCACCGCAGGAGGCTCACCGGATATCAAGATTCACTCTACTGCCGATGCCGACTTTCCTCTGGTCCAATCCATTGACAATGCGCACAACGTTGGCTGCCACCACATTGTGACTGATGGGAAAGGCTCTCGAGCCATCTCCTCGGGCTTTGATGGAAAGATCAAGGCCTGGACGTGTCAAGATGGATATTGGGCCGCTGAACAGAAACTGACTGGTAATTCGCACCCCCTCCATATGTCAATCACATCATGCTAAAGTGTGAATAGCCGACCTGGAGGCTGCGAAGGCCTGGGCTATTGCTCTATCTGAGGATGGCCAGTATCTCGCCGGTGTTAATCAAGAAGGTCGAATCAAGGTTTGGGATCTTGCTGCCGATGCTACACAGATTCGGGACCACGAGACAAAGGGAAGCTACGGCACCTGCATTGACCTGGTAAGTGTGCCTTTTTTTGACTGTATTTTGGTCCTGGCTGACAGTAGGATTTAGTCTGCTGATGGTCGCTTCATTGCTACTGGTCATGCCGACGGCTCTGTTTATATATTCACCACTGAGACCGGCCGCATGCCATTCTCTCTCGCAGGTACGCGATATTCCTCATTAAGCCACGCCCCAGAATCTAAATAATTATAGGTCTGGTCAAGAACGTTCGCACTGTTGCCTTTTCACCCGCGGGAAAGATTCTCGCAGCTGCTGGCGACACTAGGGTGATTGTGCTGTATGACACTGCCTCCGGCGAACAAATCGCAAGCTTCACCGGGCACACTGCCTGGATAATGTCACTTTCATGGAGCAGTACCGGAGAATATCTTCTGAGCAGGTTGGTCATCTCTTCCCGACGATATTTATGGACGATGGCAAGCTAACACAGCAAAGTGGCTTTGACGGCAAGATCAAGGTTTGGTCTATGCAAACCAAGACTTGTGTTGCTACTCTTTCTGAGACTGACAAGGCTGTTTGGAGTGTCAAATGGCTCCCCAAGACTGGCAAGACTGAAGCTTTTGCGACTGTGGGTGAGAACTGTAGTATTGCATTCTACCGCGAAGCTACTGGTTAGAACTCAAACTGGAGGATCACCGATCACACGACCATGACGACGTCAACGGATCCACAGTTATGATAGCTAAAAAAAATGCATAAACATCATGAAATTCGTAACATCCATTCTCTTGACACTGTAATTCTAGTTCATTGCATCGACAAACAATTTGCGCATGCGCTTCAAGAACGCTCCAAAGTCCCGATCATCGTTGACAAGATCAACGACATGTTCCAGCGCATCTTGGTCAAGTTTAGGGCGCGAACGGAACACTTCGTAGTCACGACTGGCAGTACCAAGTTCAAACCAAGCTTCGGCCTCCCAGTCCTTCTCAAGAAGATGACTATAGACAAACTTGAGTCTGTCCTCTCGCCCCGCGCCCTCGATCCGAATACAAAGATAATCCTGCCAAAACTCCAATTCTGGGAAGTTGAGACGGGACTGTGCGTCCAAACTTTGAGCGTGTGCTTTCTGTGCTTCCAATTTCTGAGAAATCGCCTTTTGGGTCTCAGCGATCTGCTGCTTCAGCCGGTCACGTTTGGTAAGGCGAGTGTCCCGCTCCAGGGTAATCTGTGAGATCGCTGCGTGCATTTCTGCCGCCTCGGCCGCTTCCTTCTGGAGAGTCTGATCATGGGTTTGGGATTTCAGGTTGAGGATTTCGATATCACGCTGGCGCATACGTTCGTCCTCTTAGGGGCATGTGAGCCGTGTGGATTGGAGATGGGCGATAACGAGCCATACCTTCATATTCAGCCAGATTAATGTGAAACTGATTGCGCTCCTCCAAAACTCGTTTCCGCCCGCGCTCAATGAATGCATCGAACTTGACTGTAAATTGAGCCATGCTGTTGCGTAGGTCCTCAAACCCAAAGTTGATGCTAGGCAGTGAGTCTGCCATCGACGGTGCATCAGCCGAAGCAAGCGGCGGGCGCATGCCACTAGTGGATAGTGACGGTTCGAAAGCCATGGTAAATATGAATTGTTTGCGACAGAAAGAGTGGTGGTGTAGAGTGCAGTGTCGACGCGCGGGAGTGGTGTTGTTGCGGCGCAACACTTCTTATCGATAAGAAACCAAAAAACTTTCTCGATGGCCTCGATTTCTACTTTTGCGCTCCCGACACCTCACAAATTATATGATTCGCCATAAATTCGCCTCGATTGATCGATATGGGTTGTTCTGATCCTGAGCTGATCGCAAGAAGCAAAGAAAGACCTCATGGATGAACATCATGACAGTGCTCTACACTATGGGCACGTAGGACGAGCCGTCTATCTCCCCGAGGAGCAGGCCTGGACATTTACTCGCTCCTTCGCTCAAGGTAGGTGCTTGGAATCTTATTATTGCTGTGCTCTGCTGATTCTTGGAAAGCCCCGTCGATCCTGTATACTGGAGTGACAGACACAAGCGTGCCGTCGCCTTTCCCTCCAGCAAAACCCAAATCAACCCAGAGAGTCCCCGAAAAGAACCTCCGACACTTAATTGGGAATGCGTACCCCGAATTAGCGGCAACATGGTCCTCTATCCGCCAAGAGCCCCTGTCTCGAGCCATTACGACCACAATCGAGCGATTCGACCCAGAGAGTTCCTCCCTTTTCGATATCGGGTATGCGACAGACAAAAGACGCTATGATAAGAAACTTCCCCCAGTTCCCATTGCAGCAGCCGTATCGGGCGAATGTCGCAATGTAATATCGTTCCGAACTTTGGAAGATGCAAACTTGGAGTTGCGTTCGCCGACGCATGCAGCAATGCGTGCTCCATCAATTGGTGACACAGAGACTTCAGAATGGTCCAAGTGTGGTGCACCAATCCGTCAAGTTCACTTTGCGCGACTCATCGATGAAGATCCTATCTTCATGGCTGCTCGTCTTCTTCGAAGTACCACGATTTTTCGACCACTCTACCACTTTGATCCTGTGCCCATGCACTTCCCAGATGAGACCCATCTCAGACCATCAAATGGGCAAAAGAATTCTCGACTTGATGCAAACCCAATATTGGAAATTTCAGTGGCGCAAACAGGTGGATACTCGCATTCGGATGTGACCTTCAACCCATGGTATCAGCAGCAATTCGGCATTGTCGATACGAGGGGTCACTGGAGCGTGTGGGAGATCGACCAGGCGAAAAATAGCAGGCAAGGCCATACGACTGCTGGACTAGTCAAAGCCGGCATTTTGCCCCCTCCTTTGAAGCGCAGTCGTCCTCCCCTCGATGGCTGGGCGTCGATTGAGTGGATTCATGAGGTCGGTTTGATCATTGTTGCCAACCGTCGCGATGCTATGATCTATGCATTCATAGATGGTCAGACTCCACCTCGGACAGTTGTTCTCAACATGCAGAAACAATCTGAATGGGTGTTGGATTTGAAAAGAAACCCACGCAACCTATCACAGTTCTTTGTCTTGACGACAAGTCGGATATTGTGGTTTGACATAGGAAACTTTGGAGAACAAGATTCCAGTTCATATCTACACCCTCGAGTCTCTTGGAGGCATTTCCGGGATCCCAATGACACCACACTACGACTCAGTGAGCTGGTAGTGTACAAAGGTATGCGTGTGCCAGCGTAATTGATCTAACACATATACTAATCTTTCCTCAGACCTGTACCTTGTTCTCTTCTCTCGGCTCACTGAGCTTGTGCAAGCATTTCCTTGTCCCTTTACAAGCGACGAAGACACCAACTCTATGTCTGTAGCGGATCCTTTCGTTCTTGATGGTCCTTCGATGGTAAACATGCCTTCGAGTGGACCAGAGCCCGTGAGATTCTCGACATTTGTGTTTAGAGAAGTTGGCTACTCGCCTTCGCACCTCAAACACCTGTATAATCCAAACTTGACCATCATCAAACTTTTCTGGATGGATTCCAATCTCGCAATCCATGAATCCGTGTTTCGCGGTCCACGAGGAGACCCAGAAGATCCAGACTTGTATTGTGAAAACAACGTCGTGCGTTTGCGCAAGCGTTATGCCCCAACCAAACGAGTGAAGAGAGCGGACGATTTCATTGTGGATGACTGGGACGAATCGGCGATGCAACAAGCGACTGTTCCTCGTTGCAAAAGCAAAATTGGCCCCAGACCTGCAGGCCCAGACTTGCAGTGGTCTCTGGATCTCTCTCACATCTACTCTGTAACCATTGGACGGGCGGAAATTCCGCCGAAAAGGTCCAACACAAAGAAAAGGCCCGCGCCAGGGCCAAAATCATTTGATGATATGCTCGATGAACTGCAACGCATCAAGCCACGGAAGAAGGCCTCCAGCAAAACGATATTTGAACTCAGCGACAAAAGCATTTCAACAGAACAGCTTGACCAAAGCGCGCGCGACATCAAACGAATCTTCTCGACAATCATGCCCGAAGCCCATGACCTGGATGCCGCACACCGATATCTTCTTCTGCCACTCCAATCCCAAAACACGGGATATGGCATGCCAACGCACTTGTCAGGAGAGGCAGACCATCATATGCTGGAGGCTTACGATCAAATGGTCGATGATTGGGTGTCCACACTGCGTCCTCAAATCCCCGTCCAAGTGCGACTCGCCAAAGAGAAGCTCGTCCGCAAGGTCGCAGCCGACCTCCTTCTGTCGCGAGTGGTTCAAACGAAGCCAATGAATTTCGTCGAAGATCCAATCACAACACAAAACGAACAAGCCGTGTCACAGAACCAAACTCTACCCTCGAGCTTTGCTCCATCGATCCCTGCAAGTCAATCACAGGTGACTAATCGCACAAGGTCCGGGAGAGTCAAACCGCCGTCCAAGTACTCGACAGTACCAGTACTGAGCGGCCTCTCGGCATTCACTACGTTCAAAAAGCAGCGTCCAATGCCCGCAAACGTGTCTAATCTTCTGTCCCACTGGTCTGCCGGGGATGATCCCTCCTCATATATCTGGGAGAAGATTGAAGACCAGGAAACGCGCGTTAGCCAAACGCCCCGAACACCCAAACGCAAGAAGCGCATGAAGCCTGAACAACCCTTGCCTGCTACTCCGTTGGTCCCTATGGTCCGAACGTGGGGTAGTCAACCCGTGCCACAAATCACCATCAACAGTAGCCAGCCTGTACCAATGACACAGGCCGAGCGGGGAGCCTTTGGGGCAAAGAAAAAGAAAAAGAAGCGAGCGGCGGGTTTTTAGACCGTATATAATTAGAACATGATACCCTTGAATTCATATATAAAATGCCTGTTCTCTGGAGTGTACAAGAGTATAAAAGACTAAATATTGCATAATCCATTCACCAATCGCGAATATCGCTCAAAGAAGATTACCAATGCTGCTATAGTCCACAGTTGCTCCAGGGGCATTCAAGGGGCTAATTTATATAGTACCTCGTCTCCCTGGTTTTTTTTTTTTTGTTTCACTAAAAGAGAAAAATAATAATAATCATAAGTCCACCGTGTCCCTACCCCGCCAAGCACCTTTTCACCCTACATCTCCCCGCTCCACACAATGTCAGACCACCAGTACAAGTTCAATGTGACTATGACCTGCGGCGGTTGCTCCGGCGCCGTCGAGAGAGTCCTAAAGAAGCTCGAAGGTATGGATTACCCCCCCGCGATGCTGCCGCCAACCAACTCACAAGACCCAGGTGTTAAGTCTTTCGACGTGAACCTCGAGGCTCAGACCGCAAACATCACCGCCGACCCCGCGCTCTCCTACGATACTGTGCTGGCAACGATCAAAAAGACCGGAAAAACCGTGAATAGCGGAGAGGCCGATGGAGAGAGCCAGGCTGTTTGAAGCATTTTACGCGCACTACCAATGTTTGAAAGGAGTTTGAAAGATAACGGAATCCATTTCTGATTCAAAATGTTGAAACCCGAGTAGAGAGTTCTAAGAATATGCAGGGTATCATAGAAAAGACTGCGCAATGCATGCGGATTACAACAATAGCGCCATGTAAGAATGGAAAGTGAACAATTAATCAACGACGACAAAATGCCTTCCGTCGAGGATGGGTTGGAATGGTTGACGTTCTGTTCGAGGTTCGACTGCCTGGACGTAGACTGGGCGGTTTTGCTCCTGTGGGGGGTTGTAGAGTGGACTGAAGATTGTTAGTCGGGGACGCTGGGTGGTCTGATATTCCGGATCCAAGGGCTTACCGCGAGATGAACCCGCCGCTGAGTGGCCTTTCGCGAGGAACTTGGGGAGGGGGCGTATGGGGTTGGCTCTTTGGCGCAGAGTCTGAGAAGGTACGATGGTGCTCAGGACGAGCGACGCGGCCCATGGTCCGGCTGAGTTGTTCATCTTGGAACTGAGACATGTTCTTGGTGGCAAGATAGTTCAGCTCCCATTCCCTGTTCCTGGAAAGTAAGGCATCTCCAACGGGCTTGGGCTGAGGCTGGGCCTCGGGAATGAGGCGCCGGGAGGCGTACTCGTGTGAAGGGGGCTCACGGTGATCAACGTGTCGGACAAATCCATCGGCGTACAGGTTCCTATCTGGGGGATTTTCTGGCACAATGCGACTGTCCATGCGGGCTCGGCGCATTCCCCGTTGCTCTTTGGGGCGGTCCAAACGGAGATTACGACCATGGTAAGGGTGCCAACCGGAACCCGAGACCCCGTTTAGAGGACGAGGCTCACGTGGCCAGTCCACATGCTGGCGATCCATGACTGACCTTGTATCAAGGCCACTGGCATAAGAAGCTGAATGTGGATGTAGATGTCCTACGGAAAGGGGTGGCTCCACTGGCACAATATCCCGGCGGAATTGAAGCTGATCCTGGGGGCGGTATTCTAGAGCAGGCTCGGCACGACGGTAAGTTTCTCTGGGACCGAATCCTTCGGGGACGGGGAACATGGGTCTTGCAGTTCGGGGCTCTGGACGAGGATCAACCCGAGAACATTCACGGCCGTTCCGTCTCCTTTTGCTGGGCTGGTCACCACTAGCGTCCAGTTCAATGACATCGGGGTGAAGCTTCAGTTCCCCCTGAGATTGACCCGGCGTAACTGATCGAAGCGACATCTTGTTGGCCATGTGCACCAAAGGATGTGCGTGATCGGTTCGCCGGGTTTCTTGGGGCCAAGGATTCTCAATTGATGGCATAACAGACTCCTGTGTGTTCGGACCTTGTCCAGCTAGAGTGGCATTGACGGTGCCAGGACGGCGTCCCAGCGGGGCCACACCATTATGAGGCTTTTCCTTGGGTCCGCCGACAAACACCGGGGCATTTGACCTGTTCTCCGACTGAGGGGGCAGTCTTTCTGTTCGAGGGTCCGTTCTCAAAGGAGGGAGGATTGGATGAGCCACATTCATATTCCGGGGCCCGGAGAGTTCTTCCAATATTTGCAACTCGGGTGATTTCTGGCTGGTTAGTCCGGACTTCCTGGAGTTGTATTTATGCGAGGAACTTTTCTGAGCTTCCGAGTGAACATCCTGGACACCTACATGTCTCTGGGCTACGTATCGATCCATTATGGCAGGCATGTGCTGTGGGTGGTTATCCATGCTGACCGGCATGACTCGCCGATAGTTTTCACAGAGCCCGCGATCTGATGCTTTGGCGCTCGCTTCTGGGGCGATACGCTTCTCGGCATATCGCGGGCTCTGCTTTTCAGCCAGAGAACCGGCGAGCCGCGATTGTTCGGTGCCCTGATTACCCTCTCTATATTCCTTGATGGCACGGTTCCAGGCTTGGTACCTGCTAAATCCGCGACGGTCGACGGAGTTGTTTGCCGGAACCCTTGTGACAAACCGGAATCCTGGTGGTGCTTCCTCTGATATGTCTCGGAGATAACCTTGCTCGGGTCTCGTATTAATTGGTTGAGTGCGAATCTCATGGGTTCGGGCATCGTTGGGAAGTATTTCCACCCTAGTATTTTGATGGGCAGCCGTAGAAGCCGCGTCCTCTTCGGTTTCACTGTCCTCGTCGTCGGAGATAACAATGACCTCGCGGAAGACATCCTCGAGGACGGTCTGGCCGTTCTCATCATCCCCTCGCCATTCAATGACTTTGGCTAAGGTTGGGTGCTCGACGGTCGTTCTTGCCTCGTGGAATGAAGTCGTTTTTAACAGGCGATCGTAGTTAGTGTAAACATGCCGAATATGAGCAACCACCGCAAGTTGCGCTCTGCGAGCCAGAGGCAATTCAGTGGCTGTTCCAACTTTCTTCTGGCCCTGACTTGGTCATCAGGTTTTCCACGTCCCCAGTCTCGGAGTCTTCAGGATATGCATACCTTTTGAAAGGCGGTCTTGATGATTTGGTTCAAATCTTGGTCGGGGATATTGGGGAATAAATCCCTCATAGCATCTCGCGCATCTGTGTTGAGCGTTACTTGAGAGACTTCCGATGCAGCACGCGAATTATTGTCCACCCTTCCCATGGCATAGATAGGCATCGTTTTACCAGTGCTTGTGAGGTAGAGGCCAAGCTCTGAGCAGACAGCTGCCACCACAGTGCTGGGGAAGTGATATCCTATCCGATGAACATGCTGAGACAGGTTGTGGGTCTTGTGGTGTGGTGTGGTCTAGACAATATAAGCACTGGGGTGGATATCGGCCAGCTAGAATTCTCACCGATACTGCATGGATCTGGAGGCCCTCTTTGCGACACCTCTCTTTACAGGCCGTGGTGAGTTGCGGGTTGCCTGCCGGAATGAACGTGTAGCCACTTGGCGCTTGTGCTTCAAAACAGATCTGATTTATCAGTATCGAGCTGGACATTTCAAAACAGGGAATACACACCACACTTCGCAGCTTCTTCTTTTCTTGGGTCACGGATTCCATGATGACCTTGTGTCTTCGAGCTCTCCTCTGAACAGCCCGGCTAGGAGTGCGCCTGGCTGTGGCCGAGGCGGCCCTCCCCATGACACGGGCCATTCTGGTTCACTGGAGATGGTCTTGAAACATTCCGTTGGGTGAAGGGTAGATTGTATGCACTACAGCAAAAGTCCAGGGTTAGACCTAGCCGTAGATCCAGAGTGGCTTCTGCCGAGTCCAGAGTTGGAATAGGCAAGGACGACGGGGTGGGCAGGATAGTCAGAGAAGCGCAAACAAAAACAGAATAAAGTAGCAAGGTAGCAAAGTAGCAAGGCGTGCGGAGAGAGGGAAGTCAGAGAGAAACTGCATCGCGGGATTGATAAGATTGCGGCCCAAAGTGACCTCTCCCGATCGGGCTAGTCTTGCCTAAGGCTTCTCCTCTCCCCGACGTTTTGGTTTTTGACCGTCTTTTGTTTTTATTGTTTTTTTGTTTTCCCACCCCATTTATTGGACTTGAGCGGAATCCACGTCATTGGTGATCAAAAATGAACGCTTCACAGGCGGATCGCGCTGTGGTCCACGCATACCGTCACCTCTACCGACAGGGGTTGAAAGCCATCCATTACTCAACCCCGGCTCGATATCTGCTCCTACAGACCTTGCGTAACGCCTACCGCTGCTCCCCGGTCGAAGCATTCAATGCAACTAGGATCGACAACACCATCCGTTTTCTCGAACGCGCTACGGAGGTCGCTGGCATGGAACATAGGATCTTGAAAAACCTCTTGATGGCGAGGTATTGGGAGCAAGACCATCTCGCGCGAGAGGTGCGCGTGTGAGTATTCCCCACCAACCATGCATTCCTGTTACTGATATGGTTCTAGCCCACGGAGCTTAGGTCTCGGTCAGAGCGAAACCCGATTGCGAACCGCCGCTTTCAACCACTATAATTTAACACTTGACCGTCTGAATGAAAGTCTAGGGACATGTCTCAAATGATTGGAGTCTCCACAGGTTCTCGACTTTTATCTCGGTGCCGATCCGACCCGCTGCCCTATGCGCCCATCAGGCCTCAGTGCTTCGCTTGGGCATGAATCCATGACGTGAGGCAGCTAGTAACGGGGCTGCAGATGCATAGTGACCAGAACGCTATCGCGCATAACCACATCAGGGTTGGAGCCATCATGACCTGCCCTGTTTGGGTCATTGTCCGTTGCATGTTGCCCTAAACATACAACACATGAGTTCCACGGCCATACACTTGTCTTGGCAACTATCAACTCCTGGAGCCTACCTGTGTCTCGACTCTAGAGGCCTCAAGTTAAGCCTGGCGAGCCGAGAACAGTGACGTGCCACTTCGGCCGTTCTTAAATTGGAACCCTCCGGCCTCTTCACAGATATATCAGATATATTCCGGTGTGGCTAAGCCTAGATCCCCTGGCTGTTAGCTCTTCCAATTCGCCAGGCGACTCTTGCTTGATGGCAGCGTTTTCATTGTCAGACATTGTACACTAGAATAGTGCTAGAACAGGACTGGCTGCGGCTCTGGAGATATACCTACCCAGATAGCTCCACAGGACTACACCGATCAATTGACCGCTTTCTACATTGTAAAAAACAGACTCCATGCTCTAGATCTCTATGAAAATTGCCTCCAATTTGCCAGAAGCGAAGAAAGAGGAGTCCAAACCCAGTCTTGGAGCCTTATAAGGCAGGCCCATGTGACGATGATTCAGCAACTCATTGCGGAGACCGTGCCCGAGGACGTCACATGCCATGTCTTGTTCCACGCATTTCAGCGCAATTTTGAGCCTTGACTTGATCAAGCATCTTGAACAGAGAGGCTGTCTTACCCTTTATGAGTGGCCTCATTTCATCGTTGTTGATCCAACTCGGAATACGATCTCCCGATCTGCCACCCCCACCAACCGTCCTTACTGAACACCCGAACGAACCAACTCAAAACAATCAACAATTCACGACTCAATCGGACTATCATTGCAGACAGAAATCAAGCGGATATGCGGGTGCGGGATCCCTGCATAATCCTAACTTTTTCACAGCTTTGCCCAAAGAGATGGATGCACGCAGTCCACCAAGCACTCAATCTGTGACCAATAGCACGCCTGGGTCTATTCAAAATATGGCGACAGAGGGGTCGTTAGCGCTTGAGGGAAACTCACTAGTCGATTCAAGGGATCCGGATTCAACCCCCCACGAGGCGATGACGCAGCAGCGTGCGCCACAGGACACACCTTCGGCAATGGCAATTGAGGATGCCCAGAGATCCACAAGTGATTCATTTGACATTGTTGAACCGGTGCAGTCGTCACTCCCCGCGGATGATGGAATGGGGATATTGCGAAGCAAGATCATCGCAATCCGAGACTTGCAGCTTGCCAATGCCGAAAAAGCGCGCATGGTACATAACCTAATGACCGAAAGCTACAACACTTCACGGGACCATCAACATACAGCAGTGACACCTATCTCAAGTCCAACACCACTTCCCGCGAGTCTGACTGGAGATTCGGATGCACCCGAACCCAAGAGCCCAAATAGTTCCTACGAGAATGTATCACACCTTACACCTGAGGATGTGCAACCCACCTACGCCCCAAAGGTCGAACCGGAGATAGACGAGTCTGCAACCATTGAGTCACCCGATGGCGACATGGATACAGAAGAGCTAGCAGAGGCTACGCTGGGCTGTGTGCATTACCATCGCAATGTGAAACTCCAGTGTCATACATGCAAGAAGTGGTATACTTGTCGATTCTGTCACGATGAAGTTGAGGACCATAATCTCATTCGCCGAAACACCGAAAACATGCTTTGTATGCTATGTGGTCACGCTCAACCGGCGGGACAGATTTGCAGACAGTGTGATGAGCAAACCGCGCAATATTACTGTGACATATGCAAACTTTGGAACAACGACAGCAAAAAAAGTATCTATCATTGCGATGACTGTGGCATCTGTCGAATTGGCCAAGGTCTTGGGAAGGACTTCTTCCATTGTCAGGTAAGCACTCAATTGACCGACCCTGACCTCTTTGCCACACTAACAGGTATAGACATGCTGTGTCTGTCTTCCAATGTCCATTGAAAATACACATCGTTGCATTGAGCGCTCCACTCAGTGTGATTGCCCCATCTGTGGCGATTACATGTTCACCTCGACCGAGACTGTTGTCGTCATGCGATGCGGTCACAGCATTCACTCCAAGTGCTTGACAGAGTACTCCAGGAATTCATTCCGCTGTCCTATCTGCAGCAAGACTATTACAAACATGGAATCCACATTCCGGAACCTAGATCGCACGATTGAGAGCCAACCAATGCCCGAAGAGTTCAAAGATACGAAAGGCCTCGTTTACTGTAATGACTGTGGCTCGAAATCAGTTGTCAAATATCATTGGCTGGGCCTGAGGTGTGACCTGTAAGTTCACAAAACACCACAGGGGGGGGAAAAAACAAAACAAAACAAGCTAACATTTGGTGACATCTAAAGGTGTGAATCTTATAACACGGCCCAACTTCAACTCTTACACGGTGACATGTCGGCTCAATCTACAGTTGGACCGGACGCACCTTCTCGGGCTCGATCTTCATCACTTATCGAAAATGACGAGCCACTGTCGTCTTCATTTGCAGAATTGGGTGTCAACAGCACCTCCATTCCTCCTTCACGACTCAGTATCCCAAATGTCGCCGAACGAAGGCCATCTACATCATACAACATCACACGAGGTCGCGCTATATCCCCGGTGGTTAGCAACTACTTTGGACTGCCACCTGAGCGTGAATCCGAAAAGCCTTCATCGATGCCATTGTCTGGAACTCCATCTCGCGGTGTTACAAACTCCGATTATGGCGCATTCAACTTCTTGAGCAAAAAGCTTACATATCCGTATGGGTTGTTTGGTGGTGAGACGAAGTCAACGGATCCCGTCCCGGAGGCTGGAAAGGATGATGATGACGGTGACGATGGTGACAGTGACGGGGATGACGATGATGACGATGATGATGATGATGAGTTCTCAGACTCAGTTGAATCTTTTGACTCCGTTGGTTCGCATGGGAATGAAGATGATGGAGAAGATGATGACCACATCGCAATTTTTGGCCATCGATGAGTTGAATTCCAGCCTTCGCGGGTGACAGACTGGTCAGTACAGAGTTTCTGATTATGAGTTTTGGTGACGCGCATACCCAGGATGATATCAGTCTGCCCAGTCAGGAAGTTTGACGATAACAGTGTCAATGAACCAATCGAACCCCCAGACAAGCATGGATGTCGTCGTGGCCCATGCATCATATGAGAAAAACATCGACCAGCGGTCACCCCAGATCAGATACAGTCTACCCGACACATCTGACATTTGTTGATTTTACCTACATTAAGCAGCCGGTTCTGCTGCAGCATAGCGTTGAACATTTCTGACATAATGACGCAACGATCGCATCTCTTTGAACGAAACACCCTTGACTTTGAATGTCTGTGTTCAATTGTACGTATTCTACTTGTGCCAGGCTGAATCAATGATTGAAAACACTTGATGATTTGTCCCCAAACAATAATTATTGGTCCCCCTGAACCTTAGAAATCAAATCTTCGTAAGCCGTAATCTTGGAGGGATTTAGATAAATAGAGCTTCTCCTTCTATACTGAACAAGGACATTGGGTTTCTTCCAAGGACTTTTTCATTCCGAAGTTTTACTAGCATAATCTATCATTGTTCAAACCGAGATACTAGAAAACAACAGTAGCGGTGAAAAAGTTGGGGGAGAGGGCACATTGGCAGTGTTCTAAAGTCAAATAGAGTATATCATGCCGATTAGACTTGGTATTCAATGGGTTTGAGATTTTTGAATATCGATTGCTACGAGTAAAAGCCATGTTTATCTGATTTGCAATTGAGCTATGCACGAGCATGAATGTGCCACTGGTTTCCCCTACCTTTTCAACGAGTACCTGGGCCAGCGAATGGTGTTTGTACACTGATCATTATGGCGGACGATAAGCCCTCCCAGCATCTCAAACGTATGCATAGGATCTGAGTTTCGAAATATATGCCGATGCATATGCAAGGGGCCAAGATATGTATGTGGGTCGATGGTCTTTGGGGTCGGTTGCTAAATCCAATTGAACAGAACAGTCAGCATGTCTTCTCAACTGTCCATGAAGCAATGGGCTTGTAGGTGATACGCCATGCGGTATAAACATGCAATGGCTGGCTTCCGTTCAGTATCCACATAATTTCAACATTCCCAAGTAAATTATGGGGTGTCAGGTAATAGGAAACGCTTAAAAAAGACGTGCATCATATGGAAGCCGTACGCAACAAGTTGCAACGCTGTGTCGACAGACACCGGACAAGGATGGCTCAGGGTGGTTCAACACTCACAGTTTCAATATTCATCGAGATCAGTTGACTGTTGAGTCACCGATCATGCCACTGATCAGCTGGCCCCCTTTAGACAAGTGCATAGTGCATGCCAAGATCTGAAGGCGAGACTGAAGAACGGAAATCGTTAGTTTTTAAAGCCCCAAAAGTAGAGCAAGGAGGATCGACATCCAAACGCCTCCTTGTATGCTCCGTACATAGCTCGGCAATCCAGAGAGCTTGGCAGTGGTTTCCATCCCGCGGGAAAGAGTTCACGCCCGGGAGGCCTTGGCTGGCATGCAGTGGAATCCCACTGCTGTGCTCCCTGAACCGCAGACGAAGGCAAGGGCCAGGTCATCCACAATCTGTTACCCATAGTCGGTGACTCGAAGAACGCCCGCTTGGCATCACACCAAGCCTTGGAATCTGGACCGAGTCCCATTATCACCGCACCACCCCAGTGAAGCACTTGCCGGCCCTGTCTGCAAAGTCACACCGACGCGGGATCCGTGTCAGTCTGGTGTCTTGCCCCAATCTTCAGAAATGCTGGCCTGAATTGATGGCGTGCCAAAGGTAGTACGGACTACTCCGTACTCCCATTGCATTGTGAAATATGTACGGAGTATGAGTAGGAGAAAGGGGGTTAGTAGTTCTTTCAGGAGCTGGGAGGAAAGTGGGGTGGAGAATGTTTAGCGACAACGATCTTGGCTTGGACGATCGGTTGTGTTGTCGTGGATCCCCGGTCTTGGCTGAGCAGTTGGAGACTGAGGCAGTAAAGTCGGTGTGAGATCGGAGTACGGCCGAGAGAGTCTCCACCTATACCAAGAGAGAACCAAAGAGGATACTCGTAGCACAGAGAGAGTCAAAAAGTAGATAACGGGAACTAAGAGTGTACAGAGTACAGGAACCGAACAAAAGTTGAATTGACTTCCGGTATGAGGAGAGATCTCACACGGACCCGTCGATGGCGTCAGGTGACTGAGATTTGAGTTTCTATTAGGTAATGGCGCATATATCCCCCGCATTGATCAGCTCTAAAGTGACGAATCACAGTCGAGGACGGAGTACTTGTCGAATGGTCAATTTTGGTTGCTGCATGAGTTGGGCTGTTGTTAGGTAACAAGAACTGCATCTGGGGTAGAAACTTCGGATTCTCAACCTGCTGACCTGTCAATTCGGTTGAGAGAGTAACAAGCAATAGACAGTGGGTAACAAATAATTGGAGAATCCATAGGGATTATGTCATAGAAACTATGTACGGGTAAGTACTTTTTGCCCTATACAAGTAGACTAGCTCGACTCCGCTAGTCAATATGTATGTATGCAGAGTACGGAGTACTCTGTCCTTATACTACAACTTACGGAGAAAGTCGTACTTCAGTATTAAATAGCCAGCGTTGTACTCCGTACTCCTAGGTAATATCCGCACGTTACCCGGATGCGGACGGTGACGTCCATATGCAGCCCAAAGCACCGGGGTCTGCAGGGGTAGCTCGCGAACTAAATTCGATGTTCGTTTCTATTTAAAAAGAAGATAAGGACAAGTAAATAGAATATTCAATATTCAATATTCTATATCCTATACCCTATATTCAAGAGAACATCTATATGAATTCTACGGAGAACGAGGTCCAATCATATAGGTTCTACATGCAGTGTAAATCGCGTCAAAATAAAGAAGATTTGCCCCCATGTGGCCATGACCCATGCGGTTTGCCTCTTTGACTTCCAACCTTCTCACTCTTCACTCTAACTCTGAATCACTTTTTCAACTCGATCCCGAAGTGACAATACTCTCCGTGGATAGTTTCAGAGGTGGTGCAACAATCCCGTTTCCGTGACTAACAGCTTTGCCCGTTTTTTTTTTTTTTTTTCTCCCCCCGCCGCCCCTCTGGGAGCCCTAAATCCCCTTCAACTCGGTCGAACAACTCCTTTCTATTGACCGAGCCCTCTCTTTCCTTTTTTTCCTTCCTTTTCATTGTGGAATCTGGGGAACATTCTTTATTAAAATTCGATAGTTTGATTTTTTTGGTTTCTCGTGTGTGTGTGGCCTGCTCCAAGGTACTTGTCAACTAGTCGTACGCCTCGGGCCCTTTATAGAGGGCCGTTCCTCTTTCAACATGGCCTCCGTGACTACCCAGAAGCCGGCCTTTCCGCGACTCTCTTCAATCCCCTGTGGTGATCACTTTCACTCACGCGACTCTTCCCCCTCCCCCTGCAGTACTCCCGACGGGTCCAGGTCGAGTAGCCAGCGCCGCCCATCGTTCGGCTCCATCAAGGAAGATACAGAGGACGGTGCGTACCGGCGATGCCAGCAAAATTTCAAATAGGGCTGACATGACTTGACTCAGGAATTGCGCAATCCTTCGTCGACACGCACGAGGTTCCATCGACACCGCTCCAGGAAAATCAAGAGCCACAAGAGCGCAAAGTCGAGCGGCCTGGGATGCAGGCCCCAGATTTCTGCTGCCCGTGTGGAGGATTTCTAGGATGGAAGCAGATTCGGTTGGGCGGGAAGAGTTTGAGCCGCAGCTACAGCGATCTTCGGGGACTTGGAGCCGCACAGGCAAAGGGCTGGGCGTGGGAGTCCCACGACGAGACCCCCAAAACCCTCCCCGTCCCAGAGCCCCCAGTGGAAGTTCAGCAGACCCCTCCCGGCAGTTCGCCTTTGGAGAAGCTCCCCCCAGAGGTTCTTGGTAAGATTGGCACCCCTGCTCACCGCCACATACACTAACTTGAATAGACCAAATTATCTCTAACCTCGCACTGGATCTTCCACCAAATGGCTACACTCCTCGAAATGTCGATCTGGTATCGTGCCTCCTCACATCGCACACCCTGCACGCTGCGACATTGGGCGTCTTGTACAGAAACATGACGTTCCCACACTCCGTCATCTTCTCCAAGGCACTCAACCACATGTCCCAGTATCCCGCGCTCGGCACACTGGTTCGCCGTTTGGACTTCTCGCACTTCACCTCTGTCGGCTTGGGCCGCACCAAGCAGATGAACTCTGAAATTCAGAATTTAACCTCCCGCACCCTCTTGCAGTGCCTGGAACTTCTTCCTAATCTGAAGGAATGCCTCCTCCAGGAACATTTGGAAGGCGATATTAGTGCAGAAGTGATCAGGAAGTTATTCATGGGACTCCCGAACCTGCGTGCAGTGGACTTTTGCGGCTGCTCGACCCAGGCCTTTTCCGCGGTCTTCCAGGAAGCATTGGTCGGTGGGCCCACGTTGCCCATGACCCTGCCCAACTTGAAACGGCTCTCGCTTCACGAGTGCAGCACCATCCCTGCTCCCATGTTCGACTACCTCCTTTCGCGACTGGTCAACCTGACCCACCTCGATCTCACTCACACCCAAGTCAACGACTCCGCTCTCGCCGCTATCCCCGAAACTGCCCGCATCTCCCACCTGAGCTTATCCAGATGCACCCGTCTTCGCCCATGCGCCCTAGTAGAGTTCCTGACCACCCACCCCTCTGTCAAGGAATCTCTCGTCTATCTGAACTTGATGACCGACCCTACCCGGTTCCGTCTGCTGGAGGAGACCGATGTGTCCGCCCTACTCCCCAAGCTCCCCGACACCCTACGTTCCCTCAACCTTGGCGGAGCCAAGGTCACCTCTGACCATGTACCATTCCTGGTTCCTCTGACCAAGCACTTGGAAGAGCTTGGCCTGAGCTCCGCAGACCTATCCGTGACAGATGTAAACTCGTTCTTCGCCAGCTACCGCAACCCTGCCACCGGAGAAGAGATCAACACCCCCAGTACACTCTGCTACCTCGATCTCGCCAAGGTTCCACAGATGACCATCGGGGCAATCTTCAACACGAGCACCTGTCTCCTCCTCGCGAACCAGAGCTACCCACTTCAGGTTGTCGAATTTAGCGACAAGATCATCACCCCTCTGCGTGAGCGAGCGAAGACTCAGCGCGTTTCAGTCGGTTGGACTGTGCGTGACCTCGGCCGCCGCGGCTGGTACGTTCGCGACCCGGCTTCTATGCCCAACGAGCCACTCGATGACGGTGCTCGCTACTGGAAAATGGGCGCGCGCTGGTGGGGATCGCGTAAGATCCCCATGGTTGTTGGTGATGTTGGTGGTCTTTACGGTCATTACATGTTCAAAAAATGATCTGCATAAGCGTTCTATCTCGAAAAGCGTGCCTGCCAGATCTTTTCATTTTTGCCGATACCCTTGATCTTTGTACAACTTGCGTTTATGGGGGGGATGTGCTCTTTTGCGTTTTTTTTATTTTTTTTATTGCTTTTATTTCCTTTGCTTTACGAATGATGATATCCGGTCTATGCATGGCGGCGCGCAACATGGTTTACGAAAACGGCATTCTGGCTTATGGCTTCGGGTTCGTGCTCTCGGTCGCGTTTTGTCTTTTGGTTTTGCATAGCATCTGGCATCCTTCAGCGTTGTCTTTTTGGTCTTGATTTTTACTACATGTCTCATCAGCTTTGGTCAGTTTGCTCACATTACTGGCGTTGCTATATCTTTATTTGTTTTATATCACTCTACTCTTCAATAACCATCAACCTTAAAAGACCAGTTGCTTTGTAATACTAAGATCATAGGGTCTGTATATCGCATCATGAATGAGTGCGATTTTGACTGTTCCAGGTTTTATATTATTCATTCATGCTTGACTTTGGCGCAATGGACAGCTTCCTTTCAACTTAGGGCTTGGCTCCCAGGTGACGCTTGGCACATGTCATGTGACAGCTTCCAGATGAGCCGCATCTTCTCATCAGGCCCTCTCTGCATTCTACTAGTCACGAAGATTTTGAATCTTCGCCAGCCCTCGTACCTGGGGATATCCCTGCCCCAATGGGTGCTTACATCGTCGCATCTCAGGACAGTGGAAGCTGCCAACAAACGCGACCATGTCACCTCCGAGCGGTGCGGCCTCTTACAAAAAGAAGGATGGCACCTTAGCTATATCCACAGATGAGCGGTCGGTCTCATGGAGCCCGAATGTGGCGGAAGCTGCCAAGACAGTCACGATCATTGTGGCCAATATAACCAGTATGCAGTCCGATAAATACTCGTGCAGTTCCCTCGCTAACCCTCTTCCAGACCTGCAACAGACCCCCGCCGGCAATCCCAAGGTCATGCTTAAGATATTCGCCCAGGCCCCAGATGCGCCCGCTGGCAGTTCCCCCGAATCATACACCTTCCAGTTCACAGCGGGTGCAGACGCTCGTGTTCAGGCCGACGTCATCAAAGACACGCTCAGTGCTCGAGTCAACACAGCGAAGTCAGCTACGCCCTCCCAGACGCCGGCGCCTAGTGGGGGGTCAGAGGGTCTGTCAGCGGCAATGGCGATCGCAAATGCCGTCACCTCTGCTGGATTATCTACGAATCCTCTAGACGACGAGAAGAAACTGCGCGGGGACGTAGAACTGCAGCAGTCGCTGTTGCGGTCCGACTCCCATCTCCAAAAGATGTTCTTTGAGGGCCTGCACACCAAACCCGAGGGCTTAACGTCTGGTGCATTTGTGTCCCAATTTTGGTCAACCCGATTACACCTCCTGCGAGCCCATGCCATCGAACAAGGCCAGGTCCGCGGCTCATACAATGTTCTGTCATCGCTGAAGCCCCGCGTGGAAGACAACGTGACACGGTTGAACATCAGTAAAGAGCAGATCCAGCTGATTTTTACGCAGCACCCTCTGGTCAAGCGTGTTTACGACGAGAATGTACCAAAACTGAGCGAGCAGCAGTTTTGGTCCCGATTCTTCCAGAGCAGACTCTTTAAAAAGTTGCGCGGAGAGCGTATCTCCGAAGCAGATGCGACTGATGCCGTGTTGGATAAATACCTCCGGAATGACGAGGGCACTGGACCGGGCAGAGACTCGAACGTCCACAGCTTCTTGGACTTGGCTGGAAATGAAGGGAATCATAGCCAACGCCGTGGAAACAGGCCAGATCTAGACATGAGACCCTCCGGAGTGGACAAAGTGCCTATCATCCGAACCTTGAACAGCCTCAGCGAGAAGATCATGGCTAACGTCGCACCATCCGATGGCGACATGAGTGCTCCGATAGGTCTTAATGAACAGGACTGGAAGAAACTACAGTTACAGGATCTTCGCGGGGACGAGGAGCAAAACCGCATCACTTTGAATATTCGTGATCAAAGTCGGTTCTTCACACATGGTCAGGAGGGGGATCAGGCCAAGCAGGTTCCGCAGAAGGACCCAGATCAGATTTTACAGACACTTCGTGCCGAGATTGCAGAGAGCCTTCCGTCAAATGGCAATACCCAGCTGGGCAGGCTGGTCGACCCAGGGGATGACGAAGACGAAGAGATGGAGGATGCGCCAGCCAGCCGCCGGCCCGTCGGATCCTCCGTTGCCCTCCACGATGCATTCGCCCAGATTCTCGAAGCCGTACGTGACCGCCGCGCTCAAATTAATGAGAAAACTACATCAGAAACACACGGCCTTTCAACGACACTCTTTGATCGATTGACTTTGACACATGCTACCACCACTGAATTCCTGCACCAATTCTGGCAGGCATTCCTTTCCGGTGATCCCGATCGTGCAGGCGAGGTCGCATCTCTCGCAGAGTCTCTGATTCGAGCAACAGAGCGTATCAAGGCCGTTGCGAATGACGCCGAGGCCGACCGTAAGCTTGAAGTTGACCGACTCAAGAAGCATGCCCGTGAAGTGTATGAGAGTACCGGGCGAAAGTTGCGGGTCAATCTGGAAGGCGTGGAAGGTGGTCAGAAAGTTGTGAATCAGCTCCTAGGACCGACACTGCAGGCTTTGGAGGTTGCGTCCAATCGATACCAGACCGAGTTGAGCAAACAGAACCAGGAAGCTGCCACACTGGGTGTTTAGGGGAAATCAAAAGACTACATAATCTATACGGAAACATATAAGAATCATTCGATATAAAGAAGAAGAGTTGAGAACTAAGAATTAAGAAAATAGAAAGTAGAAACAAAGAAATTCTAGATTTCGAGATTACGAAAAACAACGGCATGCCGAACTTGTTCCCCGGACTTGATCTGCCAACTGGCCCCTCAACCTGAACATCACCTCAAGTGGCCGCCACAATGCTCACGTCGGGGCTCACGAATACTCCCCTCACCAAGACCCTCCTAATCTATACAATCGCCTCATCTATCGCCCTCTCAATATTCGACATCAAATACCTCGTCGTGATCCATGTCTCTCCTCACTTCTGGCCCTACGCTCAATTCTGGCGAGCTCTAGCATGGCAAGTAGGCTTTGCCAACTCCACCGAAGCCCTCTTCGCAGCAATGCTAGTCTACCATCTCCGTGTCGTCGAGCGCGCATGGGGGAAGCGGAAAATGGCAGTTCGTTGATCTATCCCCAAAGTACCCAGGGAAACCATATACTAATCAGCTAGACTTTCCTCCTCACAACACTACCCTACACAACTCTCCTCCCGCCATTACTTCTCGCCCTTCTCCTTCGCCCTCTGTCCTTGAATACATTGAATTATCTCCCCTCCGGCCCAACAGCTAGCATCTTCGCTCTGCTGGCGCAATACCACGCCACTATCCCATATACGTTCCGGTACCGCGTCGGAACCACTTCTGCAGATGTAGATGCGGAAACAGACGGATCAGCTAGTCCTGATCAGCAAGGATCTAAACCGCCCACGCCCAGCCTGAGCCTGCTTCTCTCGGACAAATCGACTACCTATATCGTTGCTTCTCAATTGGCGCTCTCTCAATTCCCCGCCATGCTGCTCCCGTCGGCCGTCGGCTGGATTGTCGGTGTGGCCTGGCGCGCGGAGCTATTACCTGGTCTTTCGAGTGTGAGTTCTGGATTCCGGGTTCCGGCGTGGGTGGTTGGTGAGCAGGAGCGCCGGTCTGGACCGGTGGGGCCAGGTGCTGAGGGGGAGAGATATGAGGACTTAAGGCGTAGGATGGAGGGTGAGGTTGCTACGGCTTCTGGGCTGGAGGGATCTGGACAGGCTCAGAGGCGGGGGGCCGGGGAGGATAGTGGGCTTGTGGACAGATTGAGGGGTGCTTGGTAGCTATGGCAGGCTAGTATGATACATATTGCAATTGAGGTGGAACCTTTGGTCATGTCAGGCATTAAAGCATAATGATTGATATAGTGACGTGAAACATTAGGTGTGCTATGCATGAAGCCATGTCAATACGGAGATTGGATCACCGCCCATTGCGACTCCCTCGCATATTCTCCTTGCACTCCCTGCAATACCATTTGACTGAAAGATGTTAGCAGTCGTTCGATTTGGCCGAGACAGACACATACCATTCTTTCCCGGCGGTTTCGTCAGCCCCACACACGACAGATGGAACCACTCGCGCGGACAAGCATCGTTATCACAAGCGACCATCTCGCCGAAACTGATCTCATTACAATAACAGTAACGTGGCTCGCCCTCCTCATCTTCGTCATCGCCCTCATGGATTGATTCATCGTCGGAGGGTATTGTAGGCTGGGGAATGGGTTTCTTTTGAGTACGTTTGGTGGATGGATCCTGACTGCGCGTGGGTCGCGCACGTGGGCCGGGCTCTGCCAATGTCGAGAGCACTGGTGTCGACGTCTTGGAGTTGCGGCCTTTGGGAGGCTCGGCCTCAGCTGAACCAGCTTTCCTTTCCAGGTCCTCGCGCCTGGAACCTGCTGGAACAGAGGTTCTGGAATGGAATTCCTCGTATTCGCGATGTGCGTCCTGATTACCTACCTCACTCTTAACGGGTCCATCCCGTGGTGTAGATCTGGGGTCCTGAGCTTTGTCTGTGCGGGGTACATAGTTAATGAACTGGTCCGGGGAAGGTGGGTCAAATGGCATACTGCTGTTGGGGCGGTTCGAAGCCGATGAGGATGGCCGAGCGCGGGCATTGCTTGTTGCTCCGGAGTTTTGCTGGGCCCGGGAAGATTGTGGCCTTGAATTGTTGGGCCCCGGACTGGCGGCACCACGGGGGGCGTTAAATGTACCGACAAGTGGAGATGGAGCCAGAACAGGAGATCCAGCATTGGAGGCATTGGCCCTGGGGTGGGGTAAAGTCAGTTGAAATCGATACTGAAAGGTAGAAAGTGAATCATACTTCTTGCGCGCAGCGGCAGTCGGGTTCGGAGCGCGAGTACGCTTCTTCTCCGTGGGGTCTTTGTTCGCGGCCCGTTGGCTGGTAGCTCCGCTGGCAGATCGTTCCATCGGAACACTGGCATCTCCAGGCAGTGCTGGCCGCTCCACCTTGCGACGCTTGGGTGCAGCGTTCGGATCGGCATGCTCGCCGCCGCGCGATTTACCATTGTTAGTTTTGCGTGCGCTGGAACCTCGGGTCTCCTCGTAGTCCGCGTCAACATGCGCCCGACGTTGCTTCCGTGCCAGGACAGCATCGCGCCTGGCCTCGCTGCGGCTAGCGGCTTCAGCTTCATGAAGCACATGTGACAAATCCTGCCTGTGTGACACTGCTTCCCGACGTGGACGCTCATTTGTTGCCGCCTTCGCGGCACTCTTGTTAGAGTATGCCCAGTGCGTCAGACTGCCCAAACGAGCTTCCTCGCTAATCTCGCCCGCGATGTATGGGAACACCGTATCCAAGCGAATGACTTGGCGATCCAGTTCCTCATTCGCGTTGGAGATAACGTGGTTTTTCTCGTCGGCGGTCATCATCAGGTCCGAGAGGCTTTGTCGTACGCGATCAAAGAGAAGCCGGCGATTTTTGCTTTCGGCGGTTTCCGGGGATTGAGAGAGCTCCTGTAAATTCATTAGGGATGCATTCATTGAGAAAATTGTTTAGGTTCTTACCTTGGGCAAAACATCCTCACGAATCACACCACCAGCGATAGGGGCCGGGTGGGGAGGGTGAGGAACAGGTTGTGATTCGGAAGAGAGTTGAAGCAATTGGAGTAAATTTTCCTCGAGGGCCCACGCTTTCGCATCAACTTCCTTGAGTAGTGAGTTATGGCGACGGAATTCGCGAGGGAGCGCAGTGATTGCATCGGTAAAATGCGTGAGAGCAGGGTAGAAGCCGTGGGGGACAGGGGATGATTCAGGAATTTCAGTAGTCGAACCTCGGCCAAACGCGAAGGACGACCGTCCGATGGTTTTGGAAGTTCGAGAAGGATTGGTTCGCGTTTGGCGAGCTGACTGACGGCTTCCCTGTCCCTGGGGATTCATGGCTGACGTGGAAACGGCGGACATTGTGAAGGGGAGAGTCGGGATTTGGGAGTCTGCGCCGCTGGAGGAATGGAGAGAGAGCGGTGCGCAGTCTGAGGGCGGTTCAATGAGATCAAAAAAGACAATGGTAGTCGGAAGTATCCTGAGACCCTGCACAAGAGTCAATACCTCGTCTGGCAACAGAGGGTGGGTGATGTGGAAGCTGCTACTAGCAAGTTTGAGTGCGGAGAAAGAGTGATCGGGATCAGGTGAATTGCCGCCTGGAATGCCAGGCACACACACGCTGAATAATACTGTCTATCAGTGACATCATTTTATATCAGGAACAGAGGCCAAGCTTCAATTGCACAAATCAACGAATTCTTTGTATTTTACATATAAGACGGTTCTAGCTGAAGGACGAGGATCATGGGTATCATCACCCGAGGCTTCACCCTGAACCCAGAACACGTTGAGAACACAAAACTCAATGAATACAGAAAAAAAAAAGGGTGGTACAAAAGGGATTAGACGCTAGCTTCTAAGAGAGCCGATGAATATAGAAACCCCACTTAATGCAAGTGTCCGGGTAAGATGGCAGATACATCAACGACAAGAGTCGAATCAGTGTGCTAAATGGACATTTACTCGCCCTTGAGGCGCTCCTGGTGAACGGAGAAGGCATCCTCCAAGAACTCTTGCTCCTCCTTGAGGTGAACGGCCTTGAGACCAGTCGCGACGGAGGCGCTGCCAGCACGACCAGCGTAGAGAACGTGGCGGCGGTTGTGGTGCTCGGTGGCATTCAGCAAGCTCTCGATACGGGGCTGGGCGTAGGACCAAGCACCGGCGTTGAGGGGCTCCTCCTGGCACCAGACAATGTTCTTGGCGTTAGGGTAGCTGTCAAGGTTCTCCTTGAGCTGAGCCCATGGGAAGGGGTGCAACTGCTCAACACGAGTGATGGCGGTGTTGCGGATGCCGTTGGCCTCGCGGTGCTTCATCAGGGCGGCGTAGACCTGGCCTGAGCAAAGAACGACACGCTCGATCTTCTCGGGGGCATCGATGGTAGTACCGTGACCCTCATCGGGGATGATCCACTGGAAGTGAGAATCACCGGACAAGGCCTCAATGTCAGAGCGGGCAATGGGGTGACGCAGCAGCGACTTGGAGAAGAAGATCACCAAAGGCTTGCGGAACTGGCGGTGGATCTGGCGACGGAGCATGTGGAAGAGGTTGGCAGGGGTGGTCATACAGGCGATCTGCATGTTGCAGTCCTGGTGCTGACGGTCGAGCTTGTCAGCGGAGGGGTAGACACGGGGCTCCTCGTTGCAAAGCTGGAGCCAGCGCTCCATACGTCCAGAAGAGTGCTCAGGGCCCTGTCCATCGTAACCGTGGGGCAGAGAGACAACGAGACCGGAACGCTGCAACCACTTGGATTCACCGGAGGCGATGAACTGATCAATGATACACTGAGCGTTGTTGGCAAAGTCACCGAACTGAGCCTCCCACATGACCAAGGCGTTGGGAGAGGTCAAGGAGTAACCATACTCGAAACCAAGACTGGTGAAAGTGTTAGTATCATTTGCAATGGGAAAAAGTGGGAGCGTGTCCGCAAAACTTACCAACCGAACTCACTCAGGGAGGAGTTGGAGATGACGAAGCTACCCTGCTTGTCACTGATGTGCTTCAGGGGGGTGTAGGTGCGCTCGGTCTGCTGGTCGTGCAGAACGGCGTGGCGCTGAGAGAAGGTACCACGCTCGACATCCTGTCCAGAGATACGGACGTGGTAGCCCTCGTCGACGAGGGAACCGAAGGCAAGAGCCTCGGCGGTAGCCCAATCGATGTTCTTACCCTCACCGACGGCCTTCTTGCGACCGGTCAAGATACGCTTAAGGTTGCGGTGGAGCTCGAAGCCGTCGGGGGCACCGGTGCCGCTGACCTTGTCGGCAATGTGCTGCAGGGACTTCTCGCCGACAGCAGTGGGCAGGTGAGGCAGGACCTCGGTGGCAAGCTCCTTGGGAGACTTGAAGTTGTTCCAGGCGGAAGTGAGCCACTCCTTACCGGTGGGCTGGTAGTCCTTGCTGCGGTCGAAGCTGTCGCCGAGCATTCCCCAAACCCACTTCTTGTGCTCATCAATGTCTTCCTTGGTGAAGGTGCCCTCGGCAATCAGCTTCTCAACGTACTTGTCGAGCTGGGCCTTCTGCTCAGCAATGCGCTTGTACATGAGAGGCTGGGTGAAGGAAGGCTGATCGGTCTCGTTGTGACCCTGCTTACGGTAGCAGACCATGTCAATGACAACGTCACGCTTGAACTCGGCACGCCAGTCAGCAGCAACCTGGCAGACGTAGTTGACAGCCTCGACATCATCGGCGTTCACGTGGAATACGGGAGCGTCAATGGACTTGGCGATGTCAGAGCAGTAAGGGGTAGATCGAGAGTAACGGGGATCAGTGGTGAAACCGATCTGGTTGTTCACGACCAGGTGAATGGTACCACCGGTGGAGTAGGCGGGAAGGGAGTGGAATCCCATGGTCTCGTAGACAACACCCTGGGCAGCGAAGGCTGCGTCACCGTGCAGCAAAACACCCATGGCAGAGTCGTAGTGGGTCTCGTCATTGTTGTAGTGCTGGATGGCACGGGTCTTTCCGAGGACGACGGGGTCCTCAGCCTCCAGGTGGGAGGGGTTGGCGACCAGGGACAGCTGCACGCGCTTGCCGGAGGGAGTGGGGCGCTCGAAGTTCATACCCAAGTGATACTTGACATCACCGGAGCCCTCATCAGAAGGCTCGGTAGAACCGGCGAACTCACTGAAGATAGACTCATTGGGCTTGCGGACGACGTTGGACAGAACGTTGAGACGACCACGGTGAGGCATACCGATAACGATGTCCTTGATGCCGTAGTCGACACTGCGGTCAATCAGGGCCTTCATACCGGGGACCAGAGTCTCACAGCCCTCAAGACCGAAACGCTTGTCGTTGGGGAACTTGGTAGCAAGGAAGGACTCGAAGCTGGAGGACCAGATCAAACGATCGAGAATACGGCGCTTGTCGTCGACCGAGTAGTTGTATGGCTGCGGGATCTCGAAGCGATCACGAATCCACTCGCAAGGCTTGCGGTCAGGAATGTGAATGTACTCAACGCCGTAAGAGCCACAGTAGATCTTCTCACAGGCATCAATAATCTCGCGGAGGGTCATCTTCTTGCGAGTCTCGGTGATGAAACGGGGCAAGATACCGGGTCCAAGAGCAAACTCCTGGTCCAGGTCACGCTCAGTGAAACCATAGTGGTCCAGCTCAAGCTCCTTGGGCTTGTCGTATCCGAAGGCCTCGGCTTCTCCGCGAATTCCAAGGGGATCGATCTTAGCCTTGTGGTGACCACGGGCCTGGTAGGCACGGCAGAGCAGCTGGACCTTCAGGTGGTTGGTCACATCCGCACCGCTGTCGAGACCGGCACCTGGCATGTCCTGAGGAACACCACCGGTAGGGGTAGGGACGAGAGTGGGAGGAGGAGTGAAGGCCTGGGAGATGGGCATGTTGCCATCCTCCATGTTCCTGAAGTAAGTTTGCCACGAGATGTGAACACTGGAGGGGTCCTTCTTCCACGCGACATACATCTCATCGATGTAGTTGGCAGTGCTTCCAGTGAGGAAGGAATCGTTAGGGTCCTATTCAAGTGAGGGCGAAAATGCGCCGTCGCGTTAGTCAAAACTCCGTTCAACTCTCATATCGGAAACCCAGAGCGAGACGCGACTGATATTGAATTGTTAATGCTTACCACTCCCTGAGATGCCGCGTAGGAGCGAACACCGGAAGCCCGGTCGACAACAGCAAGAGGCCGGCGAGCGGTCATGCTGAAGCCGGAGCGTTTTGAGGCGCTGCGGGCACTTGTAGCGAGGTGAATAGAGCGCCGGCATGTTGAGGAGGTCACACCGCGCAGCATACTGCTGTGGGTGGCCTTTGAGGCAGTGTTTCTAAACATTGCGGGATTTTTCGTAGATCAAAGTCCAACGAAGTTCGGGTTGATTATGGGGAGAAAAGGTAGAAAGATAGGACAATAGTTCGCAGATCTGCAGATCAAATCGGACGTGAAGGGTCGATTTGCTGTGTTCAATAATGTCAGCCTGATATTGCCAGGTTGTTATATCTCTGCCGAGGAAACCGGATACGGAGGAAAGGATCGGTAGGGTAAGTACACGTACAAATTTAACGACAAGACAGGTGTCGACTAGTTTTGCCGTAGCACCTGTATAGAATCGGGACTCATCAGAGAGCTAAAACTCTCTAGATGGAAAAAGAAATTGTGGGGAGAGGAGAAAGATGAGAAGAGCGCAAAAGGAAAGCTGCCGAGAATGACGGCTGTCGCGGCAGGAGCAGGGAATTGAGGCTGGTGCGCTGAGTCAGCCCGAGTTCACAGCCGGTCGCCTTGGAAGCGCCCGAACGAGCCACACCTACCGCAGCCCGGCTAAGTCATTTCGGGTTCTGTGCGGGAGTTTTCGGCCCAATTGTACTAAAGGGGTTTCCTATTATTCATAGATGTCTGAGATTCGTCTCACATTTTGTTATATACGAGGCTTCGATTAGTATTAACATCTATACAAAGAGATCACCGAATAAAACAAATATTGTGATACATATAGAAACGACAGTCGGGTATTCATGGCATCGTGAAAAATGCAAGGCCGCCGAGGGGACAAGAATAGGGAAATATAACGAGAAAGACACATTTGCGACCTGTGAGGTCAGATAGCCAAATATGGAACTCGAATATCATATTATAGAACGTTCAGGTGGTCATTTCCAGGGACTGACACTTGGTTACAATCTGCGAGAGCTCCCGGCCCGGTGATGATTCCGCTGGTCGGGAGATCGGCAGTTTGTCCAAACAGTGGGGAAGCTGTAGAGGTCCCTGAGTGACCATCGTCGTGGAAATAACCAACGCTCGTTGGTCCTTCGTCGGGAATCAAAGGTCTCGCATCGGGAACACTGGGACTTGCTTCAGCACCAGTAAAGCTTGTGCGATGAGATGGCGAGAGCGTGTGAGGTGGGCTACCTGCACTACTGCGCAGGCTACCATTGCTCCCACCCCAAGCTCCTCGTCGCAATTTCATGAGTGCACTGAGCGACATTTCATCATCCAAATTTCCCATGTCAACTAGCTGAGCCAAACCGGGGCTCGCCAGGGCTGAGTTGGGATGGGTGGCTCCGTGGGTAGCTCCGTGGGTAGCTCCGTGGGCCTTGAGGGAGATCATGGAGTTCCGCGTGCTCCACTCACTTCGTTCAGTGATTGGTGTCAGGCTGGGCTCTTGGAAATTTGCCCGTCTGCTGTGGCTGCGTGTTATGCCCTCAACACGCCGAGGGCCGAAGTATCCACCATTGGTCAGTTCAGAGCTGTCGCCACCGTCTGCATGTGCGTAGAACCCGAACTCCTGGCCGTAGAACCCATCGTCGTCATTTTCAAGAGCCTCTGCGTTGGCAGCGGCAACGATTGCATCGTCAAAATACGAATCGTCAAAATCATCGTATAGGCCATCGTCCAAGATATCCTCGTGTCCCATAGGGTCTGCAGATTGGCTGACTCGACTTTCGTCCGAGGTCAGGCCTGGCTGCAAGTCCAATGTCTGCGATGTCTGACCCATGCTTTCTTGACCCTGAGACCTGTCGCTCGTGCTAAAGGTGCGATCAAACCGTCCACCATGGCCAGATTCGCTGGCCGCAAATGCTAGAGCGTTATGCAAAAGATCCAAATTTTGCTCTGTGAGCACACCACCATGGGCCCGGGAAGGACCCATATTCGGTATTGACTCACCTAGGGGACCACGTTTGACTGACCCAGTTCGGTAGTCACTGGCCACACTAGACATGTGCTTCAACCCATTGTCCCCATTTTCGGCCACGAACGTTTCTTTATCTGGCGAATTTTCATCGACAGGGTCAAGGTTGTTTTTTGCGGGAGGTGCAGTAGGAGCACCAACCGGTTTCCGTTCGTATAAGTGACTGGTCTCATCGTCGAATATAGACTCGTCAAATCCTCCATCTTGATTGTCCAGATCAAGATCTCCAAACTCGCCGTCGTCAAAGTAGAGGTCGTCGTCATCATCAAGGACTTGCGGGTTTTCGTTGGCAGTGGTCTGTGGCTGGGCGGCTAGACCAGAGCTTGCAACGATATCTCGCCCCTGCTCAACATTCAACGGTGTGTTCCCGTGGTTGGGTACAACGGGTGCGAAGTATGAGTTGTTGCTCTGGTTTGGCGGCGCAGGGGTAACCGGACTCGCAACTACAGGGGACAATCCAGGAATGGCCCATGACTTTGCTCCGCCGTTGAGGTTGCCAGACAGGGAGAAGTCGTCATAATCGTCATCATCCGCATCCACGTTGACGCCCGGAATCTTCTCTTCGAGCCCGTCCAGGTCATCCAGCATGTCATTGTCAAAGTCGTCATCAAAGTCATCAAAATATCCGTCCTCCACTTTGCGACATGCTTCCTTTGCCTTGTGCTTCTCTTCCAACATTTTCTCTTGGGTTGATGATTCTACCCCTGTCATGTCAAAGCTGAAGCGAGAAGCATTACTCTTGAGATGTCTCGGGAGGCCCGAGGAATTGAAAGGAGCGTGGGAGATGGTATCTTGGTCTTGATGTTCTGGATGTGTGTGAGAGACTGGTTCTGGGGCGCTCAGGGCCTCTTCCACTTCGGGTTTAGGCTCAGGCTGCTCCGCAGCTTCGTGTGTTTGTTCAGGTAAATGAGACGGTAAGTTTCTAGCAAAGACCGGTAATGGTTGATCATGCCCAGGTTGGGATTGGGTCGTCAGGAGTGAAGACTGGAGATATCCCTTATTTTCAACCTGTAGAACGTTCTGGTCCTCAAAGTGTTCTTTAAATACCGGCGAACGATCACTGTGAGGCTTTGAATGATCGTTCCAACGAGATCCATTAGGGTGGCCAGGTATTTGTCCGGGTGATGCATATTGCGCAGTGGTATCTGACTGTGTAGCGGAGACATTACGGCGAGGTCGAGGCGCTGAAAAGTCATGCACAATTTTACCACGAATCCTAGGATCGTAATCATCCGGCATCGCCGGAACATTGCGATTCGTGATTTTGAGGTCTTGCGCACGAGTAGAGACAACCTGCGCGGACCGCCGGCGCGCAAGTAGAGACATTGGATTCAAGAGATGAAGCATCGCCTTGCCCGATTTGTGATGCGGTTGTTCCCCGGGGACATCGCGCTCTCCGCTGCGCTTGGGGCCTCCAGAAGTGCTCTCGATCTTAAAATCCTTCGGCATGCTTTGTTTGTCTGCTGGTGAGTCCTCCGGCGAGGTCTTGAAACGGAAATGTCCTGATCCAGCGGCAGCAGTCGGCGATCGCTTCTGTTTTCCGAATGAGCGTCGGAATGGTGAGCTCTGTTTGTAATTTGACGACTCCCCATCCCCTTGATCAGCGCGTAGACCCGTACTTGACGGCTGTGGATTTTTTGATTCGGATGTGGAGTGTTCGCCTTCACAGTCGCCGGGGCTCGAGTGAGGACGAGTGTCTTTCTCGTATGTCGGCGAAGGTACAGCGAGAGTGAGGGATGAGGAAAGCGGCGCTGCTGATGAGCTTATGTTTAACTTTGAGGCATCGATCTCCAGCGGCGACTCGATCGAGGAATGTTCATCGTGAGAGGGGCGACCGTTGAAAGTTGTGGCCAGTGTCGGGGTATCCAGAATCTCTGGTATTTGTGGAGGACTGCTTATCGGTCCTCCATTTGTCCCTTTCGAAGATGGTGACGCGGCCAACGTAGCTGGTGATGCGGACGAGCGCCGATGGTCGCGGCGCCAGTAAGAGAAAACGGTTGATGGAGCCATTTTTGCGCTCTTGTGTGGTCCTCACAGCGCCAGGATATGCTGAGGGAATCAGGAGGGGGCGTGGTGGTCCATTGCAGTTGTTGTAAACTGCTGAGGGGTGTCGACAAAGAGGGCCCGTCTCACATACCAGAAACAACGGGAACCGTGGGGACAGTAAGAAGCCACCTTGAGCTTCAACGGCTGTTTCACTTTGCTAATTTTTTTTTTTTTTCTTTGCAACGATGTTTCAGCTTCAATGAGTAGGTGACCACAGCAAGGCAATGCAAATTTCTAGAAAGCAAAGACGCAAGTGGAGGTAACGGCTCAAACGGGTTACACCGTCTCTCCGCCTCGCGTGTGGTTCTGGGCCCATCTACAATATCGCGTCACATACTTGTCGGCTACATACAGAACCGGTACTTGAAGGTCTTGAACACTGTATGAAATGCAGTCCATTATATAACCCGTACTCCGTACAAATATTCTACATGGATATCCTTCAACTCAAAATAGCACGCTCAGAACGACCATATGCTATGCAAAATATGCAAAATGTCAAAAAAGAAAAGGAGCAACCAGGCGAGACAGTTCAAAGGTGAGCCGTTCAACGGATGCTCTGCCTCCATCTGTCGATCACATCAGGTCCAAGCTGGCTAGCTGTTGGCGCAGTCGTGTTGGGAGCATGTCCCACTGTCGCGCCCATCATCGCAAAATTATTGGGATAACCAGATGGGTGCATCATTGAGTGTGCATATTGGGGCCGCATTGGGTACCCGGCTGCCATCGGGTAGCCCGTATTCGAGGAAAAATTCTGCATCGACATCCGGTTCCCGTATTGGGACATGGTGACAGGTCGCTGGGCCAAGTAATCATGCGAGGGCTGGCGAGCGAGATGGGAGGGACGGCCTTGCGTTAGCGCAGCCATGCTTCTTCGTACTCGTGGCTTTGGGGGTTCGAGCGCAGTAGCGGCCTCTTTCTGGAGACGGCTACGACGCTGGGCGAGGGTTTCTTCCTCATTGGTTTCTGGTGGTGTCTCAATGACTGTGGGTACAATGCCGGCCCGAGTGTCGATCTCGGCCATCAACTCACTGGCAAACCTACTTTCGGAGCGGTTGTGTCCTTTCAGTCGTTGGAGGCGCTCAGCAAGGGTCTCAACTTCATCCCCACTCTCGGCAGCTGGTTCCGAGGTCGATCTTGGGGGATGAGTCGTATCAGCTACATTAGGCTGTGGCTGCGGCAATGGCACAGGCTCACCCCGCAGCCTAGCCCGGCGTGAGCTCAAGGGCTCGTTCTCTTCCTGCTGTCGCTTCTCCATCAATCCCAACGGTCGATCTTCGAGGGCGGCATTGCCCTGGTTGGGGTAAAGGATTGCCAAAGGAACATCCTCGTCTTCCTCTCGATTTTCCCAGGCTAATGCGATAGGACGTTGTCGTCGCTTGTCGCTTTGCTGCTGAGCCCTCTCGTCCATCTGCAGCAGAGTGGTCTGCATACCCGGGTAAGGCATGGGAACTGCCGTGCGGCGTCTGTGCTTCAACTCATGCTTCCGCAACTCCAGCTCAGCGAGCAACGTGTTTGGTGGGCTAACATAATCCAGCTCCTCGTCATCTTCGTCCTGAGTTTCTGATGTTTCCTCGCCACTCTCCGAGCCCGTGCTTCCTGACTCGTGGCCATGATCATGCCTCACTTGATTATCGTGCCCGGTTTCCGATTGAAGGTGCACGGTGGCAGAATCATCGTTTTCAGCTGCATCGCTGGTACTGTGAGAGTGGCCGACGGTGTTCCGCAAATTCGAAGACGTCCTGCGCTTCGACTTGTGCGCCTGTGCTCCGAGATGTCCAGCATAAGGATGATCGGTGAAAGCGGAAACTGGAGCATTGGCAGATGCGTCTAAAATACTGTCCAGCGTTGCAACCGCAGAGTCTTGCTTCATTTGAACATGGAGAGACGAGGTCGGCTGCTCGAAAAAGACACTTGCACGCAAATGTGGCGGCACGGTGGACTTTCTTTTCTCGTTTTGGCTATTGTTTGGGCTTTGTTGCTCGACAGAAGTGGTGGGGTTTTTATCTTCGGCGGCGATTGCGCCCATAATCTGGGTTCGACGCTTTTCTCGGTCGATATTCGTTTTGCGAGATAACTTCGGGGGGAGGTTCAACATGCGAGGAACAGGGGCGGGATAGTACACCATATTCTCTCCCATTCTCGGCTCCTTATATGATTCTCGGTTTCGAGCAAGCGGCGGACGGTCTAGAGGAACCTGTCGACCAGATGCGCCGCGCTCCAATGGTGCGAAGTGCACGCCATCAAAATCAGTGAACAGCGTGCGTGCCTGCTGGAAGGTGTCGACCGACGCGACCGAGGCCCGTCGCTCCAACTCTGTCTCCGCAGGGACACCTTGTTGGCCATGGTGATCATAATAATAGTCACTTTGTGGGTTGTAAGGGTGCCCCGGGAACTCATTTACTTCATACCCATGCTCATCGTGCGCGGGCTCCGAGACCTGTGCAAGACGCGATCCTGATACAGAGCGCAGGCGCGCAGGCGACACGTTGGACTCGTGCACAGAAGAAATGGTTCCGGTGGGTGAAAATGCGTCGTTTCGGAGATTAACCGAGTTAGCGGCTGAGCTGCATGAGCGCTGCTTTTGCTCTTGGTCCAACCGACGAATCTCACTCCCAATGTCGGCGGAACACGAGCTCAGTTGTTCCGCGCTCTGTTCCAACCTCTCCACATTTCCGACATAGGCGCCTTGTATTGATTGCAAATCCGGGATCGGGTGGCTCAAAGGCACGGGAGTCTCGCTGCATGCGCTGCGGAGGGGCGGTTCGGGAGAGTGTTGTCGCGCGACAGCGGTGTTAAGGGGAGGAACGCGACGAATGCTGTCGGATCGCTGGGGAGGATCCGGGTCATAGTCGTCGTCGTCGACCATATCGTAGCTGTTGGAAGTCATAGAGCGGATCATCGATCCCAAGTCGAAACCGTCCGCGGTTTTCGCAGGTTCCAGGTGACTTCCTCCCCCGATGTGATCAGTATCAAGCGGCAGCTGTTCAAATGCATGCCCGGCGGGTGAGGGGCTGCGTGATGCAGAGGCGGAGGAGTTCGAAGCCACCTCGTGGTCAATCTGAGCAACGGCATTGTACGCCATTATATAGCTGGGCACCGAGTCTCCATCCAGACTGGTTCGAATTAGAAAGGTTCAGGACGAAATGTTGACAGGGATAAGAGACAAAGAAAGGCAAATGCAGGGACGAAAGAGTAGGAGAGGAACATGGAGAAATGAACTGAATTGTGTCACGTCCTAAATTTGGAAGTTTGCCTGCCCCCAGGCGGAATGCCTAAAATTATCCAAAATAATTTCAATAAGAAATTAAAACAAGTAAAACGACGACGCCACAAAAGGGGCCTTTGCGTCTCTCAATGTCTCGGACCAGTCGATGCCCTTCCAGGATTCGTCTCTCCACTCTGTTCTAGAGGTCTTGGCATCATTATCTAGTATATCTTCCATCTTTACTGTCCGGCTACCTGCATAGCTCTGTACCCAGCGCAGTACTCCGTATGCGGAGAGGCCTTTGAACCAATCACCTTACCAGTGTATATCAGGTATTTTCTCGCCCTCGCCTTCTTCCCAGTTTGCCTTGCATAAATACAACCACACCTACGGCAACTCGAGACTCGAGACTCAAAAAGTGGTCGCATGACTTGACCATGAACGTGTCCGAGGGCAGATGCAGATCAACTCAAGGGTTTGGAATTGTCTTCCGAACCTTGGGACCCTCCCATCAGGTGGGAGCACTGGGAGCACTTCTCCCTTAGTTACGTGCAGCAAAATCGGGACCAGGACCAGTGAGCCGGGTTGAGAGAGCACATAACTAACACTTCGATCTCACAGGGGTGGCTACTGATAATTCCAAATTCCCACACAAACTCGATACTTGTACTCCGTACACAACCTTGGAAGCGAATACAGTGTACAAAGTACACAGCCACTCGAATTTTGGAACTTTTAAGGTGATGACAGTCGGCTTTAAATGTGGGCTCCTCCAGATGCCCCTTACAATAGAATCTCTTTCGCACCTCCGTGCCTACTACTCAATTACCTATACTCCATAGATCTTAAAGTATTTACTGGGATGCTTCTTTGGTTCCCTCGTTGTTAGGACAACGATATACAAGGCCATATTTAATTGCAGATTGCTAGACGAGGTTACATATACTTATGTGCTACCTTCAACTGTACATGAGAGCTTTATGTTCAAGACGCTTGGGGTACTTCGCGTCATTACTATCACTCCCTCCTTTTGCAGCTCTCAAAATCCTTAATTTAAAGGGTAATTTGACCTGTCTCTCGAACATGTCATGAAACCTGATCAGCGCTACTGCATCACTTTTTGCCATCAACTTCATCACATCTGCTGCGTACTCCGTACATCTATGGCCCCATTGAAGATCCATCCAGAATCTGAATCTGCCAATTTACCAAGCCAAGCAATCTCGGCAACCCGTCGGCGTAGTCCCTCACCTGGGCACGCGAGCACCACTGACAACCTTGGAAACGATACGGCATCCCGCATCCGCAACCCCACATATCTGCCACGACCCCACAACCTCTGCATTCATAGAGCACAGAGTTGTACTCCGTACGGAGTACATACACGATGCCCTTGGGAAAACCACTCCGAGTGTACTCCGTAGCTCGCACACCACACGCTCACTCGCATATCGAGTCTATCCATATGATACAGCATCACATATCCGCTACGATCGCCAACAGTTACGAGTAGCTAGGCCATTATGCAACTTTTGCCATTTCGATCTTGTTTTAAAAAACTTTAGAAAAAGAAAAGAGAAAAAGTATCAACCTTTCTTCCATTTCAGGGATCTTCTATATTCTGCTGTATAGTAGTCTTCCTTGTGGGGGAGGTTTGTTTTGTTTGCTCTCCCCCCCTCTCTTCTTCTGTAACGTTCTACCTCCTCTTGTTCTTCCCCGTAGCTCTCCCCACATCTAATACAGATAGATTTCGAACACAATCAAATTTCAATATCATAAAAACTTCTCAATGGAAGCATTACGTGATTCCAAACAGACTAGTGGTGTTATTCCTTGCCGAAAATGACACGATAAATACTACCAGCGTTCCTTCTACGGAGTAGTGAGAGGTATAATTAAATCGATGGTGTTGGAGTGAGGACACTCTGACCACGGATGTTTGCAACAGACGAACCGTTGCTCAGAGGAACGGAACGACCCGGGCTGACGCATTAATTTGCTCAAATCCAATGCAAGGCTGCCGAGTCATACCAATTCCCAACCTGAAAATTCCAGCGCATATCTAACGTACATCACCGACGAATAACCACATTTACAAAATGTCAGGTACGCACCGCCATCCTGACAATACCGAACTACCGATTAACTGCTCAGAGCCTCAACCAACACCCCCTTTTCGTATTGGGGTAGTTCTATTCCCAGGCTTTCAGGCCCTCGATGCTTTCGGGCCAATGGACTGCCTCAATGTCCTCTCACGAAATCACGCCGTGACTCTAGCACTTCTCTCCTCAACCCTAGAGCCTGTGACAACGAAATCACCCGTGTTACCCCACGCTATCGGCCAAGCCGTGGTACCAACACACACATTCGAAACGGCCCCATCCCTGGACCTGTTACTTGTCCCAGGGGGTATTGGGTCTCGCGGTTCGAGCCCGGCTATTGAAGAAATCATTTCCTACATTCGACATGTCTACCCTACGCTGAAGTACCTGATCACAGTATGTACTGGGTCTGGACTTGCCGCCCGAGCGGGTGTGCTGGATGGGAAACGAGCCACGACTAACAAAAGGGCGTGGGCTGAGATGACGGCTTTGAGTGAGCTTGTTGAATGGATTCCTCACGCTAGATGGGTTGTGGATGGTAACATCTGGTCTTCTTCTGGTGTGAGTGCGGGTATTGATGTGACTCTCGCCTGGATTGAGGAGGTCTATGGTTGTCAGGTGGCGGAGACAATTGCGAATGGAATTGAATACACTCGTCACAAGGACCCGAGCCATGATCCTTTTGCCGAGCTGCATGGACTTTGAGGCAACTACGGAGTATGTACATCTCTGTCTGCTCTTGGTCTGTATCGGTTTGGCCATTGTGTTAAGTCAAGACTGCTTCTGCGAGAGGATCAACTTTAGAAGAGTATTGGTTTGAGCAATCTAAAAACTTTAGAATGTTGTGCATGCCTAGTTGGTTCGAGAACCCGTCAGGACACCGTCTGAATATGTCTTCAAACCCTTGATTGTCCTGAAGTCCCTGCCCGCTTTACTTAAGTACAATCCTTTGGATGTTTCAACGGATGCTCTGATGGACAGGATCATAGGTATTACATTGTGATCAATACTAACATCTTATGTTCAACCGTTCGCTTGATACCTATGAAAGTCGGCGGTACACGTCCAGAAACTCTGGTTGGGCATGAGAATACTGTAGTATTATCAGAAGCAATACGCGGTCGCATGGATATCTTCTTAATGAGTCCTCGGCTCTGTAGCTCCTACCTATCGGCGCGGAGTATCAAGATGCACGTAAAACAATATGTTATGAAGGAGAATATTCTGTACGGAGTAGAAAGTGGAGATAGTCCCACTGAGCGGAATAGCTCCGACCCTGCTACACGTGACTGCGCGCCGACATCGACGCGCCTCATTTCAGAATTTGGCGATCAACAGACGTAAATGCTTTGACGTGTCATCATGTCTTATTATGATATCGACTCGATCTTGACAGATTCACAAGTTAAGCGCGACACAAATGCCCAGGAAAGAGAGACAAATACTGACACATTGAATTTCAGAAATTGCCATGTACATTTGAGCTCGAAGTGCCCGGCCTGGGAATTCTGGAAGGCAACGCAGGTGAAGATGTTCGTTCATGACTCTTCTCCAGCCCAGCTCCGGAATACACTGACTATCCTCAGATCAAAGCTGGGACTCGGATCGACCTCCCATTATGGCTGGGTGAAATGCTTTCGATCGGGTAAGGCCTTCAGCAACTGGCCATTGGTGGTCCCCCGATCTCCTACTTACATGGCGATTCTAGAGCGAGATTGGGGACGTCTCGTCTTGTTACCCTCGACATGCCTGATGCACTCTCGGAGCGTGTGATGAATGCGTTGAAGGCAGATCCCCGAACACTTGACCTTCGTGCCTTAGCGCCGCATTTCTACAATCTAAGCGAACGGATTCTAGAACTTTTCGAAGAAGAAGAGATGGTGGACGTTCTAACTGACGTATGTGGTTCGCCACCACAAGGTTGAGAAATTGGAGCTGACCGGCTGGTAGACATTCAAGAAACGAGCGGCCGAGATTGCCGACCACGCACACAACTCACGCGGGGCGGTTGGTGACGGCGTCGATTTCCTTCGCGGGTTGGATGAGACCGAGCGGCAATGTGAGTCATTAGTGCTGTTGTATTGAAGGAGATTACTGACGAACTACTTTAGTATTCCGAGCTGCTCATGACCGAGCTAAGGAAATGCGAATCTGGTCTGGGGAGGCGAGACGCAAATGAAAGGGTTTGAGGCAAAATTTGGGCTTTGAGCTGCGCTCGCCCAGATCCCGGTTAAACTTATGCAACAATATGATCAATCCAATAGGCCACGTGTGACGTAGACATTTTTGATCTGCGTACGGAGGACTTTTGTGAGAGCCAATTTCTACGGAGTCGGCATGAGACACCCCAAGAGCTTCGTGTAGAAGGCAAAACCACGCCGTATTTCCTTATTGGAGAAGCGTGAAGCAAATCATGTCAGATAGAGCGGATAAGGGGCCCGAGCATGCGACATGTACGATGTTAGAAGAACTTTAGAAATGACAGAGCCAAAAGTCACAGAAGTGGGTTGCATATTGTGGAGACAGCCATATGGACCCAAGATCCATTTGAAGATCGGAAGATCTGTATGGAGTCGAGGACGTATACATAGTACATCATTGGCTTGAGATTACAACTGACGAATACAGTACCACTGACGCTCCTCAATTCCAGAGATGATCATAAATTGACTTTAGTACGAGTATATTGGTGAATTTTGAATCAGGCTGTGTCGAGCGAATCAAGATTACGGCCCTGACATCGAGAGTCTTGACGTATACGAGTACAGAGTATACGAAACCCGGAATATGGAGAAAAGACATTGAATTGAACCAAGGGAATGTAAAGATACCCCCTAGGTACCTGGGCGACAACCCAAAAACGGAGGTCAACCAAGTACTCCCTGGTACCTCAGGTGAAACCCAGTAAGGGAAAATAGCCCCACGCGAATCTAGGAGAGGCTGGGAAATCCACGCTGGGACTTCACTTCCTCTTCCATTCGGCTTTTCATTCTTCTATACATTCCTTACTAGGAGGGGTCTTCGGCAATTCAAAACAACAACATTGAGTGGGTCCTATGATTTTTTTTAGAAGCTATTTTCTCTAGCTCGACTCATCACAATCCGTTTGCGTTTGCGACATCCCCTCGCTTTAGGTGACTTCTTCCTGTCGCCCTTGGGTTTTCCAGAACTAGAGTCTACCAGTGCCTTGACCCAGTTCTATTGCCTCTAAACCTTCCTTAACCCTCCCATCCCCCCACAGGCGCAGCCAATTTGGCTTCTGATTGCTCCCCACCTGCAACACATCTGCACCCCTCGCATCCGCACCGTCTGCTTAGCACCCACCCGAATCTGATCGTCCAATACATTGTCTGGCGCCTAACCAATTGGCGCCCCTCCGTTCATATTTCTGGCTCCATCTGTTAAACCTCCGATGTGGCTGGTGGACAGTGCTGCAAATTGTCGTCGCAGTGTCCACTGATTGACCAGGAGACAGGTGGGCCGCGTCCTAACTGGTAACTGGGGGTATATTCGGCACGTCAATTATGCGCGAGTGAAGATGATGCCTGCAGCCACGATGCATGAGAAAATTCAAAGGAGTTCGGCTGCTGGTCAGCCTGCTCCTTCGCACTCTCAGCCTCCTGTATATCATTCTAATACTGCACCTAAACGCACTCTCTCATCTAAACCTCACCTTGCTAGTAAGTTCAATCTTTCAATATCTTCTGGCTTCTCAATTCCAAAGGGAACAGTAAGCTCACACTATATTCCTTCCCAGACTCTTCGGACCGCCCACAACACCCGTCGCTCTCTCGCGTCAAGGGCCGAAATAATATGTTTACTCCACCTCCAATGAGCGCTGAGGGCTCGTGGCTGAGAGATCAGTCACCAGCTCACCCTGGAACCAGGACCCCAAACCGCTCCCAAGGTATGTCCTGGAGTATTCAAACCGTGTGAATTGGTTACTGATTTCAGATGACACAGACACACCAGAACCAGACACGCCTTCATTAGTCAATCCATCATCTGCTCTACTGCAGGACCTCCTCAAGGAGCAACGCGCACACCGGGGATCGCGAGGCAATATCTCGGAGGATTTGGAACATAGTGCTCCCCGAACACCTGAGACTGTTCGACTTCATGACGATACTGCATCAGAAAAGGCACGCAAAATTAACGACGCTCTCTCTGCGGGCCAGAGGAAGCCAAAAGAAATGGGGATGCGCGAGATGGATACTGTAAGTCTGCTCGAGGTTACAGTAGAGAACAGGTCTGACGAGTGTGCAGTACGTTTCGAAAATGAATAAGCTCAACTTTGATTTGAAGCTTGAGGTCTTTCACCGCACGCAGCAGATGAAGATCCTCGAACAGAAGTTGGAGCGGATGGCAGAGATGGAAGAACAACTTACTCATATGGACCAGTTGGAGGCAGAAGTGCAAGAGCTGCGGACTGTGGCACAGGAGAATCAAATGCTACGCGAAAAGAACAAGCAACTCAGTGAAGATTTCAAAAACCGAGATCAGGCAGTTGTCGAAGCAGTTGACCTCATTTGTCAGTTGGAAACCAAAATCGATGTGCTGGAGAATGGCGGGCGAACTTCGAAGATGTCCATGTCGCGCCCAAGGACTGCAGATGGCTCCGATGTGCTGACGCCAAAAGCCCGCACAATGGTCGAGATTCCAGAGAGAACGTCGTCCAGACGAAGTTCGAGATCATCCAGTGTTATGAACGTGGCCCGCCGCCAGACATCATCCGAACTACGGAAACTCTCGAAGGCGCCGTCATTTTTGCGACTTGACGACAAGAGTACTGCAACCCTGCGAGGCCTATATGAGCCACACAAAGAATCGCGCACCGAGACGACTGGACTTGCAAAGTCGGAAAGTTTCCATACTATGACCGAAACCATGGAGCCGGAATCTCCCAGACTGAGCGTTCTGAGCGAATGCAGTGAGCTGAATACTTTCGACACGCCTACAAGGTGGGACGAGCTTGACCATATTGATATTCCCGTCCGGAAGGCATCATCAACCACGGGCAGTATAGATAGCTATGTTCGACCCTTCCAGCGGGAGGAGAGCAAAGAAGATCAGATCGACCGGTGGATGCAGTCCAGAGAGGATATGAATGACACTATCATTACCAGGCGGAGGAACCGAGCATATTCCGATGCCTCCAAAGCTGGCATTCCAAGTCTTGTGGCCGATCTCTACTCTCAAAAGCCTCGTGGACGTGGGCGCTTGGATGGATCACTCTTCGAAGGAATAGCCTTACCTCCCACACCCGACACAATGAGCACAGCATGTGTCATGGGAACCAATCGTTCAAATGGCTCTAATGGTTCAAATGGAAGCATTGCAGGTCGAAAGAGCTTCCGCAATGACCATGACCCGTTCTTCACTGCCCAGCCAATCAACCGACCCCACTCAGCTGAGGAGATGGCAAACCGTTGCAGCTTCAATAGCGAGGTCACAGACAGCATGCAGGCCAATTTTGGTGACACCACGGGGTCAGGAGGTGCGGTCGAGTCCCACACCATCTTGCCCTCATATACCAATGTTTCCTCCAAGGCCAGCGAGCTCCTCGGCCCTGGAAGCCCTAATAATCCTGCTATCGCAACTTTCGGAGACATCCACCATGTTACTGCAAACCATGTGTCCACTCCGACGATTCATCGCGTCCGCAATGTACCAAAAGCTATGACCCCAGAACCGCAGTGCAATGAGAGTGACGGATCACCGCCGCTTACACCCCAGGACTGGATTGCTGCTGCAAACCAAGGCCCTCGGTCTCGGAAAGAAAAGGCTCGTGTGACTAGTCCCGAGCTCCAGCAGAGTGATATGTCTCCACGAAAGGCCTTCCGCCCAGTCGTTTTCGACGATGACGGCAGCGTCGCCTCAGATCCAATCGAGGCAGATTCTCCTCGAATCCCAACGCTTGACATGACCACACTCGACATATTGGAACAGCCACTCGAAGTACCCCAAGGAAGCCCTCAACCAGAAGCCGACCCAGAACGTCGCCGGCGCCTCAGCTTCCGGCCCCCCTTCTTTAGCCGATCCACCAACCACCCCCGCCCTCTACAGGCTTCTCCGATCCTTAATGATTTTGAAGACGATGAAGACGGTGCCCCATCCCCTATAATTCCTAAGACCCGAACCATGGGAGGCAGTGGTCGTAGACCTGCCTCTCAAATCTACAGCAACCCAAACGAGTTGTACTCCAGCCTCCAAATCTTTAGCGAAGAGCCAACCAGCTTCCCAAGATGCCTCCCACAGTCCTCCACAGAACCAAGAATGGCAGATCTTGGCACCCCAGCAGCCGACTCTGGTCGCCCCTCTACCTCGCACGGCCCTGAGCACAAGCGTCGAAGCTCTCTCGGTATCATCGGCTGGATGAAAGGCAAAATCTCTGATTCTGCCGACAAGCCTGAGTCTGCAAAGGAGCCTCGCACCCCCTCACGTCTGGCATCAGAGGCCTCTAACGGGGTTGGAATAATCCATCCCGAGACATCGGAGTCATTCGAGGTGCCTGCTGCCAGACCTCGCTCGGAAGTCATAACTCATGATGATCTAGCCCGGCGGCCTAGGTATATGGGTCGCCGTGCGCGCCGGGGATGAATCTTCGATGCTAATTTGCACCCCATCTGCACGTCCACTTGATCTGCGCCTTTTCTTTTCCTTGTATTCCACGTTTCTGTCTGTTACGGAGTAAGGCAAGACTGGAGAAGATGATCCTATTGCTAGGTTCCTAGCTAGGCTATGTAATGATGACGGGGTCACATGACTCCTGACACTATCTGTTGTACTATACGATACCTACAATCCTGGCGCCCAGAGATGCTCAAATGGCTTCACAATCTCACTGCAGTTCCCTATGTCATGTCTTGTGCTTTATTTCGCTCAGTTTAACCGCTCAGCCACCGAGTATTCGCTGTGTCTGTCGGCTAGCGACCAGCCTGATCGATGCAGGTGCACAACAAATTACCCCTCTTTGATCATGTGATCACGCGCTCCTCTTGCTCAGTTCGCGTCACTTGCATCTCACTATTCGTCACTTGCATCCGACTCTGATCTCACTGTTCGTCAGCACCCGGGATGCCCCACCACCAACGTTGACATCCCGGTGCCCCACCACCAACGTTGACATCCCGGTGCCCCACCACCAACGTTGACATCCCGGTGCCCCACGTTGACATCCCGGTACTCATACCATCCGCCAATACCCAGTCGCAATGGCTAGTACTATCCGCCCCATCGAATTTCCTGATTTTCATGTGATAGGCCGTGAGAACGGAACCAAAGAAGAGCTCGACGGACGTGAGTTTCTGACTCATAGTCCTCCCGACCTTCCTCCACGCCATCGTATACTAGCTATACTCGGAACGACGGACATCGAAGATCAAGCGAACCCCAATGAAGATGGGTGGTTCGTTTCCGATTTCTACCTGTTTCACTATCTCTTGGCACCTACATACCCTCGACGTGAGTCTGCCCCGGTCCTGCTGTCATTTGTTCTCTGCTAACCGTATGAGTACCGCCAGCGCACAACCAGATTTGGTTAACATCCGAAGACCCGGCAAGCCTCGTGACAAAGTACAAAGAATACCTGCACGGAGATTCACAAGGAGACCGTCGAGCAGTGCTCGACAGCCAGAGACTCGCCAGTATAAATCAGGCTGGAAATTTGCGGGTTGTGCCGAGAAACATCCTCCTCGAGCGATACCTAAGCACTCTACGAGAGCAAGTTGCTGAAGCATCCCGCCTTCAAGAGCATCTTGTGCTGTTCATCTTCGGGCACGGAACCCCAAAATATGATGTTGAAATTGCAGGCTCCATGCTTCGCATGGAAGACATACGCCGAGAGATCAGAAACAGGTCACAAGTCACGTTGTTCACCACCTCATGCTACTCCGGCGGGTGGCTAGTGGTCCCCGATCTCAGACAGCAAATGCTCAATGCGACAGCAATCGCAGCAGCTGGACCAAAAACCAAATCCTCATCGTGGCCCCTAAGCGGGAGTATTGGCCGAGCTAGCGGCAGCTTGGCCGCATCCGCAGTGCTACGCTGCCTGGTTGATGCCGAAGATGAAATTGAGGAGAGGTTGGAGCACCCGACATACATACAACTTGCGAAGTCTATATATGACTGTGTGAAGGGGATGGGATTACTCGGCGACAGTCAGCAAATCCACTTCTCTGCGGAAAACGATGAATGGGAGACAAGCTATCGGCCCCGCCTCGGTTTGCCTCTTGTGTCATTCAAGGAAAAATGGCAGTCCCTGCGTCAGGTTCCCCCCTCGACATGCCCCCCATCGACATCCGCGGCAAGTAGCGTGGTGGCTAGAGCTGGCGGACGGCCGCTCAAACGTCTTCAGTATCTCGCCCAAGAGTACTTTGCCTCCAACCCCGGTGCTGACAATGCCGGTCCGAATATCGGCTTGCACAACTGTCTGATTCAAGTCCTGAAAGGAACCAGCTTTTCAAAAGAAAAGATGCAGGATTTGACGGAAATCACCGCGTATAGACTCGGAGCTATGTACGAGGCCGATTACTTGCGAGAACAAATAGGGCTCCAGTTCCCGTCGATCTTCGATATTGATCCAGAGCACGCACTCGAAAAATTACCCGAAAAACAATTGACGCTCAAAACATGGTCATTGCTCCTCCGGCATGACATAAATACAACCCCCATTGGGATTCGCCGACCGTATGGCAAGCCTCTACAGTACCTTACACTTGCTCTGGTGGACACATTCAAGTCTTGGGACGCAATCGAACAACAGGTGAAGACCATGGCCAGTAAGAAAAGGGCATGGTATCGTCTCATATTCAAGGCATGGCAAGGACATCGAGTGGCGAATGACGAGGGGGTCAGGAGGCAGCACCGTGCTGTATTGGAGGCATTCAAAAAGATCAGAAATTAAAACTCCTGCTGTCACGTGGACACGACGTTGTGACGACGGAAAATGCAGTGGGGGGTTTCTTTCGGTTCAGCGTTCATTCTACGACTAGTTCTATCGGGCGGGTTCCTTTGGGTTTTGTGCTCATTTGACAGCAAGCAAGGGGGTACTAATACAATTACGGCTTATTCAGCAGGTTATGGGGAGGTCAGGTGATTTGGGCTCCGCTAGTATCCTAGTCTCGGTTCACCTTCCAGAAGTTCTTTTCTATCATTACCAACCAATCAAAGAGCTTCTGCAGATCTGTTCCTTTCATCGTATTTCATTCAGATTGCGTTACAGCTAGCACAGCTGTGTTTTCAACTATTTACTTTTCTAGCTCCCCAGCGAGTAGAGTGTCTCAACGTCTATATCATTATGTAGTATGTACATAGTCAGGCAGAGGAATATCATCATCTTCCACCCCTCAGCTCGCTTACGCGTACGTAGCCTGACACGTGCGGTAAGCCCCTTACATGCCTTCAAAAGTATGGTAACTGAAGTTCATTAAATTCAAGTAGTAGTATCGTAGCTCGTACAGTGCTTCCAAGCTTCTTAGATCATTGCAAATTAGTTCCCAACCCAAGCTCTTTTTTTTCTCGCCATGCTCCCAAATCATTATACTATTCATACACAAAAACACAAGTGTGCCACCAGAAAAAGAGAATCTAATACCAATCATTACCCTTCTCCCCTAACCTCTTTTGCTTCGGATTCAGTGAGATAACTCGCTGACCAGGTAGCGTATCCGCCGTGAAAGCAGCCTCGAAGATACTCGCAATTCCCCGCTTCGCATAATGTTCATGCTGGAACGAGTCATAATCATCTCTCTTTCCATTAATAGCTCCCCACTGGATGCCATGCGGCGTTTTCCCATCTCCAAGGTCACTCCACCGCGTAACGGTGATAGCCTGCTTGAATCTTCCATCTGCACGGTCCTCGCACAGCTTTACTTCAATCAAATACTCAGTTGGACACTGGGGACACCTTCGCATCGGCCGACAGAACCCACACAGCGTCGTCAGCGCATTCGGATCAAAAACTTCACCCGCCAATCGGTCTTTGACACGATGCTCAAGACCCTGTAGACCACCCGTACTGCGTGGACGCGGAATATGCTCCAGCGCACACTTGCAAGCGGGCATGAGCTCGCCATCACGCCAGTGTGCGCACGCACTGAAATACGGCCAGTAGTCTTCGCGCGAGAATAGGAGCATGCGCTGCGCTGAGGGTGTTAGCCCGGGCGCTGCGAATGTCTGTGACGTGACGCGCATTAGGAGTCGGCCTGAATGTATGTGGAATCGAGTGGTATGAGACCAGTCGTCGCGATGCCAGCGGCGGCCTAGGGCTTCTGGGGTCAGTCCGTAGGAGGGGCCGAATCGGCGAGCGCGCATGGTGAGTTGGACGAAGGTGAAAGGTAGCATGCGGCCGTGGGTGATGCGGTGGCGGGGAGGGGGGTTGAGGGCGTTGGTTGAGTTTGGACACTTGAAGAGAGGATTGAGGACGTGGGTTGGTCGCAAACGTTCTGTGCCGCGCTGGGTGCGAACGTGGTAGCGGGCACAGGGTATACAGAGAAGATGTGCTGGGAGAGATCCATCGAGGCCGGCTAGGAACGTGACCTTGTATGGAAGGGCTTCGGGGTATTCGAGGGCCATGAAGTATCTTGGGCCTAGTCGTCGGTAGAGGGTGATGCTCGCAATTGCCAGGCTTGCTGCTTCCGCTGGATCCAGGTAGTTTGCAATTCGTGCCCATAACTTGGGTGGTAGGCTCGCTATGTCACCCTCGCCTGGCGGACGGCGGTCGTTGTGCTCATATACTTGGTCGACGTCATCGTCGACTCCGAGAGTGCCTAGCGAATGGATGATTTCCGTGTAGTCTCGTCGTTCGCCAAGCTGACTGTCCACCTGCGCATGTAATTCCTGGTATTTGAGCCTATGAGCGTGCAAAGGAGCTAATTCTGGCATCGGAGGAGCAGGCAATGGGGGAGGGGCCCCCTCATCGACACTTGGACGTGCGGCCAGCCGCAAGTCTGTAGTCGATCTGCTACCCTTCCTGAGTGTTTGGCGAGATTTCTTGGGTCGCAATGCATTAGAAACAAATGACTTGAAGCCATTTTTCTGGCCTGGGCTTTCTGCAGACATGATGTTGATGTGCAGAGAAGTGGAAAAAGTCCAGAACAAGCCAGGGTCCATTGTCTCGGAGGTCCGCGGTGAGCTTGTATTACTACGCGGTCCGCCCGGCCCGGTGGGTCCACGTTGAATGCTGCAAGTTACGTCGAACAAAGTGATTTCATCATGATAATATTGGAGGATCCATGCTACAATACAGGGGTAATTAAGCGCAATACATCATAGCAGCATTTACAAATGAACTGGAAGTATTCAAGAGAAGCGCTTCTCAACGGTCTTCCAGTTGATGACATCCCAGATGGCAGAGAAGTACTCGACCTTGCGGTTCTGGTATTGGAGGCTATGATGTGGTCAGTATTGGCAGACTCATGCATGGAGTGGGGCTTCTTACTAGTAGGCGTGCTCCCAAGCGTCAATGCCGAGCAAAGGCTCGAACTGACCGACAACAGGGTCCTGGTTCTATAAGGGGTCAGCAATATTCCAAGTAATGAGATACCATATTAACTTACAGCATAGGTGCGGATGCTAATCTGGCCGGTCTGCTTGTCCTTCACGAGCCAAGCCCATCCACTGCCCTGAATGCTGGCAAGGGCAGCGTTCATCTTAGACTGGAACTCGCCAAATCCACCGTAGGTGGTGTCAATGGCCTTAGAAAGGGCACCAGAGGGGGGCTCACCACCACCGGCACTCTTGGGAGCGAGGTTCTCCCAGAAGAGGGTGTGGTTGAGGTGACCACCGCCGTTGAAGTTGATGGCGGGCTTGAGGGCAATCTGGGCAGCAATGTTGCCCTGGTGCTGAGCCTCCTCAAGCTGCACAATAGAGTTGTTGTAGTTGGTCACGTAGGTGTTGTGGTGGTTCTTGTGGTGGATCTCCATGATCTTGCCGGAGATGGAGGGTTCCAAAGCACCGTAGTCGACTTATGATTGGTGTTAGTTCATGTCACCTTGCAAGGGCGTAGGCCAACAAGAGTAATTCCTGGGGCAGTACCCCCAGGCCGTATTGCTTACAGGAAAGATCGGGAAGGGTGGCCTTGCCGCGGGCGAAAGTCAGGCCCGCAGCGCCGGCCTTGGAGGTAGCCGAAACACCCGAGCGAAGGGCAACGCGGGCGGAGTTGCTAAGGAGAGCAGCCATTTTGAAAAAGGGTGTGTGTTAAAAGTGACTATACAGTGTTGAGGATCAAGGGGGGTCAATGGGAATAGATGAATGAATCTAAGGGAAAAAAAGTAATGGAGACGTGCAGCGGAGCTATGAAGTAACCGAGCTAAATCAAACGTCATCCTGTTTTGAGGAAAAAGGTTATTCCTACCGGGTTTCCACGTGATTTTCATGAGCTCTCATCTCAGATTCACATTCGCATTCGCATTCGACGTCCGACCACTTTTTTATTTGCCGCAGATTGAGGGCGCTGTCATATTGTCCAGAAGTGACAGATGACATCCTGAAAACATGGAGTCACCATCGTATTCTGGTCACAAGCGCAAAGCCGCCGACGTGAGCTCCGACGAAGAAGACACACGCCCGACCTCCGGATTTCGAGGCTTTGCCCGAGCGGCCTCTCGCTCTCAATCACCCCCTACTATGGGTGGTATTGGCAGTGGATCCCGCAACAGAAACAATATGGCCAACTCTCGAGGTGGCGCGCGATCGCGCGGTGGAAGTGCTACGGGTGGGGCAGGAGGAGCGAACAGTTTTGCTGCGCGTATGATGGCGAAGATGGGCTATAAGGAGGGGCAAGGTCTAGGAACGAGTGGACAGGGTATCATGAACCCGATTGAAGTTCAGGCGCGACCACAAGGTGCCGGTCTGGGCGCTGTCAGTGAGAAGTCCAAAAAGACCCGCGAGGAAGAGCGACGAATGGCTGCAAAAGAAGGAAAAGTCCTGGAAGATGATAGCTCTGAAGAGGAACGAAAGCGGCGACGCAAGAAGAAGGAGGAGCGCAAGACACAGAGTCGGAGTGGAACAGGGACTCCAATGCAGCGCGCTAAGCCCAAATTCCGCACAGCGCGCGAGATGGAGGATGATATGGAAGGCCTCGAAGTGCCCAATGTTCTCAAGTCTCTGGTTGATGCCACTGGAAAGGAGCAACGCGTTCTGACCTCAACTGCTGGTTTGATGTCTACAAAACAATTCGTCACCCAAGAAGAAGGTGAAGCGCACAAGATTGCCCAACGAGCCCGGAACGACCTTGAGGCATTCGCAGACGAATGGAAAGGTCTTACGGAGAGAAAGAAGTTCATCGAGATCGAAGAGGCTCAGGTCGTGGACGAATTGGATTCATATCAAGCCCAGGTCGACCACCTCACGGGTCTCATTGCCGCGGTGGCAGAGCTCGACATCTTTGAACATGATGAAAGCATCCAGGCCAAGTTTGATGAGATGACCAACAAGCTTGAAGCCCTGGAAAAACATGGGGATGTCGATGAACACCGACTACCAGAAACTGCGGTTGCGGCTATCCACCCGCTCTTTCGACAGGCCATGGAGGAGTGGGAACCTCTCCAAAACCCATCGTATCTTGTGTCCAATCTTACCCGCCTTCAGTCACTTGTCACTCGCGGCAAGCTAGATGAGCCACGCAAGCGGTCATCCACCTCACATTACGAAACAATGATATACACACTTTGGCTACCACGGGTGCGCTCGGCACTCCTTAACGATTGGGATGTCTACGATCCTTCCAAGGCAACTGCGCTGGTCGTGGCCTGGAAAGCTATTGTACCCCCATTCGTGTTCGCGAATGTTCTTGATCAATTGGTCGTTCCCAAACTGGCTACTGCCTTGAAGAACTGGAGGCCTCGCAATAGCCGACGGCATGCTGGACCCGGCTCCGAGCAGGATGGAAAATTCCCCTGGTGGTTCTTCACCTGGCTTCAATATCTGGATGAAAGACACACTAACCCGAAACAACCCACTGGTCTCATGTCTGATGCAAAGAGGAAATTCCGCTCGGTTCTTGATACATGGAGTCTGCGCAAGGGGCTAGTAGATCGTATTGAAATCTGGCGTGATGCGCTAGGGTCTGAATTCGATGTCTGTTTACGCAATCATCTTCTACCACGTCTTGCGCGTCATCTCCGAGAGGATTTCACGGTCAACCCACATGATCAAGACCTCACAGCCCTCACGGATGTCTTGTGCTGGAAGGACTTCTTCAAACCCAACGTGATGGGACTCTTGCTGATCTCTGACTTCTTCCCCAAATGGCACGACATTCTGTACATCTGGCTCACCAACGATCCAAATTACGAAGAAGTTGGTGCTTGGTTTTCATGGTGGCGCGCTCAGATCCCCACAGAAGTCAATGAGCTCACCATCGTTGACGAACAGTGGAGCAAGGGCCTAGAGACCATGAATCTTGCCTCGCAACTGGGTGAACGTGCAGCTGCGGAACTTCCACGCCCTGTCACCACCCAGACCACACTTCCCACTCGCGAAGAAAAGGTCGCCGCGGCTACTGCAGCAGCAGCCGCTTCCACTGAAACAAAAAGCAGGGTTCCAGTCGTGGAAGAAGTTGCCTTCAAAGATATCCTCGAAAGCTGGTGCATGGAACAGGGACTCATCATACTACCCCTTCGCGAGGCTCATCCGCAAAACGGTCAGCCGCTCTTCCGCATCACGGCCAGTGCCACTGGCAAGGGTGGTTGTATATCATTTGTCCAAGGAGATGTGGTCTGGGTCCAAAACAAGAAAGCTAAGGATATTTGGGAGCCAATGGGGTTGGAGGATCAGTTGGTGGATCGTGCAGAAGGCAAATAGACTTGTCTGGTTGCACAGAAGATTGGCGGCTTCGATGATTACTTGCGACCCTCGAATTTATCTTGTACAAATTCATGTATGATCATGGCCCCTCGCATTATCGATGCCCTGGGTAGTTTTGATCGAAGGTCATGTTGTTTAAACTTAGATTCCAATACCCCGTAGCTGATTCAACTCTATCCGTACATCATCAATCACTACGAGTAGAGTTTCTTTCCTTCCTACCTCCGGCTTTCACTTTGGCATCGCATAGAACTTCTAACTATCTCTTCGCGTTACATTCGCGCTATGGACCAAGTAGAGCTGTTTAATACGTTTGATTGGGCTCTTATTGAGCAGCCCAATCCACAAGCATGATCCACAAGCACGAAAGGCGTCAATTTCCAATGGCGCAAGGTGGTTGACCATTAACGCCTCCATCTACTAAAGCTCCCCTGAACTGACTTCCTGGCCCTCCCAGTGTCGTGAAGCCACGCCAACTGCCCCACTGCAGTCGCCAGATTCTCCAACCATAGAGTCTTGGCAAGATATAATTGCTCTCAAAATTGGTCACCAACTCCAGTTCGTGGTTGCTATAGCCTCCCCACTCTGGATACGAAGGCATTGAAATCTTTTTTCCTTTACTCATTTTTGGCCTACATCAATTTGGATTCGTGTACCTAGGTGCCATGGCTATTCCTAGATTGATTGTCTGACCCGTGCAACTTCAACTACACAGCTTGTACTCGTACGAACTTGGGCTGAGCAAGTTTCCATGTCACAGCTGTGTCGCATTTGACGACAGTGAGACCAGCCAAATTTCCCACTCTCGGCGAGTGTTTCCGACAGACGGCAGCTTGGACTTGGAACAAAATGAGGTCTGACATGCCCGTAGAGAGACGGGAGTCAGTTACTCGTAGAGACATCCCATTGGGGTAACAAGCTGCGATCAACCCGAGCCCTAAGAGGCGCTGGAGGAGCCAATCAGAGGTGAGGGAATGCACCTTAATGGACGGCAACCTTGGAGCCAACCATGGAACCAAACCTTCTAAGGGATGATCCTCTGGGCCAATCACAAGCAAGCTAAAAGTCATCATCTACAAGGCCAGCCAATCACATCTGCTGGATTTGCAGTTTTGTCCGCAACGTTCCTCTCCGCGCTGAGCAACGATCTCACCGTGCAGCTACGACGCCTAATGTCGAATGGATGCTGACCTTTCGCCCAGCTGTGATTGGTCCTCGTCGGCTTCTGGCCAACTGCATCTCCATTTTTTCCTTGTTCAACCTGCACTACGGGTGGACTGGCCGGGTTTTGCTTTTTTTTTTTCTTTGGCGGATGGGCGTGCTGAGACCGGTGTAGTCCACTGTTGAGAGGCTTAAAGGGGAGAGACGCTGCCGATCATTGTTGATGGTTTTTCCTTTCTCTGTTTCATAGTTGATATTTCCTAAATCCCACGATATCCATTCCCAAGCTTCCTAGCTGAACATTCTTTGCCGTTCACTTGACCTCGCCTCAATCGACACTTGTTGTTGTGTACAATTGTACAATATACGTCTTCAAGGGTTTCCCACGATAGCTGTCCGGACAAAATAAACACAATGGCCTTCTTGTTCATCAAGCAGAAGCTCTTCCCCACACGGGAAGCAGACAAGATCTCCTCCGGTGAGTATCCAGTGAATTGGAGCATGTCGGATGAGCACTGTATACTGACGCATTTTGTTAGGAAAGCGACTCCTCGCCCGCAATGACGACGAGGATATCGTCCGGGGTGACTCTGATCTCGAATCCCAAAACAGCCGATCCTACGACACATTCGGGCGATGCAGCAGTCCCGATGATTCAACAACAACAGTGACAAGCAGTGGTAGCACTCGCTGTCGGATCGACCCTCGCATCGTCTCAGATGCGATTCTCGGTCTCTCGGACGGTCTGACCGTACCCTTTGCCCTGTCTGCCGGTCTCTCCGCGCTGGGAGACACCAAAGTTGTCGTCCTTGGTGGACTGGCCGAGCTCGCAGCGGGAGCCCTCTCCATGGGACTTGGAGGATACGTCGGAGCCAAGAGTGAAGCGTAAGTCAAGTCCGAAAGTCGAAAGGCAATTGCTAATCCTCACAGTGAATCATACGAAGCGACTGTCAGGGAAACAAAGGAATTGATCAAAACCGACCCACAAGAGACTCGTGCCATGGTGCGCGAGACTTTCGTTCCATTCGGGCTCTCCGATTCTGCCATTGTGGATATCACCCGCGACCTGCACATGTCGCAGGATCGACTTCTTGAGTTCTTGCTTGCCTTCCACCACCGTGAGACTGCGCCGGATTGCAACCAAGCCTGGACTTCGGCCATTACTCTCGCCCTGGGTTACTTCATTGGTGGTTTCATCCCGCTGATTCCATACTTCATCGTTAATCAAGTCATGGTTGCGCTGTACTGGAGTATTGGTGTCATGGCCATTACCTTGCTTGTGTTTGGATATGTCAAGACCTGTGTTGTCCGTGGCTGGTCTGGTCGTGACAATGTCTTGGCTGGTATCTGGGGTGGTGTGCAAATGTGCTGTGTCGGAGGTGTGGCTGCTGGTGCTGCTATTGGCCTGGTCCAGTTGATCGGTACTAACAGTGCCAAATGAGCTGATGACGGTGCTGTAATCATGATTACTGAGCGTTTGTGCATTGCAACTTGGAGTTTATGTTTGCTCTCTACTCTCACATTTGGTTTTGATGCTTGAGACTTGACTACGAGTCAACGGAGTCTACGAGCGGGCGTTCAAGGGGATAAAAAAAAGACCTAATTTTACGTTTCACGAATACAATTTATCAACATTGACGAACAACTCTCTGCTCGGGTACGGAATATAGAGTAAGGGAGTATGGTGTACATCTTTCAGTCACCAAAGCTCCGATGGGTCTGGAGATTCTCCGGGTTCAATATGTTGAGTGCAATACTTAGCTCTCTGTCCAGGGCTGCTCTATCAAATTTTTTTGTTCCCGAGCTTAGATCGTGCATGAAATATCTAGTGATTATTTCAAGTCATTATTGACAGGGTACTACTTAAGTATTATCGACTGAACGCAAGTCACTCCGTATGAACTTTAGAAGTACTCCAGAATCGTTCAAAGCATTCCCTTATGGTAGTTTACATATAACCATTCAATTAAATCAATCACCCAATTATCCACTCAAAGCAATGCCCACCAGCCTCTGGGCATTCTCCGACAACTTAATCTTCAAAGCCTCCTCCCTCCCCCGTTCCGACATCTTCCCCCAGGTCTTCTGCAGAATCCCCACCATCTTCTCCTCATCATTTAAATCCGACTCAAATTTATCAAACTGATCATCCAAAAACACCAGACAAGCCACATCCTCAAGCGTCTGCGTATCCGGATCCCCTTGCTTCAAGTCCGCCTTCCGCACAAGCGCCCCAACCCTCGCGGCCTCTTCAGCTGTATACCCACTCTCCACGCACATCTGCTCAACCAGCGCAGCCTGTCGTCTCTGGAGCCCCGCGCGCCACGAATGGTACCCGATCTTCGTTGCGGGGTAGCTATCGCGGGGGACTTCCCAGCGGCGAAGATGCTGGGCGCGGATTGCGAGGCGCAGAAGTTCATGTGCTTCGGGCTGCAAAGTTGAGAGGTAGCTGGTCATTTTTTGGGCGTAGTGGAGTTCGTAGGGCATGGGTTTTGCAGTTTGGGTCTGGCGAGGGTCGTCTGCATGTGCTGCGTCGATGCGCGCAAGCGCAGTCTCGAATTTGGACATTGTCGAGATGAGGAAGGTTTGAATGAGGGTCTCGATGGGATGTTTCAATGGGAGGATTGGGTATTGGATTAGCTATCAACACTGGGAAGTATCTTAAAGACTTCAGGACTTCCGATGTTTAATGTTCCCGGGCTCGGTGACTGGTAACGGATAAGATCTGATTGGCCGCATCTATAAGAATGCCGTGAACAAAGTATTTTTTGAAAGACTTACAATGTTGCTTTGAATTATCAAGTCCAAGTTCGTATTCAATCTTTGATACATGACAAAAATCTATCTATCTATAGGATTTGTTATTCCACATTTCGCCCAAAGGAAAAAAAAAAAAAAAAAAAACAAAAAAAAAAAAAAAAAAAAAAAAAAAAAAAAATTTATATGATAAAAAAAAAGTTATTAGAATTACCAAAAAGGAGGTGG